ACTGATTGAGAAGGGTGCCGATATCAATGCCCCAGGTGGCTACTATGGTAATGCACTACAGGCGGCATCAGCTGGGGGCCACGAGCAGGTGGCGCGGCTACTGATTGAGAAGGGTGCCGATGTCAATACTCAAGGTGGCTTCTATGGTGATGCACTACAGGCGGCAATAGCTCGTGGCCACGAGCAGATGGCGCGGCTACTGATTGAGAATGGCGCAAATACTGAGAAGTCGGCCACCTCTGTTTAGATTTAGATAATGCAGTTAGTCGCCGGAGCATTCCAGTAGGGTCTAACGCCTAACAACATTAATGGCTTGAGCTGCATGCACGCGTGAGCTTTCAACGTCTGAAGCGTTGTTGTCTCAGCCACAGGAGCACTTATAAGTTAGCAGTTTGATTGAAAATCAATACACTTAGATGCATTTTAAAGATATATGTGGACACTGTTTCTGACGTTTCGTGTTTTGTGCCCATGTCATCAGAATCAACTGCTGTTGCCGCTCTTGTATTCCATTCCACGGGTCCAGTGTTGTTCTAGAATATGGGAAAAACTACGCGTTTGGGATTGTAATGAGCGAAATGTGGTCAACGGGGTTGCTGCATGATTGGCGGGCTCAGTCGGCCATTTCCGACTTAATATGGCAAGATAGGACGGCCTGAGCAACGATCGGACATGTCAACTGCAGACTCTGCACAGTTCAATCCTAGCTGACGGTCCAGGAAGTTGGTTGAAAGTTGACAGCCCTGTGCCACATTCCACACAGGATGGGCTCATCTCGTTCGGGTTTTGTTCTGGAGATGGCGGTGTCCTATCCTGTCGAACGTGTCCGCGTAATCTCAACAAGAATGTACTTCCCCCCTTCTTGCTCCCCTTTCGTCTTTCGTTCTCTTTCTTTTGTTCTTCCACCACTTTCGTTTTCGGGGATTCTGGTTGCTTCGGACAGAAAGAAACAAGCTCAAGAGTCACGCAGTTGCCGAGTGGGGAAGATGATCACGACTAGAGAGAGCTCAGTCTGTTGTTGAATCTTATAGCTTCCACATTGAAGATGCGGATATATTCAGGTTCGATGTCGGACACGGTAATTGGAAGTATTTGGGTTACTCGAAGAGGCTCCCCGGGCTTGGTTTGTTGTGACTTGTTTCTGTGCGAGTTGTTGGAAGTAGGGCATTGTGTTGAACTTAAGGCCATAGGCGTGCCCGAACATGCTCTGTCCGTAGAGTTTCCAGAGGCCTTGAAGAACTCATGAGATCACGATGCACGGCCATACGTAAAGTTGTGAACCATATAGTATTCTTTCCGTATCTCAGCCCAGGGACTTCACCATTGCAAGTTTCTTGTTTGACACGTATTTCTGGTGCATGATACTCGACGTCCACTATGGCAACTCTCCTATCATCGTAGAATGGTAGCAGCTAAAGTTTTAAGAAGCCTCTTGTGCGAATTGAGCTGATATTGATCAGTGATATTGCGTAGCCTGCACGGCTGCAGAGCAACTGAGATGGCTGCCGATTTTCGGTATACATGTATGCATCGAAGACGTACAGTGTTGTAGGATGTTGACTCGGAGCCAGGTATCCCGTCGTTGTATTCTGACGCCTGGTATATTCATGTTCTCACTGGCCCACGACTGCGTCCTGCCTTTGGAAGAAGTCGCAGAAATCTGGAGAGCCGTGTATAATTGCACCACCAACTTGAGGCATGTCTCCCAAACGTGAAGCGATCTGAGAAAACTCGAGTCTTCGAAATTCTGGTTCAATGATCAGTGGACAGGCTGTCCTCCAGCCTTGGCCCAGTCGAAAGAGGTTGACAATACCACTTCAGTAACCTCAATGTTCAACTTTTCTCCGCGGTCAATTGAAAAAACCATGAGCGAATTCCGTCACAACATTGAATATCAGATGCATTGTTGCAAAAATATTTGTCTTGACATGGTTTTGCTCGTGTCTGTCATGTGAATTCCCACAGAACTTACCATCGTGATACCAGGCGCCGTCTGCGAAATCTTTGAGCCGCCTTCACGCCGATTTTCCGCGAAGTCCGGCCGCAATTGTTTTGCCGCGGGCTGCAAGAATAGATACAGCCCTCGGTTGGCGACAGATTCTGTCGTAGTCAGTTTGTGGGAGTCGACAAATTCTTGTTCTTAGGGATCCTGTGAGGACTTCTTCTCCGTCGGTAATGTCATAGGAAATATTCAGGATGAATGATCAGGCGACTCAAAAGCCTACTTCGTTTGCTCTCTCTGATCCATTTACGTTTGTAATGGGACCGGCTCAGGTGTGCGACACTGTACTCGTGGCTCTGAGTAGGACGCCGTACGGTGGCTCTCGTTAAGAAAAGGACATACAAGCAGCGCCTCATGCAATCCGATTGGTGCGTTGTTCACCTAGCGCAACAAGCTTCACGCTCTAATGGATAAGATTAGTACAAATACGGCTAGCTCAGGGCTTGGCACCTACCTAACTTCGTCTTCATTCCTTGTAGCTGTTTCTCTGTGGATGATCCTAGACTCGCTCAATGGATAACGAAACTCACAGATTGATACTTTCGTTGACAGATACAATGATGAATCTAAGGATGGCCACCTCCAAGCTAATAATGAGCCGGAATCGTCTGCGATTGCGTTCCAAAGCTTCGAATTAGGATCACTGGCAGCTCTTACTCAGATACTGGATTACGTCCAAAGTTGACGGGTACTTAGTTGCCCACCATGAGTGAGTCCCGGGACGTCGTCACCTGAGCGACAACAGAACACATAGCCTGGTATAATCGAAACATGTTACGGCCAGAAGACAGACGGGTCCATTGGTTCGCAATCTCTAGGAAGATGATTATTACAAATCTAGGCTCCGGGTTCATCGGTAATGATACAGGAACAAAACTCGAAGTCACAGCTATGCGTACGGGCCACGGTGGATATTACGACAGTTTGACGACTTCCGCGCTCTTTCTCTGATTCCGCGCTTGATGCCTGGGCTGATTCATTATCCGGAGTTTGGACGACACTCTTTGTCGAGGAGGTATCACTTCGACTGTAAGTGTAACAACCTACGGTTACGGACTCCACATCGAGGGATTTGATGGAGGCACCGGGCTGAAAGACTGGTGGAGGCCGGTCTTTTGGCCAGATGCTTCTCGCCCCGAAAGACCTCGGCCATCGTCAGCGGCGTGGCAACTTGCTGCAAGACTGTGTCACCAGATCGTCAAGCGCTCCATCACGATCCATCACGACAAGCTCCACAGAGATCCTCAAGGCCATGCAACGCTTGGGAAGGTTGTCGCCTCCGCTCGAGGAGATGTTGTCGCCTTCAGACCAAGTACAGTCGAATACCCTCCATATCTCAGAAGACCGATCGTGGAATCCGTCATGTGGTTTCTGGGTATTCGTGCCGTCAGAGGACTAATGCGCCACCGATATAGATGTCCTCACGAGCAGGCTGCCGGTTAATCGAATTGCCCAGGCCGGCACGAGGTGGGTGGCAAGACTGCAACAGGCCAGATCGCAAGTGCTCGCAGAAATCAGCCGGGCTAGCCACAGGTATGTTATCTTTGCGACAAGACAACCAATGGGCTGAGCTTGTCACCGCTGTGCCGCTCCCCACGGGCTGGGGCACCGACCGCATGCGTTGGAATTCTGGAGCGAGAACCACATTCCTGCGGCACTAAGAGAGATGCCCTGCTGAGAGGTGTGTGCCCAAGTACCCTTTGGTCCTGAGAGTTGGCCGGGTGGGCGACGAACGTGCCTCTGGCTAAATGTTCACCCAGGGGCTTCAAGTGACTCGAGCACTGTACCCTCGTGAGATGGGAGTGTAGTGAGTCCTGCTGCCTGGTATCGTGCGGAGGAGCACTTCATCGGACTCTCAGCGCCTGTACCGGCGTGAAAACATTGGTGTCTATTCTTGAGGTTTGCTCGCTGCTTTGGTCGGCAGAAGGGTCGATCTTTGCCCGTCGCTACTTCTGGTGTGGATTTCTGGTGCCTCGCTGCCTCGGCCCTCGACCAGAACCGTTGCATTTCACAAAGGGCCCAGCATGTGGATGGCAGCCAACTTTCCTTATCAATAACTAAAAGAGAGGGATTGATGTGCTACGGATATTTGTCGGTGTCCGATGAAGGGGAGAACAGCCGATTGAATCTCCGGTGTTGAGACCGTGGCCTCGACTGTTATAACTATTAGCCCGAATGTGCCCGATCCCAACACCTGAATATGAATATAAAGGTCGGGATAAATCGATTTCTCTTCTCAAAGGACCTTTCATTCACCGTCCCCTTGCTATACGAATCGGCGACCAAAGCAACCGAAACTTACTGTCGCCACAGTCGCTCCCAGGATCATGCTAATTGTCCCCAGACTAGGAGTCCAACTGGGTACTTCTGGACTGAGCGTATGCACGTTGCCACAAGGGATCCTGGAACCACGACAGTGTGAGATCCGTGGGGGGTCTTATTGGGCTTGGAGGAACCGTCCAGGGCCGCTGATCACGGTGCTGAACTACCGGTCCACGCTCTAGGACGAAGTGTCCTTACCTGGAGTGGTCATGCGAGCCCTTTGGCGGGCGGAGCCACGCTCAGGGATGCGTATCTGTTGCCGGCGGTACGGCACACGGGAAAGGACTGTGACTGTTGACGTCCAAATTAGATCAGGGATCTCACAGCCGAAGTGAGAGGCGACCGGGCTGGTCGCTGAGCACGTTGTCGCTTGAGGCAGGGTGTTCGACAAATCCGTCCGCCAGACAACTATTCAGATCCCGGCTTATTTGTTTTCCCGGTCTGAAGTCCTTACACGATTTATGGTATCGATATTGTATTCATGACAGCTAGTCCTGAATAGAGCCTCCTTGCGATTCTCGTGTTTTGACTTCCCCAGGAAATAGTTTGCTCTTCCCAACCTCCCCAGACCCCGGATTTGAGAGCGAAAACGACACGGCCCCGGGATTGCCACACCGGGGATAAGGTTCTGGAGGCGATCTGTTGTGTCGTGTCTGGAAGCCAACTCCGTGGTCTGGGCAGGGAAATTGCAAAGGGCGCGAAACTACCGAGTATGCCTTGGCTCGTGGCATTGCTTCAGCAGGCGTGTAAAAGAAGTGGCAAGGTTTTTGGGAATAGCGGTTCGGGAGATGGTTTAAGCGTACACTACCCAAATTGTGACGGACTGGGTGATACGAAGAGTAGTAGCGGACCGGGGGGTTATTCAGCTTTAAACGGAGGCGGGCTGGATTATTGAGTAGTCAAGGGGCCGTGGATTGAGAGGTGCAGGGTGTCTCCTCCAATTACCGTCTCCACCCCCGCATTAGAGGGGGGCCACTGGGGCACCCACACACTATTATTGGCGGACAGTATCCCCCTGCAATACCCTTCTCGGTACTAGGGAGACCCGCTAGAGACCACTGAGCTCCACCGCTAGTCCAGCTTGGCAACGCTGCTCACCCACGGTTTCCCCCTATCACCATACACTCTGTCTCAATTCCTGCGGCAGCTCCCCGCTAGGCTTTTCTCCACGTTCTCTATGGTGGTTGATCTGCCCTTCCACACACACACACACACACATACATACACACACATATCTTGTTCCGTTTCTAGACTCAGACCAGACAGGACACAGACACGCACGCCCTGATTAGCGAACTAGGCCAATGCACATTTAAACGAAACAGGCGGAAGAACACACTACGCGACAAAAACATAGACATGGGTTTGCCGGTCTATCCTGCATGATGGGGTCCTGGCCTGTGTCACATCTCTGACATGCATATGTGATTGATTATATTGCCCGACCACCCTTCCCCAGCTTATCAAAAAAGCCCTTCTTTCAATCCTATTCAATCCCTCGATCATCTATCTATCTCCTTCCTTTTTCTCTCTCCCACAGACACCAACTTACCTTGAAGATACCAAACCACCTCCCTGCCTTGAGTTAGTTGTGTGTATCTTATCTCTGCGAAAGAGAGAGAGAGGGACTGCTAGCCACCATGCAGATCTACGAAAGGGTGAAGAATGATTTCAAGACCGATGTCACCTGGAACCGGGTCATCCGTTACGGTGTTCAAGGCCTGCGTGCCACCCCCCAGGCGGCGGGGAGATATGTCGCGGAGAAGGCCCCTATCATCGGCTGGCTGCCACGATACAACTATCGATGGCTCCTGACCGACTTCATTGCCGGCTTGACGGTGTCACTCATGTTGATTCCCCAAGGTCTGGCCTATGCCAAAATTGCCAAAATCCCTGTTCAGTATGGCCTGATGTCCTGCTGGGCGCCTGCGATCATCTACACCATTATGGGCACGTCAAAAGGTTTGTATTTTCTCCACTAAATTTTATTGTAAAGAGGACAACAACGCATGCTTACACTGTTGCAGATGTCTCCACTGGACCGACTTCATTGATCGGGCTGATGACGGCACAAGTCGTGGACGACCTCAAAAAGGAAGGATACGCTCCAGAGGCCATCTCATCTGCGGTTGCCCTCTCCATGGGCATCTATATGGCCGGCCTAGGTGTTTTGAAGTTGGGTTTCTTGCTCGACTTCATTTCCTACCCTGTGCTTACCGGCTTCATCTCCGCCGTGGCCATCACCATTGGCCTCGGCCAAGTCGCCAACCTCATCGGCGAGCAAAACGTCGGCAGCGGTACCGCGAACCAGATCCATGACATCCTGACCAATTTCGGGACTTGCAATGGGCGTGCTGCGGGCGTTGGCTTCGCTGGCGTTGTTCTCCTGATCCTCTTGCAAAAGGCTGGTGAGAAATGGGGCAGCAAGAACAAAATCATCTGGTTCTTGTCCATCACTCGGGCTTTCATCTGTCTTCTTTTGTTCACCGGCATCAGCTACGGCGTCAACAAGGGACGTGATAGCAAGCACTACCTGTTCGATGTCAGCAAAGTCCCCTCTCTCGCCATCCCCTCTCCCAAGCCGGTGGACTCTGCTCTGCTTGGGAAAGTTGTTAGTCGCAGCATTGCCGCTTTTCTTGGTGGCTCCATTGAGCATCTCGGAATTTCCCGCGCCTTTGGCTTGAGAAACAACTATGTCATCGATCCCAGTCAAGAGCTTTGCTATCTGGGGGTGACGAACATCTTCAACAGTTTCTTCTCTGTCATGGGCGTCGGTGGCGCCATGTCCCGAACAGCCGTCAACTCCCAGTGCAATGTCAAGTCCCCGCTCTCTGGCCTGGTGACCACCGGTGTCATCGTTCTCTCCATCTACAAGGTGACCGGAGCCTTGTACTGGATCCCGAAAGCCACACTTGCCGCCATTGTCATCACGGCCATCTGGCCCCTCATCGGCAAACCAAGCACTTACTACCATTTCTGGAAGACTTCATTGGCCGACTTTATTGCGGCCATGGTCGCATTCTGGGTGTCCCTGTTCACCTCGACTGAGATCGGTATCGCCAGCGCCGTGGGTTTCAATATTGTGTACGTCTTGCTCCGTCAAGTTTTCAAACAAGTGAAGACGATCGGAGCAGACTCCCGTTCGGAACTTGCGGCTTCTTTGGATGGGTCGCGCGGGATGCCGCCCCATATTCCCCCGGACACCCGGGTCTTCCGCTTCGAAGAATCCTTCTTTTTCCCCAACATCCAGAGGGTCAAGACCAACATTCTGGATGTCATTCAAACATACCATGCTCCCGAATATAACAATCGCAATGGCGAGGAGGCTGAGCGAAACTGGTCTGTTGAGGGAGAGAAACGCATTGCCCGGCTGCGCAAGAAGGCCAAGACCCAAGGAGCCAGCTTACCGCCCATCAACGTTGTGATCCTGGACTTTTCCAAGGTCAACTACTTCGATACCAGCGGTGTCCAGGGCCTGAAGAACTTCTTTGCTGAGCTGAGGCACTATGCCGGTGAAGGCACCGAAGTCCGGTTTGTTGCTCTCAACGACCTGACTCGCGAACGCTTTGAGCGGGCGGGCTGGATCTTGCTGGACGGGGACACTTCAATGGACACCTCGAAAGTAACGTCGGTGAGGGTATTCCGGACAGTGGCCGATGCTGTCGTGGCCTCGAGACAAGATCACGAAATCTGCGAGGTCGTCGTCAAGACGGACAGCAGCGAGGAGAACACCACAATTACCCATCGTGAGAAGATGTGATACCCCTAGTACCTTGTTTGAGAGGGCAGGTCTTGCCTCGGCTTGTGTTTTGGATGTTGTCTCCACGACCGCTCGGCAGGGTATCGGGTTGGTTCGAGTGTATGAGTGTATGAATGATGACGATCATATGGCGATCAGTATGCTGTGCAGTGCTATGACATGCGCATGGGAAGGAGCAGGAAGAGTCGGCAGGGCTGATCCCCTCATTTCCTGGGACAGGGTGAGGGCGGTGCACATGGTGTGGCGACGCAGCCTCCCAGAAGACGTTTTCTTTCTGTGCAATCCGATGGGGGCAGAAGAGAGAGGCTTGTGTTATATGAAGGACGCCCCGTGGATGTAGCATATCTATCATCAGCAGATACCATCTTTTTTTCTTCTTTTTGACCGTGGTCCACTATTCTCACATGCAATGCAATCAAGCCCCCTTTGTCGTAACATTTAGCCGGCACCGCAGTTTCACCGCCAGGTCGAGCCTGATCCGGTTTTCTCCACCGACGGTGAGATGGATGGCTCTGTCGCCACGGACTTGCGAGAGATAAGGCATGTGTTCCAAGCGGTTTGCGGTAGCTCCATCGGCCAATTCCGGGATTTGAAATGGTGAGAGTCGAGCAAAAGTGATGGAAAAACGTATTCACGGTAGCTGAAGACTGAGAAGGAGAATAGATTTCCAAAAACTGCCCCTTTTCTCGGAACAATATATTTATCCGTGGCTGTCACGTGTCGCGGCTCAAGATCTTCCACTGGGTCGCCAACAATGCGGTTGATTGACGAAGCCGTTGTCTACTTGAAAATAAATATGTACATGAGCTTCGGCTTTTCCGCCGTTCCAGGCGCCTGTTGCCATCCGGCTGTGTGGAAACAGACGTAACTCTCCCGCCTTCAAGCCTGTTGCTACGACTGTCCTGAAGAGCCCGATACCACTCGTCTATTCCAACCGGATTGATCCCTCCGATTTCCAAAAGAGCCACACCACGGCCATGGCGACTTTGACGCCTCCTGCGATCCAGAGTGGGTTCGAGATATCTCCACCCTCTGTCAAAACCCCTCCGAGTCCAGCCCCCAGGAGGAGCGCCAGGGCGGACACAAATCTGCGGTTGCGTTTTGGGTTCTGAGTGATGGGTGCCGTAAATAGAGTCGGATCGAACATCAGGTCGCAGTAGGTACTCGTCAGGACAACCGTCGGCAGTTCATTGTACAACAACATCCTGCTCATCACTATTTGACCGGCCGATTGAAACGAGAGGAGCCCCAGAGGCAACAGGACAATGTAGTTGTAGGGTAGCTGGTTGCCGGCATCATTGGGCACGACATCGCTGACCACGAGGATCCCGCTGATGAAACAAAGCACAGCCTGGAAGAGGCACGACCCGCTTAAAGTCCCTCGGCGAAGCGGGCCAAAGAATCGACAGGCTCGGCTGAAGAAAAGGGTCCCCAAACAGAAACTGAGAATTGCCGTGCCAGACTTCACCCAACGATATGGCTGACTCAAAGGTTGACCAGACATGCCCAAACCAACATAGACGGTGTTTCCTGCGGGCCGGCACGTCAGCGACCTAATAATGCTGGACCGATACGTCCACCCGGAGACTCACCGGTTTGCATGCTCACGAAGCAGCTCCAGACGTTGAAGACTGCACTGTCGACCAGACCTGATATGAAACAGGCCACGATCAAGATCAAATCTCCCCATTCTTTGCTGGCATCCTCTGCCAGATACTGTCGCCAGCGAGCCATCCGGCTTCTCCTTTTGAACACCTCGAGCGAGTCGTCCATGCTGCTTTCGTCGGCCATGTTTTGTCTGAGGTCCAGAGACTACCGATATCCGTCCAACGGTACCCAAGGATGGAGTTTACAGTCCGTAGAGATATGAAAACGCCAACGCCAAAGAGATCTCCATGCTTATATGACGCCGTACCCTTCCCAACACGTACGGAACGCCTCCGTTAACCGGACATGGAGGGCCCCCCCGCCCCCAGCAAAGGGTTTGTGGCGACCAGCCCGTGACGGCTAAAGTATGAAGAGAGTTAGTTCCTGGCCCCATTAAGCGCCAAAATCCCATCGCAACTTCTCCGCATAGGCATCAAACTCAACCAGCGAAATCTCCACAAGATCTCCATGCAGACGAGATCTCCATACAGGGGTCGATTTTTATCCGAGAGCTGCATAAATGATTAACCGGCACCAGAGCTTCCGTACTACAGCATCAACCATGTCAGTGCCTCGAAAAGGTCTTTTTATACCCACCGGAAACATTATTTTGGGTGGCTCTCCGGTGGTTTCCTCCGGGTTGAGGCTACTGGTCAACACAAAGGCGAAATGTCTCGACACTCACCCACGGCGAGCAGTAGGCTGTGGCCAAGCCGTTGAATTGACTCTCTCCTCTCTACATCTAGGTGATGCCGCACGGTCATTTGATCTAACCAGTCAAGCAGGATCCTCACGTGGCCAAAAAATCTTCTTTCTCTCAAGACTAGCGTGCATGGGCTGCTTCAGGCCTGCTCAACGTTGTGGAAACGGCGAAGCCAACCAAGCAGACGCAGTGTGACCGCCAACAAGAAAGTGCCAACTGAAAGGTGGTGCTGTTAGACATCGCCAAACCACCAAGGAGTCTTCGTCTCCTTTGGAAAGGTCCGAATGTTGGTAAACAGCCAGTCTGCAGGATTGCAGCTTCTTATTTGTCGCCAGCACAGTGCATGTAGACGCCCCGCCAGCGGTCAGTGCTTCCATTATCGTCAGTGTGGACTTCTTATCTGCCTGGATCGACTGCGTGCACCTCGTACCCTGCCCCGCCGCTTGTATATTGCTTGGAGGCTCTGTGGCTCCCTTGGGTACTTGTCCTCACGCAGACTTGTCCAACCAGTGGGCCACCGGTGGTTCCGGGTAAAACAATATACCGCGACAGCCCCCTGCTTGATGCCGAGATTCCATTACGGAGCCCGACAAAGTGTCCGACTCCATCTCAGGACGGGCTCGTTCCAGCTCCACGTGCGGGTTGGAGCCCCAGGTAATAACAGCTTCGATTTCTCATACTGGTTCTGGTTCAAGAAACGTGGATAGCAACTCGTCTTACTTGTTAGCTGGCGTGTATGCGATGGCGGGTCCTGGAGCTTCCATTATTTAGGTATTGAATCGCCCGCAACAGTGCGCCTCCGACTCCCAGAGGAGCACTTTCCATTTCCATCTTTGGACCTGAGGATGTCCTGAGCCTCACGTCTTCAACCTGAGCCGGTCCAGCAAGAGGTGGGTTCGTGCACACTTAGGTGGTCAGGGCCATCATCACAGGCCCTGATGTTGCGATGATGCAACGTACCGAAGCGCTATGGCAGCTTCAAGCAGAGGAGCAGCGCAATTCAGTACACGACAGTATATCAACATGCCCAGATCTGGGGGCTGCAGGACGTGCCAGATGACTTTATGATACCCCTCCTTTACTCAGAAGGTCCAGTGGGTGTCTGGAAAATAAGGCTGGAAAGAACTCCAGCGGGTTGTGACTGTGCTTAGTGCTGTCTATTTGAACAGAGTTGCTGAGTTTTGGGGCATAGCTTTGAATCCAGAGGGGCAATCGACACGAGGATACTGGCTCGCTTACGATATCAGCGTAATAGCTATTGGTATTTGAACTATGGCCGGGGGAGACATTCGGGAATATATTGTCTGGGGAATTGTAGGAGAACTCAGTCGAAGAAGGATGTTGCGTTCTTTTATGATAGCAGGAAGCATGCCCATTTTGGCCCAAAAACCGCGCATTTCATACCCTTTCCCTGTCATGCGGGTTTGTTTTGCGCTGGACTCGCCCGGGAAAGCCCTGCGATGTGACATTTGGAGAAACCACAGGCCTGGACAAGTTCTGATTTCCTCCAGAGAGGATAGAGTGAGCTTTTGTGGCCGATAGTGGAGAGAGGAAATAAAGGTCGCGACGGTCTCATGGACATTTCAGTCGCAATGAGGACAACGAACCCGGCTAAGTAAGAACACTCGCATATCTTGTCAGCGCCATTCCTTCTTCTGTCGGTGATGTGCCCAACTTGACTTGAAAAGATCTCCGTACCAATCTGCTCAAGTGGCCTGCCAACGTCACACGACCTGCCTGCAGCACACAGATGGATGTGGTGTCTTCAACAAGGCTATCCTCCGACGGACGAATACAACAGCCTTGTTCCCGAACCCACAGCACTGTTCACACGTCCGTCTTGAGTCACGCCTGTTCTTTCATCTGGTCTTCGCTAACGAGATGTCTCGATTAGAGGGATCTCGATCTGTTCAATTCTTCACAAAAGGGCGGATTTTCCAGGTCATAGTACCGGATTGCTGATGTCTTGGACGATGTTGCGCGACTAATCATGGAATGGCATTTATGTTGTCTCGGTGATATTCCGGTACCAAGTCGTCTCCCTGATTTGCTGAGATCGTGCTGCCTTCTGCTGGTTTTTCTGATACCATATTGTCGCCGTGGTTCGGCAGTGTTAGGCCCTCTCCCTTCTCTAGCCCTATGCTCTTTTGCACCTCGTGACGACTGCACAGCCACGCAACTGCGGTTCGCCCTCTTCTTCTTCCGTGCGATCGGTTCAGGCGTTGGAGATCGGGTCGAAGGAGGTGTTGGTGTAATTGGATCGGGGGTACGCAGATCCTGGTGTTTAAAGTATTCTCGATAGTAGCGGGAAAGTTCGTCTTCAGGTGCAGGAGCTCTTGGGTCGTCGAAATTGCTCCGGTCGCTTGGTTCGTGCTTCAGTCCCAGAAGCTTCTCGATCGCACCTTAAACTGATTGCAGTGCTAGGGAAGCCTGAAGCCGGTGAAGAAGTTCTTCGGCTGGAAGCGGTTCGAGGCTTTGCATTCTATGGCATTGGGTGCTGCTCAGTCGCACCTACATTTGCCACCTTTGGTGGTAGAGTGAGAAATGCATTTGTGACATAAGTATTCCTATGGCTCAAATGACTCTAGATACCTTTTTACTATCTGTTCATTGAGTCACACTTTGGAAACTCGAAATGCACGGACATGACATGACATGGGAACTTTTGCCAGGCTGTGAGCGATCGTCGGATTTATGATGATCCGGCTCCGAACCTGGAAACGCTGGGACATGCAAGGCTGTGAGGCACATTTGCTGGATAGTGCATAGATCGATCGCTTGATGTCGATTCGGATACCATTAGAGCCCGCAGCACCCCGAACCTCGAATCGACCTCGACATAAGCGACAGCCGCTGTGCCGGCAGCGGTCACGGCATCTTGGGGCTCTTTTTCCGCCACGTAAACACATACTGCCTCGGCTTACTGTCGGCGGTCATCAGCGTTACTTCGGTTGTGGAAGCCTCTGTCCAATCAGCGCACATCTCTCTCCGCCTTTGAGGATGTCTTTGACTCGTGAGACTGGCATTCAGTTTTAATTGAAGAGGGACTCTGGGTTGTTGATGCAGAGAGTGAGCTTGTCATTGCGTGGATCCGACCTCGTCCAGCCATGTCGCCCCAGATTCCCATTGTCGTTGGTGTTGGCGATTTCGTCAATCGGTCGACTGCCGTCGCCGATGCGCAGGAGCCCTTGACACTGATCCTCAATTCGATTAATCTCGCATTGGAGGACACCGGGCTCGCCCAAGACAAGAAACAGCAACTTCAGGCTGCCATTGACAGCATCGATGTGGTCCGCACGTGGACTTGGCCATATGACGACCTACCCGGTGACATTAGCCGCAGATTAGGGGTCGATGCACGACATAAGTTCTACAGCGATCACGGCGGAAATAAGCCTGCCAAGCTATTCGATCAAGCCGCCAGGAGAATCTCGAAAGGGCAGACGAAGGTCGCAGTCGTCACGGGTGGAGAAGCATTGGCATCTTGTGAGAGATATACTGAAGCGAATACACTCTCCGACCGTCCGTGTCTTGACGCTAACGTTTCTCTCCCTTCACACAGTGACTACGTGCGCTAATGCAAAGAAGCTACCACCGCCAGGATGGACCAAGACAAAGGAAAGAGTCGACTCTGCCTTTACTCCTACTGGCAGAGATCTGGGCAAAGGTAAATCGGGGATTCCGTCAATTTTGCTCTCCTCCTTTTCTTATTTTTCAGTTCTCCTTACCATCATCTCAAGATATTGGCGCCATCCACTCGATAGGAGCCCCCATCCACGTCTATCCGCTCTTCGAAAACGGATTCCGTGCACATCGCGGCCAGTCAATACCTGAAAACCACGACGAATCGTCACAGCTGTACGCCGAATTCGCCAAAGTGGCGGAAAACAACCCGTATGCTTGGAATTATGGCAAGCCAGCAGCCACGAAGGAGGTCATCGGGACGGTAACGAAGCGCAACCGCATGATTTGCTTCCCCTGTAAGTGATATCAACGAAGGGGTAAGGGAGTTGTGTGTGTGCAGGTTTGCCTGACCAAAGCCGTGTTAGATCCACTTCTCATGAATGCATTCAACACCATCAACCTGGCCGGTGCGTGCATTCTGACCTCGACCGACTACGCAGAAGAACTGGGCATTCCCAAGGCAAAGTGGATATACGCCCTGGGTGGTGCTGGCACGCAGGACAGTAGCAACTGTGCGTTTTCAATCTTCACAGAGGCATTCCCGCAGATTTACTGAATATTGCTCACGCAGTTTGGGAACGACCGAACTATTACACGAGTCCGTCCATCGAACGCTCTATCGATGCCAGTCTGCAGGTCTCTGGTCTGACCAAGGAAGACATCGACCTGTTCGACTTCTATTCGTAAGCCTGCGCCAACGGCTGCTTGCCGTGCTGCCCCCTCTGACGTGTCCGTGCTGCAGATGCTTCCCGATTGTCCCGAAAATCGCAGCCTCACATCTGAAGCTGCCAATAACGCATGGAAGCAAACCCATCACTCTCCTCGGGGGACTGACCAGCTTTGGAGGCGCAGGAAACAATTATTCCATGCACGTAAGTAACCTGTACTTTTCATCAGGAACAAAGGAGGTCGGCGCTTACACACTGGTCCCCTCTTCTCAGGCTATAACCGAGATGACGCGACAACTGAGAAAGGGCAAAGGTCGAAATGGTCTGATTCTTGCGAACGGTGGCGTCTTGACCTACCAGCATGTGTTATGTCTGTCGACGACACGCCGGCGAGGCGGCACACCCTACCCTGACAGAGACCCGTTGCCCGAGTTTGTGACCGACGTCCCTGCTCCGAAAGTCGATGCCAAGGTCGAAGGGGAACAGGATGCTGTCATAGAGGTATGTATAGCCTTCGAAGATTGTGTACCTTCTTGGATTACTCGGCAGAGGACAAGATGGAGACACTATTGGCATCGATGGAAATGCTGATGTTTTCCACCACCCAAACCACAGACGTACACCGTCGAATTTAAACGCGACAATACTCCGCTTCGAGCATACGTCGTCGGTCGACTGAAGAGCTCCGACCACCGGTTTATCGCCAATCACGCGGACGAAGAGACATTGAAGGAACTGTCGTCTGGGACCGATGAGAAGATTGGGCGCACGGGGCGGGTCCATAACGACGGGAAGAGGAATCTATTCACACTGAAGAAGGGCACGTTGGGCAAGTTGTAAAAGTGGACGGACGGACGGACGCCGAGTGGTTGTCCAGCAACGTCCCAATAACCATCTTGGAGCAGATTAATAGCCCGGAAGATAAACCGAGTAACTACCTCGTCCCTAAACCTACCGTACACCTACCGAGTACTGCGTCTCGTATGGACTCAATCAAAATAGGGAGGACTGGTGCGTGCAAGCGAGACTCCAAGACTAAGCCACCTTGAGCTGCCGGGACTGTGGCTGTGCCTATAGGAGGAGGGCTTGGCACCGGTGGATCGTCACGGGAAGGCTCCGCGTTTCGCGCCGTCTCCTGCCAAGACTTGCGATCCCCTTTTCACCAATCTCCATTATTGATGTTACAATTCTCCCGTCAACAACAACTTCAAACTGTCGATTTCCAGGCCTCGTAGATGGACCTTTGGCAGGTCTGTTTGCACAGTCATCGTGCTGTGTCGACTTGGCCAACCATGCATGCTTTTCTGGGTGTTGAGAGTGGCGTTAGCTGGCACCCCTCAACCCCAGTCTTGCTGCGATCAAGGGTCTCCCTCGCCGTCTGTGCCGTGTTTCTGGCGCACTTCCAAAACGCCTCATGTTCCGGACCAGGTAAGTCCACCTTTTACCAATCCCAGCGTGTACAGTAGCATCGGCTCTTGCGTCGCTAAATCACATTGCGCCCACTTGGCGGGTGACGACCTGGCAGCGCCCACCTCGTCATAGCCGAGATGCGAAGCTGGGACCCGCCTCTCGTGTGAACTCTTCTCGATCTGTCGCATTTTACCCTTCCCGCGAGGAGCACTTTAACTTCCCGTTCATTGCGCATTTTCCTTGAAAGCATCCATGGCCTCGACGGGCTCTGCCGTAGACTACTCATCCTACAGCGACAAGCAGGTAGCATCGAGCATCGACCACGGCAAAGAAGTCGTCACTCCGACACAGCCGTATCCGGACGCCTATGCATATGCAAACCCCAACAACACCAATAACGACAGTACACACGGCGGGAGTGGAGGAGGGGGTCTCGAAGCAGTTCATCACCTTCTACCGGACGGGCAGGAGAACCCTGCCTGGGTCGAGCGGAAGACGAAACGAAAGATATGTGGTCTTAGTAGCAGGGCCTTCATCATCGCGATCGCCGTGGTGACGGCTTTGCTGGTCGCAGCCATCATTGGAGGAAGCATAGGAGGCGTGCTGGCACATAAAAACAACTCGGGAAGCGACAAGGCCGAGTCAGCGCAGGTGAGATTGGACTGCTTTCACGCTGTATTCGTACCCCTACTGACATTGTGTTCTTGAAGCGCAGCAGCACGTCTCCCGCCACTGCAGTCTCAGCAACAGCAACAGCAACAGCAACAGCAGGAGCAACTACCTCGCCGTCGGCTACTGTTGAGGTCGTTCCTTTCACATTCTCATCGTCATCGTCATCGTCAACGCCATCCTCATCCTCATCCTCTGCTACTGTCGAGACCACAACCGCAACTGGTACCTCCACATCCTCCACCTCTATCTCCACAGCCTCAAGCCAGGAAGGAACCTACAACTGCCCCGCAGACAACAACGAAGAATATGTATCCTCCGTGGACGCCACCGCCACCTGGACGATTCTCTGCAATACAGATTGGCCAGCGGGGGTTGCCGCCTTGAGCGAGGGAACTGTGTACGACCTTGATGCTGTCATTGCGTACAGCGTTCAATCTTGCATCGACCAATGCGTTGAAAACAATCTCTCTGGCGGAGGTTGCCAGGCGGTCGTTTACGGCGCCAATATCACCCTTGCCCTGAGTAGGTCTGGGATTACCGGGAACTGTTTTCTGAAAAATGATCGGGGCGCACAGAACAGCGTGGACAATAGTGGGCAGGTCGAGGCCGCGTATGCGTCCTCGCTGAGTGCCTGAGGTGGGAAAAGAGAGGAATGTCGATCCCAGTCGAGAGTTGGGCAGCGTCCGCCTCGTTCTGCGCCGCCGCAATATCCGGTCAAAGAGGTGACGATCGCTGCTGCTTTCTTGTTTCAAGAAGGCTGCGGATGCCGGCGACACCGACATTGGACCAACGACATCGCAAGAAGATGGTCCTATGACCGGTGCTTGCGATTCCTCGACTATTCTAGAGTCTCAATATCCGAACTTGGCTACGCCCTACCCTGGAGGTGATTATAGGCGGCACCGGCAGATATCAGTATCTTGCCAATCGAGAGGCAGCTTCGCGACCTGATTATGCCGAATGCCTGAAGGCGGGACCTGGCTTCCTCGCTTCAGCTCGTCTGGACTCGAAATGAGATGTCCGACACATGCATGAAGACGTGATAAAAGGGAATGTTTCCCACGGTTGCGAACATGGAATGACTGTCCGACAAGCCAAATCTTTTCGTTACGGGATTCGGACACCCAGTCACATTCCGTAGCACATGCTGGCTACGAAACGACTTCGACACCTGGACCGGGACATCTTTGACGCTTCAAGAGCTCAGATAACAGGTGTTCGCAAGGATAGACGTCTCGAATCGTGGAGGAACTGTTCAAGAGCGTTGCTACGACGTATGCACGGAAACGAAAATGAGAGCTGTATAACTTCAGAGGTCGCCGGTATAGTGCCTCGATTGGCCACGTCCAGCAATGGCTTTGGCGAAACATCTCAACTTGCCACGTGTCTCTACCTGCGGGCTTGATCTTGTTGAAAGCAGCTCAGCGGACTGCTTGCCGTGCCACCGGCCAGGAAATGTTGTTTGACCCAAGCTATTTGATTCATGGGCATCTCTGACGGTCTAGACATGGCGGCGAAGCTAGAACAGCAAGCACCATCTGCCTCAAGTGGCACCACGAAGCTGTATTGTCTGGAGATTGGGCCCCTTTTGATGTTTATAAATATGAGGAACTCGGCAACCTCCTAAAATATATACAAGACCCAAGTCTCCTTGAACAAAATATCGATCATTACCTACAACACAGGCGCAGGACGCGTACACCCTTCTGTCCTCGCAACAGCTGAGTACGCAGCCTCAAGCTTCCCGCTCTCATCCAATTTGCAAAAGTATCATACTCACACTCGTCTCTGGTCACGATGTCGCGATGTCTCTGTAGAGATAGAAATGCGAATGGTCCTAATTGGATGCTAAGTGCATATAACCATGGAGACACATGAAGTGTATGGAATGAAGACAATTTTGGCTTTCCAGACCGGCTCGCTCTTCGTCCAACGACAGCGCACGTTCTCCTCGTACCACCGTGCCAATGTTCTGGACCGTTCAGCCTCGTATTCGGTAAACTTTGCTGCTGCCTTCGACGTTGAACACGACACCCAGCTGGACCGACTTTTGACGCCAGAATGACCGATAAAAGGGAATTAGAACGGGAAGAAAGACATGCCACCGATCGGACGAGTGTGAATCAATGGACCCGCTCAGCGTCGCCACCGCCGCGTCGAGCCTCGTCTTCTGCGTCGTGCGCAGCGGCAAGGCTCTGGCGGGCATCTACGAGAAATACCACGACGCCCAGCGTTGCGTCTTCATGATGCAGACCGAGTGCACCGTGCTGGCCGCCGCGCTATCCCAGCTCCAGATGCACTTCTCGACCGTGTCCCGCTCCGCAGCAGGAGCCATGGACCGGTACCCGGACTTCGTGGTCGAAGCCATCGACCTCGCGCTGGTCGGATGCACGCTAACTCTGTCGGTGCTGAGCAAGGAGATCGAGAACTTGACAACAGCAGACAGTGGCAATAACAATCCTCTTGACAAGGCCGCCAGGCTGGCAAGAGGCAAGAAGATCAAGTACGTCTGGAAGGAAGACACCATGAACGAGCTCCTGGAACAGCTGCGCGGCCAGAGCGCGGCACTGAATCTGCTCCTCCGAGCCCTCGACTCGTCCTCGATCGATCAGATCCTGTCCATCCTGCGGTCGGGCCAGGACACGTTCCACCAGGTCCAGCGGGGGGCGGCGTCCATCCGACAGACGCACCCTCAGGAGCACTATGCGGAGAGCATCCTGGATATGAAGTTTGATGACACGCAGACTCTGTATTCCTTGGACAACTACAAGGCCTTGCAAGACGACGATGATCAGGACGAGATCATCCCATCTCTCGCTACGATGGGCTTGGGTTCAAACCGGAGCACCCCCAACTCGCAACCCGCATCGACGGGTGTCCGAACCCCTGGAGGAGGACCACAGAGACATTATGATGCGAAACATGACCTGTGGTGAGTTTTTATATACGCCATTAGACATTCTCCTCCTCACTCACCCTACCAGGTACACCGTCGATCCGTATACTGGCGAAGCCCGCTATCTCCCGAAACTATCTCCCCGTAATAGTCCAGCCGCCACGGATCCTCCCCAGCCAAAGCCAGCCGTAACCAGAAAGCCAGTGCCAGTGACAATACCGGCAGTGGAGTCACGATCGAAGCAAACCCCGACGATCAAGAATGCTCAGCCCGCACGGGAACCCGCACAACCACGCCCTTCCTCCGCGCCAGAGCAGCCGCTGGACTTTGCGCCGTGGAAGATGAACACGGACGCAAAGTTCCGGACCGCCCTCGAAAACCTGCGCAAGGAGAAGTCTGCGCCGGCCATGGCGGTGGGCATCGTGTCGGCCATGGCGGTGGGCATCGTGTCGGCCATGGCGGTGGGCATCGTGTCGGCCAACGCGCCACCCACCGTTCAGGTCGTCGGGTATCGGCGGCAGGGTAGCGCGACGGCGGTGACACGCGCCGACTGCTTCGTCGTGGCCAACAGCAACGTTTTTACCACCACGGCGCTGGGCGTGTTAGTGGAGAGGGGCCTGTTCCGGTGGGACGAGACGGTCCTAGACCTCTTCCCATCGCTGGCGAGCCGTGTGCACCCGTTCCACCACCAGACCACGTTGGCGATGCTGGGCGCCCACCTCTCCGGGTTTGAGGCCTACATCACCGGCGTCGAGGAGGGCGAGCTGTTCGACTACATCCGCCACGGCGGAGCCAGCGTCGAGCAGCAGCGCCTGGCCGTGGCCATGTCGTACCTGGGCCGGCCGCCGGACAGGACGCCGGGGAGAACGGGCGGGTACTCGTGGAACTGGGCCAACCCGATCCTGATCGCCGCGGCCATGGAGCAGCGCACGGGCACCCGGCTGGAGAATCTGGTCAAGTGGCTCGTCTTCGACCCGCTGGAGATGTACTCGGCAGGGTTTACGGACACGGACAACCACCATTCCCACTCCAATCCCACACAACCCTGCGGCCACTCGGCCGACACGAGGCTGCCGCTCGACCTGGCCCAGCACGTGTTCCACCGCGGCGCCTTCTCCGCGTCGACGGGCATCTCGTGCTCGGCGCCCGACTACGCGGCGTTTGTGGGCATGCACCTGTGCGCGGCGATGGGGCTGCCCACGGCCGTCCTCCTGCGTGGCATCGACGAGGGCACCACTCTTACGACTCCATCTGCGACGACGACGAGGAGCTTCTTCCACACCAGGCTGGTGCCCGAACAGATCTCGACGCCCGGGGGCTGGATCACCGCGACGCGTGACTGGGCCGGTGCCCAGGACGCCGTGTGGCTCGACGGCCGCTGCGACGGCTGGGCCTGCACGACCTGGATCGCCCCCGCCACGGGCAAGGCGTACTTCGCCCTCGTCAACGTCGAGGGAGATCCGGGGGTCAAGATCGCGGACGATGCCGTGAGTTTGGTCATTCGCCATGCAACGCGTTGAGAGATAGAAAACGGTAGAGCCACTCGGGCTCGGAGAACAGCAGGAGGAGGAGGGAAAAGACAGAGAGTGCGAGAAACAGCAAAACAGCAAAAAGGTAGGAGGGAGTATTTGTTCTTAGAATGCCGTTGAATCGAGTTCAATGGAGATTGAGAGAATGTTCAATGCTGTCTGTGTGTGTGTGTGTGTGTGTGTGTGTGGGTAATGAGGTAGATAGGGGGGCGCCTACAGTCATCAACATCATCATCATCAGCATCATGGTAGTGGAAAGGGAGAAGGATAGATATACGAGGCACACACACACACACTCACACACATCAAATGGCCCTTGGTCCAGTTCGACCCGAATCAAATCCTACAGCAGCAGCATGGCGCAACACTGCTTCACAATACAATCAATGTTCAGGAGAGGAGCAAAACGTCCAGTCCAGTCCAGTCTAGTCCAGTCCAGTACCGTAGTCAATTAATTAATTAATTAATTAATTTACCTGGTCTAGTCTCTTCTCGACCGATGTGACGGAACGGACAATGAATGAATGCATGCATGGGCCCATCCAGGACAGGACAGGATTGATATCCTACAGTCGCAGGTGGCAGATAGCAAGCCATGCAGAGCAATGCAGGGCAGGAGGAAGCTTGTCTCGTAACCCCCCTTCCCTCTCTCCCTCTCCAGGCCTGAGCTCGAACTGATAACCTACCTACTGACTGTATTGTGCTGTAGTGTAGGTATCAATCATTACCATTACCTCAACTACAAAGTGGTGGTGTGTATTAAGCCAGCTTGAATCCGTCCGTTCTAGCTCCAATATGGACACAATAATTGTTTCTCTCTCTCTCTCTGTGTGCTCGGACAGGCAAGGCCAACCCCCCAAGTTCGACATCACGTTACATAGCCCCGCCCCGCCCCTCAACATCTCCTTTTTTCTTTTTTTGGGGGCGTTGTCCCTTGCCCGCGTCTTCTTCCAAACCAGAAGGAAAAGGAAAGGGAAAAGGAAGAGACAAGACAATTCGTGCGTGCGGCTTCCTCCCATCACTCGGACCAGCTGCTGCACAATAACCCGGCGCAACCACGCATGTCCAACACCGTTCCTTCATCTTCGTACAAATTCTAGAAGCTGTAATTCTTCTCGAAGGACCGGACCTGCTCCGAACCCCGGTAGAGGTGGATGTGGTCAGCTCTGAGAATGTTGCGAATGTCAGCAGATGACCACCTTCCTGTGAAAACCCTCGTCTTGACGCATGATCTGGTCCATGTTTTGAGGACCTAGTCTCAGCCTTGTCCACCGCAAGGCCCTCCCGGTGCATGGTGGTCCTGTCCAGGACGTTGAACCCGCAGCTGTGGCAGTGCTCGTGTTGGCAGCCGTGCTTGTCCTCCAGCCTGCATCTGGATCTGGCCTTGCAAGCGCGGAGAAGGTCGTGACACGCCCAACCACTGTTGTCGTTTTTGTTGTTGCTGCTCAATCCCCGCTTGAGTCTGTGCTTGAGTAGGGGATGATGCGTGAACCCGAAGCTGGGCGGCCATAGGGAGCATACTGGCAGTAAGCATTGAATTCTCCTTTCTGTTCCGCTCGTCGAATGCTTCGTGCTCTTCAACGTTGCCCGTCCACATGTCCATGATATGCTCGCCTTCTTTGCGGTATCTCTCGCCGTCACGCACGCTGGATCGCCTGGCGATGACTGTCGTCCATTCCCGCACAATCCGCCGCTGCCTCAACATCGCGGCGATGTGATGCTTCCGGTGGAGCTCCTTCTGAAACTGGGACGAAGCCTGTGGGGGAGCAGGATCGTAATGTCGCACCCGGGACACCAAATATCGCAGCTGGTGGTCTAGGATGGTCCCCGTCGAGTCCTGGTAATCAAAGTGGATGGCGGGTTCTTGTTGCCTCCACTTCTCCAGCTGCTGGATGAACGTCAGCTTGATCATCGTCCTTGCTTCGTGAATGACTTGCTGCCACGTCAACAAGTGCATTCCAGGCTGTCGACCGACGCAGCGCTGGTAGAAGCGGTCCATCCGTCTCAACTCCTTCTCGACAACCTTTTGATGGAAGTCGCAGGCGATTCGAAACAGTTGGTCGCTGCGAACTAGTTCCTCCAGCTCATCGGGGGTGAGCTCAGAGAGAGCGTCGCGCACGTTGGGGGAAGACGAAAGCTGCGGCATGAACGAAGCCCGCAATAGCCCGTGCTGTTGATGATCCGAGGAATCACAGCGTCCGCGTTCCTCAGGATAGGTACGTATCTGGCCCCTGTACATCACTCCCGCGATATTGCCGGAAGTTACCTCTAACCTCGCCGAGGTGCGGTTTTCCTGTCTCAACATTTCCTGAAAGATCGGTACGGCGGACGCTGGAAGTATGGGCACTGGACAGACACACATCAGCGACGCCCCTGTTGTCCGAAGCGGTGGACTGGAGAACATACATGACAGCTTCACGCTCCGTCCACATTCATGACGCAGCGCGTCGCGTTCAATATTCGCCGTGACAAATTGTGTCCAGTCAAACTGCGCAGAGGCACCCGGCCAATGTTCGACCTCATACATCGCGTAGAGCTTGCTGACTGCGAACTGTGATTCCTTCTGCTGACCTCCCGGCTGGCATTCACTGAAGAAGCAACGACGTCTGCCTAAGCGCGCTTCCACCACCCTAATCAGCCTCTTCAGACGCGTGCGTGGGTATTTCCGCATGGCGGCTTCTGCAGACATGCCCAGGGGGAGCCGAGGAAGCGGTGCTCTGATGACGAAGTCCGTGTAGGCGAATCTCTGAGGGGGGTTGAGACGAAAGATGTCCTTCGGGGAGGCTGACATTGTGAAGACACGTTCGTTGAGGCGGGTGACCGTACTTTCTCCAGCAGGTGGTGGCTGAATGTGATCTTTGTGGATGAAAGACAGAGGGCGACAACTCGCGGGAAATCCGATCACGCAAACGCGGTGAGGCAGCGCCCGGAGCCGTCTTCACGACGTGGAAGGCCCTGGGTCGAGTTTCACTTGGCTCAGTGAAGCACTCCGTTCCCAACTCTTCATAGGTCAGACATGTGAAAACGACATCCGCGGTCGAGGCTGTATGTCTAGGCAATAGACACGAGTCTCCAGTTCGCTCCACCTTTCCCAATGCCTGTTCATGCCAGACTCCGCCAATTCCTGGGGCTTAGGTCGGTGCGTCGTGATTTCTGTGCAGCTTGCAAGAGCGAATCCATACTCTAGGAACGGGACCTGGCGCCGAAGATGAAGTTCTCCCAGTTTGATTTCAGTTTGTGGGCCCCTTCTCGTAAATCCCACCCTTTCACCTCGCAGACCTTGTGTAGGATCTCGAGAAGAAGCCTGTCCATGGTTTCCCCAGCACAGTGGAGGTCGCTCTCGATCAGAATCCTGTCTTCGGGCACCGCTTGGATGACGCTGGTGACCTTCGCTGTCGACACATTGGAGAAATTGATGGCCGTCGAGAAGGAGAAGTAGATTTCTGCCGGCACTGTAGGGGCGAGAAATTGCTTCAATGCATCTGGAGGCCCGGAATAGGAGTGCATGCATATCCGTGGCGGGAAAGGAAGTCTCCTGTCTTGACCACGAGTATCTGCATTTCCCTCGCCCTGATGGGCCTTTGGGGCGCTCAAGGCCCTCTTTCTCTCTCTCTTCGATGGTCTCTCATGGCCCTTCCACAGCCCCTGCAGGAGGTCAAAGACTAACCCATGAGCCTGGACACTGTGCACAGAGACCGGCCGCTGTAGCTTTGCAGCAAGCTCGAACTGGGCCTTTAAGACGACTTTTTGGTGCTCAATGTTGACGCGATACGGCGAGAGAGGTCTCCCTTCGCGGGAGCCCGGCGTGTAATCTTCATCTGAACCGCCAGTCTTGTTCTTCATGTCGCCGGTCATGGCACTGGGGCCATGTGGCAGCCGAAATGAGCGATCCAGACCGACCTCCCCCACCAATGAATAGGGGAACTCCTCCAGTCTCTCCTCCGACTCCTTAAGAAACTCTCGTAACGATCGAGGAGCAGGGAGGGACTTAAGAAACTCCTCGTCATCGGGTTCTGGAATCAAGACTGCCTTGTAGTGATCAACTTGATCAGGGTGAATATCCTCCTCTTTCAGGTCATCATACAGTTGGTGAGAAAACCAAGGATGCCATCCGAAGGCAGGGACCACGTATTGCGAAGTCTCTCCTCCAGAATTAGAAGTCGACTCCTTCAGAGGGTATTTCCTCGCCGTGTCCCGGACCATCTCTTGGTCTTGTGATCTCGTGGCCATGACGGTGAGGACTCTCGCTTTCATGCTGGGGATGTCCCTGACCGAGGCCATGATGTCAGTCGGATGGCAGTGAGCGTCGAAGACGCCGATTTGCCAGATGGCATCGTCCGCATCCTCGGTGTTTGTCATGTCCAGGAGCACGACGATGTACTAACTGAGGTATCAGCGAGAAGAGAGAGCTTGTGGAATTAAGATAGAGAAAAGTCGAACATCTTCAACGATGGAGTGTAATGAGCACCACCCCCAGGATATTCAAATGACATCATCTTCGAAGTCATTCGAAACAATGTTGAAAAATGGAGCCATTGAGGGTCGCCAACCTGCTTTCATAGCTCGATCAGCGAGAAACACCGGTGGGAAGATCTAATCCGTTCGTAAGTCTATGTTTATTTCATAGAAAGTCCTATATTGACAAGTGTGATACAACACTCGTCTGCTATGCGACAAAAGAGGGGCCCATCATTATATGTACCAACCAACATTAGAGAGACAAGACCAGCTCTGACTCCTTATATTACACATTCCTCACCAGAGGCGTCAAGCCTCTTGAATGAGCGATCACCCACTATCCATGTCCCAGTAGGATATAGAGGTATCCTGACTGTCATAACCAGAGTCGGTGCTGGTCTCACTGTACCGGCGTGGGATCTTGGTTTGGCTATTTTGCATACCCATCACGTCAGCCGCGAATCTGTGATCGTGTGGTAGAACGCGAACCTCTTCTCTTCCAGCCGTTGCTGGGTTCTCAATAGCTGGCAGACGCCGGAGAAGATGCTTCCTTGCCGCCTGCGTCAACAGGTGCGTGTTTTCGATCCCAATAGTCTTTGAATGGAAAAAGGCCAATGCCGCCTCTTGATTGTCCCGAGGGCTGTGATCTTCGCGATCGAGGATCTGCAAGGCTTCCGCGCAATGCAAACAATTCACAATATCAGTTCTAGCAGATGGCGGAGTGGACGAGTCGATGAAATAAGGAGGCCGAGTTTCAGCTTCGGGGTGCGTGGCAGGGGTGGACAAAACCTGCATGGCATCGGACGCTCGCTTGAAATAGTCCGTGCGAGCAGTCTTGCTTAGGACCGAGCTTGCAGCCAACGCTCGCGTTTCGGCGGCGGATCCGGGTGGCGCGATCTTGAGCGCCGCCCCCAAGTGCTCTTGGACACGGTCGGAGGCCTCGGAGGAGTGTAGAGACAGCTCCAAAGCCTCTGTCAATGACAGCATTGAGCGCCAGGCGGCAACAGCATCAAGCGGTGATCTGACTGCATGATCTTCTACCACCACGTCCAGTAGAGGATTGGGAGAATCTTCCTGCGTGGGTCGGTCATACATCAAATTGTACGCCCTCTGACAAACCGTGTCCAGGAAGACGTGATCGCACGGCATCTCAAGCATGTGCGCAAGATACGGAGGGAGAGGATCCGGATGATGCAGGGGTAAATTATTGTGTGAGTCTTTGGCGCGACCCCATTGCCTGTTGGCAAAAAACTTCCCGACGCGGTTAGCGATCCTGGATACTCCAGTTCCGAGTGAGCCCACATTCCACAGGAGCACTCGACAATGGAGTGTTTTCAGCATCAACCGCAAAGGTGACCGGGGTAAAGTCCCTGCGCCAAAGATGGTCAGGAGCAGTCGGCTTCGGCTCACTTCGGCATCACCACCGGCCAATTGTGCGTCGATTGCAATGTCCCAAGCCTTGATCCGGGCCACGTCGTCGTCAGCGGTGCGACCGGTCAGCCAAGCGTATGCCCGTGCCCCAAAGAGGTAACCAAAGGTATATTTGAGCCATTCACAAGTGATTGCAATCCACTCAGGGAAGAAGTGGTGATGCGGCAGGTGCAGCTCCTGCATGCTAGTGCTCCAGGCGCGGCGTCGAACTTGAATGGGTGAGGCTGGAGCTGGCACCTGTCTCGAGGGCGTGCCCAACTCCTCGACATCGGGCTTTGGCGGGGGTTTTGAGTTGAACAAGTATGAAAAGATGAGGAAAGCCAGGAATGTCAGAGCAATGAATCCCTTGATCAAGGGTACGATGCCGCCGGCCTGACAGAACTGGCTGAAAGTGGCCAAGTAGATTCGAGGTGACCGTAGAAATTTCCAGCCGTCCAGTAGCTCGAGAGGAATTCCAAATAGGCCTTTCTCGCGCGAGTTGGAGCCCATATCAGACTCACTAAGGCCATCTACCACCATGAGAGTGGCGATAGAACCGAGAACGATCCTCGTCGGCCATTTGCCCTTGAATTTGGAGCGTTCCGACGGAGTTTCATAGATGTGGCCGTAGTGTTCTTGCGGTTGGTTTTGTCGGAGACGTCTCCAACTCTCTGGTTGCGGGATCAGTCCCTGGGGCGGATTGGCGGTCGTGTTTATCGATTCGGATGAAGGGGAACGAGGGTTTGAGTCGGGTGAAGATTCTTCTATGACCACGTTGCTGGTGAATGCGGCAGCTCTTTGAGCATCGTGACCGCCTTGAGCAATGACCTTGTCCAGGGTTTCGAGCCGTTCTTTCAAAGACTTGTTCTCTTCCTCGAGGCGTTTTGTCCGGAACTCGAGATGGCGAATATACTCCACGGCCTTTGTCAAGATCGAGGCTTTGTTGAGCTTGTTGCTTGGAGTCAGGCCATCCAGATCGTCCTCGTCGGAATCCCCGTTGACCGATTCGCGAACCTTTGTTTTCTGTGCGAAACGAAGGCTGGGCACGCTGTCCCTCAACTCGGCGATCTTCTCATTGAGGTTGGCCCGATATCTCTTCTCAATGATATTGTGCGGCCGTTTTTTGGCGGCAGGAGTAGGTGCGTCATGCCGATAGTCCGTTGTTGGTATATCGGTGGGAGACAGTTTCCGCTTGAGCATAGGCCGCAGGCTGGGGGTCGGCTGCTCCCTCACAGTATCTCCGCTGAGTCGCATCTCGAGACTCGAGCGTGATTCTGGAGATGCCGAACTGTGCCGGGGTGTCAACAGATCTTGGGTAGGAGGGGCGGTGAGGAGATCGGTCTTGAGTTGGGCAGGGAGGCAATCCCCATTCGCGGTCGACGATGGGGATATTGGGAGCGTATGTAGTTTTTGAGCCTCTTCGGAAGCTCGTGGGAAGGTATTTGCAGACCCATTCCAATCCAGCCACTTGTCGAACTCGCGGCCTGCAGATTCCAGATCGAGTGGCGCGGTCATGGCTGGCTGCGGAGGAGTGATCATGGCGCGTGGTTGAGTGGAATCTGCATTGGACTTGGAGAGAAGAATGTCACCATATGGAGGAGCACCTTATTATAATATAAGATCACTCACCACGTCCACTGGTGCTGGGGATATTTCGTGGAGGCGATATTTGGAAAAGGACGGTGGACGAGCACAGGCCTTGTCCTGTAGATTGAGGTCCCTGGCTAGCCAGTTCGAGAAGGGGGAACAATCTGCACGGCTGCAGCTTCCGCTAGGCAAGCATGGCACGCATGGGTGATGGAGGAGAAGCAGTTGGTTCGCTTGTTTGGTGGCTTTCCAGACTGCGCCCAGGGAGCGCAGTGGCCATTGGTGGGAAAAGACGAAGCCTACTCGGCTGCTCACACTTCCGCCGTGCTGCGCCACGAAAATACGATTCAGTTATCAACGCTGGTTCGAGAGGGGTACATCTTATCTCTGCTCTTGCGCAGCGAAAATGCCGTCGACAGCATGTACCCTCGTATGCTATCCCTCTCTGCTGGCCCGGAGCACACGTTGAAAAGTGGCTGATGACTGAACATCTTACCGGGATATCAGCGAAGCGACGAAATTCCCACTGTTGTCGGCCTCAAAGCGAGGGGCCCAATTATTCTTGTAGGCACCGTGGACGTTCATCTCCAATGCCCGTGAAAGATTGGGCGCGTGGACCTTGTGTCTATGGCAAGAGACAGAGACAGGGACAGAGACACTCTTCCATTACTATTGAACGCCACATAATGCGTGATCAAACTCTGTGGGCGTCTTCCATCTATTGATTTGTATATAATAGCCCCCTCTTGTTTGTTTAACTGGCTCCTTATAGTGAATCCGTACCTGACAGATAATCCGAGCATGGCTCGGAAGAAGATACGGGTCGGGGAGGTGTTGCTATACATATCTCGTTCGTGCGAACGGGCATAAGGAGGATTGCATGTGCATTGTGAGGGGTTTCGTCTGGGGATCTCCGTCAGAGTCTTCATTGTACTACCAAGCTCGTTAGGGTACTTCCCAGATACCTCGTATGGTGTCCGTGGAGGAAACGTCCTCATCGACGATCTTGCCGAAGCGAGAACGGATCAGTCGGAGAGAAGAGGTTATTGATCGTCCTGTCAGGTGGTCTTTGGATTCGTCTCGAACTGTGACTGCAAGCACCGTCACCCGGACCGACGAGATGATTTGTGGATGAAAATTTTGGTCCAGTGGATAGGTTCATGGGCCGGTCGCCTGTTGAAACAGCCCAAATGCGGAGGGGCAGAAAATGTAGTATTTCGGTTACGAGTGTGCATTGCACTATACTCTCGGCAAGCCTTGATTGTTGTTCGTGTCCTTGGAATGGACAGGTGTGTACCTCGTAATTACTCCATAGTAATGCTCAAATGCTCCGGAGAATGGTTCCAGGGAGGGCCCGTTCTGAGCGGGTCTGACGATGGGGCTTTTCCCTTGACACAATTATTGAAGCAAAGAGTGGTACATTATTGTATGCAAGTCTTCGGTAAGGTTGACATCAGTGACCGCCTGTCTGACACAACGTGCCCACCAACAGTAGCCTCACTCGACTCGCTGGATGCCACCAGCACACCATGTCCTCCGTATACCAATCCCGCGGGACAACTCGAGTGCTCGCTTCTGTGACCTCCCCGCAAATGCCCTCTATGACGATAACTATCTTCTGCGCTTACCTGGATCGATACAAATAATGTTATCACCGTTCTGTGCCCCGCACCTGTTGCACGAGTCTGGACGACTCCCTCCATTGGCCCTGCATCATCGCTTCCCGGGAGCCGTCGAAGAGAAACTCGGTATTCGGCATTTCTGGTTCAAGCGGGGACAATGCCACAAAAGGACGGGTGGAGGGAGGGTACTTTCTCTCCTTTTTCTGCGGGCACCTTGGTTGAGTCTCGTATTGAACTACTCGATGCCTACTGTAGGTACCCAGCCATGGGATCTGGAGGATCCATGGCTCGGCAATTTTAAAAGGGGAGATGGGGACGGGTCATAGATGTTGGTCGAAGTTTGCATGGCTTGCCACGTTGCTCACCTTTGCACCGGCGCAGCAATTATGCACACCCTTGGCTGGGCACACGGCTCGAATTCATTCATTTATTAGCATTTGTCAGACAGGCCAAATGCTCGGATCACACGGAAAGACACCGCCGCAATGTGGGCGAAATGTCTACCATGTAATTTGCTGTCAGACGAGGAATTTCCCGCCGTTTTCACTTTTTTCAGCCTCGGCCGCCATGACATCACGACGAGAAGTGAATGGAATTGACTTCTTTTCCCTGCGTCTGTTCAAACATTCATGATACTCTACCGTCCTTCACGTTCTCTAAACTTTGTCCTGCGTGCGTGTTTGAAATGGCAGAGACCAGCGACACCGCCTTTGATCAACAGCTGCAATCTTCGGGGGTCATTTATGTTTGTCTCGGCGCTCAAGGCCTTTCTCGGAGGCGGCTCCATTGTGTTTATCTCCGCCCTGGCCCCCCTGTTCACCTTCGCCATCTGCCCCATGGCCAGTCGTCTTGTTGGTCAGCCAGGACGGGTGGCGTGGCGCTGGCGTTCTCACTTCAACGCTTACCGTCATCGGCCCTGTCGAGGAATCCCTTTCGGTGTATCCACTGTATCGCCCTCGGCCAATCCTCAGCGAAGTCTCTTTCCATGTTCCTTCAGGCTTCAGTCTACACGGCCCTGCATCGATCATTGGAACCCGTCTCCCTTCGATAACCTTCCTCAAATCCTGGTGATATACCTCGTATTAGCATTTTCATAAGCCCGAAGATCTTTTCGGTCTCGGTTACATAACGACACCTCAAGAGCTGGGAGACAAGAGGTTGGTGACCGGGGTTTCCTATACCTTGCTTTGTGTCCCTGGTACTCATTCTACTCGCGCCTCCCAAGGCACCAGTGGTATTCTTTATCAAGCCTCGAAAACCCTCCCGGCACCGAGATCAGCGTGCGCTTCTCTGTTGGCAATCCCGGGACGTCTTGTTGATCATTTCTCACGCAATTTTCCAGACGCTGCAGATCAGACGGCCCCTCCCCCCAACACAGTCGCAGGCGCAATAGCACCGCCATCCCTGCCAGTGCCTGCCCACCCAGCCAAACCCGTGACCCTGAGTCTGACTCTCATTTGTACTACTTCTGGTAAACGACGAGCGACAAGAGGCCGACAGGAACAACTCTGAGACGGGACCCATATTTGGCAGACTCGCTGCCTGATCCTCCACCTCCCGTGCGTGTACAACACACCAACCTTGGACGCTTCTGCGCCGAATACCTATCCGCTTTTCCATCTCTTCCTCCTTTGCGAACTCTCCGCTGTAACCGACATAAATCAACATAACAGTGCCCCTCTCCCGGGCTCACAGCAACAAACAATTCGACGTCACGCGCAGTCCACCTAGAGGATTGACCAGTTGGGACACCAGCAGCCCTCGCGGGCCTTTGTCTCTCTCTACATATTGGCCCCTGTGGTCCGAGTTCCGAACTTTTGCGACCAGTGCCCACCACCCACTTCTACGGGATACTGGACTCTTCATAAAGAGTCGCCTGCTTCTGAACGAGACAGCTGCCGCATGCACACAACAGCCGGCGATTTACGAGAGACGTCGCAGAGAACCCCAGAAACACGGCCTGCGACGTTTCGCTTTACCCACCTATTTTCCTCTTTTTGATTCAATGGGGTACATGATGAACCGCGATACATACTCTGGGCGTTACACGCCAACCTCACCGTTGTCTCCACGACTCCATGCCAGCCAGCAACCACTCTCGCCTCAGTCGACCCGAAGCCGGCCAACACCACATGGGCGACAAGCCTCCAGGAACATGCACATGACGCTTCCTCGATTCCACCCTGCCAATTTTGGCCATCTCGACTCACCAGCCACCCCGTCTTCCACGGTGCAGAGTCCAGCCATCACCTTGAATCGGGTAACGCAGCCCGTCGTGCTCGAGTCCCCGAGGTTGATGCGTGACAAGCAACGCGAATTCATTGAAAGGACCACGCTGTCGGCCAAGATTGCAGCCTCTTCGATGGGGGTTAAACCTGGTGCGCCACGCTTGGATCCCTTGGGCAGCCCCAAGGGTCCTGTCACGCCCCTGGCTCTGGAGGAAGGCGACGACTACTTCCAAGTCGCTGGAGCAGGCAAAGTATCCCCGGCCGGAAGCCCAGGTCCGGGAAGAAGTCCACGCAGTGATGTCTCATCAGACAAGGAGGAGTCGAAGAACAAGAAAATCAGACAAGCCGACGTCTATCAATAACGGCGGGCAAAACTGTTTGGGTCAGGCAGAATGGTCGTTCACAGGTCGAGACATGGTCCGTCTGCCGGTTACTTTTCTCCGGTTTTCCTTTGTTATTAGCATATTGAAACTCGACGAGATTGGCCCTGCGTCAAGGCACCATCTGGGCTACAGATTGCATCTGGCATTGGCGTTGGGAAGTCTGCAGATTCGACCGCCAAAGTTGCCTGGAGCAATGTTGGTGTTTCCATTAGGGGCTGACTGGGCTTTTTCTCTGCATAGCGAGTGCGCAGGTCACTTCTGGGCATTCTTAACGACGGTTATGAAAAAGGAAGCTTATCTATATATATATGCCACGACCACTGGGTACTAGACAGACCACACAAGCAAGAAGAGAACATTGATAAAGCAAATCCACTACCGGACGGAAGATAGGTCAGTATGACTGTGTCCGCCATTCCATTCGTGGCATATTCCCTATGGCTGGGAAATGTAGGAAGTCAGACTCGTCAAGAGACAAAAGCGGCGGTGCATGGTGTGAGATGCTGCGGCGGTTGTTTCACCAGCAGCCGCAAAAATGTCATTCATTTCACAACCATCACACAACCACAATTCACTCCTTTGACCTCCATTATCCTTTTCACTCTTTTCTTCTTAACTTGCAGACCTGTCCCCTGACCCCGTCCGTGCCGCCGCCCCTTTCAGGCCGCCTGCTCCACGAACATGCTCCATCAGGCCACGCAGCAGTCCTCAAGGTGACACCGTTGAAATCTCGTCCGTTGCGAGGACATGGCATACTTCGACATGCGACAGCCACGCGGCAGTAGGCGGACCACTGCTCTCAGCATCCTCCTGGGCGTCGTCTTCGTCTACTTCCTTTACAGCATCCGTAACACCTCGATCGACCAGTCCGAACTCCGCTTACGAGTCCAAACGTCCGCCGCCGAAAACCCTCTGTCTCCCCCGACCTCAGCCTTTCGCAAGCAACCCCACGCTCAAAATGCCCATGGCGTCCGTCGTCCGCCTCCCGTCGTCCACTATCAACTCAACAACCTGACCGCCTCGGCGTTGCCCATCGAAAAGCACGAGAAAGTTCTCATTCTCACCCCCCTCGCCCGGTTCTACCCCGAATACTGGGCCAATCTTCTGGCCCTGAGCTACCCTCACGAGCACATCAGCCTGGGTTTCATCACTCCCAAGTCGAAGGAAGGCAATGCGGCAACCGCCGCTCTACAAGAAGCAATCAGGGAGACGCAAGCAGGTCCGGAAGAGAAGCGATTTCAATCGGTGACCATTTTGCGGCAAGATTTCGAGCCTCCGTTGGCTTCACAAGATGAAAAGGAGCGGCACAAGATGGAAAATCAAAAGGTCCGGCGCGCAGCCATGGCCCGGGCACGGAACAGCCTGCTCTTTACCACCATCGGTCCGCACACGTCTTGGGTGTTGTGGTTGGATGGCGACGTGGTCGAAACTCCCCCTACGCTGATACAGGATCTGGCGAGTCACGATAAAGCCGTCATCGCCCCGAGCTGCATGCAGCGATTCGTCAACGACGATGGGGAGGAAGATATCCGGCCTTACGACTTCAATACCTGGCGCGACAGTGACGTCGCCCAGGAGCTCGCCAGCAAGATGGGCCCGGACGACATTCTTCTCGAAGGATATGCGGAGATGGCCACGTACAGAACGCTCATGACCAAGCTGGCCAAGCTGGGTAGCGGTCGCGACGAACGGCGCCTGATGCCGTTGGACGGTGTGGGTGGTACGGCTCTGTTGGTGAAGGCCGAGGTGCACCGAGACGGGGCCATGTTTCCTGCTTTTCCCTTCTATCATCTCATCGAGACGGAGGGCTTTGCTAAGATGGCGAAGCGGCTTGGGTTCGAAGTTTGGGGTCTTCCTGATTACTTTGTAAGTCTTTGGAGGTCTTTTTCTTGAGTTCTTGTCCACCTGCTAACTCGGGGTCTCGACAGGTGTACCATTATAATGAATAGTTACGCCCGTGATGAAACCCCAACAACACCAGAGGTCGACTTGAAAAAGCGAAGTGCCTTAAAATACCTCCTTGCAGTCCGATACCAGGTCGACTAATGACGAGATGCAAATGTCTCTTCACCACCTCTCTGCATAAACCTGGGACGCTCGATTGGCTCGTTTACGATGTCGTCTCTCTGTCCCGCAAGAAGACTCGACCCCAACACACCTGTTCACATTGGACAAGATATATCCCGGTGGGGTGACAGGGCGACGCCGTCCACCTTTTTAGACCAGAGAGCCACTCTGTACCATTATCTAAAGAGACAAACAATCCGTGCTTGCCTACGAGGAGGAGTATGTGACTTGACCTTAGCGCGGAGAACAGAATATTATCTTCCCAGCAAGAAATTCCTTCTGCGCAGCCAGCTAGAAGATGCGGTAGATACATGCAATGAAGAGAAACAAAAGCGACGATTCGGGAGAAATGGCAAAGCAAAAGCAAAAGCAATATGATGCTGGAAATGAGGTTTTCTGTTTTCATTCTCATTCTCTCTCTCTCTCTCTCTCTCTCTCTCTCTCACACACACACACACACACACACACACACAATACTCGAGATTCTGTGTCCTCTTCCTCTTCCTCTTCCCAGACATACACAGAGAAGAGACACAAAAGCGCGTTCGCGAGAGATAGCTCAGAGAAAACACAAGCACTATGAGGTTCTGAATGAGAGTTTCTCTTTTTTCTCTCTCTCTCTCTCTCTCTCTCTCTCTCTCTCTCTCTCTCACACACACACACACACACACACACACAATACTCGAGATTCTGTGTCCTCTTCCTCTTCCTCTTCCCCTTTCCAAATGTATCATGTAGCATGTCATGTCGTTAGTGCCGCCGTCGTTTCGAACATATGGCCCGTACTGCAGAACAGAACAGAACAGAACAAGAGACAAGAGATGATCGATTCACCTACCACAACCAGCCATTGGAGGAAACTACAGGACCTTTTCAGAAAGGGATATATATATGTGTATATATCTACGAGGTACTGACTGCATTGGAATCCACATCCACGTTCCACATCGAAACTGGATTATTTATTTCTCATGAATGATTGTTGTGTTTTGGTTTTGGTTTTGATTTTTGTCCTTTTTCCATTCTAAAATTGGGTGTCCCGTCTGTCCACCAGCGCCGGCGGCCAACAGTAGCAGTCCCAGCAGACGCCAAATGAATGACTCTGTTGTTATTAGATTAGATTGTCCTTGCTTGGTTGGTCAAGTCTCCACCATCGCCCGCCCCGGGGAAGGAAGCAACATGGCCTTGTCCGTATACCCTTCTTCTACATTCCACGTCAAAGGCTCGCGAGGGACAGGACCAAGGACTCAAGGTCAAGGAGACCAGACCGGTCGATACATCTAGATAGATATCTCTCCCCTCTTCAAGAGGGCTACGTGTTGTCATGATTATTATTTCGCCCACCCGCCCAACTTGTCGCGCTTGACCTTCTTGGCCTGCTTCAGACTATATCTCGCACGCTTGGTCATCATCAACTTATCACCGCCACCACCACCGCTGCTCGTCGTCGAGTTCTGCGGCATGCTGGTGGTGGTGTTGTAGATGGCGTCGGGCGGGGTGACGGAGAACTGGATGGTGGCGTTGCCCTCGCGGTACGTCGTGGCCGGGGCGCCCGCGGTGCGGTAGCCGGGGGTGACGGCGGTCTTGCCCGTGGCGACGTCCTTGCCCGCGATGGTGCGGGCCACCATCTCCAGCGACACCAGCGGCTGGAAGAACGGCACCTCGTGGCCGGACTGGAAGATGCGCACGAAGGCGAAGGCGCCGCTCTGGCGCACCTGGCCGTGCACCACGCCGTCGGGCGTCGAGATGTTGACGAAGCCCGCGCTGCCGTAGCCGGGCGCCGCGACGTGCTCCGCCACCACCTGCCCGCCCAGCCAGTTGCAGTTGTAGTCGGCGTCGCCGAAGTACATGGTCACCGACACGTTCTGGGTGAGGAGCCGCTGCAGGGCCTCGACGGTGCCGATCTCGCGGTCGTCGTCGCCCGTGCTGCCGAACGCGTTGCCCACCGCCGCGTTGCTCTCCGTGTAGTTGACGTAGGCGCCGATGGCGGCCTGCACGCGCGCCGTGTTGAGGTAGTCGACGTAGAAGGTGGGCGGGAACGGGTTGGGCATGATGTAGCGCACGTCGTACTCGTCGCGGTTCAGGTACACGTCGTACAGGTTCTCGACGTTCTCGGCGCAGAAGTCGTCCGCCGCCGTGCAGATCTCGTTGACACCCCGCGCGTAGCAGTCCACCGTCTGGTCGTAGCAGTTGCCCGGCCCGTACAGGTTGTTGTACATTTGGTCTGATCGCCGGCCCACCCCTCGTCAGTCACAAAGCGGCGGAATTGGTTACAAGAAGACGATATGAGAGAGACGGAGAGAGAGGGAAGGGAACAAAATGGAAAAAGATGTTGCAAGGGAGGACAAGGAAAGAAACAACGCACTCTTGATGCTCTGGTTAAAGGGATCATAGTTGTATGTGTTGCCCGGGAACACGGTGAAGTTGTAGTAGGCCTGGTATTGGATCAACGGATCGTACCAGCCGTTGCCGATCAGCAGGTGCTCCAGCTGGATGTTGTGTGCGCCGGTGATGTTCTTTGCGTTCTGCTCTTCAAAGTACTCCGACATGAGAGGCCCGTAGTGTCCGCCTGGAGGGAGCACCGCGCACACAAGGGTCAGTCAAATCAGGCGGCGATTGGAAGGAAGGGGGGGGTCCAGCACACGTACCATACGACTCGGTCGCAAAGTTGATCTGCTGTCTCGCATACTGCGGGAACGCGCCCATGAATCCCTGGAGTGTCTTCCACATGTTCGGCGCGGTGGCGGGCGTGCTGTTCGCGGTCAGGGACTCGTTCCAGTACGAGTAGGTCCCGCAGCCCCAGTCACTGGCGTATTCGGGACAGGTGTTGTTGGGCAGCTGGACGAGGAAGCCCGAGTTGGGGTCCTCGTAGCCGGGCACGGGCGACGAGTAGCTGAAGCCGACCTGGGTGGGCTGGTCGATGAAGATGACGTTGGAGACGTTGGTCCACGAGTAGGGGTTGTTCACAGCCTCGCCGTCCTCGTTGACCCGGCACGGTCCCAGCTCTTGAAAGAGCCCGATCATCGACGACGACCCGGGCCCGCCGTTAATCCAGATGGTCAGCGGCGCCGTCGTGGGGTCCACGTTGCGCGCCTCGAAGAACCACCAGAAGATGTGCTGTCCAGGCGACACGTCGGCGTAGCCGGCATAGCTCTTCACGTCGGGGTCCTGCTCGCAGATGCCCGCCGGCACCGACTTGTATCGCACCGTCACACCTGCGTAACCGGCCTTGCTGGTCAAGTTCTTGGGCGCGGCCACGAATTGGGAGAAGGCGAGCTGCGTGCTGGAGGCCAGCAGCAGCAGCGCCGTCGAAAGTAGGGAGACCATTTTGGAAAACTGCGCACGCTTAGAAGAGAGGGAGAGAGAAAGAAACGATGAGCATGAGATGGAGACGAAAGCAGCAGATGGAGGGTGGCACTGAAGAGGGCCTCGTCCCGCGTGCGTCCCTCCCGGTAGAGGTAGGTGATCGAAGCCTTTTGTACCACGCAGGGATCACGACACAGCAGCATCCGTCATGCACCGCACCGCACTGCACTTAACCTACCTTTGCCCCTTCTCATCATCGTCTCTCAACCAAGCCCGAGGCATAAAGTGACGAGGGAGCGCAAGCAAAGTTGCAGCAGCAGAAGCATGACGATCCTGCCCCCCACCCATGAGCTCGGGATTGACCGAAGAAAGCATGGTAAAGATGTCTCTTCATTGCATGGATAAGAGCCACTGGAGGTCAGGGACCAGGGGCAAAGAGGCAATGACGAAGAGTCCTGCGGCTTTGTTCGAATGATGGAGTGATGGAGCCATGCTAGCCAGCTAGGGAATGCTAGGTGACTAGCAAGGTCGCAGAGGCAAGCAAGAGAGGAGCCATGGTATGGGTATAGGTACTGTAGGGAGCTGCCTGATCCGGCATGTCGTTCGCGTAGCCCTGCAACTCTCCAAGCTTTTTTGTTCGTGTGCTCAGACCACGCAAAAAGCTTGCTTTTGCCTCTTCCCAGACTGGTTTGGTGGCGAAGATAAGCACCGACAGAGAGAGGGGTGGCTCTTTATCAGCAGGCGAACGGCTCCATTCTCCCACAGCTATCGTCGTGGGGAAAGGTAGCATTGGGGTTGCTTTGCCCTGGTCGAGGTCTAGGCGAACAACAAAACAGGTACTGCTACCACTCGTATTGGCATCCCGGATACGCACGGCAAGCTGGGATGTGCTTGATAGCTGGATATCCACTCCAGGGAGCGAGGGGAGTGATTGGTGCGATTGGTGGGTGTTGAGGTATGATAGACTCGCAAACTAGGGAGGATTCCGCTCGTTGGTGCAGATCCCGCCTTCGTTTATCGTATACCCTTTAGGGGCTTGGGGGCCGTCGGCAGGCAGACAGGCGTTATTCCGTGTCGGCTTCATATAAGAAGATGGGCAGAGGGGAAGGACAGGAAATATACCAGCCATCTATCACTGATGATATGTGTGATATGTAGAGGTGTGGGTGCCTATATCACATGGTGGAAGCGTGCCTCAGGTGCTGGGAAGTGTCACGACGGAGAAGACTGCGTGTGAGAAAATAAATAACTCCATTCTATTATCAAGCTCAAGATTCATCTCGTTTCGCGACCATGAAATCAGAACTGCTGCAATGTCAATGTCCTCAAAATCCCACCACATCGTCCATGACTTCCTTCCCACCCTCGCCCGTAGACACCCATATCTCTGGTGCTCACCGAACTATTGCTCTTCGCCTCACTTGATCAAAATCGAAATCTCCTCATAGATCGTCTCCTTCTCCTCCACAGGGTCGTATTCTTCCGCACTGAAATCGCGGATCCAGATGGTGCGTTTCACCCCCGTTCCCCCGGCAGCGTCAAAGTCATCGTCAACCTCGTACGTAACCTTCACAAGTCCCTGGGCGCGACGCTCGTTGTCGCTCGGCTCCTTCTTGTTGACCGGCCTGGGTGGCGCGGCCTGCACCTTCGGCGTCTTGGTGTCGTCGGCCTTTGGCTGCGGACGCTTGACGAGGAGTTCCAGAGGACAGCGCGTGTTGTTGTAGAGCCAGCTGGAGGGATTGTTCCTCGCACTGCACCGCGCACAGTTCCGACGATGGTTCCAGAAGCCTTGGTGGAGAGACAGCTTCAGGTCGTCCGGCAATACCGTGTCCAGGTGCGTGCACATGACAATCTCGTCGTTGCAATATCCCGGCACCTAACCGAGGAGCTTTGCCATGCCGGCGACGTGGGTGTCCACCGCAAACACGGGCAGCGACATGTTGAAGCACATCAAGCAGGACGCCGACTTGACGCCGATCAACGGGAGCGACACAAGGTGGTCCAGGAGAGCTTGCTTGCCCTCTTGTTTGTAGATGTCCCAGAAATAGTCCACCGACAGTAAGCCCGGAACAAAGTCGGCTGCTCCCCTCTCGTTGCCGTCGTATACGACTTCGCCATGTCCCAGTGGTTCGAGGAGCGCGACATTTCTTTGATATATAATGTCGAGAATGTCCTTGATTGCTTTGGGCTTCTTGTTGGCCAGACCCGCCTTTTTCAGCACCTTTTCCAGCTTGGACAGGCTCTGCGCACGCATGGCGTGGTAATTCGGCTTCTGTCCTGCAACCCATTTGCCGTTGGTCCAATACGGGTAGGCCAGGAGCATCGCCTGCTGTGCGTCCAGTGCGGCTTCGTTGGTGCATGCTTGTGACAGGATGACGCGCACAATGGAGTCGATGGAGATGCCCGCGCTGGCATGGAATGGGTTGGTTGCCGTTCCTTCGGCCGCAGCGACCTGGTTGATGACAGGCCGTTCCTCTACAAGAATTTCCGAGACCTTGCGAATGTCGTACGGACTTGGCGACGTCCAGTACCAGAGATGGTCGTGGCCGAACTTGAAGCGTTGCTTGTTGGTATAGGGAGTGGTGGGGCGTCGCTTTTTCATCTTCTTGAGGAATTGACCAAGATTTGCCGCTCGGAGAGCGACGAAGGTTCCGCGCAAGTCTTCCTTTGCTGTTGGAAGGGTCAGTGATCCAGTTTGATAAAGCACTTGTAAAATCCGTACCCTTTTCAGCGGCTCTGATTCGCCCGGTGACAGTCCCATCTTCGCCTCGACCGCGAAGCACTCGTGCGACAGTGGGCACACCCAGAGCTTTAGTCGTGGCACTGTCGGGTTTGAATTCGTCCTCCTCCGCTTCGTCTTCTCCTTCTTCATGGGATGTCTTGCTTTTCTTGGGCGGAGAACTTGCCGAATCTGGGGGGAGTTAGCTTCAATTGAACCAAAGTACAAAACATGATGCGAACCTTCATCAGTAGACTCGCGTTTGAAGCCTCGAGAAGCAGCAGCTGCTGCTGCTGCTGCCCCTCGGCCAGCCCGTTTCCTCTCCACCGCTTTGCCCTTGGTCTCCCGCATGGAAGTCACATGGATCTTGGTATCCGCAATCTCGGCATGCTGGCGACCAGGAAGCTTCAGCTTGATAATGAGACGAGGAGTCACATTCGATGTCTGGGCTGAAGACGTGGGGGTTATGCTGATGGCTTGCATAGAGACCTCAGGCTTGACACCAGCGGACCTGGTGCGCCGCATTGACTGTACCACTGTGGCAGACACATCTCCGGCCTCGGCGGTGATCGAGACTTGGTCAGGGTTTGGGGCTGGAGTGGCGCCTTCGGACCGCTGTGCTCTTGTCGTCACCATCTTGTCGACTACGACTGCAAAAGAAACAAATTCAAACGCTGGAGGTAGACATCCTGTTAGCTTCGTGCCCTTGGACAATCATATGAAGGAGTCGAGACTCATAGATGAGAGGGCAGGACGATGACACATTGTGAAGCAATGGAATGCTGAGAGAAGGTTGGGGTCAACCGGCCGGGCCAGCACAAGTCAAGCATGCGAGATGTGGTCTCAGTGTGTCGACTTGAAGTCCAGCGCCTCACCGTCTCGGCGCCGAGCACATGTCGATTATGAGCCAGCCTTGTCGTTCACGGAGCGGACCCGCTTCTATAGCGACTTTGTCACATGCCGATGAGATAGAGTGCTTTGTCAATGTCACATGCCAGGAGCAGGACGCAGTCGGTGAGGACATCCTCAGCCTTGCAGAGGCTCGGCGCTGACCCGCTTTCCGGAAAAGGCAAGCGAACGACCAGATCTGGCGGTGTAAACACATACTGTTGCACATACGAATGATGTTGGACCGATTTGTCGTAAGTGGCTCTAAGATGTGCGGATTCTTCAAAGTTCGTTTTGTCGAAATCACAAGTCGATGGGCATGCCGGAACCGGCAACCACGGAAATGTGCCATCCGGTGCTGAGAAGGATAAAGCCATAATGCCTCATTTCGACGTTGATCTTCGCACAAAGACGAAGCGTCGAAGGAGAGAGACAATACCACGACATCCAATTTCCCGTTCACAGATCGTCCGAGATCTGATAGGTGGAGAGACAAAAAGAACAAGACAATGACTTACTGAAATTTCAAAGTGACGTTGATCTGACGAAAGACCAAACCGTGCTCAAGGTTTCAAAGACAAGACGAAAAGCAGGTCAACACAGCAGGCGACGGCGTAGATGGCAGAGACTGTGGTCGAGTCGAGACTAGACACGAGTAAGTAATGTAAGTATAGAAGAAACTGTTGTTGGTGGAATGATTGCGAGAAGGAAGAGGAGAGGAGGAGGAAGGAGGAGGGAGGAGGTATAAATAGTCGAGGGACAAGGAGCACTTGCGAGCACATGCTCACTGCCGCCGCCCTGTCACCAGTGCGATCCCACTCCACCCGGCACGTGGACGTCGTCGTTTGCCGGGCCCACAGCCAGAAGGTTCACTCAAGTGACAATGAGCATGTGGGATACAGAGAGAGAAAGGCAGAGGACATCAAGTGAGTGAGAGTGGAGGGGAAAGTGACGCAGAAGAGAGAATTGACTCACACCCAGGCGGCTCGGACCTAGAAAAGAGTCAGCTTGGTCAACGCACAGAACATGATCGGAACTAAAAGTATACCTTTGTCGTCCAGGCCCCAGACGATTGTTATCTGTATATATTCATGGATGTCAGACTTTCAGAGTACCAGCATCTCCTGGTGATGAGCAGATTCATATACGAATTGACTCTCCAGTCTACATTGAATGCCACAAGCAGCAATCTGAGGGGAGTCTGTTTGCTGTTTGTCTTCGTGGACCAATACAGATGAAGCTTTGACCCGCAATGGACAAACAATTGCTATCCGCAATGGCAATGGGCAATCCACGATCCTCTTGATACGGTGTCTTGTGACCTGGGTATTGGGGCACTCACAATAAGAATGGCGGGAAGGATTGTCTTTCGAAGGATTCACCGGCGACCTGCATTCGCCTCTGTTAGCAAGACATTGGACAACCATTCGCGGGCAACCACGAGGAAATATCAATGGGAATGTTTGTCCAATTGAAACTTGCAATGGGAGGGACGTACGTTTCTTCCTCAACAAGTCAGGTAAGGTATTCGAGGTCTGCACCAGGCCGAAAAGTCCGTCATGGAACAAGGGTAACGAAAGGATGACGGGAGAGTAACGAGAATAAGAAATGGGGTTCTCTCACTTTCTGACGGCAAAGCAAATGCAAACTGACGTCGGGACCACGCTGTAGGGTCTCAAATCGGACACAAATTGCACGCTCAATTGTGTCAGGTCGACAACGGCCCAGTGACGAGGAACAAAGACAACGTCTGAGGGATCTGGAGGGTATCTCAACAAGTGAAGGGCACTGCAACAGAGGCCAAAGTGAGTTGAAGAGGAGAAGTGGACAAGCATAGCATCCGGTATGGGGCCCGGAAACAACTTTATCCGTTTTTGCGGACGCCCATTGGACGTGGAGAGGAGAGGGGTGGGTTGGGGGGTGTGAGGACTTCTCGCTCCGCCTGTATTGCCCAGACCAAGGAAATGCACTCCAAACAGACGGGGTGATTGGGGCTGTTTCGCTTTCCCACAGTCCGGGGACTGAGCAGATGAGGAAGGGAGCAAAGACATAGCTGCTGTTTTCAATGGGTTGGTTCTGTTGCCAGCATCGAGCATGTTGCTCACCTCTGAAGTAATGCCCAAGTCCAATGTACACACCAGCCACCCTCCCATTCCTGCTGTGCACAGCTCTGAAGCTGAACGGCCATCCAAGGTAGCCCCATTGGCACCAACCTCGTGTCCTGCATGCGAAATGTGCAACGTCAATACCATCGTAAACCAGCCTGCGCCGACGCTTCACTGTCCATGTTGAACGCCATCCAATGTCCCACTGGCTATAACCGCAAGAGGGACATGCAAGAACCAGGACAAGAAGAACTTTATGCTCATCCGTAAGCATTGGCACCGCAACCTCTTTTGAAAGCCACCGGGACTCTCAGCCACTAAAGGCCTAGCCAGTCCATTTGGACCCCAACTTCTTAATCTGCTCTTCGTTGTCTGCTTTCCATGCCGTGTACTCTGGCTTCTCGTTGCCGTCGGCGTCGTGAATGCTGTAGCGCAGCTGGCCCCACAGCTCCAACTGCTTCTGAAATCCAGAGTTCGGTTTCGCCTTGGAGCGACCACCACGAACATACCGGAATGCCGTATCGTAGTCGAGGTCCATTTCTTCCATGATGAACCCTATCACAACAGCGACGGACCGTGACACGCCTTTCTGGCAATGGACAAGGACACCGCCATCGTTGTTTTGGAGACCAGCCTTGATGAAAGTGCATGCCTCACCCAAAACCTGCAGCAAGTCGTAGTTGCCGTTGTCCCGGAGATTGATCATCTTGAGGACAAATTCCGCCTCATGTCCTGGAGGCACTTTGGGCTGCTTGGCCGGGTTGTCGATGACCGAGAGAACATACTTGATCCTGGGCCGATTTGGAGCTTGGTAGTTGGGGCTCAGGACTGCGGCAGCAGTGTGAATGCTATTGAATTACGGTCAGGCCGATCCTGCGCGTGGGGGAACAAGCTTCACTCACTCTGACAGGTACAGGTTTGGCAAGATCTTGTCTGGGATCAAGGGAGCCGTTGTTGTGGACGGAGTAGCACAAGGGCTGTTCATTTTGGAGGATGTCGAGGTGGTGAAAGGGCTTTTTATCGGTAGAGATTTGGAGACAACATTCATCGTCCGATGCTGGTTTGATCGAAGGGACCAGGGAGAAGCTGTGATGGCCAACATCATGGTCACGATGTCACTCTAATATGGCACCTCTTTCGCCAAGTGACATATGAATCTTGCTGTGGGCGGTGGGTTGACTATGGGTCCGGCAGAAAATCTAGGTCAGGATGACGCTGTTCTTTGTATATACATATTCTTTGATGACGGTATGTGTTGAGGTCGTCGTTGTACAACATTTTGAACGCGTTTGATATAGCAGGGCGAGGGTCTCGCGGGGACATGATATTAAGTAGGGTGTCCGTCCACCTGCGCTGACTGTCACCAGGACGCCAGGAGGGGCACGCGGGAATGAAGGGAATGGAAACACGGAGATCCATGAGTTTGATGGCGATCCAGGGCGTGACTGGAGAAAGCTTAGATATGCGAACGGAGGATGCTTCAAACGAGCACGAGGCGATTCAAACGCAGCCGCTTGGTCCACCGTCGCCGTAGCCAATTGTGTCTAGCTTCGCCGATGTGTCGATGTCTCCGCCCCCAAAACTCCGGGCATCACCATATCCTCCGGATCAGGAATGTAATCTAATACGTAATTGTCTTGTCCCAAATCCCTCCCGCGTCTACTCAGCATCTTGTTCAAGAATAGCTGACTAGGGCAGTGGGGAGAGTGATCTTGTCAAACCATCATCATCTTCATACCAGTCATTATACCGAGCATCGCCATCCTTTAGCAAACCCATTCTCCACCCAGCTCTTGCGCCCCCAGTTCTTGCAAGGAGCCGCATTGCCCGGATGGAGGGGTGCAAAAGGCCGACGATTCGGTATTCATCACAGCCTCGTATATGGGTGGAGGGTCCTCTCAAAAGCACCCTGCCTGACGAGCTGCTCCCCTCCCAGGTTATGGCAGCGTAGTGACCTTCCTAGAGGAGAAAAGTTGCTCGTTGGATGTATTTTTGTCCCTTGCATGTATGCCGTCAACGGGCCAGTCCTTTTTCTGCCCTGTTTTCTCTCCAGAATGGCTCATCACACAGCCCCCACACTTATGCATTATCCTGTCGTACTTCCCCATTTCTTTGCGACTGCATATTTGCATCTGGTCAGGTGATTTATTGGTAGACAGGTGTGAAAAGCCGGCATCTTGGGCAAACAATCATCAAAATGCTGTCTCATGTCGTAACATCTCCGTGATTCGCCTTCCACTTTCGGAGCCTGCGAGCGATGTCGCCTTCTGTCTGTTGCATTGGATTGAGCTTCCGATCTCTGGCCATGGCTTTGACGTCGTCGCCGTGCTTCTCCACCAGCGTGGCAATCCATTCTTCTTCCCGCTGGCTCTGCTGTCGTGGTCGCTTCCTCTTTGCCAGTAGTTCTTCCTCTTCTGCAGCCTGCGCTTCCAGTTCTGCCACGATGCCATTGGCAGCCTGTGACCTCGGTTTGTCATTTTCAACATCGACAATATCGTTCAAAGGGTCGTTGAGTGGATTATCGTTCGCCTCGCCCGTCTCTGGTCGAATGATCTTAAGAATACGACCTGTCTCCGGGTCTCGCTCGACTTGGACTTCCTGAGGTGTGAGATTGGCGGTTAATGGGCCGGCGATGGCAAGGGAGTCCCTTTTGACATGTTCTGCGTTGAGTGTGTCCTTGCCTGCCTTCTTTTCTGTCCCACCTGTCGCAGCATTCAGTCTGGAGGACAACCCCAGTCGCTTATAGTTTTGCGACAAAGTCTGTTTGCGGTCCCTGCACGAAAGATTAGCTGTGGGTAGTCAGTAGCGGCTCAATGGGCAAGACGTACCAATTCTTTGCGATAGTCTCGTTGCCCAGAAAATTTACCCTCTTCTTGCCAGCTTTTGTCCTGTTGTCTTTCGGCCTGGCTTTCGGAATCGAAGACCTGTTCTTCTTCTTCTGTCTTTCGCGACCCATGCTTGCAGGATTGCTTCGGTCCTTCCCGTCCAATAATGATAATAGAGCGTATGATCCTTGCAGCGGGATTAATTTGTTGCCAGTGAGCAGAAAATCCGCAGCTGCACCAAAAATATGGCCATTAGCCGAGGATTTCCCGCTATCGATAAAGCACCAGCACAAGCCAAACAAACCCCTGAATTTCGCACTTGGCCAGAATGTCCCTCCCCAATGCCTGCGCAAGTCGCGTGCTGTTTCATCCTCAGTCTGTAGACACACACAATGGCCCTCCTGCGTTTCAGACCATCAAGGATGGTGAAATACACCATTTATGCGCTATTTCTCGGTCTGGTGGTTTCGGTCTGTGCGGAGACGGTCCAGGGCAAGGACACCAGCCTGCTGACCAGAGAGGAAATCGAGGAGAACCTCCAGGTATGCATTGCCAATTCTCTCGACAGCTTTTAGATATGCTGAGACTTTGAGCGACAGCAATGTGCCTTTGTGCAGACCCTGTCAGAGGCAAAGGCCAAGAGTAATCCGACACACGCCTCGTTGACGACCCAACTATTCGCCGTCCTCTTCCCCTCGTCCTCGCCAGCGATTAACGCCTTGCTCGCAACAGCCTACATCTCGGGACCCCCCAATTTCCTCCTCGCACTATGTCCTCCCAACATCGACCCGTCGTCACTGAGTGTCATGGTCGCCTTTGCGGTCGGAGGCTTGCTTGGGGACACACTCTTTCATCTGCTTCCCGAGATCTTCCTGGGCGAAGACGAGCACGATCAAGTCAAGTTCGTCATGGTTGAGCCGAACCGCAACCTGCTGCTGGGAGTCGGGATTATTGTCGGGCTGGTTACCTTCATGGCCATGGATAAAGCGCTGCGTATCGCTACCGGTGGGAACGGCGGCCACTCACACTCGCACTCGCATTCTCATGACGAGAAGCACGAGACCGCATCCAATGGCGCTGCTACGACTACGTCCGCAAAGAAGGGTAAAGCAGCAAATGGTGACATGAGGCAACGTAAGGCCCAAACAGACGCCAAAGCCCTGTCCTCGTCGTCGTCGTCGTCATCGTCACCACCTCAAAACCCCTCAGTCAAACTGGCCGGCCTCCTCAACCTGATCGCCGACTTCACGCACAACATCACCGACGGCCTGGCCCTCTCGTCATCGTTCTACGCCAGCCCGGCCCTGGGCGCGACGACCACCATGGCCGTGTTTTTCCACGAGATCCCGCACGAGGTGGGCGACTTCGCGCTGCTGATCCAGTCCGGGTTCTCGAAGCGGAAAGCCATGGGCGCCCAGTTCGTCACGGCCGTGGGCGCCTTCCTGGGCACGCTGATCGGCATCTTCGTGCAGGAGTACGGTGGCGGCGGCAGCGTATCGAAGGAAGCATCGTCGTCAGCAGGGAGTGGATTCGGCGGCATCTGGGGCACCAGTCTCTCGTGGGGGGACATGCTGCTGCCCTTCACGGCCGGCACGTTCCTGTACGTGGGCACCGTGGCGGTGATTCCGGAGCTGTTGGAGACCGGACCGAACAAGGGGGCCGAGTTGAGAAAGACCGCCCTCCAGTTCGCGGCCATGTTCGTCGGGGCGGCCATCATGCTGGGCATATCGTGGTCATAGATCATATTGGTCAACGAGATCCAAGACCATATAAAATAGACAAATCCGGGGGGTGGTTTCACGGAGTGCGGTCTAGACTGGGGGCTTGCACGAGGGAGGTTAAGGGGTGTTTTGGGGGGGAGACTATCTACAGTGTATTGGATAGCCGTTCTGGCATCACACGATCTGAGGCCGCGTGGCATTGACGCCCTCCAGCGGCGTTTCCACAAAAAGAAGAATATCAACGAGTATGGGAGAGAAAGGAAATCGGTCACCTTCAGACATGAGGATTCCCCGTTCCTGCCTTGCACTCAATACTCCCAATCCTCGCCTGTCCGTTCCGTGTCATCGTCTCTCCTCGTCACTCTTCGTCAAAGCCGTCAACAGCGCCACGACAGACCCAATCCACTCCCATACGCCCAGACTGAGCGCATACCCCGTGCCCACCACGCCCTTGCACACGTCCCAGCCGTGCTTGGAGACCGGATACTGCAATTTCGAGGGGATCCGCGTCTGGATGCCCAGATCCCGCGCCCACCAGCTGTCCTCGCAGACGGCCTTGATGTTGCATAGTGCCCGCAGCCCTTCTTCGCCACCGAAGCGGCCGTAGCCGGAGCCCTTGACGCCGCCAAAGGGCAAAGAGCATGCGTAGTAGGCGCCGAAGTCGTTGACGGCGACCATGCCGGCCTTGATCCCCCGGACGCATTTCTGGACGTCGCGCTGGTCGTGGCCGAACACTCCGGCGCCCAGAGCGTAGCTGGTCGAGTTCGCGATGCGGATGGCACTGTCCACATCCTCGGCTTTCATGAGCAGGAAAACGGGCCCGAAGAGCTCCGTCTGCGCAATCTCCATTTCAGGAGTCACATTACTCAGCAGCGTGGGCATGAAGTAAGTTCCGTACGGATGCTGAGGGTGGTTGTAGCGTCGACCCCCACAGTGGAGGATCGCGCCCTGGGCGACAGCATAGGAGATCAAGGATTCGAGACGAAAGAAATTGCGTGACGAGATCATGGCGCCCACATCGGGCGGGTTGTTGGGAGACGACAGGAGAACAGAGCCGAGACGCAGCGATTTGATTTTGGGAAGAACCTCAGCGAGCAATTTGTCGTGGATTGCAGGTAGTGCGATGACGCGCTCAATACCGATGCAATTCTGGCCAGCAGATTGAAAGACTCCACGCAGGAGGATAGAGACCACGTCGTCAATGGTTCTGATGGTTGTTGGGTCATCAAGCACGATGGCAGGATCTTTCCCCCCCAACTCCACGGTGACAGGGGTCAGTGATCTCGCAGCCGATTCACACACCTTGTGCGCGATTTCTCTACTGCCAATGAAAGTGATGTGGCTGATGGCTGGATGACTGGTGAGGTGGTCTGCGACCTCTGGGAGACAGACGACATTCTGGACCAGGCTGGCACTGTGATTACATGCTCGCAGAGCTCCTTGGATAATGTCGATGAAGTAGAGGGTGCTCCAGCATGTCTGCTCACTCGGCTTCACCACGATGGCATTGCCTGCGAACAAGGCTGAAATGATGGGCGAGATGAAGTTGTGGAAGGGATAGTTCCAGCTCACACACGCTGCGACCACACCGAGAGGCTCATAGATGACCGTGTTTGATTTGTAGCACATGAGAAGGTTGGTCGGTCGCCTTGAAACGCTCAGAGCCTTTTCCCCGTGTTTGATAGTCCACTGTAGTTTCTCGACCGTGACTAGGATTTCGCCGAAGCAAGCATCTATTTTGGTCTTCCCCGAGTCCAGGCAGCACGCGGCCACGATTTGTTCCTGGTGGTCTAGGACATAGCGAAGCAGTGTTCGCAGGACTTGACGGCGCTCTGAAAAGGTGGTCTGCGACCATTCGGCTTGAGCTTGGGCAGCAGCCGAGATGGCCGAGTCGATCGCAAGCTCATCTCTAGGAGTAATAGGCGGTCCAAGACGACGACCATCGGCTGGACTTCGAGGGTATATGCGGCCGGTGAGGAACTGTCCACGTGTCAGCATCCACCCGAGTAGGAAACAGGACAGGACCGTACATACCTCTTCATACTCGGATTTGCCGTCAACACTGCCTCTGTCTGCCTCTTCGCGACTCCATGAATATTCGCTCTGCAGCTGCGGGGGAATAGGGACCGTGAGAGGGACTGCGCGTTCTGTGTCGGTGGAGAGGAGAGGGTGTGCAATGACTGCAGTCACCACAGCGACAAAAACCAGCGACCACAACCACCACCACGATGAAGCACCGCACTCAAACAACTGCAGCATCTCTCTGGGGGGATGCGGTCGTCGCACAATTGGATTTCATTGGCGGAGAGAATTGAGAGCGCGGGAACTGTTCCTGCATGCACCGCCACCGACGCCACAGGGCGGCTCGTAGCGGTGGCTGGAGGATGGAAACGGGATGCAAAACGCCACAGACGCCACAACTGCATCCCGCCCACCAGCCAGTGACGTGCCTCTTGTGCCTCTTGTGCCACTTGGGGCTGCCGGGATGAGGCCTGCCGGGCACCTGCACGGATCTGCAAATGACGTCGGTTTCGTTCCATTCTGTCTCCACAGTTCTTTATCGGTCGCCATCTGCCAGCATTTGCCTTGTTTTTGTGCTCGAAATCGGACGTCAACTGGCCCTCCCTCCACACATCCTTTCCCCTTTCATACCCGCCATTATGCCATGGTGGCTCCCGCTCCCAGCGCTAGTGTAACGGGCAGGAGGCAGGCGGGCACCTTTTTCCAGCAGAGGGTTCGCTTGCTCCTCGTAATACTGCCTGCCATCTTCCGAGCATAAGCTCATCCACGTCATAGCCGTATGACGTTGTATCTCCCCGTCCTTTTGTATTGGTCGGAATCAACGTCCTTGCGGGTGAGGCCAAGTGCTAGATCTGAACGTGGTTAGAATGGTGTTTGGCGAAGGGTGCAAAGAAAGCAGAGTGATGTATTTCGATCGCTGAGCAATGGCAGTCGCAATCGCAGTCTGTGAAGGTGATACACGTACAAAGGGCTCCTTTCCCAACCCCACCTTCTTCATCCTGGGAAGATTCTAGACAGCCCCAATCATCAAGAATATACAAAAACCTACCTTTCATCCTGCCTGGTCAAACTATTCTTCCTCATTCCTCAAGACAGACATCAATAAACACCACACACACACACACACACACACATACATACAAACCAACCTATCATCCATCCATCTCGGACAGCACACAAAACAGACTGCCACAATGGGTGCCGTCGTCTCCTGCGTATGTCTCCCTCTTTCCACGTCTCCCCTCCTTGAGTCGACTAGTAATACTGATATCCTGACCCATACAGTTTGAGGGCATCTGCCAAACCATCGGCTCCGTGCTGATGGCCATCGTCAACGGCATCGGTGCTATCTTCACTGCCATCATCAACGGCATTGTCTCGTTGTTTGACATCATCATCTCATGCCTCACCTGTGGCCGCCGCACACGAAGACATCGTACGAGCGCAACCACGCGTAGGCATCATACCACAAGTACTATCTGATCGACGGACTCTCCCGAGAAGGAAGACTCTGAGAAGGAGAGAGTCCGCACAAACAGACAACAAGAACTTGATCAGATGAGGGAGGGTATGATGCTGAATTGAGAGAGAGAGAACAACACACACACCAAGAGAGTGTTGACATGGAGGGAGGGCATTCATCGATTCCATCAATACTTGATTTGCTTTTCTTTTTGCGCGAAAACTGGCTTGGACAGGACCTGGAGAGAAGCCTCCCACTTTCACACCCGCCTGCTTAATACCTTTGTACTATTAGCACTCACGATACCCGAGGCGCTCTTCATGGCGCTGTCAAGCATAGAGAACGAATGATGATGATGTGAAACAAATCAACGGTTCATCCTCGATGATTGAGTCCAATGAATAAATGTTCATAACAAATGCTCTTCTCGTCGCCTATTTACACACATTACCCAAATCCACGACACCTCCAGATTATTATACATACATATCGCACACCACCGCTCCATGCCGTGATTTGTCGGTCTCCTTTCGAATCACCATCAGCTGGTCAAGCTGACCATCTCACCCTCCCACCTGCCCTTCCTCCCCTGCAACGCCTCACCGACCACATTCTCGTAAACCCACGCCCCGACGTCCGCCCTTTTGATGACATACCCGCAGGCAGGCTTCGCCTCGGTGCCGCTGCGGATCTTATCCAGGCCCGCGGCGTCCCTGTAGTCCGCACCGCCGGAGAGCAAGGTGGGCCTGACGCCGACGACGTTCCGGAAGACTGGGTCGGCGGAGGCGGCGTCGCCGCGGTACAGGTCCTCCATGCGGCGCTTGTCGACGTGCGGGACGGTCAGGATCTGGTGGTACAGGAAGCGGATAAAGAAGGGGACGTCCTCGGGCCCGCGCGTGATGCCCGTCGTGGAGACGAAGGCCAGCAGCGGCTTCTGATCAGTTGTGGCCCTGAGTGCCGGGTTCTCGGCGTAGATCTCGCCCATCGCGGCGAGCAGCGTCTGCGCCGCCGTCGCGCAGATGTGCGGGTTGTCCAGGCCTGCGATCTGGAACGGGTGGCGCCAGTTGAATTGCAGCCGCGGCGTGCCGCCCAGCCCCGTGACCACGACTGCTGGCAGGCCTCCCGCCGTGGGCGACGAGAGCGTGCGCCGCACGGCCGCGACGTCGAGCGCGTTGCCCTGGACGATGGTCAGGTTGTCGAGGGTCTCGGAGGAGAGGCCCTGCGCGAGAAGCTGGTCCCGTAGCTTTTGAGGCGTGCGCACCAGCGCGCTCGCCTTGTAGCCCGCCTTCAGGGTGTGCACGAGGATGGCATTGGTAACGCCGCCGGTGGCGCCGAAGAAGGCGACGGTGGAGGAAGAAGAAGACATTGCTGGATGTACGGGAGATTGGTGGCTTTTTGCTTCGAGTTGTGCTGGTGGTTGTCACTGCCGCTCTTGTTCACAGTTACTATAGCTATTGCTATCGCTTTTGCTTTGGTGTGGCTATCGTTGGTTCTCTGGATGGTTAGCAGAACGAGAGAGGGTCAGTCACCCATGATCTTTATACACAGTCCTCCCGTGGTGGATGTTCAGATCAACAGGGCTTTGGAGAGACATAGTTCCAGCGACGGTGCGATTCATTGCACACAGCACAGCCCTGATGAGAACCCGAAAGATACCCAGCGATGCTCAGAAATGTAGGCCGGCGGAGAGTTGCAAGAACAGAACTGAAGTCGAAACTGAGCTTGGGAGAAGACGAGGAAGCGAAGAAGCGGAGAGACTTCGAAGGGAGTCGGAGGAACAATCTCTCCGACCGGAGGGCGAATTGCTCCCATTGGTCGGGAATTTTAATTCTCCGTACGGCTTGTCATTGGCCAGCATCGGCTGCGGTGGGCGGAAGAAACCAACTGCGCAACAAAACTTCAGATCTTGTTCTTCTTGTTCACCCACTATTAATTGCCCTGGCACTACGAGGTATCCTCTGACTGGTACGGCGTGACACCAGGCGGCTACTTCCCTGTGCCCTTCTTGTCCGCAGCATGAAGCTCCACCTTCGAACACGTCTTGATCAGACGATCCCAGACTCGACATGCCTCCTCCTGCTCCCTCTTCCTGGTCAATGTCGATTGGTCTCCGACAATGATCAGTCCAGCCTTAGCCCTGGTCAGCGCAACATTCAGCCTCCGCATGTCTTTCAAGAACCCTATTTCCCCCTGCAAATTGCATCGTACCGTAACGAAGATGATGATGTCCGCTTCCTGACCTTGGAACCCGTCAATGCTCGACACAGTGTGTCCTCCACAAAGCTGCTTGAGTAGCTCTGCCTGGCGGGCGTATGGTGTCAAGATCGCCACGGATGGTGGTGGCGAGCTGGGTCCTGTGCCTGGACTGCTTTGATCGTTTTGCGGTGCGGTGGACAACAGCGTCAGGATTTCTTTGCAGATGTTGGCTTGAGTGTGATTGACCTTGGATTTCCTCCCTAGATCCTCTGCGTCACCACATTGAATAAATACCGCTCTCTTCGAGGGAGTCGGTTCGTGTTTCGCATTGGCTTCTCGTTTTGGCCACGGAAAAGACGAAGCAGGGATCTTTATGGTATGGCAAATCTCGGCTGACAGCAAGCGGCCACCGTAAAACTCGTCACTGGGAAAGATACACAGGGTCGGATGCATACGATATTGCGTGTCCAACATGGATTTTCCCACGGCACTGTCTGACGCTTCTGCCCAAAGACGCTCCATAAGCGATATGTCATGATCCAACGTGGATGCATGAGGACTAACAGTAGCCCGAAGTTGGACATGGTCTCCAACCAAGATCCCTCGCTGGCAGCCTTTGACCAAAGGTATTAGAGACGCCGGCTCAGTCTGTTGAGAGGCTTCATCAATGATGACAGTGTCGAAGTTTTGCTTTCGAAGCAGTCCTAATGCGGCACTAACACAAGTCGTGAATACCAACCTGGCCTCGGAAATCATCGCGATAGCCTTGCGTTTTGCCGATAGATGCATGTTCATATCTTTACCGAACATTGCATCGATGGTGTAAGCTTTCAGATCATCAGAGACCTTGGTCACCTGGGCACCAACTTGTTAAGGATTGCCTTCAATCGCGTGCGGAAAAACCTACCTCAGTGGAAACTCGGATCGGCCGTGGCAGATCGAGATCAAAGTCCAGTGCCTTTTTCACGTACTGTCGCAACACATTATCAACAGCATTGTGCGTTGGTGCCGCGACTAGGACTCTGCCAGTTTTGTCTTCCTTCAGCAATTTTCGCAGCAATGCAATTATAGTCGAGGTCTTCCCCGTCCCAGGCGGTCCCCAGAGACAAGTCAGCCGAGCCTTAATGGATACGTCAACGGCACGACTTTGACTTTCATTCAGACCCTTGATGAGTTCGCTACTCTGTGTCGAAACACCCTCGTCTACCCCCTGGCTCTCCGTTGGTGGGATTTTTGTGCTCAAAAGAGTGTGATAAAAGCTGCAAGATTGATCTTTCTCGACAAGAAGATACACTAATGCTTCTCCCGCCGATTGGGTGTTCACGACAGAACCACAGTGCTTCATTGTCCAAGCGGTCTTCTCAAGGAACGTGAAAGGCTGTGAAAGGCACCGAAATTTGATCCCATTGTCGCTTGCTGCTTCCACCACGGCGTCCAAGGTTGCAGGGCGGGCAGCGGTAGAATTTGTCGCCGCCGTTTTTGCCACAACTCGCACATGGTCGCCCACAGCCAGTCTGGCCAGTCTGGGAGCGTCGATGCGCCGCTGGCTCGTCACAAATGAGACTCGTTCGTTGACTGCCGGCCCTGCTTTCAGCATCCATGACCCTGGCGTGTCCTCAGTCGTGTCGCTCGCCTCGGCGCAATGATCGAGCACCGTCCCGAAAATATTGCGCAAGAAATATGCAACGACGTCACGGTCAAGGTCCTGGATAGCATTGGCAAATGCGTCTCGGCACTCCATGAGAATCGTCAGCAGCAGGTCCGGACTTGCAATTGCTAAAGAGGCAGTTTCCAAAAGTTCGCGGGCCGCAGGTAAGCTCAGACGTGTGTCTCGCAGGATTGCATTCATGTGCTTCACCACCAGCTCCCCCGCCTGGTTTGCGCAAAGGATAAGAGCTCGAAGGACGGCAGGGCCCCCCTGCTGAAGGACACTGGAGTAGGGACCAGGAAGGAGAGACCAGGGACAGAGACGTGCGAAGTGTATCGCCAGTGCAGGCTTAAAGTGGAGAAATTCGACGAGGCTTCGAATAGTCTCAGGACGACATCGCAGGGTTGGGCCCTCGTCCGTGGTGTCGAGGCGCAGGATCTGACTATAGATCTCCGACAACATGTCGACGAGATTGTTTCTCCAGCTGAACTTCAGCAACTCCACAAGCTGTGGCACCGTTGCTTCTACCACGAGGGAATGTTTCTTCTGTCGCACCACCTGGACAACAAAATCGCTGTGTAGACTCCAATCGATGTCGTCGAGAGTCGGAAGGCTGAATGGTGGCTGCTCGTCGGGAAAGTTGGGGAGGACGTCCAGTGTATCGATGCTCTCGAACCAAAGGTCCAGAGCCCGCAGTGCTCGAACATCTTTGTTGCTGATGACATACAGTTCCTGCCACATGTTAGCAACACCAGATTTCCAAAGTCTCTGAGCCTATGTCCCTTACAGCATCAGTGACCGGCTCTCTCCACGTGCGCCCGACGTGAGTAGCCAGTTGAGCACTGAACTTTGCCAGAGCTATGCTCACGTTCCAGTCGCAGTTGACACCTTGGTCGACCGTCTTCTGGCGGGCCCGGTCCCGGTTACTTTTGCCTTGAAGGTTCCTGTAGGGGCGGTCGTCGTTGGGTGGTCTGCCGAAGAAGACAAAGGTGTTTGCGCGTTGATTCTCGTAGAGCTGCATGACGTTTTCATCGTAGTAGAACCGGTAATTCTTCTTGGTGGGGACGCCCCGGCGGTGTCCGACTCTGTCGTTGTGGGAATGTGGGAAGGCGAACAATCTCACCGTTTCGTGGACGACGACATCCTCTTCTCTCTCGATCGGCCGTGGGAAGTAAATGGCGACGCTCAGCCGCTCGCCGAGGCGGAGGATGACGAGCTTCTTCGCAAACTGCGCGAACGTCTGGTTGACCGCGACCATGAAGCTTCGCAGGGGGTCGGATTGAGAGTCGAAGACGCACTTCCAATGTAAAGAATGGAGGTCCAGCCGGAAAGGGTGCAGATCTTCTTTAAAGAGAATCTTCGACTGGAGGAGCCCGTTCTTGTAGTGAGACGGATACTCGGGAGACGGAGGCAGTTCTGCCAGTATCCAGGCCTGCTCGTCGGCCGTGAGCTGGGAAGGGTCGAAATAGGCCCAGAACTCTTCAAAGCGGACGTTGTTCCTCCGACACCAGGCCAAGGTCAACTTGGCCAACTCAAAGTCCGAAAAGGGGGCAGGGTTGCTGAGAATAAACTCCAAGAGACCTCGATCCGCAATGCCCATAGTTTGTATATCATGCCCCAATCCCCGTTGTTCCACGGCGTTGAGAGGGTTTTTTGCCTTTTTCACACTGCTGCAATGTTGTCGAGCTGCATCACGGAGGACGTCGAGGATAAATGGCTGTGCATCGGGTGGAGCCTCAGGAGGGTCGAGCAACTTGTCAGGTATCTTGATACGGTTGCCATCGACGCACTGAGAGAACAGCCGATTGAGCTCCTGGCACTGGCTGCAGCGAGGCCCCAGGGCGCGCGCCCACCCAAGATACACCTTCTTGACGCGACCAAGTGACATATTGTTGTATCCAGCAAAGTATGTGATCAGATCGTCGACGGTGATGGGAGAGAACCTGATGGCTTCCTTCGCTCCTGGATACTCGGCTGGCTCTGAGATGACCTCGGGAATTAGTTCAGGATCCCAGCATACAAAGACTGTCTGGAGTTAGCAAAGGCCACTCTCGATCAAGGTCACCCACATGTGTCGCCGTCCAAGTCGCCGCCAGACATGAGGTCAGCCGCCGGCCGCTTGCCCTGCGTGGAGAAGACCACACAGTCAGTAAGATGGCTGAGCTCCGGTCGATTGACAGCCTTGAGTTTGCGGAGGTCCCCAGGATGTAGACAGGGATTCCTCGACACGAGCACTTCAACTCCAGTGATGGTGACAGGCGAACCAAATTCTTCCAATGTCACACGCAGAAAACACTCTCCTGGTTTGAGCAAGCCGTAAGGATCACAGACGCCGAACAATAGTCGCGACCGCGGTATCAGGATCCGCGTTCGCTGTTCGTCGTGTTTGTTGAGCATCTTGCTGTATTCTTGAGTGACCGTCTTGCGCACAGTTTGCTCGACCTTCTCCATGCCTTCGATCAGGAGTTTTTCAGCCTCGGCGGCCATACCAAGGGAGCTCAGCAGACGAAAAGCACAGACAGGGTCCGCGCGTGACCGGTCGAGGAATTCAAAGTACTCTTTCTGTTTCTTGGTGAAGACAGCCGCGTCGATAGCGAGAGAATTGAGCAAGAGTATGATTTCATCATTGAGATATCCGTATGTGTAGGGCTGGCGGCGTCAGAGTTCCAATATTAGGGGGATCTAGTTAGGTTTGTACCTTTGAGAATGCCACGACGGCGAAGCTCATGTCGTCTGTTCCACTGAACTTTTTCATCGACTTCCGCAACTTGAGCCAGAGACCCTTCTCCATCCGAGGCTCCACGCATACCACTCCCTTGTAGCCTTGATACCGAATCTGGAGGACGGAGGGATAGTACCGTTGGTCATGAAATATGATGGTCTTCTTGCTAGCTACCAAATGAACGAAGCCTTTGGAAGCGAGGCCGCATCCGTCCGTGAAGATGAATCCATTTCTCTCGATATCTTCAATGTCACGACATCTGGACCTGGGAACGTCCAGGACAATGTCAGCAGTCGAGAACAAGAGGCCGATTCGTTTCGCCTTTTTGGCCACTGTTTTGATCTTGTTGAAATCTCCCAGAGCCTCGACCTTCTTGCTCACTTCCTGCTTTGAGCCGGCCAGGAGGTAACAAGACCGAGACTTCAGTTGGCTGTTACTATGTCCGTAGAACGAGTACTGTACACCATTGATCACAACGCCAGACGTGAGAAAGCGAGAGATGTAGTCCACGGCTTGTTTGTGATCTTTCGGTAGAGATGCATCTTTGGTGTCGTACACCGGTCGAAAGTCTGAGACGCTGACTTGAATAAGATCCTCCAGGAAGTGCTCCCGAGTGGCTCGATTCGACGAGACCGGTGTCCAATCCAGGTATATGCCTTGCAGTGAGGACGAACAGGAGAGTCGGATTGATTTGATGCGTTCAGCCTGACGGCATCTGTCTGCCTCCGGCAAGTCGGGGAGATCGTACCGCCACACTGAGTCAGAAACGGCGATACTGTCCTGCAATGTGTACTTGACTCGGTTCATGACGGAAGTGAAGGATATAGTCCACCACCAGGATGAAACAGCGGCGACAGGGAGCCGAAGTAGACAACAAAAAGGCTGACACGTGATGATATGCAGCCACGCAGCCATGCAGCCAACAGCTGCCTGATGGTTGCACAGGCGCTTGCAGGGGCCTTGGGTGCCAAATCATGCAAGGCCCCTCCAAGGCCTGAGTCGTGAGAGTGACACCATTGCTCTTTGCTTGCGGGTTGGCCTCCGTCTGAAGAAAATACTGGTCGTTGATGGAGAAGAAACCTTCCATATACATCATTGGGGCTCAGTGCACCGGCAAGACTACCCTGGTCGATGCAGTCTCCCAACGTATACGAAGCGAGCACTCGCACCTTTCCTTCGCCGTTATCAAGGAGCTTGCTCGCGGCATCTTGACGACAGCAGATGTGAACCGAGGCGATATTCGAGCCGGGTCGAAGAAAGCGATGAATTTCCAGCGCCTGGTGCTCGAGGCGCAGCTGGACGAGGAACAGAGGCTCCAAAGCCACGGATTCATCATCTCCGACCGATCTGGCATCGATCCCATCGCGTATGCGAACCTATATGGACCACCGCAGGTCACAGAAGAAATGCTTGAGATGTCTGCCTGGGCAGCGTTGAAAAAGAGAATGTGTCAAGGCATCGTCATACTCTGCGAACCAGTTCCGGCGTGGCTGTTTGACGACGGCGTGCGGTTGATGCCCAAAGACACAAGTGAGTGGTTGGAGCTGCACAATGCCTTCGTCAACCTGCTCCGGCAGAGCGAGATAGAGTTCGAGTTGTTGCCGGCGACGTGCAGCTTGATTGAAAAGAGAGTCGCCTTTGTGCTTGAAAGTTGGGAAGCCCGGGCGAGGCACGTGTCCAGATTAACAGTCTCAGCTCCATCAGCGACAACGAGCTCCCAACTCTAGGGATTCGATGTAAGTTTATCAAAGGGAATTCGTCACTGTCAAACAGCACTTTTGTAGAAGCAACGGCTGAAGGCTACCAGAAAAAAGAATGTCCAGCAGCAAGACAAGTGCAAATAAACTATTACCTGGCTGAGAAAAGGAAAGTACAAAGTTTAATAGTGAGTAACCGGTTTTCTATAGTCTGGATGTTTTTGATCTGATCTTCCCTACAGCACTACACTCCTTTTCAATTCATCATACATCATTCAAAGCCCGACAATGCCGGCAGACGTAGCACAGACCCAACCAGAGGGCGACGTCTTGACTGTGGACGTGACTCTGGAGTGGCGTTAGCTAAGGGTTTGGGCCAAGAAAAAGAGCATAACACATACGTTGCCCAGACTGTGGAGGTGGTCCAAACTGTCTGATAAGTACGGGTGGTACGTGTGCGCGTAGGCGTCGGGGCTGTGACAGTGATGGTTGTCTTTGCCTTTCCTGAGTATGCCGTTACGGGCGGAGGCGTGCTGGTGCTCGGAGTCAGTACTGGTGCCAGACCTTCACTTGCTCAACTTACACTGTGGTCGTTGTCGTCGCATTCTCCGTGTCAATTTCAGTGCTTGTAGGGGCTGTTATTGTCGTGTATGAAGAGACAGCGTCCGCTGTATCCACAACAGTCGTAGTACATTGATCTAAGAAGCAGTCAGCTTAGAGGATCGTTGCCATCAAGAAGTCCACCATTTGATACCTGGGCCGGTGTCCACCCCAGTGTCCTGTCTTCGTTCAATGGCTCGCCTATCCCCGTTCCCGTTGTGCTTTCCGAACTGGCGCATGCGTGGGAGAATAGTGAGGGACTCGTTGCTGGCGGCAAGTGTGGCCTTCGTAGGCCGAATGGTACATGTGGGATCTTTTGCCGGCGGCTGCGTTTTACACGATGTGGTGACGGTAGTGGTCGAGATGGTTTTAGAAAACACTCTGCTGGTGCGTGTCCGGGTTATGGTCGACGTCGAGTATACCGTGATTTGGGAAGGGGTGGTGGTTATAGTTCTTGTCGTGGTCGTGGTGGGTACCGTAACGGTAGAAGGAGTTGCAGTGGTCGAAAAGGTGTTGGTGATGGTGGTCGTGATGGTGGTGGACGGGGTAGATGTGACGGTGAATGTGGCAGTAGGAGTGGTTGTCACAACGACTGGTGGCGCCGCAATGATCGAAAACGATCTCATCCATGCAAATGTCAAGCCTTCGATGACGATTGTCCAGTCACCAGAGATCATGTTGTTCTTCGTCACCTGGTTTCCGTCGACGTTGCTTGCTGCTGTCAGTGAACTAGACTCGCTTGTTGCAAGGATCCACTACCATATAGACACCATATCTTCCCCATCTGGCTGAACGGCAATGTCGGAGCAGAAGAATTCATCACTGTTTGGGTCAACCAGAATTGGCGTGACAGAGCCTTGAACGTCGCTCGGTTGACAGCCTTGTCACTGTCAGTGTTCGCCGGATTCTTCAGAGGTTTACCATTCTTACCAAAGAATTCTGTGCCGAATGCGAAATAGGCTGTGGAGGTGGTGTTGATGCAGTAAGGTCCTCCATTATTGACAAAATCATATCCATATGACACGCAGTCAGCAGCAGATTTACCTGCCAAAGCCAAAAGGACGGGAACGAGGCACGATATGAAATGCATTTTGACGATCGAAAACACAGACACAAAAAAATGAGAAAGCATTCCTCTGTGGAAAGAACGGTACCTGGGCATATATGAGCACACCGAGCAGCTATCTGGGTGTTTGCTGGTGGTGGAGATCAGGGATCACCCCTTTGCAGAGGAACTTTGAGAACTGAGACACAATGTCTTCAGCTCCCTAGCAAAGATAGACCTGGAGAACCCTGTACCCATCAAATCCGGCTTTGGCGAGAATCCAGCTGAGACATCAAGAATCAGCCACATCCAGCACAAAGACTCCAGATTGAAATTGGAAACCCGATGGAATGGATCGCCTGAAGCCCTGATTTCTGAAAGCTCGCCATCGTTCATGATGGGGCTGTCTCGGGCTGTCATATATTCAATAGATGGGATCCGGATCTTTGGTTCTGCTATGGCTCGCAAGACCGTTCTGTGTAACCCAAAGCACGTATAAGGTCTTCCAATAAAAGAAACATGCAGAAGGCTCTCGCCAAGGGAGATGTGCACCCCACCTGCGCTGACAAGAGTTAGGGCCGAGACAGGTGCTGAATGGATTCAAACACGACGAGGCAAGGAGCATCAGACAATTATGATTGTGGTTGAATAGCAAAGGGGACTAGATGAAGCGAGGGGGAAATGCAACAAAGGACATTGTCCCTTGCGCTTCCAGATGATGTGCTTTGAAAAAGGGGGTGATACGTCTGATTGGTTGGATATCTGCGCTAGATTGTTTTGGGAAGGAGGAACAACCATGCTACAACTTCGGCCGCCCTCGAGGACTCCAACCATCCTCAACTTGTTTACTGTTTTTGCCATCTTCAGCATTTCGATCCGGGCTGTCGCACTGCAATCCAATTCACTAAAGGGGTATCTGATGGCCAGATTGAAAACAACGGCTACAGCTTGTAAATTGCGGAAATTGGATCCCAACACACTGTCTCGGTTCTATTCTTGTCCGAATCTGGTTTTGCTGGATTGAGAATCGTCGTTTCAATGGCTCAGGATAGTTGTCAAATTCTTTTCTTGTGTGACATCAGGCTCCAGAACACTGCGAGGGGTCCAAGACATCCAGCCGAAAATCTCGTGTGTACCACGTTTCAACCACGATCATCCCACTGTGCCCTATGCCGTCCCAAGATGAGCATCTGGCCGGGACAAGGGAGAAAGCCATCAATGGCATATGAACATCTTGGGTCCCTTTATATTGATGTCTGTTCGGGCGCTCTCTGGTTTTCTGTTTTCTTGTGTTCTGCCCCGGCACTTTTTGTTTGTGCTCTAACCTTTAGTCGCTCGCTATGTTGCTTTTCTTGTCTCTCGTTTCACTTCTTCTTCACCAGGCCTTTGCCGCCTACATCCCCGAATTGGTTCCGGTTGGCAATGGCCTTCTGCCGAGGCAAGCGTCTTCGACGACTGGCAGTCCAGCAACGACATCCCTGACCCCAGATGCCCAGTGCACCAACGGACCCTTTACGCGCCAATGCTGGGGCAATGGCTTCAGCATCGCCACCAACTACGATAGCACCTGGCCCAACACTGGCAAAGTGGTGGAGTACACCCTTGAAGTGCAAAATACCACCATGGCGCCGGACGGGTTCTCCAGACCAGTCTACGCCATCAACGGCCAATTCCCAGGACCCACAATCGTGGCCAACTGGGGAGACACGCTGAAGATCACGGTCAAGAACAGCCTGACCACCAACGGGACGAGCATGCATTGGCACGGCCTGCGTCAGTGGAAGACGAACCACATGGACGGCACCAACGGTGTGACCGAATGTCCCCTCGCCCCCGGCCAGTCGCGCACGTACACTTTCCTGTGCACGCAGTTTGGTACGACGTGGTACCACAGCCACTTCTCGGACCAATACACGGACGGCGTCGTGGGCACCATGATCATCAACGGGCCCGCCACGTCCAACTACGATGTAGATCTGGGTGCCTATCCGATCACCGACTGGTACTACCAAAGCGCATTCCAGCTGGGGCCCTTGATCCAGAATGGCGGGTTCCCGCGTGGACCGCCCCCGGGCAACAACATCCTCATCAACGGCACCAACGTCAACGTCAACGGCACGTCGGGGCAGTACAGCCGGACGACGCTGACCAAGGGCAAGAAATACCGTCTGCGCCTGATTAACACATCGACCAACGATAACTTCAAGGTCGGCCTCGACGGGCACAACTTCACCGTCATCACGGCAGACTTCGTCCCGGTCCAACCGTTCACGACGCAGTGGCTGTACATGGGCATCGGCCAACGCTACGACGTGATCATCAACGCCAACCAACCGGTCGACAACTACTGGTTCCACGTAGTGCCCCAGACCGGCTGCAGTAGCAACCTCAACACCAACGCCCTGGCTGTCTTCTCGTACGTGGGCGCCAACTCGACCGGTCTACCCTCCAGTGCCACTCGGTCTAATGCGCCCGCGGGCGCGGACTGTAGCGACCCGAACAGCCAGCTGATCCCGTACGTGAAGCTCAACGTGCCCAGTAACTACACGATCCCGCAGTCGTCGCATCTAGACGTCGGGTTCGCGATCGTGCAGAACCAGGCCCAGCAAACGCTATTCCAGTGGAACCTCAACTTCACGGCCATCCAGGTGCCGTGGAACGACCCGACCCTACAGTACGTGCTCTCGGACAACAACAGCTACCCGGCCAGCATGAACCTGATCGCCCTGCCGGACGCCAATGCCTGGTCGTACTGGGTCATCCAGGCGGTGCCGACCATCGCGCCGCCCATCCCGCACCCGATCCACCTACACGGCCACGACTTCTACGTCCTGGGCGCCGGCCAGGGTATCTTCAACAACTCGCAGACCCTCAACTACCAGAATCCGCCGCGCCGCGACGTCGCCATGCTCCCGGCCTCGGGCTATCTGGTCATCGCCTTCATCACCGACAACCCGGGCGCCTGGCTGATGCACTGCCACATCGCCTGGCACGTCGGCTTGGGCCTGGGCGCTCAGTTCTTGGAGGAGCCGGACCAGATCAAGAATTTGGGCATCGGGCAGGACTGGCACGACGAGTGTAGCCAGTGGAACACGTACAGCCAAACCGCTCTGTTCCAGGAGGAGGATTCGGGATTGTAAGGAGACTCCTGCCCCAAGCAGGCTCAGAAGAGGTGTGTCTTAGACGATTGCTCGCAACACATTGACTGGCGTATTTTGTGATGGCCTCGCCTCGTATGTTTTAGTAGGCAAATGACTTTTTGTCAGAATAAATGGATGATGTATTTGACCTGCTTCAACGCTGAATGCGACCTCGCACTCATGAGAGATTTTCGCTCCTGAGTTTGCTCGTCAGAGAAGAAGGATATGATATACTGGCTCAGGTCAAGTCATACATCCCAGCTCTCACGCGAACATTTTTGCTATAACACGTGGTGCTGGGTAAAGGGGAACAGTCGGTCCGGGGGCATCGAAATATTGAACAAGTGCTCGTGTTTTGATCTAAGCCACTATACATAAATTCTCGGTCGGGGAAGCAAAAGCATTGACTGCGTGAGGAAAAGTTGTGCCACCCCCAACCAATTGTTCCTTTCTCTTCTCGCCTTCTCTCCTTGTAGCGGTATCTCTACAGGACCGACAAATTGGGGAATCTCTCCTGTAGAGCCGTAAAGTTAGCAATAAAATCTTCAGGCATAATCATGTCGTTCAAGCAGATCCGTACCTGGTATCCCGGAGGCATCCATCGTCCCTTCTTGACCAATCTCGCCGTGTACTCATCAATCTCTGGCGCCGCGGCAGCAACCTCGTCGACAGTAGTCTCATCCCACGGCCTGGCGCCCTCGATATCGTTCAAAGCCTTCTCCAAGCTCCTCAATTCGACCTCCACTTTACCCTTGGTCTCTTCCGCGTTCTTGATCGCCACCTGTTCGAAGCTCTCGATGGCTTTGATTTGCTTGCTCACGTCGTAGGTCTTAGGCTGGAAGGTCTTGAAGTACTGCTCGATCTCGTCGATCACAGCCGTGTTTTTCAGGATGGAGCGGTAGTGTCCGAAGTCGACAGTAGAGGGTTGGTCCTGCAGCACTTGCACGCGGCGACGGGCGTCGTCGTTTCGCTTCTTGAAGTTTGACAGAGCTGTAGCCGTGCTGCCGCGGAGGCCGAGTTGGCTGCCGACTTTGCTCCAGTCGAGCTTCATCGCTGCGCGGGACTGTGTGGTGAGAAGAGAAGTTGTATTGTTAGTCAAACGGCTTTCGGGCAGATTCCTTCTCACGAAAAAGCTGGGAGGCATTGACGGGAGCTGATAAACATACTTGAGCAGCCATTTTGAGGGTTATGAGGGTAGAGTTGCAGGGAGTGGGGGGGGCGAGTCGTCAAGCTTGATATTGAGAAAGGTTGAAAGTTGAAGCTCCCTGACCTCTGCGGAACTCAATGCCAACGCCGGTCACGTGACTAGCGCATTTCTAACTCTTCGGTCTGACGTCGCTCTAGGTGCCTCACTCGTACATCTAAGAGGACCCTCAGATTTTCCAGGTCAATTACATGCTGGGAATGGGCAAAGAAGATTCGGAGGATGACAATTTCATTTCTCCACATGTATTTGAGCATTTGGAGACATGGCTCGATGTTCAAGGCTGCGTGCTTAGCAGCACCGACTTGGATTTGCTGAGCACCGTTGAACCAATTCCATGGCAGACCGACTACCCCTGTAGAAGCGATGCAGATCCAGAAACTTTTGGGTTGCCTTTGCCTGATCATACACTCAGCGCCATGATGGAGTTGACTATGTCGTTGCCGTTCTCCTTCAGAGCTTTGACGGCCTTTTTCCTCGACACAGAAGCCTGGGTCATGACAAGTTCGATATCCTTAGCTTCGAGACCGCTGTCATCCACTTCCTCATCGTCATCCTCCTCGTCTTCTGCCTTCTTATCCTCAACGGCCTTGCCCTTGCCATTCTCGGCTGCGTGATCGTGGCCAGAGTGATCTGCGTTGGCTGCTTCCGCAGCTGCGAGTTGTTGAGCGGCAGCGGCCTGGGATTGTGAGTTCAGGTCTTCGATCTTAGCCTCTCCGAAGATACTGGCAATTTGTTAATGGGTGAATTAGTGGTGAAGAGGCAGATTCAGCTTACATCCAGGTATTGCTGGTTGGTGATCGGTAGACATCAGGGTTGGAGATGACGAAGAGGATCTGTACACAGAAGTCAGCGACCTGCTATCACATCTTCGGTATTCACGCAACCACAAGAGATATTCCAAAATCTTGTTTTGGCATTGCATGGAGGACAACTTACTCCCTTTGGTCGCCTCAACGTAACTCGTGTGATTCCCGGAACATGTTTTAATCCCAGCTTGCCAATGGCCTTCCTCGCCTTCTTCTCGTTTCGGCTGTGGACTGCGACAGCAGAGCCGGCTGGAATATTGGCTTCTCCCTCACCAGCAGCTTCGGGTTCCGAGTCAGACGAGCTGGAGGCATCTTCTGCTGCGGCCTTCTTGTCAGGCTCATCATCAGGGAGCTCTTCTATTCTCGGGTTCGACATGATGATTGGTGTTTGAAAAGAGGACTGGCTGAAATCTGCTGCGCAGTTGCAAAGGTTAGCTGTGTTTCGCTCCGGTTTTATGGGGCGGGATTAGTGCTCTCTGAGACGTCGGTTTCGATATCTTTGGGCACTAGTGCATCCGACTGGCAAGTAGCGAGAGCTGGGAAGCTTACAGTTGAGTCTGCCTGAGCGGTTGATGAGCAAGGGGATTTTGTGATTTGGATGTTTGACTGTTCATTGAATTGTGGAATGGACGAGCCTCGGGTAAATTGCCCAGCTGGTCCTTGAGCATGGCTTGGCAGCAATGTGAACTGCTCACGTGCGCGCTCACCCAGACTGCCGCTTTTAAAGCCCCCAATCCGCACTTGTCACCTCTGCTCACCGCTGCTCACCTCTGCAAAAGGAACCGTCGGCGATTAATGCCCTATAGTACTCAGTTGTGGAAGGATTGTCTCCGAGGAGGCTAGTCATATTCAACAGCTTTAAAAGTCCGCTTGGATGAGGTACGTCCTGCCTTGGGGGGCACATTGACCTCACTCCGCCCTTCTCTACGCGCTGTTGTCTTTGCACGCCGTGCTCGTCGTTCAGTCTGCAAAGGTTCGACTAGCTCATCTAAGGGCCGGCTGATCCCGTCTTCTTTCTCGTGTGATGCGCCTCCTCGAGAATCAGGCGGCAGCAATCTTCCCCTTGTCTGCCGTCCAGTTTGTGGTTCTGATAGGACCCCATGTCCCTGCTTCCTCTGAGCATTTACTGCTTCTCTGTTACGGACCACCGTCTCTCGGTATGCATCCAGTGCGCTGCAAAGTGCTCGAAGCCGTTTCTCTACACCGTAGTCAAGGATATTCTTGATTGCGCGGGAGAGAGCTCGTATACCGTTTGGGTCTCGCAAAAGATGCTGTGAAAGTCCTTCCACATGGAAGCTATGTTGTCCTCCTTCAGCCGGGGCTCTTAGCCAGTGTACATTTACACAGGCTAATTGATGGTCCATAGTGACGGAGAAATATTGCGGCTCATTATAGTCAAAAGTTTCCATTCCGAAGCAGCGCTGCATTATTTCTATACTACCGTTCAAGGCGATAGCTCCAGCACCAGCGGCCTGATTTGTTGCGATATAATGAGTTCCATTTTTAGCCTGCGATTTAAACTCGACCTCCAGAAATGGAAATCTAATCTTCTGGTCTGGAACGGCGTAGCTTCGGCCGAACTGGTCGTCAATGAGAAGGTCAATGGTCAGAAGCTGTTTGTGGTTGAATGCTGTCTCGGAGTATCCAAAAGTAAGGTCCGGCTTTGGTTTGGGTAGAGGAAGAGGGTTGATCAGAACGTCTGGGTCGAGCGGGATAGGGACAGAATTGAACCACGGTTGATCGGCATTCATTTCCAGTCTCTGGTCGGGGATCTTCTTTATAGATGGAATTATGTCTGGGACCAATTGTTTTATGATCTTGTCTTCACCTTCATCCTGAAGTCTTCGAGAGGTTTGTTTCACTTCTTCAATAGCGGCGTCGTCGATCTCAGGTGACTCTCGCGAGCGTGATATTATTCTCTGTGCTTTCTGTATTAACTCTGGCGGAGGATTCTCGCGCTCGATGAAGATGTTGCGATAGCGTAGTGACTGCCGATAATCCGTGTCATGCACGCTTGCAGCGGATCTCTCTGACTTTCTGGACGAAGTTATGGTGCTCTCGACGCTGTTCCCTGGGGATTGGAACGCCGGAAGAGATTTCCGGGGCACGTTAGCTACTGCCAGGGCCTCGACTTCGTTCTCTGTCGAGGCTCTTCGAGACCAGCAGGTTTCGTCCAGCCAATTCTCAATGAAGTTCTCCTTGTTAGGTGCTGTTCTCGGTTCAGTGCATTGCGCTAGGTGGTGTCTCGGACGCTTCGCGTTATGGGCTGATTCGTCTTCCTCGTTCACGCGACGTCGCCGTTTTGCTGTTGGCATTAGCAATATGATTCACTGACGCGAGAGAGGTGACTCACTACTCTTCTGTGTTCCTTGGTCCGTAAATGGGGCCGTGGGTCGATCTTCGCCTTTCTCTTTGGGGCCGGGGTATGGCTTCACCACCTGCTTCTGTCCTGAGTATTGCTGAGTGATACTTGATCGAGGCGGTGACCTCGTCTGTCTCCCTCCTCTTGTGGTTCCCTGCCTGTTCACGTCTTGTATCTCTTGTAGTCGTGGGCTTCTGTGTGATGGCTTAGATTTCAATTTTTGTAGGCGTTCTTGGTGTTGTTTGTTGACTGTAACTAGTCAGCGATATGACAATGCGGAGCGAGAACCATCGTGTGAGAGGTATGGAACTGACGGATCTTTTGAATTCTGGGGCTTTTTCGCCTGTGGACAGTCGTGTCTTCGTCCTCCTCATTGTCTTTGGAAGAACGGCGCCGTTTGCGTAGAGTCATTCAGTCGTGAGTTCCATGAGAGGGAGATGAGTCTCTACGGCTTGACCGGTCAGGCCTGACCAGCAGTTGGCCAGATTTGTTGTGACCTCCTCGCAAGCTGCCACTGTCTCGCTTTGCAACACCAGCTGCCATATCGATTGGCAATGAGACGTGGGACGAGCCCGCCTTCTATATAGATCAAGCAAGGAAGCGCGAAAGGGTAGATGCGGGGTTCACAGAGCCTTGCGCTGAGTCCCTGAGAGCCAACCATCTGTCCCGACTCGTTAGCAAGATGACCTTGCCCGACGCTTGGCGGTAACCGCACAGCCAATCATTGGTTGCTGAAATCTTCCCACAACTTAACTCTGCGGGGGAAAAGGACCAATTCTGAATCATGTGTGGAAGAAGCTTTTCTGCCTGAATATTAATAGATAATAACGGGCCGTCCGCAGCGCATTTTTAACGTCTCTATTGACCAACGGGTAAAAGGACACCTTCAAAGTAAAGATATCTCATGTTCACAATGAATATATTTGAATGAGGGAAACACGAGAAATAACTAGATAGACACCTTCTTGAAGCTAATCGGAGCACTCGATGTATTCATTTGTCGTCAGGTAAGCAAGCACATCCAGATCTATCCTCACGATATAAATTAAACCCAACAGAATACTACGATCCATCATCTTCTTAAGCAAATTCCGTCCACTTTCATCAGTGTGACTGAGCTCGGGGGCTGGATGGCACGGACCAGTAAGTCTTTGGGGAGATTTCTTCTATCATCACGCCGTTGCCTGTGCAAGCTTGACCTCAGATGTCACAATTCTCACCGAGAGAAAGCTAAGTGAGTCATGGCTGGAGCAAATTGCTGCTTAACTTTCTGGCTGGGGAAGCTATGGGGTGGAGGATCGTGCTCCATGCATGACGAGCCGACATGACAATTTAGAGATTGGGCACATGTTCCTCAAGGCCTTGACGCTAGATCGCCAGAGGAAGTCCATACGTCCAAATGTTACAGGTAGGGCAAGGAATGGGTGATGGGTCGTCGGTGAAGCTCTGCACAACTCGTTAGGTTCGTTGTCAAAGCCGAGAGCTGAGACGACCATGGCGTCCAGTGATACATTATACCCTTCATGAGACCGGGACATCTTACCATCGGCGGGCCTGAAACCTTGTATATCCAGAAGGATGCTTTGCAATCAGAGTTCAGATTTTGTGCAAGACGGAGAAGAGAGGCAGCCTTCCGGATGTTGAATGAACATTGTTGCATTCTGCTTGATGTCGAGGCGTATGTCCTACGAGGTTCGATCAGCGTCGCATGTGCTTAGATGAATAGTCTCACAGCCGCAGGGACGCGCAGTACTCGGTCAGGGTAGAGCACAGAGGGCGTTGATCAGGCGAATAAGTCTACCAGCATGACCAAAGTCCGCAATGCGAAAAAAACGCAACAAGTGGATGAAGCATCTCAGCCGAAGATTTTCAGATACATCCTACTCAGGACCGAGCGGTCTGGTATCGTTGCAGCACGCTATCGTGTACAAGCCAGACAACGCCGCACGCATTGAGTTCCCACATTGATTCTTGTCTGAATATTGATTGCACTTCATGAATTTATTGGAATCATGCTCTGCAGAAATTTCCACGCGGGCGGAGAGAAGAAAGCCACAGCCGCGGAATGTTTTCTTTTTCGTCAATCGAACTGACAGTGGTGCCTACCCTCGACATGCCGCAGGCCGCATATCTTCACTCATCTTGAAATTTGTGAGTTGGATTGTGACGCCGTATCCGTGCCGAAATTTATGCCTTCGCTGCTGCCCGAACCTTTGCCTGTGCCTTCAGAACTTCAAATCGTGCCTAAACGTCCTGTCCATTAGTGCTGGATTCCCACAAGATACACCTTAAGACCTTGAAGCAAGATCTCACTGGCAGGGGATTGTAGATGCTTCGGACTGTTGCTCACCTGCTTCTTCAATCTCATCACTTTGAATCGCTCGAAGTCGGTCAGGTTCCTCCTCCTGTCCTGTTGTTCCCTCTTCTTGGCCCAAGACGACTCCGCCCACTTCTTGTCGACTTCGTAGCTCTCCCACTTCCTCTTCACCGCGCCAGTGCCTGCGGCTTTTGGTAGACCGGGAATAACCCAAGGTGTGAGGGAGACGGTGCTGGTAGCGATAGCCTGTCGGGGGACAACCGCATCTTCTTTCGTTGAGGGGCCGTCGACCAAGATCTGGAGTATCTCGTCAGCGGATATTCCCTATTGCGTCCCAGCCGCCAGGACATACTCTGCCAGGATCTATTATCTCGACAACGGTAGCCAGTTTGCCCTCGAACGGTCCTGAGCGGAGGGTGACCACGCGGCCGACCTCGACCAACTTCCACCCGGCTGGCTTGATATCGACGGTAGACATCTTGCCGGTAAGTGAGGACTATGCGCAAATATTAGCCTTGCGCTTGGAACAGGAGATATTTGGCAGGCGTACGAAAAGTATTGGGGAATAATGTTGTCGCCTCTGCAGTCAATTCGGAGACCTTTCGCAACGTGCAAGGGAAATTCGAGATAGTGCGTTGACGCCAAGACACATTTTACGCCAAGAGCCGAGGTGGGCGCTAAACCCTTCCGCGCCTCCTTTCCTGCCTCGCGAAAAGACACCTCGAATTTTCTTTCCAGACTCTCTTTGTTTTCATGCCTTTTCCACGTACTACCATAACTTGTCTCCCATCGTTTATCATTTAGTCTCTGGTTTCCCATCTGAGACCCATACGCTTCCAAGTCGAGTCTTGTCTGATGCCAATGTACATGCTCATATCTTTTCCTTCGACAAACACCCATGCCACAGCCCAGTTTATCTGTGAGTCTTTACCTCTCCCTTCTATAACTTCTTCATGATGTTATAATTTGCGATTGAATTTGGCACTGGAGACTCTCGCCGGAGCCTCTTAACAGTGCCAAAGAGATGATATTCATTTCTTACATATGCTGAGTTCAGAAACCTACACCTTGTTTTCGTTGGGCGTCTTGGGGTCTACGAATCATGAACTGACAGTGCGAACAGTTGTTTTGGGATTTGATCGAACTCCTCCAGCTAATAGTAAGTAATAACTTTGGGTCTTTGGCACCTCTCGATGTCTCTGCCAATGGCATGCGACCCCTGTTCAAAGGTACGTCTTTTGTCCCATATTGGACTCTTCCGATGATTATACCCCTTGCACTAGATAGTAAATGATCAACATTGACATGATCGTACCCCAATCACCAAGATCTCTGAGGAAATATGACAGCCATTGATGTTCAGTCGACCTCTGCAAATTCATTGCTGACCTGGTACCAGGAGAAAAAGGTGAATCTGATTTGCTCTGATGGTAACCTGCCACACCAATAAACCCTCTTCGTCCCGCCCTGCCTATTCGATCCTGGCCTGCTCACTTTCTCCGCCGACGACAAGTGGTCAGTGTTCATACCACCACTTTGCGTCATTTCTGCAATATTCCGTCACATCCTGCACTGTGTACACCGCTTGAGTTACGATCGCCCGTACGAAGGGATACCTCTGGTCAGGAACAAGCCGACTCGTGATGCTCATTACCTATCGAACCGCACCAGTATACCACCTCCAAACTCTACCGTTCTCGATGCGGATTGTCTTCCTAGAGCAGCGACTTTGGCTCTGGTTGGGGACTCTGCCGTAATCGCCTCCCTTGTCGAAGGTGCGCAATATCTCCGTAGGACGTGTACACGAGTAGATTGAAAAGGTTCAACGTCGCCCGGGATTAACTAGGTTGCCCGAGCCGAATGCCAGTGTCACTGAAATTAGCCTGTGCTCGCCACTCGCTACCACAGCGGATGATGTGTTCCCTGATAGAATGTTTCTGGATCGACAAAGTATCACGGCGGTGTCGAGAACCGCCGCAAACTCCCTTGGTGTGCAACCATGGCAAAGGGGATCCTTCCATATTCTCTCCTGTGCATTAGTGCGGTGATCCTCTTCTCCAGATAGTTCCCAGAATGCAGTGCCCGCTCGAGGAGGTTCTCGTCCATGGCTCAAACAGCACTGGAGTGTTCATTGACTAAGAGGTTCAGTTTATCGCTTAAATTGACTGGCTCGGCTTCGGGAGCAACGGGGAGTGGAGTGGCAACCGTCCGTAGCAGCGTGATGGCATGTTCTCTGGCGTTTCGTTGCTGACTGGGGCGAGAATTAAGGGACATTTAACGGGATTCATCAGCCAGGGGGAGGCGAAGCACGACACCATCCGATCAGTCAATCTCGAACAAGGTTGAACAGAAGAGCTGACAGGGGAAACAGCATGGAAGGACGTTTGGAAGTTGACTGGGGTTCTTCGACTCCACATGAGGCCGTTTTTCTTTGTCTCGTGCCAGCCAAGGCCCCAAGCCGATCCGATGCCCCCGTTGCCGCGTCCTGCAAGGCTCACACGGGATGTAACTGGACTTCCTCCTCTTCTTTATCATTCTCCACAGGGATGGTGACAGTTTTTGTCCGGGCCAGATCGTGGGTGAGGGCGACGGTGAGGGGTAACTGGTGTTCTGCCATGTGAGAACCTGTGCTCGTGTGGTCCGTGGGGACGAACAATCTGCTGGGAGGGTGCGACAACAACAAGTCTGAAGGCAAGTGCACGACGTATGAAACAGTACATAAAACCCATGGCGTGCCGCACCCCAAAGCATCGATGGTGGGCAATCGAAAAGGCACACGAAGCCTCGTCAACTCAAGGTGACGATCAAGTGTCAACTAACGGGAGGGGAAAAAGAAAGAGAAAGAGAAAGAGAGAGAGAAGAAATCATCCTCCGATGCTTTACTTCGGTTTCCATCCCAATCTCACTTCTGTGTCTACTTTGTGACTGATTGTGTCCATCTTGTCCTTCCCCGTGCCTTCCTGTCGATATCTCTTCCCTCTGCGTCACCTGTCGGCTTGTGCTGCACACTCCTTCACGCCATATCACTCCGACTGCGGTAATTCACCTGCTGCTCCGACGACGCACACTGCCGACCTGCGTCGACACGCGCTCGTCTTACTTCACTCATCTGTCCAGCATCTCCATCCTCTCCTTCCAATCTCTCACCGTCATATCAACATCAAGGTATTGGCTTATTCCGAAGCCCCAATCGAACACGCTATCCGCTGGTACGGATGGCTTCAGCTACTTCTCCCTGCACAGGCTCCATGCCACGGGATGTTAATAGTCCTGATCGAGGTCCTGTCGCCCTATCGACTCAATCTCACAATCCCTATGCAAATGGCTACGACATGGCGCTGAGATTCAACACCGACGGACTCGGAATCACCTACATTGGCCTCGTCATCGCATGGACTTGCCTCTTGCTTCCCGCCGCTGTCTTTCTCATGCGCAATCGACATCTGCCGTACCTCCGCATTCGAAACATCCCTCTGGCGGTCAGTGCTGTTGTAACTCTCCATGTGTACTGGGTCCTGTGTATGATCGCCTATGTGCTCAATGGGTACTTCCCCTGTGCCACCGAATACTGGATCATGAGCATCTACTTGCCACTAGGCATTGCTCTCTTCCAAGCAACAAACTCCCAGCTGCTCTCCGTTGCAACTGCACAGAAGAGATACGCCCAAGGAGATGTTGTGGTCGAATCCAAGTCAACCACCGATTACAAGACCCCAGTATGGCGCAAGTGGTGGGACAGACTGAAGACATACAACGCGACAAAGAATACCATGGCATGGATTGGAATCGCCATGAGCGTCCAAGTAAGTGATCAGTGATCGTCACTGAGGCGGGCATGCGGGGACTGACTACCTCAGGTTGTCTTCGCCCTCATCATCTTCCTTGTTTCCCGAAAATTCCACCCGGGCTTTGGTGTCACGGGAGATGTGACTACAAGATCACTCTGCCGACGTGGCTGGGAATGGTAAGGGCGATACTCCAACACGCCAGCTTGAAATCTAACACTACTTAGGTGGCCATCAATCGTGTGGCAAATCTTCTGGTCTTGGGGTTACGCTCCCGTCCTTCTCTGGCGGGTTCGAAATATCCATGATGTTCACGGATGGAGGGCGCAAACCATCGCCTGCGTTGTCGCTGGGTGAGTGATATCTGTGTACTTTGAGCACGTGCCTGCGCTGACAAGATCAGGTTACCTGCCTCACCCATGTGGTTAGTCGCACTCTATGCTGGGCCTTTGCAAACGACTGTGGACAAGTACTTTGTCCCTCCTCTATGGTGAGATCCACTGTTATTGTTCTATTGACATGGATTGTCACTTATTCCGCGCAGGTTTTCTCCTTCCATCGTCATCATGCAAGCCTCGGTCATATTTGTCCCTTTCTTTCAGATATTCAAAAACAGAAAGCTCGAGACCGAAACACGCGAGATCATCGCCGAGTGGGAGGAGAAGCAGAAATTCAACGGCTCGTTGAATGCAAGGTCAGCGTCCATGAACGCCGCCGTTCGATCTCGGACTTCTACTCGCCGGTCTGTTAAGAGCACCACAAGCGCCCGGCAAGGAGAGATGTACACCATGAGCGCTCTCGAGACGACTCTGAAACTGAATCCTACTCCTCTCCTCATGTTCTCGGCATTGAAGGACTTCTCAGGAGAAAACATCAGCTTTCTCATCCACGTCCGAGATTGGAAAGCTTTCTGGCTTTCTGGGACGCCTCGATCTGGGATGCTGCGCAAGCAAGAACCTAACAGGACGCATGATCAGGACTTGATCCGACGACAGTTTCAACATGCGGTTGGAATTTATGCTTCGTTTGTGAGCTTGAAATACTCAGAGTTTCCGATCAATATCTCTTCTGCTCATCTCAGGGACCTCGAGGCCATATTCGAGCAATATGCTGCCCTCGTTTGCGCAGAGCCGACGGCGAATGCCGCCACGCCATTTGAAAACTATTGGTCATCCACGATCTCGGAGGATCTGGAAAGCCAGAGGGGGAAAGACCAATTGTCTGTCGTGTCGACAGTCGTCGGAGAAGGTGGGAAAGACGAGTTGAAGCGCGAAAACAGCGAATCACTTCAATTGCAACAGTTGGAGATGACCAATTTCGGCGAGCGACTGCCCGTTAATATCGGCATTCCCGACGCTTTCGACGAGACAGTCTTCGACAAGGCCGAGCTCAGCATCAAAGAGCTGGTCCTGACCAACACATGGGCTAAGTTTGTTAAAGCCGGATTCGCTCAGAACAGTGCCAAGTCAAGCTTTTCTACTCGTTTCGAGACCGTGGTTGACGCATGTCGACTTCGACTCCCTAACCGACTTCCAAAGCTTGCTGGCAAGTTTAGGAAATAAAGTCAATAATCTTCAGGGCGGCATTTTCGAGGGCTCATAGCGTGGAGACTTTATGAAGGTAAAATGATCGGGAGAAAGAGTTGAGCAACGGAGATTATTACCAAATGTCACGGATTTGTTTGCGTATGCTAGGAGGGGTCTAGGATTGCTCCGACATCACACTCGCTGGAAAATCGAGGATATTATCACAGAACATCCTCAGGAGAGCAGCATTGTCCTCTGTATCGACCAGATTTCGGGGTATTAAAAGAGCCAGGAGAGAGATAATGGCCGATGCATTTGATATCTCCGGTGGACAACCCAGTCGAAGCTTGTGCAGTATGCACAATAAATAAACTTGCTTCCCACCTCAAGCACTCTGAAGAAGATGTCCATTGCAAACAAACAAACATCTCCTGTGGCTGGTACCAGATAAGTTGTCCGAATCACAAAATGCAGCAATGCGGCTCATCAATACGTGCTCCCTCGCCTGTTGTCCATGCCCATCTCCGCTGCCGTGACCTTGATCCCGTCGTCCGTCTCGATCTTCACGCTGCTCGCCACGCTCGCTTCGTCGGCCCGGACCTTGCGCCCAATGAACCACCAGCAGGGGCTGAAGATCTCCTCGCGCGCGGCCTCGGCGGTGCTGTCGACGCAGTAGGCCAGGGTGACCATGGCGTCGGTGACGCCGCGGTCCCACAGGCCGACGCGCTCGCCGACCCACACCATGCCGTAGCACAGCCGCCGCGGCCAGGCGGACATCTTCCACGCCGTCCACCAGTCCGTCCACGTCGTCGCCAGGTGCCGCGCGCCCACGAACGGCCACCACCACGCCCGGTACGTCGTCCGGGGGGTGGGGGAGGGGGTCTGGCAAGGGCGTCGATGAGGGAGGGGCCGGGCGCATGGAGACGAGGTTGGCGCCTCCCAAGGAAGAGGAGGAGGAAGATAGGGAGGTTTTGAAGGGGACCAGAACTGGCGATTGATGCTGGGAGAGAGGAGCGGGAGGACTCCTTCCTGCAGGGGTGATGGTGGTCTCTTGTGCCTCCATGCTGCTGCTCCCCTTCCTCTTCTTGTTCTTTCTCGTGCCCCTTGCCACGATGGCGTCCTCCTCCACCAACGTCTTCGCATAGTCAAAATGCGCCGCAAAATCCTCTTCGTGCAGGATCTCGAAGCCCGCCCCAATCATGGCCTCCCTCGCCTGGTCGCTGGTGTGCAGGTTGCTCAGGGCGTTGCCCCTCTCGAGCCGGTTGCGGATGCCGACGTGGCGCTGGTCGGCCGGGTCGTACTTGGGCGTCATCACCCACTCGGACAGCCCGAACAGGGCGCCCGGCTTGAGCACGCGCGCGATGCCGCTGTAGACGCGTAGCAGGGACGGCGAGTGCACCGTGGCCTCGATCGCGTAGGCGGCGTCAAAGGACGCAGAGGCGAAGGGGAGGTCCTGCGCGCCGTGCTCAATGTCTTTAGCATTTGATGCTGATGTATAAGGAGGGAGTCTCTTCCTCTTCTTCTTTTCCGTTGGTCATTTCCCCACCATTTACGAACGGTCTGGGGAGATTTCATCAAGAGAACGGGGCCCTGTCGGATACCAAAAAAGGGAAAATAGAATAGATATGTAACGCGAGGTTTCAGTATCAACCTACCAGGAAATCCCCCCTCACAAACGTGCATTTGTCCTGCAATCCCTCCATGGCGGTCAAGTAGATGGCGCGGTCGATCTGGGCCTGGTTGATGCTCACACCGACGATCTCGCAGCCGACGAACTTGGCGATCTCGCGCGCGGGCCCGCCAATGCCGCAGCCCACGTCCAGGACCTTCATGTGCGGCTTCAAGTCCATGAGGAAGGCGAGGCGGTGCTCGTAGAAGGCCAGCGCCGTGGCGATCGTGCTGTCGCTGGGCGGGAACGACGGCGGGAACGGCGTGTAGTGGAAGTGCGTGGACCAGCCGTTCTCGTACGCCGCCGAGGCGAAGGTGTAGTATCTGCCAGCATGGTCAACACCAGGGTTTCAGTTGATATTGGACGTGATCGATCCGTCCCGGGGTTTTGGTGGAGGGCGTATGGTTGATGGGGCAATGAATGGATGGTTTCATGATGGCTGCATGAAGATACACAGCGTATGTATGTGGGTAGGTAGGTATGTACTCACGAATCAGCCACCTCTGCCGCCGCCTGTTGTCTCTTCTTCCGCTCTTCCTCTGTCACCGTGGTCTGATCATCATCCTTGCCGTAGTGAGAGGTGAAGGCGTGCACGGCGTGGGCAAAGTTCTCGATCTTCTTGGGATTCCCGTTTCTGTCTCCCATCCCGTCCGTCCGTCACGTAGCTTGCCTAGCCAGCTGTTGAGTAGCCTCTTGTGCGATTTATTCCCAGGGCCTTCGAAGGAGAGAGAAAAATTCCCTGCTCAATGCTTCAGGGGCGAGATAGATGGAGGGAGCTGGGTAATAGCATGGAGAACTTGGACTGTGAGCTCAAATTGGGCCTGAACTCGTTCTGTTGGTTGACATGGCTCAAGCCAGTCAGGACGGTGTTCCCCCCTTGCGTGAAGAGGCAACGTAGGAATGTGTCCATTGTCTGCAGGAGAACAATACTAAGCAGTGTTGTGGAGTGTGTTTTCGCATCAAGGGATGTTTGATGACCCAGAGACTAGCAGCAAAGGGCTTCCAACAATTCGGGGGTCTTCGGCCACCACCTTCCATTGAGGCCTCAATTCTCACTTCTCCTCGTTGTGGATGACCAGAGAGAAGAAGTCACCTCCCACCAAGCCAGGTATCGCTGCATAGTCCTTGAAGCAATGCAGTCGTTGATGGAGAGAGCTGCAAACAGCGAACACTTGAACAATCGAATGGTGGCTTAAATATGTGCAATCACGAAAGCCACGACGAAGATGGAGAACAGCAATTCCATCGTCAGATTCTGCAGACGCATTTATTGTCTTCTACCTACAGCCTGCAAGTTATTCGTTTTCTATCACTGCAACTGGCACAAGGCAGACATATTTATCTATCCATATCGCAGGGAATAGAAGTTGACGGTAAAACCTTGCCCACGGGATTCGAGGTTGACAGGTCCCCTCATCCATCTCTACTCATTCCACATCCATTTCATCCGCTCGACTTCTTTCTTCTTGATTTCCAGCCTTCTCCCTCAGAAAAGCATCTGGTTGCGTGCAAACATGCTTTTGGGGGGTTGTCGTCACGTAATGCTTCGGGACCATAAACTCATGTATGCAATTCTTCGTAAAGTCATGGTCTTGTCTATTAATGCCTTCACGCCGAGTGCTTTACAACTTGTCTGTTTGAATCGTTAGCAGGTGTGCGATACGCGACAGTGGACAACGAGAAAACTCACCATAGTAGTTGTCATAGCCCGGAACTTGCTCCTTGAGACCCTTCCTCTTACGCATGTCCGTAACAATCTTGCCAACCATGGTGGTGGGGTCAAGTGGCGAACCACCAGGGAGGATTTGCCAGTGATCGAAGACAGATTGAGGGAAGGCTTGACCACCAGTAGCAGCGCGCAGATCAGCATTGAAGCCGAACGACTCCAGGACGGGAAGGTATGCCTTGACGGTGAAAAGCGGGGTGCCGACACGTTGCTCCTCGGAGAAGACGTGACCTCTTCTGCGGGTAAGGACACCGTAGATGCCACCCATGGCCTGTTCCGGAACTTGGATCTCGACCAGGTAGACGGGCTCAAGGAGACCGGGCTCAGCGAGCAGGGTGGCGGCATAGAGCACACGTCGGGCAGTGGGGATGATCTGGCCACCACCACGGTGGATGGCATCAGCGTGCAGGGTCACATCCATGATGTTGAAGCGGACGGAACGCATGGCTTCTTCGGCGATGGGACCTTCACGAGTCGCCCACTGGAAACCAGACACGAACGAATCCTTGATTTCGTTGAGGTACTGGACGGCCTTGGTCTGGTCAACCAAGAGGTTGGCACCGGTAGTATCGGGACCGAACGCCCAGATCTTACGAGCATCAGTAACATCCCAGCCGTGCTCATCGGCCAGGATACGGGCGCGAGCCTTGAAATCATCGCGAGGCGTGATCTTGCCGTTCTCAATGTCCTTGGAGACTTCCTCACCAAGAGGTTCGGCGATGACGTAGAGACGGTTGTGCTTGTTGGGTGACTTCGACAGAGCAGTCATGCTAGAGGTGGCACCAACCGTCTCGCGGTACGAAACGACGGGGTCGCTGATCTTGAGGGGAACACCGGCATGGTCCTCTTCCAAATCTTTCAAGCAAATTTCCAAATGGAGCTCACCGGCGCCAGCAACGATGTGCTCGCCGGACTCCGAGATTTGGGTCAACACGCAAGGATCAGACTTGGACAACCGCTTCAGACCTTCGACGAGCTTGGGCAGGTCGTTGGCGTTCTTGACTTCGACCGAGCGCCGGACGACGGGGGAAACGGAGAACTTCATGACCTTCAAGTTGTGGGCGGTTTCCGATGTGGTGAGAGTACCAGACTTGAGCAAGAACTGATCGATGCCGACCAGACCAATAATGTTACCGGCGGGCATATCATCGATCGGCTCGACGGTGCGACCCATCATCAGGACGGTACGTTGAATCGACTTGATGAACAGATCTTCCTTCTTGCCAGGGACGTAGTTGGGGCCCTGGATACGGACCTTCATGCCGGATCGGACGGTACCAGCAAAGACACGGCCGAAGGCATAGAAACGACCCTTATCAGAAGTCGGCACCATCTTGGAGACGTAGAGCATGAGATCGGCGTTAGGATCGCAGTCGCGGATGGCAATGCAGGATGGGTCATCAGCTGGACCCTCGTACAAGGTCTCGGCACGGTATTTCTGGGCGGTGACGGGGGATGGCAGGTGGATAACCATCATTTCGAGGAGAGCATCAGCAGCAGGCAAGAACTTCCTCATGGCAGCCTTGAGAAGACCCTTGCCAGGAAGTTCCTTCTCTTCGCTGGTGATCTTGATCTCGAGCTTGGCACACAGCTCAACGAGTTGATCAACCTTGCCCTTCTGGAATGCATCGAAAATCTTGAAGATGGGGTCGAGAATGAACTGATTGAAAGCACGCTCAAGGGTCTTGCCCTCGTGGTCGGCAGTCTTGGTCCATTTCTTGGTCTTAGGGTTGAAGTAGTTGTCGCCCCAAAGACGCTCCATCATCTTGTTCTTGTCCACGCCGAATTTCTTGGCATACCGGACGGCGAATTGCCGCACGGTGAATGCCCAACCGTGAAGACCGGAACCGAACGCAACCGTACCCTTCTCAGGCCAGACCTGGACATCACCAAGGGCCTTGTCGAGGTAGGTGGAAATGATGACATTGACTGACTCGATGGTACGGAGGAACGACTGGTAGAGATCTTCCTTCTGGAGTTGCAACTCGAGGAGAGCACGGTCGACTTTGTTGATGATGACGACGGGCTTGATACGCTCACCCAGAGCCTGTCGGAGCACAGTCTCAGTCTGGACGCACACACCTTCAATGGTGTCGACAACCACCAAGGCACCGTCAGTGACTCGGAGAGCGGCCGTGACCTCAGACGAGAAGTCGACGTGGCCGGGAGAATCGATCAAGTTGATCAAGAATTCGTTGCCATCAACTTTCTGAGGTTGAATTAGTCAATTGCAAGTATCATCAGCTGCGTGAGCGCATCTCTTACCTGGGGAATATCCTTCAAGGATTCCTCATCCGGAAGATGGGCATACAGGGAGATGGCAGTCGACTTGATGGTGATACCACGCTCCTGCTCATCTTTTCTCGTGTCCGTAAACCGACTGCGAAATGGTTATTCTCTATCTCTTGGGCCAGATTGAGAACGAAACCTACGCTTCGCCTGCCTTTGCTGCAGAAATAATACCGGCTCGCTGGACGAGAGAGTCGGTCAAGGTGGATTTTCCGTGATCGACTGCGAGATTGGTCAGCTTGCGCAGTCTCAAGAGGGCGGGTTTACCACAAACCGTGAGCAATGACGGACATGTTGCGAATGTTCGCCGGCTTGTCCATCAACTTTTTGGGGTGTTAGTCCATATCGATCGTAACAGCCGCAACTCTTTGAGATCTAATTCTCCAATCGACGCTTATCGGAGGAGGGGTAACTTACAGCGCGGATTTCTTCGATTGTGAACTGCCCCAGAGTCAGCTGTGATCATTTCATGGAGATTGAGTAGACATCGACTTACGTTAACCATTTTGACGGTTTTTGATGTTGAACTGCCCTAAATTGGCCGAAAAGTGCGCTCCCTTGAGCTTTCTGAGATGAAACTGGTACCAAATCGAGAGCTCGCTCGATTTGCCAAAAGACAGGGCGAGAACCTGCGCTGGTATAGATGAAGAAGAATGAGGATTGCAGCTGGTTGAGCCGCGAGTTGGCGAGGGAGAACTCGAGGGGAAAAGAGGGTGAGGGAGGGGTTGGACTTAGATGAGGAAAATCTTGGTGGTTAGAAATGCAAGTGTCGAGTGCGGCAATTTGCCAAGCAAGCTTTCACGTGGGGCTGCTCTGACTGCGAGGTAGTGAGTAAAGTACTCCATACGTCGCCCACTACCGAGTACTCTGTACGCAGCAGGTACAAGTACATAGTCAGGTGACAAGAGCCGGCATCGTTTCTTGGCAAAGCTCATACATCACCGTTAACTCCGTCTTTCTCTGTCTATTAAATTGTATTGGCTTAAACCCCTAGGATCGAGTCTTGTCGTGGCAATTAAACCTTTCATTCTTGAGTCATCTAGGTACAAAACGCTGGCCAAATATGGCATTGGGAGGGCGGTGAGTCATCGGAGATGTCTGATGCATGACTATTAAACTGCAGCATACTTTGAAACAAGACTATTGGACAAGCGTTCCACTGCCCTCGGTCTATACTGACCAATTCCACAGGCCTTATGTGCGCTTGCTCCTCTTGTATACCCTTGCCACATGCCCGATGGGTGGGGATAAGACGACGTCGACCCTTGACGAAACCAAAACAGACCTTTGCTTGTCGCGGCATCAGACCATGCCCGCTTGAACGCTCTCATTGCCCACATATACCAGTGGTAACCCATGTCGAAAACCAGACCAACCATCCGAATGAGCTATGAGCTTCGGGACTAGCGCACTCCTTGCCTCCTAGAATGGTGTTACAAATGTCAACTCCGACTCCACACATTGTCTTCTTCAATCATGTTGGCGTACTGGCCTTCGCCACGCTCCGTCCAGCGCTCTTCCTCGTCCCCTTTGTCGATAAAATTGTTCTCGTCGTCACTCGCTGCCCTCTCAGGGGCTGGCGGCCTCGGAGCCACGCTAGCCGGGTCCCAACCTTCTCGTATCTCCTGTCCTTCTGGAGCCTCCTCGTCGATGCTGTAGGTGCGTACGAAATGCCGCTGAGGCTTTCGATTCCAGGCGTCACTGCCTTCCTTGCGAGCTCTGACGCGCTCTGCTTCCTCTGCTTCTGAGTCTTCGACAACGAGATCTACAAGTTGGCTGCGGTCGGACTTTCCAGAAGCCGAGGGTGAACGCTCTTTTGGACGTCTCAACTTCGCTTCAACGGCACCTTGGTGTGAGGAGCTTTCCGAAGGTGACGTGCTCCGGGTTTTGCCTTTTCGGATGCTGTCCTGGATTTCACTCTGACGGCGGCTCTTCCGATCCCGAGTTGGCTGAAAGAGGTTCCGATTTGTGGAGGTGGTTAGCAAGTTGGGATCACGGCGCAACCAATCTTCGCGTCGTGCTTCGTGGGCGGTGATGACCGGATACTGTGGAAGATGGACAGTTAGAAACATGGCTCAGCATTCACGAAGGTGTGAATAACTCACGTTCCAATCTCCAAATTCCAGAGCCCGCGCATTAGTAAATAATCTCTCGTCTTCAGCATCAATACCGATTTCAAAATCTGGCTCTGTTGCTCGGTATTCATGAGCCTTGCCTCGAGCTTCTGGCGCCGGGGCCCGAGACGATCCGTCCTTTGGCAACAGGGGTGTCCGACTGTTTGGCCTTTGGGGCTTTGGAATCCAATACTTGCCCTTTCCTCCCCTTTCATACCTCATGCCGTCCATCATCCTTGCAACACGCGAGTGCGACTCCTCGTGAGCAATAACATTGTCCCCAGAGTCAAACGTTCGATAGTCGTAATCCTTTCCTCTGAAAGTCTCCTTTGTGTCTTGAATCAGGTCCTTGAGACCAAAGGCATCTCTTAGTGCGTACTTGACGGGCATACGAGCTGCCGAGATGGTGACATCGGCGTAGTCATGCCAAGAGAAGGCATACCAGTGCGCCACGGCAAATATGGGCATTTCAAAGCAGATCAAGGCGTCTTGAATGGCTGCAGCAAGGTTGTCCGGGGTGTAGCCTGGGACGTCATTGGGGATAGCCCCAAGGAATTGTAGTATAGATAGGAAGAATCCTTGCCAGTATGAAGCGAAGATGATGAGTTTGATGCATAGGAACTTTGGCATAGGTCGGAATGGTTTAAGATCCTCATGCATACAGACCCAGAACATGGCCAGGAAATACAAGCTCATGGTCACGCTGACATTGTAGAGGAGGCCCGTCCAAAAGTAGCCCGAGGTCAAGGAGATGTAGCCTTCTTCGTATGTTCCTGTGAGCTTGAGGATGATGGTGGCAACACTAAGGACAGGTTTGAGCCACGCATACTGCAGAATACCTCTCTTGATCAAGAGAAAGGTATGTGGATCCGAAATGTCCATCTTGCCACACCACAGACTTATGGGCCACGGGTGAGATACAGGAGCTCGCCCATGCATCATGATGATGAGGGATCGTTCGCCGCCGAGGAAGTTGACGAGGAGTTGGAGAAAAGTGTATATTGTGAAGGCTTCGTATATATCACGAAGAGGATCGAGATAGAATGCCGCCTTCAGAGACATGATCGAAGCCCATGAGGCCGCGGAGTAGATGGGAACCATGAGCAGGATTCGAATGACATATCGTTGCAGCAAAGGCTTCCGGTAATTCTTGGATTGTAGCCATATTGATCTGGCCAGGTAGTTAGCACTGTATACCTCGACAAGATCTGGGGTTCTCAAGACGTACACCAACGATATGAGAGTAGCAAGCAATGACGCTACTCCAGCCAAGATGATTATGAGTCTTGTGAGTTTGCTGCCCGTTCCACCACTTGCCATCGTTTCCATGATGATGAGAGGCAATGCCTTCAGGCACCTGCGCCGCAGCGAGACAAGTTCCAGTCCCGTTACCGTGAGCTCCAAGCCAACATGGTGTCGAGTTGAAAACACGCCACAAAGGAATTGACAAATGACTGAAGACGAATTCTGGTAATGTGAGGAGAGTCAATTCATCACTTATAGGGGTGTAGGCAGGTCATGCAGCGCGATCGTGAAAAAGTGCAAGAGATAGATGGCATGCGCCTGGTCGGGTTTTCTGCGGGGAAAAGTGCATCACCGCAGGTCATCATCGTGCATCTCATAAGTCCACATCCGCACCTCGACGCGGGTTCGCTTTCCGTTGCAACGCCCTCGCGGTACTTCTAGCAACTCTCTTCTATTGCCGTGCGCTCCTGCAAACGCAACAGACGATGCGACCCCTCTTGCAATACCGATGACCATGGGCGTGTCGCCGCTTGGTAACAGGCCCATGAATCATGTCGGATTTGGATAACCTGGTCGGGGCTCCCATCTCGAGGAATACCTCTTTCAATTGGTGAGCACCTGTGACCGTTGCATCTACGAGTAATCCAGATTGGTGCTAACGCCCTCTAGGACATGGTTTATCGAACTCGCCACATGCTCTTGCCTGACGCTATTCTTCCTCTTTTACTTCAATCGCCTGTTCGCGACCCTCGTCTCCTACGGACTGAGAGCATTCACCTGGCACAAGTACCGAGTCTGGATTGACATTCAAGCGCTTCAGCTCTCCTTCTTGGCTGGACGAGTTTTCTTCAAAGGCATCCGCTATCATGCCGAGAATGAAACTGTGCTGATCCAGCATGGCTACATCACTTGGAGATATTGGCAATCTTCCGCACGACAAGTAGATCTAGCCGGACTGGAAGAGGAAGAGGAAGATTCGGTGCTCAAAGAGAGAAAGTCGTCGCCTGCAGACGGCTCTGACGAGTCGGAGACACGCTTTCAAGATCCCGAGTATGGCCGGCTTAGGAGAAAACCGATTGCGGACGCCCGTATCTCGGTGCATCTCACTGGACTGGAATGGTTTGTCTACAACAGAACGCCTGTATACGACTCCATTGTCGAAGATGTCTTGAACCATGATCTCAAGGACGGTGGTCCACATAATCATACTACTGGCCAGAAGCACGAACACAAGCTAGGCAAGCTGCATCTCCGTAAGGACAAGACAAGACCTCTTTCAAAAGACACCTCTTCCAGCGATACCTCCGCCGATAGCCCGTTTAACGAAAAGACTGCCCGGTTCTCTTCATCGAACGATGTCCCGGTTCCCATCGTACGGTCCGACACCTATGCCAGCGTGGCCCCAGACACAGAGCGTCCTGCAGCAGATATACCATCCTTTTATCCCTGGATTCTGCGAGCCCTGCCAATTGCTGTTGAGTGCTCAAAGGGGGCAATCTCACTTGGAAATGAGAATACAAGGGCATTGGTCGTCACAACCTTTGCAGCCGCGAAAGGCCATATCGACGCAACCGCGGCGAGGTCGTCGGACTTCTTCCGGCAGGTTTTCGACTTTACCATTGACCATCCCAAAGTCGAAATGAAACCTAACCCTGACTTTCGTAGAACTCAGTATGTCGCTGCTGAGAGGATAATATCAGCGGCAGAGTCTCTGAACCATCGACGACGTTGGTGGCAAGTAAATCTGGGACTGAGACGCCGAATTGGGAAAGCCCTCCGGGGTCTCAAGCGTCTCCTACCAGGCCTAGGCAGTTCAAGGGGCTCGCTACGGACCACTGCATCACAAGACGGCGATACCAAGAAGTACTACCTCTATGACGAATTTCAGGATGAGAATCGATCGTGGCACGGCCTTGGTAGGTATCTGGACGAGGACGAGCGCGACGACCACGAAGGTTGGTCTCATGTGGAGTATGCTAGGTTTTCACAAATCCTAGACTCGCCAGCAGTTCATTTCAAGTTCTTCTGGGACATGCCGGGGAAGGTGACGGAAGCAGATGCGGAACTGAGCCGACATGCAGACGTAAAAGACATCAACATGTCGAAGCCACCTGCCTATGGTATGGACCTGACTGTGAAAGGTGGCTTTGTAAACTACGGACCTTGGGCCGACCGCCTTCGCATCGAAATCCAGTCAGCATTTTTCCCCAACCCTTACCGATCCGTTTCACCAGCTCTGCCTGTCAAAGTAGGCGACGCGAGGCAATATACGGTAATGACGATACGCGTGGACCTTGAAGGTGAGGTTAGCCTGCGCGTACCGACCAGAGAACGCTCGAAAGATTGGCAATGGAGAAATCGAGCGCACGCAGTCAGGGAAGCTGCCGCTGTACGGAAGCAACGCGAAAAAAGACATTTTCGATTCCGTCGCTCTCCTAAGACAAAACTTGGGCCCGATATTCGCCCGTTCGGCTGGTTGACCGTTTCAGCAGGACAAGATTCGACAGTGCGATACGATATGGACCTAGTCCCTCGAGCAGAAGGCTACAGAAATCACCTGCGGCTGGACCTCAAGCAGACGAAAGCCACTTCTAGCGTCAATCACGCATTGCTCTGGCGCTGCCCGTCGCAAAAGGTCTCATGTGACCTGTCCAATCCCTTAGTGTGGAACGCCCTTCATACCTGGGTTTTCGACATTGAGAGCAGCGCCATGGAGATGTTCATCTTGAGGGACCACATGATTCTGCTGACAGATCTTGTCGGCGATTTTACAGCAGGACAGAAGCCGGACTACATGACCTTTGTACCTTTTATGTATCGACTCCACTTGAAATTCCCAGATCTCAAGCTCTATCTCAACGCCAACGATTACAATATTATTGACAATCCATGTGACCTTGAGGAAAACGCATTCTTAGTCCTAGGATTTCAATCGCTGGCTGGCAACGTGGATATTCCCATGCAGTACTTCTCACCTCGTCAGAGCAGCGTCAAGTTTGTTGGTGAGGGACATAATGCGTCTCTGGAACTCATCACGCCGGTTTGGAACACGCTCAATACTCTCGCCGAGGATACAACAATGATGACGCTCAAGCTGCTTCATCTCGAAGGCTCTTACAACTACTATCCCAATGTATCTCCCAACTTAACAGATTCTCTGTTCATGACCATTACAGGCTATACGCCAAAATTCTTTTTGCATGGTTACCTCATCCGCTATTTTGTGAACGTCAAAGAGAACTACTTTGGAGAAGACCTGCATTTCAGGACGCTGGAGGAGTATCAGGATGCGTTGGCTGGTGATGAGCTCCCGCGAATGCGACCAAGCAACAAAAAGGACAATGACCTCGATGTGATCTTGACTATTCGAGCCGAGAACTCTAGCGTGCTGTTACCTGCGAACATTTACTCGCGGCGAGAAAATGTCCGTGTGGATATCCTTCTTGTCGACGCCGACATGCGCTTTACCAACTATTACATGGACTTACAGGTTAGCTCAAGCCCACTCGAGGCTTCGCTCGAGTGTATAAGCGTCAAAGACAACGAGCCATCCAGCACGATCACGAATTGTCAATTATTCATAGATGGCGCGGGGGTGTACGGTCACAGGCTTTTTGGAGCACCCCCTTCGGAGCCTACGTACGCCTGTCACTGGGATATCAATGTTGGCGAGATCACGGGCGAATGCTCTTCCAAATTTGTTCAAACTCTAATCAATTCCGTCATGGCATTCATCTATACCCTGGACGACGACGAAAATTCTTTGCCACCTTTCAATCGGACAGCTGTCCACGATGTGACCTTCCTCAGAGCCAATCTCGCCGGTCTCCGTCTTTGGTTGATTTCAGGAGGAACTGCTTATATGTTAGAGCTTTCTGAATCTGATGTTTCGTTTAGCGACTGGGCCAATTTCAGCTTCGCAAAGACGTTGCGTGCCAGCGTCCCCCGCGTCGCTCTCGCTGCCGTGGATTACAAAGCGGCTCTGAGACATCACGATCGAAGACCAGGCCCGGTAGAGACCTTTGCCTGTTTCGAGACCTCTCTTCGGATTGGAACGCTGGACAAGACAGACAATCTTGCACATACCCGCGCGCTACAACAGCAGCATATTCGCTATCATGATCAACGAACCCACCGAGCAGATTGGTTGTTAGATTCTGGCAACCATTACCCGCCAAATCACAGGACACCTGAATGGGCCCGTGATCCGCCAGCCATGCCAGTGCCCTCAATGCCTGAACCTATAGGAAGAGTAGAGAAAACGACGTTTCCGGGTTCAAGGGACCGCCATGGTCAGAGACGTGATCCCGGACGACAGGCCTCCTTTATATCTGCATCATCAGTTCCACTGCAAAAAGGATTGTCTGCCGAGCCTCGGGTGCGGAATCAATCAGATCATGGCCCTGCAGGATCTTGGCCACCCCCATCGGACAAGTCTGGTCCAAGCCGTGAAGGGCTTGACCGTCTTCATTCTAGAGATCGAGATGTGCATCAAGCATTGGTGACGTTCTCCAGCCCATGGACGCCGCCGCACTTTTCACTGCACGATGTTGAACCCAACACAAGATATCTGCCCCAGCTGCCTGACTTAGATCCAGCTCAGTTCCCCTCCTTGACGCCTGCGGCCACCAAAGATTCTGGAACTACACCAGACGAATTCGAGGACACGCCACATAATGGCGTTGTCTTTATGGTCCAGAATGGCCTGACAGGTTTTTGCACTCCCGCTCTCTTTCTTTCAATAGGGGACTTAATCCGAGAACTGAATGACGATCATCCGGTTGACCAGCTCGACAAGGTGCAAATTACGGTGATGAAGCGAATTATGGAAACTCACAAGCACGATGACAAAGGCCACGTTGTGGACTTTGCTGTCCAGTTACCCTTTGTGCATATTAGGCTGGTCAACGGCCTACAAGGCGAAAGCCAGAGTGATACACCAGTTCCAAAGCAAGACCAATACGACGTGAAACTGAGGAGTTCACAGTTGTTTTACCGCCTCTTACACCCGAAGACCAGTGCCAGGTTGGAGCCCAGCCCAGCGCACAGTCAATTGGCGTATGGTTCAATCGAAACCCTCTCTGTGTCTGTGAGGGACGACAGCTTCGCGGCTGAGAGACCCTCTGCCCAGACCGCAGTCTCGCTCGCGAACGTAGGATTCTGGTTCTGCATGAAAGAAGACATTACTTCAAAATTACAGTTGAGCAACTTTGATGTGGTCTTATGGGCGGATCAACTCAACAGCATGGCAGGACTGATTCAGAGGACAGTGTCAATGGTCGATCGCATTGTCGATGCCTTCGAAGGACTTGACCAGAGCTACAAGTCGAGGCACTTAATCTACCATCTAACTCAGGCGGGCAATACTGTCTCGGATCCTATCTTTCTGATGAGACCCTCCTATGTGCTCCGAAGCGCAGACAAACACGTCCGTCTGAGCGACTCCTGGAAGATCATTTCTAGGCTCAGATACATATTTGCTGCCCTTGAGAAAGAACACGGACGAGACTTCATCGATAAGTGCGGCTGCGAAGACCTCGAGCTGAAAGATCCCGCCAAGCTCCAGGTTCTGAACTCTTTTGAGGAATGGCGAGGCTGGGACTACGCGCGCGACGTGGTGCCAATTATGAGCTCTCTTTTCGAATGCGGACGTGTCCAAACTCCGGAAGCATCTGACGATAAGCTCGTTGTACGGTCGGAAATCATTGTGGGAAAACTTGAAATTATCTTGGATCCCGGCCCCCGTCAAAGTGATCTGGCTCTCCTCGGCCTCGACTTCAACATAATCCTGCGCCCTGCAAGCGCCTCTGGGATCGGTGCCAACGCACGGAAAATTATCCTTCAAGCCTACACTGCAGACACCTCGCTCCATCTCAACTGGGCCTTGGTTGAACTCGCGCGGCAGGTCATAGAACTGGGTAATCCTCTGGCACTGGGAACACCAAGCACAAGCGATTCCATTGAGAAGACAGCGCAGAAGGTGTCTGCGAAAAGGAACCACTTTACAGTTATTGTGGGAGCTGATGCAGCCTCCGTTTACCTTACCACTATCAACCTCAAGCTGAAATGGGCAGCTGAAAACTTTCGAAGCGGCGTTTCTTTCTCCGAAGGCGGCTCTCAGCCTACGATTTCCTCTTTTACGATTGCAGCATACACCGCAATGGCCAAGTTCAGAAGTCATTCTCACACATTGATGATGTGGCGTCTTCGTATGCCAAAGTTATATGGGTCACTGTGGCCGCAGCCGCCCACCAGCTCCGGAGACCAAAAGATGATGGTTCAGCTCTGTGCAGCCTCGCACAAGTTTCGGTTCCAGATGAAGCATGATATTGTCAAGCTGCTTGTAGTTGCCGACTCTGTCGTCCGCGAAGAAGTTGCGACAATTATTGATCTGGTCCAACAGGTGCCTAGTGGGAGCGGCGACAAGGTCCAAAAGATTTCAAGCTCAAACGATGCCCTGAATCTCGACCTCCGTGTGGCTATGTTTTTGGACGACTACAGGCTAAACTTTGTGATTGTCCCATCTCTACACTATGCCATTGCCGGAAACGTGGCTCGTACATCGATTATTCCGCGGCGAAACGGAGGGTTGGACGTCAATTTTGACATCAAAGAGCACGAGCATTTGTTCGAAGTACCCCATGGCGCGTCTCGGGGCAATCTGTCCCTCTTGAAGATGCCGCCGATCAATGGGCGTCTTTCCTTAGCTCAGACAGATGCCCTCGTTTCTGTCCGGGCTCGTATGACTGTTGAGGAGATCAATCTGGAGGCATCAGGTGTACGAGCTTGCTTCGATGCGCTGAATCAGCCTGGTGTGATCCAACTAATACTCGATGCCAGGAGGGCAGTCCAGCAAGTACAAGAGTCTGTTGATCATATAACAGGTGGCAAGTCCAAACCCGAGGTGGAAGAACCGGCTGGCGCCGCAGTTCTGCTTCGCTATGCAATTCACGGAACCCTTGCAGGAATTAAGGTCCACTTCAGTGCTCCATCTGTCAGGGAAGATCAGGACTACCGTGCTGATATGGAACTCACGATTCAAGGGACGACTTTGTACATCCACAACGAGGCGGAAAATCCAGACTCGATCCACGAACGACCACAATTTATCCTCAACTCTCAGGGCGTCGGCGTCGGGCTCTATCGCAGCACAAGATACGAGCGAACCAATTTTGGAACCTGTACCGTAGGTCTGAAAGCCTCCGGGAAGACCGAGATTGTCGGGAATTCGGGGACAGTCCAGGTTTATAGGGCTTGGAGCAATAGAATTGCTATTGAGCTTTTTGAGGAGAGTGCTACCCTCGCCGTCGACATTATTGCTTTTTTGCAAGATCGAATCAAATCCCTCAAACTTGCGGATAATGGAGAGAACATCCAACGCATCCGGAGGATGACCACTGCCGGTATTACAGATCGACTGAGGCCAAGGGATCCAATGGATGTGGCTAGTGAAGCGGCCGAGAGCGTCGACGGCGCTTCAACCATTCTTTATGCGTCCACGTATGCTCTTGATCTTGAGAATATTATGCTACGATGGAATATGACGCGGAGGCCTGGGTTTTCAGCCACCCGTGAGATGGATGATCTGGTTTTCTCGATAAGGAAGGTCGATCTCAAGACCCGGCAAGAGGGCACCGCTCGATTATCGATCGTGGACACACAACTACAGATCGTCCCACAGTCACAATCGAAGGATCCTACTGTACGGACAGCCAACTCTGCGTTACTACCGGAAGTTGTCTTCGCCACTGCCTACCTCTCCACGAAGCATGAACGACGCTTTGCATTCCAAGCAAAAGGGAAAGCCCTGGACCTGCGACTTGCTTCCGACTTCGTGATTCCAGGTCACGCCTTACAAAAGTCCCTTGGCGGTGCCAGCGCCGAGTTACGCGGAGCGAAGAGTTTCCGTGAGGCCAATCCAGCAACACCACAAGCCCCTCAGATAGATATTCTGGGCGGAAAGCGATTGGCTTCTCTTCTGGTTGATGCCGACTTTGCCGGAGCTGTCGTCCATATTAGTCCTCGTTCCGAAGCTGAACATAAGAGCTCAGTATTCGGATTCCTGAAAGGCAAGAAACGTTCTCGAGCAGGTCGGTATGGTCAAGCAGTCCAAGGAGAGGATGTGTCATCGGCCGTGTTGAAAGCTCCTGGTGTTGCTCTCAAAGTCGAGTACAAGGACCACAACAAAGAAGATCCATCCCTCAGCACCGAGGTCAGAGTCGCGGCATCTTCGAATACTCTCTTCCCCACCGTCGTGCCTCTGATCCAGGAGATATCAGCAAGCATCAAAGAAATCCTGGGCGACGATCGACCTCAGGACGGCAAGGCTAGCTCGGCCCAAGATGCTCGCAGCTACTTGTCCGATGCGAGTCTGAGCAACTCGAATCCGACTGCCATCTTCGGTCGCTGCAAGTTGAATGCTGGCCTTTATATACAAGCACAGGAATTCAGCTTGAGCTGTCAACCTATTGCGAGAGTGGCGGCCACTGCTCGATTCGCAGACATATTCGTTAGGGTCAATACTGTGTCTGCGCCAGAGCAGGAGCGATTCTTTGCAATCCAGACGACGTTCAATAAACTTGGAGCTTCAGTTCAACACGTCTACTCTCGGGAATCTACCGCGAGCTTTGAGGTGGATTCCATTGTCATGTCATTGATGAACAGTAAGCATGTGAGTGCCACCACCGGTGTCTCAGCGGTTCTGCAAATCAGTCCCATGAAGACGGACATCAATGCGAAACAGCTGCAGGACTTTCTCCTATTCCGCGAAATCTGGTACCCTCCAGAACTTCGGAACATGTCCAAACCAGCCGATCCCGTTGCATCTCCTCTGGATCAACAGGCTTATGCCATGCAGCGCTATCAGGAGCTTTCTGGGAAGGGCACCTTGCCATGGCATGCTATTGTGTCTGTGCAGGAAGTCCAGCTCCAGGTCGACCTTGGCCCGGGGCTTGGCAAGTCAGTCTTTACTATTTCCAAACTCTGGGCTTCGTCGAGGAAGAACAGCGATTCCGAACAAAATCTGTGCATCGGGTTCGACAGAGTGGGCGTCGATAGCACGGGGCGGATGAGCGGGCTCATTGAGCTGGAAAACATGCGAGCGCGAACGTCGATCAAATGGCCAGAAGATGCGACGGCGAAGAGACGCGCTCCCCTCGTCCAGGCATCTATCGGTTTTGAGCACTTCCGGGTCAAGGCTGCCTTCGATTATCAACCATTCGCCGTAGCCGACATCTCTTTCTTTGAATTTTTGATGTACAACGTGAGGCAGGGACTTGGAAACGACAGCGATCGGCTGGTCGGACTCGTCGACGGCGGTAAAGTCCAAGTATTTTGTACTACGGCTACTGCTGCGCAAGGCCTGGCTCTCGTGCAGGCATTTGAACGACTGATGCAGGAGAAACATGAAGCATACGAAACGTCGCTCCAGGATCTGGATAAGTTCCTCCGAAGGAAATCGATGTTTCCATCCAGCACTTGGACAAATCCAGCTCCGGCAAGAGAAAACAAAGAGAAAGCGGTTGCGAAAGGCACATTCGCGTTGCATACAGACGTTGTGCTGACCTTGGGAGCTCTTGATGCTGGTGTCTTCCCCAATACTTTCTTTGACAACCAGATCCTCAAGGTTGAAGCGACGGAAGTGCAGGCGAGGTTTGCCGTGGCGACGACAGAAGGTAAAACCCACAGCGCTCTAGGAATGACGCTAGGACAACTCAGAGTTGCGCTGTCGAGCGTCAATCGGGCGACCACAACGGCGCTGAGCGAGGTCTCCGTGCCAGATGTCATTGACAGAGCCACCACCTCTCGGGGGGGTACCATCGTCAAAGTGCCACGTCTTGTCTCCGCAATGCAAACCTGGCAGGTCGCGGACTCCAACACCATCGAGTATACTTTCAGGAGCACTTTCGAGGGCAAAGTCGACGTGGGCTGGAACTATGCGCGTATCAGCTTCATCCGTGGCATGTGGCAAGCCCATTCCCGTGCTCTGGCTCAGCGCCTGGGAAAACCCCTCCCACCGTCTGCCATCAAGGTCACAGCGGAGCCCTCCGAAGATGGTGAAAACGGACGCCAAGAAAAGATCACTGCGGTTGTCAATGTCCCGCTGAGTAAATTCACCTACGTGGCGCTGGAGCCGCCGATTATTGATACACCACAGCTCAGGGACATGGGCGAGGCGACGCCGCCCCTGGAGTGGATCGGGCTACATAGGGATAAGCTGCCGGAAGCAACGCATAGCATTGCAATTGTGAGTTTGTTGGAGATTGCGAGGGAGGTGGAGGATGCATACACCAGGATCTTAGGGGCGAGCTGATCTCCTTTCTTTGTTTCTTTCTTTGAAGCCGAGGCAAGCATAGCGACGGCGTTTGCGAGGACATGAGCAATGGGTATGAGTTCGGCCATAACTCGGAAAAAGCATGGGAATCGCCACCTACAACGGGATATTTCTATATCACAAAATTCCAAAGCCTTTTTGCTGTACGAGGAGATGTCGCCGACACGACTTCCGACCAGAAGCCCCTTTTTGGAAGTTACAACAGGAGCGGACTTGCACGTCGAGTAATAGTGGACGTGGGTGAGCTCTTGAACAGAAGAAAGCGAAGAATGATGATTGATGCCTACATGGTTCATGTACCCGCAGATGCTTACCAGGTATGTTTTGTTGTATATTTTTCACAGATCAAATGCTCCCTTAACGTAGAACCACCTGGAGACTTACAGTATATCTGACTGAAAGATGCAAAAGCGAGGGAGAAATTTCGTAAATTTCGTGAACTTGGCATCATAGTATGCTCACAGTTGAGTAATAGTAATAGTAATAGTAATAGTAATAGTAATAGTAATAGTAATACTAGTAGTAGCAGTAGCAGCAGCAGCAGCAGCAGCAGTGGGTATTCGCTCACTCGCTCCCTCGTTCGCTCCTTGACTCCTTTTCATCCCAAGCAAAGAAGAATATATAGAGGCCAAACACACAACTCCCCTTCCCGCTCCCTCTTTTTTGCACTTCCCGCCAGAGAACCTCCTACAACCCTGTTGAAAGGGAGGACTACGCGTCTGGGCTGTTTTGTCTTCCTGAGCTATACTGTCCCAATAATTCGATTCCTCTCTCTTCACATTCATTAATCTCCCTCCAGACCCCCAGCCATTTTTTTCCTCATTTACACTTCCCCGGCCCTCTGGGGTCTCACGGGAGACTCCTCGTTCTCCTCCTTGTACGCGTACCGACTGAGGCGGCGGATGCGGGCGCCGTAGAAGTAAAAGACGTAGGGGATGGCGCAGCACGCGAGGGCGAGGAAGGCCAGGAGCGAGCTGGCCCACTGGTAGCCCAGAGTGTGGTACATCTGGACGGTGAAAAGGACGACGCTGGCGCCCCAGAAGGAGCGGATGCAGGTCTTGGCGGCCAGGGCCGAGGCAGCGAGGTGCTGGTAAGTGTCCACCAGGTAGTTGTTGGCCGAGTTGTAGAGGAAGATGAAGCCGAAGCCGACGGGGAAGCCGCCCATCATGGGGCCCCAGTACGACACGTCCGGGTACGAGGTCCAGCCGAAGATGAACAGTCCCACGGGGATCAGCCAGCACGACAGCATCATGGGGATCAGGCGAGCCTCCGCGGGCGGTTTGCCGTCCGGGTACTTGGCGCAGATGGACAGGTAGTGCTTGTTGACCAGGGGCGAGCAGACGGCCGAGAGAACGACGCCCAGCGCCAGCGGGATGAACATGAGACCCGTGCTGCCCTCGGACCAGCCCTTGCCCTCGACGTAGATGATCGGGTAGGCGACGAAGAACATGTACAGCAGGCCGTAGAGCACCGACATGTACAGCGAGATGAGGAGGACGATGGGTTCGAGGAACAGCAGTTGCAGAGGCCGGAGGAGGAAGATGGCGAGTTGCTGTGTCAAGGGCCGCACGTCCAGGTCCCGTTCTGTCACGAATTTGCTGTTGCCCGTCTCCTTACGCAGTTTCTTCGCCCGCCTGTCCAGAAGGACCGGGGTGTAGGTCTCCGGCACAGTGAACGTCAGGATAGCCAAGCAGAGGCCGGCGAGGATCATTTGGATCCAGTAAAGCCATCGCCAGCCCGCGGCGTCACCGAGGAAGCCACCGGCCAAGGGGCCGATCGCAGGACCGATGAAGGGCGCAGCAGAAAAGACAGCCATGGGGACACCCCGCTCTTCGTTCTTCCACAGATCGGCCAGCGTTCCGCCGACGAGGGTCATGGGCGCAGAGAAGGCGATGCCGTCGATGAGGCGACAGACCAGCAGTGTCCCAATGTTCTGAGCCACGGCACAGGGGATCTCAAAGATGACCGCTAGAGCCAGGGTGATGACATAGACGGGTTTCCGACCGTAGAGTTCTGACAATGGTGCGAATGCGAGGGGACCGACACCGAATCCAATAACGAACATGGTGATGGTCAAGAGCGACACTTCCTCTGACACGTGGAACGTTTGTGAGACACCTTCCAAGTCGGCCGTGATGACGGCACTATTGAAGGCGACTGTGAAGCAAGTGAATGCCACGGCCATGGTGCACCACCATTCTATTCGCAAAAGAGTCAGTAAAAGCAGGAAGCAGAACCGATGCAATGTGGTGTGGAGAACATACTGTACGGCTTGGACCAGTTCTTTGGGTTTTCCGGGTCGCCAATCTTGAAAGTAACCAAGTCATGCTCTTCCAGCGTTCCTGTAACTCTGGACACCGTCTTCTTGGCAATCACACCGGTCGTCGTCTCCTCCAAGTATTCATTCATGTCGGCCTCATCGTTGAGGATGTCGTAAGGCAAATCCAGCACGTCTGAGGCATCTTGCGTCGGTCTGGTATGATAGCGCTCCAGCGTCCGCCGAGTAGACGCCCGCGTCAGTCTGCTGTCTGATTTCTCCAGCACACCACTGGCCTCCGACATGGTGGGCGTCGTAGTTAGGGAAGCCCCATGAGACGTGTGAGGGGGATACATAGTGAGCTCGACGAATGAGAAATAGTCAAGGGAAATAGTTTTGAATAGAAAGAATGCTTAGCTTCTCTGGGGGCAGAGGAGGATGGCAAAGTTGAGCTATGATACAGGAAGGGACAACAAAGAACCGGGAACCTGGTGTATATATAACATGGGTCCATGAAATCTCATGCAGTGTTGACAAAGCCGATCTAATGCCCAATCTTGACACCATCTTTGGCACATGCAAATAGTTCGATCTCCTCTGTCGCACTCGGTCGTGTGCAAAGCGCGAGAGGACGATGAGGTCGACGAAGTGGAGTGTATAGGCGGAAATGCCTGCCGCGAGGCTGCCTCACACCAATGAACCAGCACACTCACTTAAGCTTAACTCAGATGAAAGGAAAAATCGGCATCCCCCTGAATAGAGCGAGACGCCGAATGCCACTAAGCAGGGGCCGAGGGCGTTGATAAGTCGACGCAGTTCAGACCGAAGCCAACGAGAATATACCGTTGAGAACAGCCGCGCCTGAGTAGAGACGCTGATTGGCGGTGAAAGCGAGGAGAACGCCCCAAAATCCCGAGAGTGCGCCGAAGTCAACTCAGCGAGTCAGCAGCGAATTTTCTCCGATTTGGGCAACATGATATTGATGGCGGTTGGTCGCCTTGTGGAAGATCTGGTAAGGCTCTGAGGTGCAGGAATATACCACGAATACCAACCAAGTAGGACTCGATTCCCAGCCAGGGAAGGGCGTCGCGATTGATGTCACAGGACGATGTCTTTGCTGGTTCTGCTTGTTGTTATTTCCCGACTAAAAGTCCCTGCTGAATCAGCGTCTGGTGGACGTCGTCTAGTGTTCTTCAAGAGTTGCTTGACATTCTGTGGACAGTTGAGTGCTCTTCAGGAGCAAGGTCGTCTCTACTGTATTCTCGTCTGCTCGAAGCCACAAAATTGCAGCCATTTCCATTCCTTCAAGTCTTACCGTCGACAGGGCCAACCAGTATGAGGGGCTTGTCTGCGTTGCTCTCCTGATGGTTTTAGTTTCCTGTTCGTTCGAGCAGGATCGACGGAGATCGACCATCGAAGTCTAGAGTTCCCCGTTCGTTTGAACGTGGCAGTCGTGCCAATTACGGAGAGTGGCGGAAGTGAGGTCTAGCGTCTAGCAAAGCACTTACTCATCCAGGGAGCCAAAAAGAGGCATTTTGTGAAACGAGGGAAACAGTCTTGGCAGCAAGCAGCCTGGTGACTCGGTGGCTGATCGGGCTTGGCGTTTCGGGCTGGTGTCTGGTGGCAGTGATGTCATAGGCATAGTTTGTCCGCCATTCCGGCCACGTCTCCCGCGACATTATCCGGGAATGACTAAGGCTGGATGCGTCTGTCATCCCTCATACGATAGATAGCCTTGAAAACATTGCGAGGGCGTTTCTGCTTCGTCGCTCGTCTCTGACACACTACTATCTCGAATTCACCACCATATCAAACATGTCAGAATACTACAACTCAAGCCCGTATCCCCCTCCCCCAGGGAGTGGACACAACCAGTACCCGCCCCCTCCGCGATCCCAATACGAGGGCGGGCAAAGCTACACTGCTCCACAGGTAAGGCTAAGTGTTGGTCGATCTTGAGATTCGAACCAGCTTCGGTTCTTGGCTCTGACTGCTGTATCAGTCCTCCTATGGGGAGTATCAGCCTGCACGGGAAGACCAATACCGATCTTCCCCCCGCTCTTCCGGCATGCAGGTAGGCCAGTACGCGGGCGAGTACGATTACAACCGCGAACGTCGCAACTCGGGTCCCTTTGCTGCTAGTCAGTATCGAGCCGGTGACAATTCGTCCTATTATGCGCCTCCGTCGCAAGGATACGACGACCGCTATGACGACCGTCCCAGCTCCCGTGGCTCAAGGCGGGAACGGGAAAGGGAGAGAGAGAGGTCAAGAGACAGGGGAGAAAAGCATCACGGCGGACACGAGACTGGAAAGGAAATAGGGGCCACTCTCCTCGGTGGCGCAGTTGGCGGATGTAAGTTTACATATTGCCTATCTCTATTGGGGTTCAGGTCTAACACAGATACACAGGGGCTGGCCATGAACTGGGCCACAACAGCAGCCTGATCACTGTTGCTGGAGCACTGGCCGGTGCCTATGCTGGCCACAAGCTCGAATCCAAGCATGAGAAAGACAAGCTTAAGAAGAAAGAGCGCCGAGAAGGCGAGGCGTATGGCGAGGACTATGACGACTACGAAAGTCGGAGAAGCCGTTCCATCTCTCGCTCTCGCAGGAGGTCGGGGAGCAGGAGAAGAAGTATCAGCAGTAGCAGCAGTGAGAGTGACAGCAGCCGGCGTAGGCGTCGTCACCATCACTGAGCGAGGCAATGGGTTCGTGGCTGTGGTCGATGTACTCTTTAGCTATGTTGTCTGTCCTATACGTTGGCGTATGTGGCCTACTTCTTCCTGCAATAACGCGACCAATGACGATGAGAACACCTTCCTCGTGTTCATAAACAACGATCTCCGACTCGAGTGCACACATTCCCTCCTTGACAAAGAGGCAGAGATCCCGTCTTGTTCCAGCATGAAACCTTCAGCCCTGAGAAAACTCGGGGAAATAAAGTGTGGCAAAGACTACCCTGCATGCTAGCGAGTTCATGTGTGCCACTGTCAAGTGTGGAGAGCAAGAAGACGGTACACCTGGAGTTTACTGAATGATAGAGTCTGGGGGAAGGCCCTGAACCGCGCTCTGAGCCAATTTCTGGTATCAAGTTGCGTCACAGAGCCCAAGTACGTAAGAGGGATCCCACCCGTAGAGAAAACCGCATCTTCTCGCACGAAAAGCGCGTCCATGGTCGTTGTCACCATGGGAGAATTCGAATTGCGTCAGATCCATTCAGTCCCGACATCGAAATCAGTTCGCTCCGACGATGGTGGGAGTATACGAGCCGCTAAGAATGGCATACAAGCCACTAAGAACGGCAATATTCCCTGCAGTCGAGAGTTCCGCCAATCGCTAAGCACGTAAAAGGAACGTTTCGCCGACTTTTTGGCGGCCCAGCGGTTGGGTGGCTTGCCCTCCTGGAAATTCTCGCGGAAAGCATCTTCGGCGTTACAAACAACTGGAACGTAAGTTCAATCAGGGGTGATGATCCAAGCGGTTTCAAACCCATTCCGAGGGCTCTGTGATGTGTGTCGAAGGACCCCAGAGAGATTTCAGATTTCAGGAGCCTGTGGACCATTGGGGGAGAAAATTGTTGTTCTTATCAGTTGGCTCCATTCCTATCGATAGGGGGAATTTTCTGATACGAGAGGGCCTGAAAATTAAATGTGTTCCCACAGCCCCCCTCCAGGGCAACTCCAGTCTCCCTCAAGAGAAAATGGCGGGGGATGACTGCCGCAAGTCTGACGATTAGGACGCTGACAGTCTGTTCCAGGCAAGAGATGTTGCCAATCACTCAGGTAGTCTCCAAGGGAGGCGAAGTCGGTGCATGCTTACACATTGTCCCCCGTGTATGGTTGCGAAAAGGCAACTTGGGGAGTTAGGCACTCCTCAAACTTCCGCTGTTCATGGTAGGATATTGGGCATTTAGATCTGACGTGGTAGGCGTAAATGCAGACTGCAGACTGGTGTGAAACCCCCCTGGCCCCTGTTGGCCGGTGCTGTAACAGAAGAGTGCGGCTGGTTGATTATCCAAGGCTGAGTGGCGACAAAAATAGGTCTTGACTCTTCCAGAAGATCCCCCTGTTTGTGCTATGCTGTGTTGCCCCCCTTTTTTCCTGAGATTTTTCGACTTGTCCAGACAGATCCGTGCCACTGACATTGGGTGAGAGATCGTCGAGATCTCCGGCCGGGACTCATTCGCTCGGGAAACTTCTGGCTCTGGTATATCTCGGAGGGGCGCCTGTGGTATCGGCCGGCCAACGCGGTCAAAGACTAGGGGAAGGCGGTCAAAGTCAACAGGGTCAACAGGGAGCGAGAAGCCATTTGATGGGGGAGAGTGATGGGGGCGCCGGGTGAAATGGGGCGATGCGCCCGGATATGACTGGCGAATGAACCAGGGTCTCACTAGGCCTTCAGGACCGGCAGCCACTAGCGAAAAAAATTTCTGTGAGCAGTGAACGGCGAAGCCCAGATACAAAATAAATTCCTGGCCGGCTCACCCTGACCATCCTTCTTCCTTGCAATCTCTCCTCTTATCCTCTTCTCCCTCTCTACCCTCCTCTGGCATACTCTTTTTGATAGAGTCTTTGCACATTCTTTCTTTTTTCCTCTATTAGACGCCAGATAGAGCGAAAGACCGGCGTGGAAAACGCAGTCTTCGTGGGCGCCCCGTTGAGCCGACATAGACCGCCTTTTTTCACATTCCTGAAATTTTCCACCCACAAAAACACCAGACTCGAAATATCCTCCCTTGTACCACTCTTCCCGAGTTTCATCTAGACATGCCCTCTGTCGACACCATGTCTGCCACCCCTACTTCCTCGTCGAAAGAGACGAAGCAGTCGATTGCCACCCTTGAGCAGTTGCTGCACCAACTGTCCATTTCCAAAACCCAAGATGAGGCAAACGCAGCCGCTGGCAACGTGGCCACATTCTTGAACGGTCCCATTGAGGAGCACGATGTGCCTCTCAAGGCCGTCGAGATCTTGAAGAAACAACTCGCCAACAAGAAGGATGCGGTGGTGCGAGAGCGTGCTCTGGATGGCATCCGAGCTGTCGCCACCCACTCCACCATCGCCCCTGGCGCCGAGCCCTACCTGATCTCTCTCCTGCCGCTCGCTCTGGCTGCGGTCGGTGACAAGATGGTTTCCGTCAAGAACGCTGCGCAGGCCGCATCTCTCGCTATCGTCCGAGCCATCAACCCCAACGCCGTCAAGGTTGCCCTCCCCCACATTCGAAACTCCATCATCACGGCCCAGAAATGGCCCGAGAAGATGACCGGTCTCGACTGCATCGAGGCTCTTGTCGAAACCGCTCCCACTCAGCTCTCGTTCCTCGTCCCTACCCTCATTCCGATCGTTTCCGAGTCGATGTGGGATACCAAGCCCGAAGTCAAGAAGAAGGCCTACGGCACAATGGAGAAAATCTGCAAACTGATCGAAAACAAGGATATCGAGAAGTTCATTCCCGAGCTGATCAAGTGTATCGCGAAGCCTGAGAACGTCCCCGAGACTGTTCACTTGCTTGGTGCCACCACTTTCGTCACCGACGTGCATGAGCCGACTTTGGCCATCATGGTCCCTCTGTTGGAGCGAGGCCTGGCTGAGCGAGACACTGCCATCAAGCGAAAGTCCGCGGTCATCGTGGATAACATGTGTAAACTGGTCGAAGACCCTCAGATCGTGGCAGCTTTCTTGCCTAAACTGATGCCCGCGCTTACGAAGAACTACGATAACATGGCCGATCCCGAGGCGCGTGAGAAGACCAAGCAGGGCTTGGACACCCTCAAGCGAGTTGGTGCGGTTAAGGAGGATGGCTCCTTCCCCAAGATCTCCAATGCTGGTGAAATCGCCACCGTTGTCCCGATCCTGAAGGAGATCATCGAGCAAAAGCACAAAGGCGGTGTTACGAAGGCCGACACTGTCATTGACTATGTGGCTGCCATCGCCGGTCAGTTGATCGATGAGAAGGTTACCGATGAACCTGACTGGGTTTCCAACACCGTCGAATACCTCAAGACGATTGTCGGTGAAGCTGACGCCAAAGCGGTTGCTGAGACTCTCCGCAAGCGTGCCTCTCCTGGTATCGAAGACGAGCCTGAACCCGAAGCCGATGAGGAGGAAGGTGAAGACCTCTGCAACTGCACCTTCAACTTGGCCTATGGTGCTAAAATCCTTCTCAACCAAACGACCCTCCGCCTCAAGCGTGGCCAGCGCTACGGCCTGCTCGGACCCAACGGCTCCGGCAAGTCCACCCTCATGCGAGCCATCAACAACGAGCAAGTTGAAGGTTTCCCCAAACAGTCTGAGGTCAAGACCGTTTTCGTGGAGCACGATCTGGACGCTGCTGATACTGAACTCACCGTCATCGGCTGGACCGAGATGAAGTTGAGATCCGTCGGTATCGACACCCCTGTTGAGGAGATCAAGGCCAAGCTCTTGGAGTTCGGTTTCCTCGAATCTCAGATGGAGGGTCCTATCACCTCGCTTTCCGGTGGCTGGAAGATGAAGTTGGCTCTTGCCCGTGCCGTGTTCGAAAACCCCGATATTCTGCTGCTCGATGAGCCCACCAACCACTTGGACGTGAAGAACGTCGCCTGGCTCGAGAACTACCTTATCAATTCCCCTTGCACCTCGATCATCGTTTCGCACGACTCGAAATTCTTGAACAATGTCATCCAGCACGTTATCCACTACGAACGCTTCAAGCTCCGCAGATACCGTGGCAACCTGACCGAGTTCGCCAAGCGGGTACCATCTGCTCGCTCTTACTTCGAGCTCGGTGCTTCGGAGCTGTCGTTTAAATTCCCTGAACCTGGTTTCCTGGAGGGTGTCAAGACGAAGGCCAAGGCCATCGTCCGTGTTAACAAGATGGCATTCCAATACCCCGGCACCGACAAGCCCCAGATCCAGGACATCACTTTCCAGGTCTCCCTCGGTTCTCGTATTGCGGTCATCGGTCCCAACGGTGCTGGCAAGTCCACTCTCGTCAATGTGCTCACTGGTGAGCTGATCCCCACGTCCGGTGAGCTCTACCAACACGAGAACATTCGTATTGCCTACATCAAACAGCACGCTTTCGCCCACATTGATAACCATCTGGACAAGACTCCCTCCGAGTACATCCAATGGCGATTCCAGACTGGCGAGGATCGCGAAACCATGGATCGCGCCAACAAAATCGTCACGGAGGATGACGAGAAGGCTATGGACAAGATTTACAAGATCGACGGCACCCAACGACGCGTCATTGGCATTCACGCCCGAAGAAAGTTCAAGAACTCATACGAGTATGAGTGCTCGTTCGCTCTGGGTGAAAACGTCGGCCAGAAGAACGAGAAGTGGACACCGATGATGACCGCCGACAACGCCTGGATTCCTCGCTCCGAAATCCTGGCATCCCACCAGAAGATGGTCGCCGAGGTCGATCAGAAAGAAGCCCTGGCCAGCGGTCAGTTCCGCCCTCTGATCCGACGTGAAATCGAAGCACATGGTGCCAACTTTGGTCTCGATGCTGAGTTGATCTCCCACTCTCGCATGCGTGGTCTGTCTGGTGGTCAGCGTGTCAAGGTCGTGCTTGCGGCTTGCACGTGGCAACGCCCTCACTTGATCGTTCTGGACGAGCCCACCAACTACCTTGACCGTGATTCCCTCGGTGCTCTCTCCAAGGCTCTGAAAGAGTTCGAGGGTGGTGTTGTCATCATTTCTCACAATGCCGAGTTCACCGAGTCTCTGACTGAAGAGGTCTGGAGTGTCATGAACGGCAGAATGACCCCTAGTGGCCACAACTGGATTGTAAGTTGAAATGAAACCTCTAAAGTCACCGAAGTTTACTAACTCTTAATCTAGACTGGGCAAGGCTCTGGTCCTCGTTTGAGCGCCAAGGATGATGACGAAGAGGAGAAATTTGATGCTATGGTAAGTTCGACCGCCCTATATGTTTAGATGTCAGAGACTAACTCTTTCCTCAGGGCAACAAGATCGAAGGCAACAAGAAAGCGAAGAAGCTGACCTCCTCCGAGCTGAGAAAGAAGAAGAAGGAACGCATGGCCCGGAGAAAGCGTGGCGAAGAAGTCTTCTCGGATGAGGATGACTAGATGCTTGACACGATTCCCTTGCGATGATTTTCACGGCTGACGGTGCATTGGGAGGCGTTGAAACGAATAATGGTTTAGAAAGGGTGTCGAGGACATGCAAAACAAATCCGCTTGGAGAGGGAAATAGAGCAAAGATTTCTGATACCCTCTTGATAGAGCATAGACAAGATAGAGTGCTGAAGATTTCAGTCAGTCTTAATGGATTACCTTGTCATATTCAAACCGTTTTTGGACATGAACTTGATGGCATCAGTAACCCGTCTTTTTTGAGTAGTAAATGTTTCTCTTTCTCTTCCCGTCTCGCTTGGTCTCGCAATGGGGTCTTGTGCTGTGAGGTTGCCAAACGTCTCACCATGGTCTCAGCATCGGGTGGTATTCATCACACAGGCCGTGTTCTCGAATTTCGCAGCTGTCAACATGGCCTTCGCATTGTGGTGTGCGAACAACGAGGGTCTCTGCCTGTCACCGATTACTCCACCACGTCTTTCACCACAAGTATATGTTTTGTCTCTTCAGGATATTACTCGCGATATCTTTCTTTGTCTAGAACTCTGAGTCCTGTGTGCCAAGTGGCGAGAATGGTATATTGCTTTTGAAGTGGTGTCACCAACACTCTACTCTACTCTACACGGTGGCGGCCACCTCCGGTTAGATGTCCACTGCTTCGTTTTATCTCCCAAGCACGTCGAAGCCTTGCTGCATCCTACAACATGGTTCCCCCTCTACTTCCCCCCGCCTTGGACGGGTGCATCGAATCCGTCTGAAGCCAGGATTCCCCTGGGCTGAACAGCAGTTTCCAGACTCTCTGCGGTTGATCAATGAGTGGAGTGACGTGTCTCCTGAGCACATGCAAGCTTCGCCTACGAGTACTCTGTACATATGCTATACAAAATGTGAGCTCACTGTACAAATAGGTGGAGCTGGTTCTGTTAAGCGATACAATTCCGCAGTCGGGCCTCCACAGGAACCTTGACGCCACAGTGTTCGGAAACCCCATCGGCCCAGGACATGGGAGTATTATCAGGTCAGATATGTCCTTGTGTGGAGAGCTCGCCGTCGGGGTTTGACGAGCTTCGAATCGCATCTCGCCTTACACAGCATGCAGATACGCACCTCTACAATTTTGTCGAGTATTATCAGCATTCATCTGACGACAAACACGAGCGAGGACAGTGGCTCGAAAATCTCCATCCACTCTCCATTAGCGCCGAGCCTCGCTGACGGTCGGAAAATGCCTGGAAAATTCCCACCGGGCGTACGGGGTGCCACAAGGCCCGCGATCCACGAGGACGAGGGATGCCGCGGAGAGCGCCCTTGTGCATCCCTCCGGAGCCCTCTCAGAGCTCGCCTGAGAGCCCACCTCCATCTGTCTAGCCCGCAAAGGCCACGGATGGCGCAGTACCTGTGGGGGTAAGCCTGTTGGCTTCTTGCTAAGCCAGCCGGATAATGCACCGAAAATCCAGCTCGTGGAGGCGTTTGGCGCCCATACCCATCCCAGGTCCTCAGCCCCTCGAACGACTGAATGGCTATTTTCCCGTGCGATGCCTTCCCCAGGGGGGCGGGGCTTCGGGCTTGATGTGCTCTTGGGGACCCAAGCTAGAAGTCGTGTTGCAGAGACTTGTCTTATGATGCCCTTGATCTCGGCAGATCGATGGAAATGAAGGTTCTGGCCCTGAGGAAAGTTTGATATGATGGTGAACACTCACATACACACACACCCCCCTACACACCTTCCTCTTGGATATCATCCGGTGAGACAATACATAACTAGCAGCATCCCCCTCTATCAACCTAATCTTGAACCTTTCAGTCTTCCTTTGCACCCCTCCCCCTCTGTCCTCTTGGTTCTAGTCTATTGCTTGTGACTTGTGGGCATACCGGGGCTTTTACTGACCAGACACAACGCCACTTGGCACTCGTGGGGCTTTGCAAAGCTGTTCGCCACGTCTCGCGCGTTTTGACTTGAGAAATCGGCCAAGATGGGATCTATCGGTTACAAGGTGTCGGATAATCTGTATGCTCATCCGTTGATATCAGAAAGAGCAATCGACGAGCCACGACCACTCAAGGTCATCTACATCGGTGCTGGCGTCTCTGGACTATGTGCTGCCATTCAGTTTCCTCGGGCTTTGCCCACTGTGGAGCTTGCAATCTATGAGAAGAATCCAGACGTGGGAGGCACGTGGTTTGAGAATAGATACCCCGGGTGTGCCTGTGGTAAGTATACCTCGAGGGAAAGGGAAGGGGGGAGCAAATGACCCGATGCTGATAGAATCACAGATATCCCTGCTCATTCTTACCAACTGAGCTTCGAGTCGGAAATCCACTGGAGTAAATTTTATGCCGATGCGCCAGAAATCCTCCAGTACTGGAAAAGAGTCGCCGACAAGTACAACGTCAAGAAATATATGAAATTCAACCACAAATGCATAGAAGCTCGATGGAACGAGGAGACCTCGAAATGGCACGTCAAGTTCCGAAAGCTCGATACCGATGAGGTCGTAGAGGACGTTGGCGATGTCTTCATGACCGGCATTGGTGTACTCAACGAATGGAAGTGGCCAGATATCAAAGGCCTGCACGACTTCAAGGGCAAGCTGCTCCACAGCGCCAACTGGGATCCGGATTACGATCTATCAGTGAGTTACTCCCTTTTCCAGTGTCTGAGCTCCTGCTGATTGGTGTGGCAGGGGAAAGAGATTGCGGTTATCGGCGCCGGCAGTAGCGGTATCCAGATCGTTGCCAACCTGCAGCCCAAGGTCAAATCCATGGACCACTATGTACGTGGCCGGACTTGGATCGCGGCGACGTTTGGTAATGAGCTTGTCCGTGAGCGGAACGATGGACAGGACGGGAACTTTGCCTACACGAAGGAGGAAATGGAGGCTTGGGAGAAGGACCCCCAAGCTTACATCAAATACCGCAAGGCCCTTGAAATCGGCATGCAGGGCTCCTTTGCCATAACCCACCGAGGGACGAAAGAGCACGAAGGGGCGTGGTCCGCCTTCAACGAAGACATGCGGAATCGACTGCAGAAAAAACCCGAGATTGCCGAACACCTCATCCCCGAATTTCCCCCTCTGTGCAAACGGTTGACGCCGGGTCCGGGATATCTGGAAGCCTTGGTCGCCGACAATGTCAACGTCATTGCGACGAAGATCTCACATATCGACGAGACGGGCGTCGTCACGACCGATGGGACACATCGACCCGTCGAAGCGATCGTCTGTGCCACCGGATTCGACACGTCCTTCCAGGGCCGGTTCCCCATTTATGGACGGGGTGGAGTCAACCTGCAAGATCGCTACCGAGAACGGCCAGAGACGTACCTGAGTCTGTGCACCGACCAGTTCCCCAATTTCTTCCAGTCCCTCGGCCCCAACGCCGGTGTGGGCAACGGCAGTCTCCTGATCATCATCGAAGCCGTCGCCAACTACGTGGCGCAGATTCTCCAGCGACTGGGACAGGGAAACACTAAGACCATCGAGCCCAAGAGGAAGGTGGTGGAGAACTTTACGAACTACTGCGATGCCTTCTTCAAGCGCACCGTCTTCTCCGCCGAATGCGGCAGTTGGTACAAGTCGGCGCCCCCCAACGCGACAGCAGAAGAGCGCAAGCGGGGTCGGGTGACGGCCTTATGGCCCGGGAGCAGTATCCACGCCGTCAAGGCGCTCGAGAAGGTGCGCTTCGACGACTACGAAATGACGCCGGCCGACGGCAACGAGTTTGGATGGTTCGGCGACGGGTGGGCGTTGGCAGAGCGGACGGGCGACGTGGAGGGTCTGACCTGGTATCTGAACAACACGCGCTTCACGCATGAGCCGTTGGAGGAGGGTGAGAAGTTGACCGTGACCGAGGACAAGATCGTGACCAAGGGGGACGCAGCAGACGGCGTCAAGAAGGGCGACGTGGCCACTGAGTTTCGAGTGCCTGACGGGATTGTGTCGACGTAAAGGAACGCAGGGACACTGGACGGATGGATGGATCATGGAGCATATCATTTTTATATTGGTATGGGTCTGACATGTATATGGATCACGACAGCTAGTTATATACCTCACACAACTACAATCAATCCATCAGATCTATCCGGGCAGCAGCATTCGACGTCCATCCATGAGATCCTTATATGGAGGAACTCTATTGCCTCCATATGTAAGACTTCCGACCCGTTCTTCTCCAGACTAAATATCGAGGCTATACCTCACAAGGAGAATGTAGCCCGAGTGGTGCCTCGATGTATCAGGGCATCTCCGCGTCCCTCTCAAGTGAGTCAGTCCAATGAATAGATCGATATCTCTATCAATCACCATCGAGGCCTACCTGCTGCCCTCGGGACAAATTATTACTTACCATGGATGACTCGGACCCTTTTCTTTCTGCTCTTCCTTCTTGTCTCGGTCACCAACCATGGCATCGTCGTGGCGGCTGATGGGCATTTCCATCTCGGCCGTGGTTATCTTGTCCAGTCTCGCTTATCTCCTCGCCGTCGACTTGTTCTTTTCCGCTTCGTCTTCTTCCGATCCAATCAGGCGGCCACCTTCCGACGCCTCATCCAAGCATCATCGACACTTTCAGGCCCCGGCCGAAAACCCCTGGGCCGAGCTCGGCGAGGTCGAGGCGTCGCAGGTGTACCTCTGGCTGCAGAAGAACACCAACATCTTCAACTCAACTGACGGCGTCAGTAACAACAACAGCCCATTAAACCTGATCGAACTTCTCCGACCCAACAAATCCGATGTCGTCGACTACCTGGACCACCATGGCCCTGTCCCGGAACGCTGGGCGCGTCTCTCCACGGTCGAGACCAAGGGCGACGACGCCTTCATCGTCGAATACATGGTCGGCCCACTGCCTCCATCCAACAAGACCCAACTTCTCCCGTTGACGTACTGCCACAACTCGGGGCGCAACTACGTGCAGAGCCCCGTGTCGGGCGTCTTCGCGCTGCTGGAGTGGGCGCTTGCGATCGGCGAGGACGCGTCCGACATCACCCTCGACCTGCTGGGCGCGAAGACCAACCGGGACGACCCCGACGACCCGGAGGGACTGGTCATGGGATCCCGTCCGGCACTGATCGACTCGGGCCGCATGGTGCACTGGCTGGAGTTCTTTGGGCCGGGCATGAAATCAGACGGGCGCAGCCTCCTACCCCAGGGCCTGTACGTCAAGCTGGACGTGCCTAGCGCCAACCCGGTCACCTGGACCACGGGCGAGTGGTTCTACAACGGGGTCTTGTACGACAACGCCACAATGCTCCGAGCCGCGATGGCATCGCCCGACTTCGAGCGACTGACCATCAACGCGGACGGCGCGTGGACCGTCCCCGAAGACCTCACCACGTCCAGTCCCGAGCGTGACATGCCCCCGCCGCTGTCCATCCAGCCGTACGGTCCCCGCTACCGGCTCGACCGCACCGAAGGCTACGTGTCGTGGATGGGGTTCTCGTTCTACCTGTCGACATCGCAGGCGACGGCCCTGTCGCTGTTCGACATCCGCTACGACGGCACGCGCCTCATGTACCAGCTGGGCCTGCAAGAGGCGCTGGCCCACTACGCGGGCGTCGAGCCCCTGCAGTCCGGGCTGGAGTTCCTGGACACCTTCTTCGGCATGGGCAAGATGATGTTCAGCCTCGTCCCGGGGCTCGACTGTCCCGGCCACGCCGAATACCTCGACATGTCCTACCACCGCGGCGGCAAGATGTTCACCAATCGCAACGCCATCTGCGTGTTTGAGTACACCTCCGACGCGCCCCTGCAGCGTCACACCTCGGCCTACAGCGCCACCGTCAGCAGGAACACGTATCTCGTCGTTAGGAGCGTGAGCACCGTCGGAAACTATGACTACACGGTGAGTTCTTTCCTTCCCCTGTCTTGTTTCAGCCTCGTGTGCCATTCGAGTAACTATCTCTCTCTCTTTCTCTCTCTAACATAATATCCTGCGATGGATAAATATTGCAGATCGACTACATCTTCTACCTCGACGGCTCGATCGAAGTCAAGCTCCGGGCCAGCGGATACATCTTCGGGGCATTCCACGCGGAACCACGCTCCTCGGGGCCTCTCGAACGGGACGCCTCGACGAACGAATACGGCTACCGCGTCCGGCCGGGCCTGCACACGTCGATGCACGACCACGTGGTCAACTTCCGCGCCGACATGGACCTCTGCGGGACGCGCAACACGGTGGTGCGCACCGCCATCGCCCCCCTGCAGCGCGCCTACGACTGGGACGCCCCCGAGGTGCCCGGCCCCCGCAACACCATGCACATGACGCACGCGCCCGTCACGCACGAGACGGGGCTGAACTGGCCGCGCAACGCAGGCGAGATGGTACTGGTCACGGCGCCGAACCGCACCAACCGCTGGGGCGAGACGCGCGCGTACCGCGTCCTGCCCGGCACAGGGATGGGCAACCCGGCGCACTTGACGATCGTAAACTCGACCGCGCTGGGCCGCGCGGCGGCCTGGGCGGCCGCCGACCTGTGGGTGGTGCGCAACCACCCGGCCACGGAGCCCGGGTCGGCGCACCACTAAACACGCTCGAGCCGCTGGCGCCGCTGGTCGATTTTGCGCGGATGGTAGAGGACCGCGAGCCGGTCGAGGACGCGGACCTCGTGCTGTACTTCAATCTCGGCGGCCACCACGTGCCGTCGTCGCAGGACATCCCCAACACGCTCATGCACACGAGCGCCAGTTCCGTGCTGTTCATGCCCTTCAACTACTTTGACGACGACGTCAGCAAGCCGCTCCGCCAGGGCGTGCGGGTCGACCGGGCGCGCCACCGGGCGGTGGTGCCGACGAAGGGAAGTGACGACGCCGACGCCGACGAGGCGGCCAAGGAAGAAGTGCGCCGGTCCGCACGATCCAGATCTCAGCACCTCGAACGAGAGCACAACAAGAACAAGAACAAGAAGACGATTAAGACCCAGCTCGACGACGGTGACGGTGACGGTGACATCTCGTGGTTCGGCGCCCGCTACACCCAACCCGTGCTGGTCCCGGCCGAAATGCTCACGCCGGATCTCAGCCACTACATGAAGGAGCGCGACGAGAACGGCGGCGGCGGCGAAGAGGGTGAGGGTGGGGGCTGGAAGACGGTGCGGAACGACGTCGGGGGCGGGCTGTATGGGTTGTTTGTCGGCAAGGAGAGGGGAGGGCGTGAGCGTCAGCGCGAGGGGGCGCGGCTGGATTGGTGAGTGAGTGAGTGAGCGAGTGAGTGAGTCCGCTCAGGTGAGGTTGGAAAGTGGTGATTAGTGGTGGGTGGTCTTACGAGGCACGTAGATGAGATAGATATGGAGATACACAGAATACAGAGATACAATTACAAGAAAATGAAGGGGTGGAATTAGGTTGAAGGGTAGAACGGGTGAAAAGGGGGATGGATGAAGAGCAGGCAGGCTGGATAATGATGGTGACGACGACGACGACGACGACGACGACGACGACGACAGTCACAGAACCTGGGAGCATTTGAACTGAGCGACATTGTCTATTTCTGTGCTGTGCTCTTCTAATAGAGAAATATGGGGGAGAAAACGGGGCGAGACTTCCTCCAATTAATCCACCAAAGAGATAGATGCGCAGCGGAGGTAACATAACATAGAAAGCCCCTTGATATCCGCATCTGTCCCCAAGAGATTGGACTGAATGTTGTGTGTCGATATATATCGATGATATACATCCTTCACCCAGATCCAACCGACTGACTGGCTCAAGCCTGCAGGTCACCACCGCACATCAAATCCCACCAATCTCCTCAACCACTCGTTGCCTTTCTCTTGTCCTTTCCCTTGCCCTTGGTTTGCTCCTTTTCTGGATTCAACCGCCGCAGCGGGAACGAGAAAGTGAACTTGTCCCGCTTCCGGGCCGTGGTGTTGGTGCTGGTGGTGTTGGTGCTGGTGGTAGCGGTGACACTTTTCAAAATGGAAGTGATGCCTGCCGCTGCTGTCTTTGCCGGCCTCGGGGGCTCGAGATCGGCGTCGCGAACGCTGCTGCTGCCGGATGCCTGGCGTTTCTTTGATCGCGAGGTGGACCCTCCGGCGGCCGCGATCTCAAATTCGATGTCTTCGAGGTCGCGTTGGTCCTGGTGGCCCCAAACGTCAGCGGTGCTGGAGACGCCAATGGATACAATGCGCGAGGGACTTGTCACTCGCTTGCTGCTGGAGGAGGAGGAGGAGGAGGAGGAGGAGGAGGAGGAGGAAGGGAGAAGAAGACGCACCTCGTCATCATCAATGTCATATTTACTACCAGAGTCGGAAGAGGAAGTAATGGGGCTGAGGCTCCCACTGCCCGACCGCTCCTGACCATCTCCCCGAGAAAGTCCGCGGTAGTCGAAGTCGATCGCATACCCGGACGGCACACGTCTGCCCGGGTGCGGCTCGTCGTCGTGTTCGTGGATGGTTTCCAAGCTGACATGAGAAGCGAGGCGGGTCTGATCGAACAGAGGACCGGTGGGAGCGTTCGAGGAGGGCTCCGGGGTCGTTATTGACTGCCATTTGATTGCCGATTTGCCACGAGTGATAGGAGGATCCGTGTCAAAAGCAGACGGCGCCGTGACTTTGGTGTCGTTGTGTTTGTCCTTTCCCTGAGCACGTGCAGAAAAAGCTGGTGGTGGGAGGCTCGCGCAGACAGGAAGCAGATACTCCATAGACCTCTTGGCCTCGAGAGCTGCCAGCAAACCGGCACGGCCTTTCTTGGGATGTAGGTTCTCCGCGTTCGCAGGCACCGGAGGGCCACCCTGAGTGTCAATCCCGGCGTCTTCGCCGTACAGCCACACGAGATTTAAGAAGAGCGTCTTTGCAGTGGTGTATTGGCGCACGAACGGACAAACATTAGTGGCCAACGTCGCGCGAATGAAGCGACAAGTGGCTGTATTTGCAGCGTGCCATTCTCTGCGCTCCTCGTCGAACGACGCCTGGTCCTCCATGGTCCACAATGGGGGACAATCAGGTTCCGTCCAACTGCCCAGGATTAGATCTGAAGAATGGGGATTGGACAGCAGAACTGGCTGAATGTCAGAGTGCCATTGGTGAAAATTGGATTTGCCGTTCAACACGTCAATGCTGTCGACGTCCGGGAACTTCAACTCCGAAAAGTAGGCGTGACGCGAATACGAAGGGGGCATTCTGATATGGCGGACAACAACTTGACTTGCTCGGACGGTCAGCAGACTCACGAGGTTCGAGAGGCATGAAGACGTCTTTTTGAATCCGGAGCTTCCTCTCGCCTTGATTTGGAGAGGCTTTGCCTCCTGATCCAGGGTTGCAGTCGGTGTAAAAAGGACGCACGACCAGGATTGGTCTTAGTTGGGTAAGACATCGTTCCACACTGACTTTTCGTTCTGTCCAGATTCCCTAGAACAACTCGTTTCTCACTGTCCCCCAGGAAGCATTTGTAAACACCCTGAATCCTGTCTCGGTAGAGCATCGATAAATTGAAACACTCAAATTGCCCTCCACCTGGTTAGGGCCAACGGGCGGCCTCTTCCTGCTCGACATCGGGCTCTTCGTGGATCTGACTGAGACGAGCGCTCTTGCCCTGCTGTCGCAAACAGGAATCTAGCTTCTTGGCAAAAGAATCCGTCGAAGGGCCTCGGTGAGGGAGTCCACTGTAGGACATAGACGCCGCCCGGCGAAGGTATCGCTCAGCGAGTGCGTATTCTTTGCGCCTGAGGCAAAGAGTAGCCAGCTGATCACAAGCCCAAGCGGCGCTTCCACTATTTGTCGAACCTGAATCTGCCGTCTCGTGCTGCAGAATGCGGTGTGCGACCCCCTCGACCGCAAACTCCTCGTTTTGGTCCGTATACAGCCTTCCCAAAGCCGCGAGTGAAGTCCGGTATCTTTTCGGTTGCATGGACTGACTGTCTTTGATCAGTTTCTGGCACATATAATGTGCAGATTGAAAATTCTTGCGTTTTCGAAGCATGTCAATCTGGTCAACGCGCAAGGCAAAGAGCGACGAATTGCTGGGCTTTCGCCGGGCGCCGTAGCCCTCAACTATCAACTGCATCATTGCCTCGACGACCTGATCTCGATTGTCCGTGGCAATCATCCGCAAGGCTTTGGCATAGGGATGATCTCTCCCGAGGGCACTCGCTGCCATGGATGAGATAAATCCCAGCAGATGCTGCTCCAGCGCTGCCATCCCCCTCCATGGGGTGGCAAAATGTACCAACAAACACGATAAGAGCTGAAGGGGTGCCGAATGGATCAAAGGCTGTACCATACTGCAACACATGTCGAACTTTCTCCACGCTTCGCTCGATTTGCCGATTTGCAAAGAGTCGAAGCCATGGTAGAGCCCCAGCCAAAATGCCGACACTTGATCGGTCTGTCCAGTTTTGACCTCTTCCGGGATTGAGTTTGGGAATCGATGTTGCAGTTCGTTCAGTTTGAGTCGGTGGAAAGCCGTGAACTGCCACTGCACCGCCTCACGGGTGTGGAAGAGGCAAGTTTGCATACTGTACAGCTCAGTCGGCGGGAGGACGTTGACTGTCATGACATTGAGACCAGGTTCATGGCCGTCTTGCATACTAGAGTCAGAGGCCCCCGGTGGAGTGCTAGAGTTTGGGAAGGATGTCGATCTGGTCGGGACTGTTGATGGCGATTCATCCTTGATTGTGATATCTCCAACGGAAACAGACTCTGGGCTCTGTGATAGCTGTTCCCAAAGTTGCGTGAACCTTTGGTCGCTGCGATAATGGCGCTTGACTCTATCGAGCTTCAATGGTCTTCCACGAAATGAGATCGACTGAATGTCGTGTCCGGCGTCAACGTATTCTTTCACCCTTTTCGCCAGAAGCTCTTTGTCCTTTGCTTTGTAGTTCTTGTGGATTTTCCATTCCGTGATTCGTCGCTTGAACATCTTCTCGCTGGCATTGAAACCGTATTTCTTGCGCAAGATGGCCCTAACATCTTTGAGCTTCTTATTTTCAGTAATATACAATTCAGTGAAGACGTCTTTGATGTCAACCCACTGCTGAGGAGTAGGCCCGACCACCCTCCGCGATTGGGAGTCCTGCTCAGCCCCGACACCCATCTGGTCGAGTGCGTCTAGATCTTCCTCATAACCTGACGTGTTGTCCTGAGTGTACATCATTCCACCATTGACCATCCTCAACGTTGTCCTTAAGAGGATATGATGTGGGCTAAGGCAGTTTCGACAGTTGCCGGTTCTGTGGGCTGGACAACAGGTCCAGATGACCACCTTGCATAGCAATTGAGAGAGCAATAGATAGCCACGATGGTGAGAGGAGTGCCTTGAATCTTATTATGATGGGATTTGACTTGAAGAGCATTCATCGGTATTGTTGCTCAATGGCTGAGCACACTCGCATGTTGTTGGACGCTAGGCTCTTGGATTGTCTGCCTCACTGCCTCACGAACCGCTGCACAATGGCGACAAGGTGCATTAGTGCTGGAACTTTGGGTCAGGAACCAATGGAGTTGAGCTGAATCCGAGATGGAACTTTGGTTGACCAGGGACATCCAAGAGAACTTTCCTTCTGGTGGACATTCTGCCGGGTGGATGCCTTGTGATCACGCACAAACAAGGTTAGACAACAGACGAGAGGGAGGAGAGGAGGGGAATGCTCGCTGACAAGGGAGATTTACAAGGTAAGGTGTCTCTATCATTGGACTTTTTGCGTTTCACACAGTCACAGACCTCTTTCTGTCAGACGGCCACCATGAGCCGCTCAAGGCATGAGGTGTGACACTACATTCAGTGTCAGACAAAACAGCACTGGTAGCTCCCGCACCTTTTCGATGCAAGACCATCAAAGCGACGTGTTATGAGCTTACAGCCTCCCCAGGCTCACCCAACCCCTCTGCCTCTTTCCTCCGTCTTTCCTCCTCCTCAATCTCTTTCAGCTTCCTTTGACCCTCTTCGCTCGTGGCGTCAATCAATCCCTCCTGGAGACTGAGCATGCCGCCTTGACCTAGCAACTCCACAATCTCTTCAGCTTCATCTACACTCATTTTGCCCAGAACTTTGTTGACCTCATCTAGGCTGCTGCTCTCCAACGCACGCTGTAGTCCTGGGGGGAAACGCTCGAAGATCTTGCGTGCCTCCTGTTCGACTGGGTCATCCGAGTCGGCCTGTGGCACGTTGATAGTGATCTCCGTTCCAGGATCGACGGCATGAAGCTGTATCTGTTCTTCACCTGCGGAGGAGGCTCCTTGCTCATTCTGCAGTCGGGCTGCAGACGTTTTGATCCTCTCGTACGTCTCAGCCAGGTCCTTGTTGAACACTTGCTGCGCTTGGTGGCCCTTGGTGGTGATTCGCTTAAAAAACAACCCGACACCGTCCCGACCCAACTGGCGGCAATATTGGATCAGGAGACTCTGATGAACGCAGGTTTTGGCGTAAGTATTTTGCCCTTCAATCTGAGCATTCAGAGCTTCGACCATCAGGGCATTTTGAGTCTCCTCGTTGACGATGTTCGGATGCTCTGAAATGAATTGTAGGCACGCCCGGTAGTCTCCAAGTTTGATCTTTGCGAACTGTTTACCCTCGGGCGTGAGCTTCATGCTTGCCTCATCTTCTTCCTCATCTTCGTGTTTATCCAGTAAAGCGTCGTCTTCAATATCGGCCTCTGCGCCAGAGGAAACAGCGCCCTCGCCAGATTTGAGTGCATCCCGTGTCTGTGAGGTTAGACCCTTGGGTGCGTTGAGCAGTTCGACAGTCTCAGTCTTGGTTTTCTCCTTCGCTTTTGTCTTCCCAGCAGGGGCTGGAGCTGGCTTGGATTTGTTGATGTGAGTCGAATCGAAACCGAAATGGATATCCTCGCTCGTGATTTTCGCGGTCGCCTCCTTCTCCAGCTGCGCCAGTCGCTTCAGGAGGTCCTGCTGCAGCTTCTGGACCTTGGTGAGATGGCTATTCACCCCCTGCAAGAAGTCTGCATATCGATCTGTGGATGTGTCTTTCTTTTCGTCGACCTCTTTCTTCACTTGGTCGACCAGAACGCCGATCATCTTAGAATACCGGGGCTGCTCTTTCTGGTGTGTGTAGACACCCTCGGGAGGTTTGGGCGGTTCATCTTTGGCAGGATCCCCGGCGCTCTCGATCAAACTCTGAAACACAACCTCGTCCGGGTTTTTCTTGTTTGCATCTTCCTGATGCCTTTTCAGTGCGTCCAACAGGGCATTGATACGTTCGAGGAGTCCGTCGTTGATGATTCGTTCGTATTTGAGAGTCTCTATTTCATGCTTTCGCTGGGCTCGCTGCTCATGGATCTGGTGCTGCTTGGCTCTGATGAAGCTCTTTGTGTCGACATTCGGGTGTACTTCGACGTCGGAGTCGTCCGACACCTCGAGCCTGTCCCACTTGTCGTAGGAAATGGGCATGGCGAGGGCCAGGGAGGGAGTAGGTGTTCGGTCACGGGCAGATAGTTTGAGAGTCGAACGCAAGCAGTGTAGAGTGTAGAAAGGACAGTCTCAGATTGTTTCTTGTTTTTGTTGAGCTTCTTGAATCTTTGGGAAGAGAAGGATTCTTCTAGAAACGAACACCCAGAGTCGGATGATGGTGAACTCGACAATTGCCAACTACGTGCATTATTACGTAGTGGGTGCACACACACCCAGTAAATTAAATGGAGGGGCTCGGTCCAAGCCTAGGGGAGCCTCATTCACTGCGGGCGGGAGTGCTTAACTGGCTAACTGACCAAGGGCTTGCAGCTGGAGCCCCTTCGAATCTTTCGGGCTCTCTAGGCTCGGCCTCGCGCCTCCGTTTGTCGGCCGGTCAATCGTCATTGATCCATCCGTGTCGCGGAGACAGACACCTTTTTCTTACCTACCTTCAATGCTCTCACTGCGCCATTAGAACTCGCAGCTTCTCTGGTACTTTTCCCCTTATACCATCGTCGCCGCGATGAAGAGAAGGAGAGACACGCCCACTCCTTTAGTACCCTGAAACGTCCCTCGATCTATTACAGGCATGATTGCTACGCGCACCTCGGTGCTGCTCGCTTTCAGGCCTTTTCAACATGGCTCCCGATTAAATCAGCTCGATCAGAATATCCTTCTCTCGTTATTTAATTCTTCTCCTCGACACTCGCGGATATTGTCTCGCGGGGTTCATCAATGGCAGCGCCCGAAGCCTTCCAGAAATCAGAACCCGTTTCAATCACTGAAGTTACTCAGCGGTTCTGCGCCAAGGGCAGACGGTGTCAATGTGCCCTTCCGGCCTCGCATAACTGCTCAGGCAGTATACTTTTCGAGCGGTCGCGCACTGTACGAAACGCCCACTCCGATCATCAAGGAGCAACAGCGAACAAAACCCACTGACGAAACGGGTGACGAGGATGCGTTTCACAGGAGTGAAAAGGCACACCAGGCTTCACATGTGAACCTCAGCGCGAGGTTGTCAAAAGAGGGTGCTGCGGGCAAGTCATCTGGCTTCGGAGAGATATGGCGGCTGATCAAGATTGCACGCCCGGAAGCAAAAGTCCTCGGCCTGGCTTTTCTCCTTCTCCTGATCTCTTCGTCCATCACCATGTCAATACCATTTTCCATTGGCAAGATTTTGGATATAGCGACCAAAGGGGGAGCGAAGACAGAAGGCGCCGAGCTGGAACAAAAGACCGACATGCTCTTTGGTCTGAGCTTGACAACATTCTACACTGCACTCGTCTGTATTCTCGCAACGGGCGCGGCAGCAAATTACGGACGCATCATCATCCTGCGAATCGTGGGCGAGAGGATTGTGGCGAGGCTGCGATCCAGACTGTTCCGGCAGACTTACATTCAAAATGCCGAGTTCTTTGATGCCAATCGTGTCGGTGACTTGATTTCCCGACTCAGCTCTGACACCATCATCGTTGGCAAGTCGATCACGCAAAATCTTTCAGACGGGCTTCGCGCGTTTGTCAGCGGGGCTGCTGGTTTTGGCTTGATGGCATGGGTGTCTCTGAAGTTGACTGGGATCCTAGCGCTGCTCTTCCCTCCTGTTGCCCTCGGAGCATTCTTTTATGGGCGAGCGATCCGGAATTTGAGTCGAAAGATCCAAAAGAATGTTGGCACGTTGACCAAGATTGCAGAGGAAAGGCTCGGCAATGTTCGGACTTCACAGGCGTTCGCAGGTGAAATCCTCGAGGTTCATCGATACAACACCCAGGTGCGCAAAATCTTCGAGCTGGGCAAGAGAGAGTCGATCATTAGTGCCACGTTTTTCTCATCCACCGGGTTCATGGGCAACATGACGATCTTGTCGCTTCTATATGTTGGTGGTAGTATGGTATCGAGTGGCACCATCAGTATAGGGGAGCTCACCTCCTTCCTCATGTATACTGCCTACGCGGGTTCTTCACTCTTTGGGCTTTCGTCGTTCTACTCGGAGCTGATGAAGGGTGTCGGAGCGGCATCCCGATTATTCGAACTGCAGGACCGGGAGCCAACCATATCTCCCACGAAAGGTGAGAAGGTGGTATCAGCACGAGGTCCCATTCGGTTCGAGAATCTCTCCTTCAGCTACCCTACTCGACCGGCGGTGAGAATCTTTAGGAATTTGGATTTCGAGATTCCCCAGGGTGCCAATGTCGCCATTGTCGGTCCCTCTGGCGGTGGCAAGAGCACGATTGCTTCCCTGATCCTGCGGTTCTACACACCTACGGAGGGCCGCATCTTGATCGACGGTAAGGACATTGCCAAGATGAACGTCAAATCTCTCCGACGCCGGATCGGCATCGTGTCCCAAGAGCCGGTTTTGTTTTCTGGCACCATCGCCGAGAACATCGCCTACGGTCGACCTCATGCAACCCGGGCGGAGATCATGCGTGCAGCGAGACGGGCAAATTGTCAATTCATTAGCGACTTCCCCGATGGGTTGGACACACCTGTGGGTGCTCGTGGCACCCAACTTTCTGGTGGTCAAAAGCAGCGCATTGCCATTGCTCGCGCCCTGGTCAAGGAACCCGATATCTTGATCTTGGATGAGGCCACCAGTGCCCTTGATGCCGAGTCAGAAACCTTGGTCAATGAAGCCCTGGCCTCGCTACTGAGGGGGAGCAACACGACCATCTCCATTGCCCACCGTCTTTCCACGATCAAACGATCCGACACCATTATATGTCTGGGTTCCGATGGACGTGTTGCAGAGATGGGCAGTTACAAAGAACTCAGCAGTCGACCCGACGGTGCTTTTACGAAGTTGATGGAATGGCAGATGAGTGGAGGCGAGAGGGCACAGGACGATGTAGTCAAGTTGGCTATCGATCCGGAAGTGAAAGGACCGCCGACGGAGAAAGACGAGATCGAAGTCGAGTTGGAAGAACAAACCGAGGGCGAGAGTGAGGAGGATCTCGAAGGCAGCAAGGCACAAGAGACGGTCAAGCAGGCCGTGGAAGGGAAGAAGACGTGATGGGTTCCGCTAAGCTGGGGACCAGCGCACACATATACACAAACTGGGCACTGGAGGTCTTTCTGTATAGGAAACCCACTGGAAACCTGAAGCTTCAGGGGCAAGCACGGGTTCAGAAGCTGTGTTGGCGTGGGGCCGTGATGTATGTTCAGAATTCAGATCTTGTACCATGAAATAGAAAGAAAACACCGTCTCTACTCAGAAGGTGGGAAGAAATACATGGCAGCACAGCAGAACAGTTGGGATTGACACATGCTCTCACCACAGGGCTCACAGGGACGCCATGGGCCAAATGGACGCCATGGACCAATCCCAGGTGCTGCCAGACTGCCCAACAAAGGCCCACATCCCTCCAATTCCCAACCGCAGTCAAAATTGCGCGTCTTGTTATGCCTCCCTCTCCTCCTGTTCGCTAGTACCCCGTTCCGCCGCCGTGTTCGGGTGGTCGTGTCACAATATGCCTCTGCGTGCCATGTGCGTCTGTGCCTTTACTTTTTCGCCATCCGCCCAGAAGGGGTCCTCTTGTCAGGATCGCTACCTTTTCGAACGAAAGTTGCATTCGGTCATGTCATCCTCAAACCCCCTTCCTTCATATTCATCCCTCGACGGTTCCCTCCCCATCTGCAATTGGCCGGGTTTTGTTGATCATGGTTGACGTATGATCCACTGAGCAAAGTTGCAAGAGAAGGGGAATAAGTGTACAGCTTCACAAGTTACAGCACAACCACAGACAACATACCTTTCATTGTTCCGGGCGTGACCATGGCCTATAACGTCCACACTCTGATCTCCGAGACCCAGGACATCGCAGCCAAAGGTCTTCACGATGTCAAGCCTCCCGTCGAGGTCCCCAACCCCTCTATCGATAAGCCTCAGTCACAACCCAAGATCCGCAGCAAGTACCGTCATGTTGCCGCCCTGCACTCCAAGGTCCGACCGTCATGTCTCAGCCATGAGGCACAAGAGACCCCGAGTTTCATCGGGTTCCGTAATCTCATGGTCTTGACGATCATCGTCATGAACCTGCGGCTGGTCATTGAGAATGCGAGAAAATACGGCCTCCTCATCACTCTGAAGTCGAACCTCCGGAGTCAGGATATCAAGATTGCTCTGGCCCTCTATGCCCTGACGCCCTGCCACCTGTTTGTCGCCTACGTCATTGAGAAGGTGGCGATGGAAAATGCCAAAGGAGCTATTGGAAGGCGGAAGAAGAGCGACCCAGACGCAAACAAAAAGCCCGAGACCGAGAAGCAGACAAAAGAGTTCCTCAACACTTGGTGGTGGATTGCCGCCGCTCACACGTTGAATGCCTCGCTGGCCTTGCTCATCTCGAGTTTCGTGGTCTACTATTGCATCCACAATCCCGGGTTGGGGACCATCAGCGAGCTCCACGCCATTGTGGTGTGGCTCAAGACCTGCTCCTATGCCTTCACCAACCGAGACCTTCGACATGCCATGTTGAACCCTGGTGGTCCCGAATCCGCCCTTCCAGAGATCTACTCAAAATGTCCCTATCCACGCAATATCACGCTGCCCAACCTGTGCTACTTCTGGTGGGCACCGACCCTGGTCTATCAACCATATTACCCACGCACAGACCGGATCAGATGGACCTTCTTCCTCAAACGGGTGGGAGAAGTGGTAGCCCTCAGCGTTTTCATCTGGCTCACGTGTGCACAGTACGCAGTCCCCGTCCTGCGCAACTCGCTCGACGGCATGGCCGTGCTCGACTTCTCTTCCATTGCGGAACGTCTGATGAAGCTGTCCACGATATCCCTGATCGTTTGGCTTGCTGGCTTCTTTGCCCTGTTTCAATCATTTCTCAATGCTCTCGCTGAGATCATGATGTTTGGCGATCGAGTCTTCTACGAGGATTGGTGGAACAGCACCAGTCTCAAGATGTACTGGTCGACCTGGAACAAGCCGGTCTATCATTTCATGCGGAGGCACATCTATTCGCCCCTGATCGGCCGCGGCTGGTCGCCTCAGGCAGCCAGTGCGTGGGTGTTTGTGTTCTCGGGATTTCTCCACGAGCTTGCTGTCGGCGTGCCCTCCCACAACATCCTCGGCGTGGCGTTTCTTGGGATGGTGTTGCAATTACCTTTGATTCAAATCACGGAGCCTCTGGCAAAGATGCATGGGACTGGCAAAGTGATTGGAAACTGTATCTTTTGGATCAATTTCGTATTCGTCGGACAACCACTGGCTGCGATGATCTACTTTTTCGCGTGGCAAGCAAAGTTTGGAGAGCTCAGGATGGTCCGGAGATGACGAGACTGTAGCCTAACGTACTGGTAGTATCACTGTTTTGAAAGAACTGAATGTTAGACGATTAAATCTCCTTGGACACCCTTTTATGCGCTCTTGAGGGCTTCAACAGCTGTGCACGTGACCGCGTAAACCTTGTCGGGACGTGTGTGGCTGATTTCGCGTTCCATCCCTTCAACATACATGCTTCACCAACCACCTCCAACACATTTTCCCGTCAATCTCACACCTGGATAAATCTGGTCTTCTGAGTGATCCAGTCTCATCACTTCTAGAACAGTGGATGTTGAGCACGGGATCCCGTCCGTGGCATCCACGTCACTCCCAAATTACTTCGCGGTATCAATCACCTTTGTCCTCGAATTGTCTTCTCAATGAATACGTCTTTTGGTCACACGGCCAACAGCTACGATGACCCAGAAGGAGCCTTCCGTCGACGGAGACCGCGGCCGATTACTGACTATGGCTCATCTATGATTCAGTGGGTGAGCAACCGAAAACCACCATACAAAGGCAGCTATCATTATGAACAAGAAAGACCAAGCCAAAGCTATGTTATCGACATGTTGCCGCCTCCCGCGCGGAGAGACGCCCCAGCCGAGTCGATCCCCGTTCGCCACCTTCACACCTCTCTGGGTAAATCCAAAAAGCCCGTGACGGTGGTGCGGTGGATGCCCGAAGGTCGTCGACTTCTTGCCGGTGTGCACAATGGCGAGTTCATGCTGTGGAATGGCATGTCATTCAACTTTGAGACTGTTACTGCCATGGGCTCTAGCTCCCTTCGGGCTGCAGAGTGGTCGAATCGAAAGGACTGGCTCGTCGCCGCCAACGACGAAGGCACGGTGTATTATCTACAACCAACCCTGAACAACCCCCATCAATTCAAAGGCCACGACGCTCCGATTAGAGATCTGGCCTTTGCGCCCTCGGACGCGAAGTTTGTCACCGCGTCCGACGACAACACCCTCAAGATCTGGGACTTTACTTCGTCCACCAACGAATCGACGTTTACGGAGCATGGGTGGGACGTCAAAGCCTGCGACTGGCACCCCACCAAGGGCCTTGTTGTGTCGGGAAGCAAAGACCACAGCGTGCGACTGTGGGATCCGCGGACGTGCCGGAATCTGACAACACTGCATGGTCATAAGAACGCCATCACGGCCACTGTTTTCAGCCGCGTTCGCGACCAGTTGCTTGCGACGGCCGGCAGAGACGGTCTGACCCGTATCTTTGACCTGCGCATGATGCGCGACGTTGCCATCTTGCGAGGCCATGACAAAGGCGTGACCACGTTATCATGGCACCCAATCCACCCGAGCCTCATCAGCACTGGCGGCGACGACGGCTCGCTGCACTCCTACTTGCTCACCGAACCGAACACGCCCGCCGGCATCTCTTCTACGACAATCTCGCCCTATGCATCGTCAGACCCGCGCTCCGCACCCGCACAGTCAATCTACCCCGCCCACCGCATTCCTCACGCACATGATTCTTCCATCTGGTCGATCGACTGGCACCCGCTCGGACACATTCTCGCCACGGGCTCCAACGACCACTTTACGCGGTTCTGGTCCCGCGCCCAGCCCGGCCAGACAACCTGCTTTAAAGACCAATTCCACCTGGGTGAAGAAGGGGCAGAAGCACAGGGCACGTGGGATCGAAAGTTTGGGCGGAGACAGGCCAAGGAGCTGGAAGAGCAAGAAGAGCAAGACGAGGCCGAGGGGCTGGAGGATCAGGCGAACCAGGGAGGACAATCAACCGCTGCCGCTGGAGGGTTGTCGATTCCCGGTTTGCCTGGTCTCCCTGGCCTCCCTGGGCTGGGGATGAACGGGTCGACGACGAACCAACCGATTACAGGCATTGGCAATGTTCCCCCGCCGGCACTCTCGCTCCTGTCAGGGCTGCAGCATAACAACGCCGGTTCTGGCCAGGCATACCCGACCGTCTCCCAGATCCCACCGTTTCCGTCCGTACCCGGCATGGACGCCGAATCCCTCCAGCGTCTGCTCGCCTTGACCCAGCAGCAATACCAGCATCAGCAACAACAACCAGTCCAGCAACCGCCCGCCGGTCCACCACCGATCGACTTCACGCAACTCGGCCTGCCGGCTGGTAGTTACCCTCCCCCGCCTCCCCCCGGCGGTGTTGGAGGTGGTGGCGGTAGCAGCCAAATCCCCCCTCCTCTCATAGGCGGCTCTGCTCCACCGGGCATTATTGGCATTCCCGGCATCGGTCTCGGAGGCGGAGGAGGCATTCCAGGCCTGTCTGGTGGCAACGGTGTCGGCGGCGGTCCTTCCAACGGCCTCAACGCTGCCGCTGCTGCTGCTGCTATTGCCGCTGCGAATGACGCCGCCAGCATGCGCCGCCGAGCACCTCTGCCCAGCCAGAGCGAGGGGTTCAAGGCCGAGCAAGCACGGGGCAATTACCGCATTGCGCGGTGATAATACTGCGCGTCAGTACGTCACTTGCGCCTAGATGGATGGATGGATGGATGGATGGATCGGTCTCGATCGATGGTCATGGACAAGTCGTGACGATTGACTGGTGATGCACCGACGTGTATGATGAAGATGCATGGGGAGGAAGGAAGAAGGAAGGGACTGGACTGGACAGCCTACGTACCCACCCACCTATTCACCTACCCACTACCTGTCCTGTGTATATGTATACCTTCTCCAGATACCCAGATGCCTACCTACCTCGACGCCTTCGCCTTCTTTCGCCTCGTGTGCCTCTTGTTTTGTTTAGCTAGCGAAGGGGGGACGGGACACATTTGAGTACGGAGTAGTCCCTGGGAGGCAGGGGCCGGGGGCTGTGTGTATGCATATACGCAGACATGCATTGCATGGGTTTGGCATGGAGACGACCAAAACATTTAAGGGGGACTTATTAATCTGTCGGTCGGTGTTGGGGCATTCTTTTCAAGAGGCTTGTTACAGTACGAACCAAAAATGCGGATTGATTGATTCATCGATTGATTCATCGATACTTTCTTGCGCTAATGATCTGATCTGATCTGTGGGGATATCACATTCCCATCTTCTTTCGGGATGTCCTTGTTCTTCTTCTTCTTCTTCTACGTGGACCGACTTGTCGGTCAAACACCTTCGCTATCAATGTCCATGTGGTTGCCATCGACTGCTCCCGCCGCTGATGCTGATGCTGCTGCTGCTGCTCCTCCTCCTCCTCCACTACCGCCTGCTGAGTCTCTGTGCACATCGTGATTGCCGCGAGAGATCGGCCCCTCAACCACATCGCCCATGTCCATGGTCATCTGCATGTCCATGTCCATGTCGTTGTCGTCACCGTCACCGCCATTGTCGCGGCCTCCTCTGTGCTCCGAGTCTCGTTTGTCCCCGGCGTAGAAGTCGGCATCCGCCTCGTCGTCACCCTCCAGCATCCAGATCCGTAAGTCGCGATCCTTGCCGCCGCTGACCAGCAACCCCTTGCCGTCCTTGGTCCGCCCGAAGTCCATGGCCAGCACCACGTCGCGGTGGCCCTTGCCCCGCCAGAGGACTTCTTTGCTTGTGACGTCCCACACCAGCACGTCGCCGTCTTCGCTACCACTGGCCACGAACGCCTCCAGCCTCCGCTGTCCACTTCGGGTCTTGTAGGCGTAACTCCCCACGGTCCCGCTGAGGCTGTACTCCTGGTTCACGTGGCCTTGGTACGTCTTGACACATCTCCCTTCGGTGTAGTTCCAGAGCCGGACGCAGTTGTCCAGTGTCCAGGCAAGCAGGAATTTGCCGTTTGGCGAGAACCGCACGCTCGTAACGGCCTTGCGATCCTCGTCCACTAGCGTCTTCAGACACTGCCCTGTTCCGGCATCCCATATGCGAATCAAGCCGTCCCCGGCGCAGGAACAGACCATCGTACCATCTCTTAAGAAATCGACGCCACCGACAGGGTCAGAGTGTGCAGGGAGGCTGCGCATCACGCGGCCGGAGCGGACGTCCCAGAGGAACACCGCTTCATCGAAGGAGCCGGAAACAAGCATGTTCCCTTTGGGAGAGAATGCAAGCGAGTAAACGTAGTTGCTGTGTCCCATGAAAGGTGAGGGCGCGATGGGGAAATCCGACGATAGGGGAGACCAGAGGAGGATGGACTTGTCGTCGCCGGCCGAGACTAGGGTGTAGGATGGCCCGACCGGAGACCAGTCTATTGCGTTCACACCTGCTAGATGTGCGCGCAGGGTACGTATGTGTTTCCAAGGTGTGTCGGGCGTAGGATATGAAGGAACAGAGTAGATGTTGATCGCATTGTCGGCCGATGCGGTCGCCAGGAGCGTCATGTCGGGGGAAAATTTGATGGAGGTGATTCCTCGCGCGTGTGCGCGTGGGATAGTCACGAGAGGGGTGAAGTTGAGCGACTTGCGGGTTTCTGTCGATCTTGCAATGGGTGAAGCTGACGGTCGTCGAGAGCGAGAATGTGACCCCCGACGATCCAGGGACGACTCATATGATCTGGATCTGGACCTTGACCCCGACCTCCGCCGTGAGCGCGATCTCGAACGCGGTTGGTGCTCGCGGCCAGACTCGTACACCGAACTTGGGGTTCGCGACCCGCTCAGACTTCTTCTTCGAGAACGCGATCGACTGCGGCTCCTGGACCGACGGACGTTGGGCCTGTCATCGCGACTGGCGTTCCTGCTCCTCGAACTGGAATATCCGCGCCCTCTTCTCGCGTCTCGATCGGAGCGGGTGGAATCTATATGGCGCAGGGCAGGAAGATGCGATCTCGGTTCGGCGGCGGAGTTTCTGGACGAGAACGAGTCTTCGCTTGACGTCCGACGTCGCTTGGAGGGAGGATCTGGGTCGATGTCCATGATTTCGTCGTGATCAAGGGTCTGGAACGGGGTGGGACGTGAATGGTGACCGTTCACTGTCCTCAATGCGGGAAATAATTTAAGTTGACAAGGGAACAAACACGACAAACTTACATTTTACGCTGCATACATGCCAAGCCTGGTATAGACCAGCCAGTGACTAGTTCGCGGGGCATTATTAGAGACAACATTCAATCACCACCATGTTGGGCAAACTAATGTCCTCATCGAACGTCGAACGTGTAATTGCTGACTGCGCAGGATGAACACCAAAATAGTAGGACAAGAAGCTGGTTGCTTGACATTGATGGTCCGAGAAAACGAACGCAAGGGCCGTACTATTGAAGGTAGGAGGACTGACTGTTTCCGATCATTGCTCGTGGCGGATTATGAGCAAAGGCCGTGGACTTCGCAGCAAAAGCGATAATTCTCCATAGCCGCACCCGTATTTCAATCTCTCTGTCCCATCAGAACCCAGAATACCACGGTAAGAATCATCATGCCGGCCGACACGACGAAGCCGATCCATCCCACGGCCAGGCTGTATGCTGCGATCGACAGACTCAAAAATACAAAGGCCAGACACTCAAGCAACATCAGCCACATGCCTCCCAGGCCCAGCACCACAATGCCAAAGACCACCGACCTTTCACCCGCCGTGCGATTCCCCGCCCCGCCACGCCAGGACTTGTACCCTCGTTCAAACGCATCTCGCACGTGCCGTCGGTGGAAAGTCAGCGCCATGCTGGTCACCGTGGCCATGGCCAGGGACAACATGAAAAACAACCACGCGAGGGCGATGAAGACCTGGATCTCGCTGAAGTACCGCCGCGGTCCCCCAAAGATGCCCACCGCGGTGGTGAAGGTGATGAGCGATCCCAACGTGGAGAGGAGAAAGGTGCAGGGGAGGAGAGTGTCGAGGAAGCGGAGGGCTGGAGGGTCGGCGGGATCAGTGGCCATTTCGAAGCGTTGCATTGAGCAGGCTGTGACAAATTTGCTGGGGTTGGGCGAAGGTGAAAGTCCTAGATGGGAACACAGTCACGCCGGTCAGAAGACGCGGCGGTGCAGGCGAAAGCCAGGGCTGATCCCTCTGCATAAAAGCCAAAGTTGTTCCGTGGAGCGTAGTCCAGTCCACGACTCTCACTGCGTCGTCGAACCGTATGTTTTGCTCGCAAAGCGGCTCTCTCTCCAATCAAGCAAGTACTTTCACTTTGTAGTCCCGCTCTGATGTGATGTACTGAGGGAATGAGGCTGAAAGTGGATGAGATGCAAAAGGGACAAGAAGGAGGAGAGAAATGAAACTGAGCTTGTATGGAAGTCGCTTGCTAGTGCTCGAAGAGAAGAGAAAAACGGTCGCACTGGGGCGGGTTTATGCCGAATTGTGCAGTGAAGAATGGAAAAAAGAGGGTTTCAGTGGCCAGTAGTAGTAAAGACAGGAGAGAAAGGGGGGAGGAGGTCTCGATGAAATCAAAGACCTGCCTGGGACGGAATTCCAGCCGAGGAGTGAGAGACCAGCGACCTTCGTGACTGACTTGCCTCGTCCTTTGAGGGGGTTATGAGTTATGACGCCCGTCCTCCCTGCAAGAGCAGAGAATCACAAACGGGGGCCCTTGTCCCCTGCCTAACGTGCACCAGTACAAACATCGGTCAAATCAAGTCACACCAAATGAAGTCTATCGTAACCACGGCGTTGGGTGGCAGATCGTGGTGGGCGTATACGATTCTGCCTGGGCTTCAAGATTTTGAACACTCATTCCAATTCGTTGAAACCAACCAGGGCCAGGACAAGGGCCGTCAGTGTAAGGCAGATGCTGGGCCTAGTGGGCTAAGCAAGGCAGGGCAAGGCAGTCCTGACTCCTGGTGCGAATGGGGGAAAAAAGCACCCTTGTTTCAAAGAACCCGAAACATTGTCGTTGGGCCAAAAACCGGTTTTTTCTTCTCTCGACATAACCCTTCTTGATGATCGACCTGGTCACCTGGGAGAGGGGGTTGTCACCTGACCACATACGCTTTTGGCGCTTGACTGGGGGTGGAATGGCCGGGGATGGATGGTGATGTGATGCGAGGGGCAAGTTTCGTGATGTCAAATCAGAAAAGAAACTCCATGAGCGAATCCGAGAACCCAATCCTACCCGAGCACAGCACTTGAGTCTTTCTTGAAATGTGCTTTGTGTATTCGGAACGTTGTAGAGACGAGGCTGAGGCTGAGGCTGAGGTGGAGAACTAATAGCAGGGTGAAGAAAGAAAGAGAGAGAGAGGAGAGAGACAGAAAGAGCATCGAGTACATAGTTCATAATACAAGGTAAGCTATTGTACATGACTGCCGCTGATTTTGGACCGGGTTATTAATATGTATTACTTACATATACTTAGGTAGTCGCGTGCGAGAAACCTATCGCCCGTCGTCCCGTTCTGATTAGCCGCTCGCCGCTTTGCTCACCCTCGGCTCACCTGCCGCTCCCTGAGGAGTGCCTGAGCAACTTAGTCCTTCTTTCTTCCTCGTCATTCACAACACCAACTTTCGTCAACTTTAGACGATAGGACCCGTTTAGGATACTAGGGGATCCCAACCCGGCCCCCTTTCTAATGCGCTCGAACTACTCAGTCGTGCGCCTCCTGCGCTACCCTCTTACGTGGCGATAATAGATCTCTACCCGCTTCGTTCGAACGGCTGGTGGAAGGCTGTAAGAGAAGCCCGCGGAGGCTGCTAGATAGGTCGATAGAAGGAGTAAACCAAGATCAGATAGCTATGGCCTCTAAATACAGAGACTGTAGTGTGCGAGGGCACACCGCTACTTATCCGTCCCGTTCGGGCGTGTGCGGTCCTTGGCTAGTTTGCCCTGTTTTAGGGGCTGTGGCATACTGTAACAGCACCCAGATGGCTGGCATCTGGGGCAATTAGAGCCTAGCGTGCCTTGATGACATAACCAGACACCTCGGAAAAGCTGCTTAGATTTTGTCTTCCACGAGGAGTTTTCCCAGGGAGGTGACGTCACCCCGCAAATTCCCGAGGATTTCGAGTATTGTAAAAAATTGATCAGCCTGACGGAACAATTACTGGTGGAAGGGAAATTAAAATCATACAAGCCCCAGGTTAGAAAGAATGCTTTGCAAGGTGTGCTGCGGGGCTTTCAGGAGATGAAGGCGGGGAAAGTGAGCGGGTGCCCGGGGAAGCTAGGGACTTTCTCGGCAAGGAGACGCCAAATTCCGGGGATAGATAACCTTCCGTACAAGCCACGATATTCGTGCTGAAAAATGACAGGTACTGGATTGGTTTCCTTTGTCCACCTTCTCGGACGAGAGGGGATTTTAGCATCCGTACCATCTATGACAGCCTGTTCGGCAGCATGGCGCCGAGGCGCCCCGGTCCAAAGGATCACTCGAACAAGATAGTCCGAGCCAATTAGCATTAAGTCGATTATGCATGTCGTAATATACCAAGTTTATGCTCCTTGATATACCTACCCTAATGACCTCCCACTTCTTGCTCATTCTCTCAACCTCCAATACACCCTTCTTCTTCCACAACCCTTTTGATTGCCTCTTACAACTAGAAATGGGATTCACGCCTCTCCTGCCAGCTTTACCCAACCGTCCTACGTACGCCAAAAACCCGCTGGGTGGTCAAGGGACATTTTTCTATGTGAGTGCGCGTACATGGTACCTATCAGTCCCGCAGAAATATAGAGGGTTGACTTAAAAAAGCTTGTCCGCGAGAACTTTTCCATCTCGACATGGCTTCTAATTGGGGCGCTTGTCCAATCCCTCGTTGTATTTCTCATACCAAGAGTCTACGCGATGCTGCCCTCGATCTTGATACTAGGAGCACGCTTGGCAGACACGCTGGCAGTCACATATGGCTTGAAGCGCAATCCTTACCTCAAAGACGCCATCATGAAGCGCAACTCGCCCCAGATCCCAGACGGAAACGGTAATTTCCATGAGGAAGCTGCTCATGAAAAGGTCGTCGTCTTCCTGCTTGGTTTGAAACTGAATCATCCCTTGGGAATTTTTTCACACAACGCGAAAACACTGGTGGATTATGTCGCCAAGTTTGAAAAAGAACTTGAGACTAAGGCCCCCGAAGGAGGATACTACGGAGGGACAAACTGGACGAACCAAGAACAAAACGGAGCCACGGAGGCAGTGTTGATCTCATACTGGCGGTCGATCGAGGATATCCATGAATTCGCTTACGGGCCCACGCACCGCGAAGCGTGGGATTGGTGGAACAGAACTGTCGCCGAGAACGACCATATCGGGATTAATCACGAAATTTTCGGGGTTGACCAGAAGCAATGGGAGGGGATCTACATTAACTTTCAGCCTACTTTACTCGGTGCCACAACATATCTGCGAAAAGGTGATAAATTTATTGGCGGGAAGGTGGACGACCAGTGGATCAACCCGTTGATGGATGCAAGCAAAGGGAAGTTGAGGAGCAGTGCTGGAAGATTGGGACGTAACCCCACACAATTGTATGAGAAGCATGGACTTGGGCCCGATTCATCCTACGAGAAAGAAGCTGAGTGATGGTAAATGATCCGGTAGTGGAAGAGGTAGGGTGTTACAGTGTACGAGCTACGTCTTCTCTGCACAAGGACGAGTCTTTGGAAAAGAATACTGGAAGAGGAAACACCAGTCGAGCTGCTCAAGTACTGTAGTCGAATTTAGATTTTCTGGTCATTAATTTCCCCCACCGCCACAACAGCAGAGAGTAGGCATCTCCACCCGCATGCTAAGAACCGGTCCGCGTGAGTATCACGTGTTGCTACTCATGGTTTCCTGACGAGTGGAAGAACGGCCAGAGGTATAGGGTATACTGAGGAGGTACTATTCGCTGAGCGATATCTTGAAGAGTGTGGGTACAAGGTGATAACATAGTTGATTACGGAGTCAAGAGCAAGCCCTGGCTCGACTTTGGAAGGGTTGTACCTATATAGACATAAGAGATTCGTATGCTCTGTTGCTCTGTTGCTCTGTTGCTCTGTTGCCCTGTTGCTCTGCTGCTCTCCCCGCTCTGCCACAGAGCGCCAGAGCACTCAGGGTCGTCAATTTTCTGCGCGTCTCTACACCATTGCCTTCTGTTGTGACGGTGCTTTACCCCGACGGAATCACAACCAACTCATATTAGGAGTGACATGTTCAAGACCGGCTCATAACATCCATGTTCTGAAACCGGGCTTGATTCTCCCCTGGCAACCCAGGAGTAAGCTATCTCTAGATCAAGATCAGGTCCAAATTCGTCTTGTACTCTGAGTGTTTCACTCCTTCGGCAGGTCCAGTATCTAACCAAACAGAGCACCAGCCAAGCGACTTCCCACCGACTTAATCTGGTTGTAGTTGCTCAGCGCATACTTCCCGAGCTCGCGGCCAACCCCGGACTCTTCGAATCCACCGAAAGGCACCTAAGATGAGAGCATATTATAGCTGTAGCTTGTCGAATCAACGATGGAATGAAGTCACAGCACTTACCGACGTTCAAGTGGCGATTGATGCTGGCCTAGCGACAGGTGCCGACTAAGGAAATCCGAGGGCTGGCTACTAGCTTGTGACTCATAGCTTGGTCGTGGTGGTAGGTGGCGAGTCCAAAATCGGTCATGTAGACAATATTACCCTACTTACCAGTCCCCAGTAGGAAGTTTTTAGGCTTGATATCCCGATGCAGGTATTCCTTCGCGTAGAGACTTTCAACTCGAAGGATGAGTTAATCCATCAGTATTAACGTAGTCTTACGTGAGAATTTGTTGTTATAGTATTGGAAGAGATCCTCGAGATTAGGATGCAGAAGTTCAAACACCACCGCCTAGAAATCACAATGGTAGCCATACCTGAACACTCGAGGGATGCCAGATTGTCCAGCCAACTCCTCATAGATCTCGATCTCTTGGCAGAAGAGTGATAGTGCAATCGAACGGTGCTCGAGTTTGATAGCTACTATATCACCCGTAGGAACATCGCGCCCTTGCGTGGATCAGTCATAATTAACGTTTCTTCGTTGTCTCTGAGGACTATCGTACTAATGTATACTTTTCCAAACGAGCCTGATCCTATACGTCGACAAATTTGGTCACACCCACCCAGGCGTATTTCGAGAAAGTGTTGAATAAATGGGTTGTCCATTGTAGGGTGAGCATCAGAGAAATTACTGTGGGAGGACACCCAGTACAGCAAAAAGTTGTGGCCGTTGCATCGCACTCGGCTAACATTCCTTCCTAATTGAGCCAGTCTTTGGCCGCCAATGGCTGCTTGCGCAAAGAGGACTTCGCGCGCAACTTGATACCGCGCCCTTTACGTCCAATCATGCTTACAACCACTCCACCACATGAGTTCAAACAAAGGCGCTACTGCGGGTGTTGAATGCTCCGACGTCGTCAGCCAATTGATTACTCAGGCAAACCTCAGCCTTCCATTGGGAGTCAAGTTAGTGTATGGCGCGTGGCGAGGTGCGCCACGACCCCCAGATGCCAAACTTACTGAACTTGGCTGTCCATACGTCCATAGTAGACAGTCAGCACTGCCTAATGCGCTCCATATCTGATCTTGTCTCGCAGGACGCGGTTCCAAGACTTTCACAACTGCCGAGTTCCACCCTTTGACCGCCAAAGTTTCTGTCGGTGTTTCCAAGCCCAGTGAGGCAGGGAGAGGGAAGATCATCACCGCAACGAAGTAGAGAGGGTAATCCCACCGAAATATCGTGAGAGACAGGAGCTGCCGTTATCCCGAATCCAGCATTGAACCCGGCGACGGCGGTCCTGAGATCGAGGCGACGATGTGGCCCGTTATTTCAGGTTCTGAGGGTTCAAAAATGTTGAGAACATGCCCGCGGACCGAGACAGCTGCTTCCAGTGGTTGCTTGGACAAACCTTCACCCTCCTTGGAAATTGATGGCCAATCTCAAAGCACACGCACGCCAGCCATTGGGACAAGGTACAACGGCTAATCAACATCTGCGTCTGTGCGAGCAAAAATGGTGTCTCCCGAATACCACTTTTCCTCCTTCATAGTTCCGTTCGCAAGACCCTCCTAGCGGAACTGCCGTACTCAAACGAGGAACCAGTATCTGGGAATCTGTTTGCAACATGCTGACGCGCCCGCTTCACCAGATGGCGACTCTTTTCACGGCGGCTTAATGAGCTAAGCGGGACGATTCACATAGTGTCGAGGCGACGCACGACGAGCGCGTCACAGCGAACAGAGTTGAGAGATCCAGGTTGGAAGGGAGAGAATTGGGATGGGGGATGGGGTTGTTATAGCCGTCAAAAGCGGCGGCGCGCCCAGCCTGCGACACCTGCCGGGGAGATTAGCGAGTATCAATTGTCGGTGTCCACTTTCTTGTCATGATATGCCTTCATGCTTGACGTCAATGATCAGGGCGTTAGGGCCAAAGTCGCACAGTTTAGAGAGATGCTGAAGTTCTGACCACCATGCGTCAATGTCTAGATCTTATCAACTCGGAACCCCCTTCCTTCTTCTGGAAGATCCTTGATCTGTATTGTGCAAAAGTCGTGGTCTCTTGGAAGCGTCCTGACAATGCAGAAGCGAACCTGCTTCCCCGTCTAATCATGCGGTTTGAGGTCCCGTCTCCCAAAACGCAAAATACATCACTGTCATTCGAGTGTGCAAAGTGTTTAATTGAAACTCAAAAGAAACTGAGTTGATGGCTTAGACCTCGATATGAGTTCTGCCCCTGGGAGTGGGGTAAGTCGTTAGATTAACAAGGGATATCGCATCTCAGTTCGCGGCTTAACGAGTCGAGTAAGGTCGATATATTTTCGACTTGTTGTAAACATCTCTGCAAATTGGATTGAAAATAGTCTCTTGTTGCTATTAACTTCTGTATTTCCTCTCGAAGTTGTCCAGTCTCTCGATCCTTTCGATGTACTTCTCCTTGAGTATTTGTGGTCTGGTGGCGTAATAATAGCAACTCCTCGGTGAGCCTTTGATTTTCAATTTGCAATTGCTCGGTTATGGGACTACGACCGAGGTCTGGTTCTGACGATCGTGGGCGCTACGGATACAAAGTCAACCTCTGGTATAGAAATTATATAGACGTGAATACTATACTTCCTTATCGTTTGTTATCTAGCCGTCGAGCTCTCCAGAATCCATCTTGTGCTATCGCTGTGACGGACTTTTTGACTTCAATCTCCCGATATAGCGCCTTATAGACCCCACCCGAGTGGTCGCTCATATTTTAGTGAATAATTTTTGAAGACGTGGAGGATATTTCCGACGGTATGGACCATTGACTCTCGGGACAAGGCGAACTTGTGATGGCTCTATATGCAATCCATGACTTTGTTCTAGTAATCGTCAGAAGCCTTTCAGATTATAATTAGTATCTGACCTCACCGAGATGTTTTGCTAGCATATAACGGCAGTTACTTCTCCATCTTGTGCGTTCATTATTTCGACGGGTGGGCATGCCCGGGATGGCGACGGTGGATCAAGTCAATTCTCGGTCTCAAGAATCTTGTGCTCCGACACATTACAGTAAGCTAGTTCCATTATATTGTAATTCACAAAGGGATGGGGATCAGAATTGGATCTCATTTTCAGTTTCTCTAGATGGGAGCCAAAATTAGAGCCCAGGGAACAAAGGGAACAAAGGGAACCCAGAAGGCTGCATGATTTAACCGCAATACTGTTACGAACGGCCTTTGAGGGGGCCGCGACGACACACGAACAAGGAAGGATTACCTGCCGGTAATCTGTCGGATATAGCCTCGCTGGCAAGGCTGCGGTCATGTGATTAGTTCAGTCGTGCTCACCTTGATCAGGACGCTCAGCACTGAGCAGGCTACGGATATATATACGACGGACATTTCAGATAGATTTCATATTCGTAGTCAACTTCGTTATTGATCTGACCCCTGCCATTGAGGTTAAACCAGTATTGCTCGAGGATACCTTGCTCTCTGTTCAGCATCCCTTCCCTTGTTCCACTTACTAAGAAACCCTTGTGAAGCGCGATCCGTGGAGAGCGAGTCATCACAAATACCCACGTCTTCTTACTGTGTTAGCTTTCGTAATCTGGCCATTGTTGAAGCGTCGTATGTTGTGTGAAGCTGAGGATATTGTAGGACAACCAAGGAGGCATCTTGTTGTGTTCTGGGGTACCAGTATATGAGCATTCGCGGTCTGTCTGTGTCCGCTGCAAGACGAGTGATCTTGCCGTTCTTATATACACGTTCCGGCGCCTCTTCTCGCGCCTGTTGCGCACGGCCGACGGGGTCCTTTTGGCACTGTTCCTTGCGCCCGTCGCCGCGCAACCCTTGCGAGTTCTCCAGACGACTGAGTACAGGGAGTACGGCCGTGAGACAACCCGAATAGACTCCGACCGAGTCTTCCCCGAACAGCCTCGGGATGAGGCTGCGCAAGGCTGGGGTTCGGTATAGATTCGGCAATGTCTGCGGTTGCTGTATACGCCAGAAATGACTGTCCTGACCGTCCTGTGGTACTTGCGGTCCAACAGATCTTTTCTCGAGTATTCCAACAGTTCAGCCACGCCTGAGAACAGCTACACTGCCACCGCGATAAGCTCAATCGAAACAAGGTACTCCTGCACTGAAACACTCATCCATGGAATCGTTCAATGGAGACCTAGAGTGGACTTCATCGAAAGCGGGTAATATCGCGGTTGAGCTTTTTGAATGTCGTATATTTCTTCTCTTTAATGTAAGGAGTAAATCGCCCTTTTTGTGACATGGAATAGCTTGTTAAAGGCTGTAGTTTTTTCATGCTCAGCGATATTGAAAGGACTATACTTGTGCACTGGTTCGGCGGCAAAGATGGCTAACCAAAAGTTTAGGCTGTAAGGTACCTTATTGGGCATCACCACGGGGAGCAATGAATCACGGCTCCTTGCTCTACAACGCACGATTCAACCGACACGCCGCCGCACTGCCAGCCAAGGTTACGAGAAAATTTAGGGAGCAGCCAAAGAGCAGGGAATCTTCCAGGTTCCCTGACGCCCCCCTGAAACAGATGCCTAGCCGAGTAATAGAGGTAGAACGTGACGGGTAATCCTGTGTCTCCAGTGATACTTCCCTTCCATTCCATCCGCCCTCGATCGAATACTCTTACCGACAATATCAATATCGAGAGTGAGAGGCCCCGTTCCGTAATCGTAGAGGTGGGAAAGATGAATCAACCACCCTGAAGCATGCGGGAAAACTTGTCATGTATGTGGCACGAATGAACTGACTATTTTTCAACTCTGAATTGGACGACCCTGCCCTGGCCTGGACTTTGCAGTGCAATCAATCTCTGTACTCGGTATGTAGAACATTGTTCAAACCAAAAATCCTCGTCAGGCCGTTACATTAATAGTACACAAACAAGCAGGTGTGCATTATATCCTCGAAAACATCATGTGCAAGGCGGAGGAGCCCCAGAGTCCGAAGCATTCACCCTTTGCTCGACCTGCGGGAGAAATGATCCCAAGCACCAAAACAAACACCAGACGCCCTGTATGTCCCTGCGCGGAGGCCTCAATAAATCGGTCTCCCCTCGTCCCACCGCCGGACCTCCACCGTCGAGCTGTCGTCCGCCTTCACCACGCTGTTACCTCGACTGCTCCCTTCTGCAGTCCTTCCATCGGTAATCAACCCGCCAGACCTCCGTCCCTCCAGCCCGGGCGCCAGGTCCAAAGGTCCAATCCATTCCCAAACACGACTCCACTCACCGGTCTTGCCTCCTTCCCGGGTCGCGGCCCTCACGTTGGAATTCCCTTCCACAATCTTCCTCACGTTTCGCCACACGCGTTCTCGTTCTGAGACACTGAATACATTCCTCAGCACATCATCTCTCAACTGTCCAACGCTGATAAATGGCTCGGACGCACGCCCGTCCTGATGCAGAGCGGCTTGCGTGGCTAGCCTGTCCAACGTCGTGGCCACGAGCCCGGGGATCTGCGCCGTGGCTTGTTGATAAGACAGTATCTTCTTGCGGCCGTAGACCAAGGCCGATGCAATCAGGATCAGAATTGCAATAGGGATTCGATTTTCTGTAAACGCTCGAAGGAGGGATCGTCGGACGGCGCACGCGAAGGGGAGTCTGGCGAGGGAGGAAGAGGAGAGGAGGGTTCGGCCGGATCTGCAATTGTGGGAACACGCGAGCTTCAGTCAGTCAGCGATTCGCAAACAAAGAGTGACAGCAACAACAGCCGCCAGAAAAGCAGATGGAACTCAACCCTACCCATCCTGAGTGACTTCAACTTCGTCTCGCGCTTTGATGTCGCCAAGCGCGCCACGCCAGAGCTCCTCGAACTCTAGCTCCGTCATTCCCCTCCTGCGCAACTTGGAGACGGTTTGCTTCAGTTCCTCTTCCGCAACCTCCAATTTGGGCGCGGCGGACTTTGCTACCGTCTTAACAGCCTCAGGTTCTTTTGCAACAGCCATTGATGAGCTCGTGACGTCTCCCCCGCACTCATAGGCGGCTCGCCTCTCACGAAGCTCCTCAATGGCTCGGTCTGCCACCGCCTTGATTCTCCTCTGTTTCTCGCTGTCTGGTTCACAGGTCGGTGGCAGCGGTACCAGGCCGTTCAAGGCCAAGGGATGGGGCTTGACCACAAAGTCACTCTCACATTCCACTTCCATGTTCGGGTAGCAGACGGCATGTTGCGGGCAGGGCTCGCACGTGGGTTGGAGGTTCTCATGCACCCAAGCAGGAATGTGTGGGTTGGAGGCCAGGGACCAGCTCGGTTCTCCCACCCCACAGTAGCCGATATTGACCTTCTCCTGCCTGTACCACGCTCCCAGTGCAGCAAGGACGGTCGTAATGATGGCCAGCGGCGCATTTTTCACGACCGCGTTTGTTTCCTTCTTCTTTTTCCTTCTCACAAGTGTCGAGGTGCGGTTGGGAATTAATTGCCCGTTCCTCTCTGCTTCCGCAAGTTCACGGGCAGCCTCGGGCGTGAATTCTTCTGTAACATCGACCCCATCTTCTGCATCGCCAGAGGAGACCCGAGACACTGGAAATAAGACCTGTGAGCGCGAAGGTGAAAACTCCTCGGACTTGATAGGGGGCGAAGTCGTCTGCCGGCGTTTGACGGTGCTGGTTGATGATAACGATTTTCGTGTGCGAGACGCCGAAGATTTGCGATCATGGGAGGCCGACGTCGGACTGGATCCTGACTGAAATGGATTGTCGTCGGAGAAAGGGCTTGTCTCTGCTGCACTGGCTGATTTTCGCTTTGGTTTGCTGTCCGGTTGTTCGATCTTAACAGAAGGTTCTGGGGCAACCTCAACGGGTGCACTCTTGCGAACTCTGCGGACGGTCGATTTCTCTCCCTCTGGTTCGGTGTCGGATGCGCGCGGTGTCCGGGTCGCGCTCTTCCTGCTGGGAGTCTTGGTTCGCTTAGACGTCGACGCAGCTGAGGCGGCAGCAGTGAGGTCCGACTTGCTTTTCCTGCTGCGCGGTGTTTTCGGAGGCGGGGGAGGCGGCATGAGTTGACCGTCGTCCCCGTCGTCATCGTCAAGTGTTCCTTGACTGCTGGGAACATCCGTTATGCCTTTGCTTGTGCGCCGGACTCTAGCTTGCGCACGGAGGAGCTTTTCTCTCTGCGGTAAGACCTCTTGCTCCAAGATTTCCAGCAGTTGAGCCTTCTTAGCCGAGGACGGATAGTGCACATTTTGTGCGACAAGGATGGAACGGATGCGAGGGACGGTGAGGCTGTTCAGGTCGAAACCTGGTTGCAGGTAGTATAATTCGTCCTCGTCCGCCATAGTGATGACGGCGGCGACTGGTTAGCGGAAGACCCAGGTCAGAGCCACTTGCGCCCAAAATAACGGGAATTCGGTTCTAGAACAACGTCACGTCAGGGCCAAGTTGACGAGGGCAAACATAAAGAGGGTTTGAGGAAAAAGTGGACGAAGTGTTGCTTGAACGGGGCAATGGCAATAGGATCAGGTTCGAGAGTGTAAACAATGGGCGCAGTGGGGTGGGAGAGGCATCCACCTCTGGTGGCAGAAGCATAGTTCCCGTCCTCGTCATGTGACCTGGCTATGAAACGCGGAAACCAACACAACAACAACACCACCACCACCACCACCCCACTCTCTCGATCAAAGTAGAATCTGTTTATTGTTCAAGCGAGTCTCAGACTCTCTAAAAAGTAGTCTCATCCTCCAGATTCCTGTCTGTGCCAAGACAGTAAGAAAAGTTGAGTTCCTGAGCCAACCAAACTTCATATAAGTCGTGATCCATATTCATACAGTGCGCCCATGGCCGATGCATAATGCCATAAGACGTATCCAAAGTGTCTCGCCACGTTACGTTCTGATATTCTACACTTCACCCCAAGCCCCACCACTGGCCAAGATGCTGCCACTTCCGACGCTTCCACCAATGTCCCAGTAGTTGCGACTTGATCCGCTTCTCACGAGGGACGCTTTCCTGCTGCTGCGCACGCTTTCGCTAGCACAGCTACTTGCAGGTCGTCTAACGCTTACTCTGGACTCACGTCGTAGGCGGGCAGGAGATCGCTGAGCCCGAGCGACGAGAGGATGGTGCTGGCGTATGATCGCCGTCCGAGTGGCGGCATCTTCAAGAGCTTGTCTTGAGGCTTGGGGCGATTGAGCAGACGACCTGCTCGCGAACCGATCTCTGAGGTAGCGGAACACCATCTTCAGATCGAGCTCTCTCTCCCAGTACTCCCTCTCTCGCTGAAGGCTCATAGACGAGTCGAGTGGTGAGGTGGTAGAGACGGGGTCTTCTTCAAACCCCCAATTCTCGGCATGTGCCGGGTCCCGAACGGTTGGCGGAAAATTAGGCGTCATGCCAGATGAGATGGTGTCTTTTGACGGGCTTTCCTCGCTGGGTGACAGAGACAACTGCGGTTTTGGCCGAGAGGCAGAAACCGGCATGCCGGCATAGTCAGGACTGCGTGAGTAAGTCGTGAAAGCTCCCGGGTGTGGTGACAGTTGATGCACAAAAACACCCAATTCTCGGGCAATACGTTGAAGTAGCTTGTCCCTCCACGTCGAATCTTCGATGGCACGGCCTTCGGACGCCAGCTCAGGTATAGAAGGCAGAGCATGGCTGGAGGACGGCCTGCTTTCGTAAGCCTCATCTGGAAGGCTCTCCCCAAATATGACCGACAGAAGCGGTTCGTCAATACCGATGACATCACGGATAAACTTCCTTGTGATGCGGCGCCAGAATGGCTCTGCCTCTTCTGGCTCTGCTGCTGGCCTGGATAGATAATCACTCTGCTTTGGTGTCGTCCCGAGTACATCTTCATTGATAGACGCCAGTGTCTCTTGGTAAGTGGACTGGCGAGATCCCCTCCTCAGTCGTCTGCGGGTTTCTCGTTCCACTTCGTCCATCAATGCTTGACTTTGCTCCATCCGCCACTTCTCTATCCGCATTCTCTTTTCTTCGCTTGCCTGCGCTTCGATCTCATCTATGGTATCGAGCCTCCTCTGCACACTAGAAGGCCTCCGGTGATGTCCGTCGTGTTTTCGTTTTGGATTGTATGCCTCATGCTGCCATAACTGTTCAAGGACAGGAGGGCTTGAAGCGGGGAAGGTGCCCAGGCCGTCATGCGTCGGCAACACAGCACCTTGCGTCTGGTGGGAGATAGTAGGATACAAGGTAGGTTCTCTGAACGCATGCAGCCCATCGTCAAGGCTGTCGAGTTCACCATCTTCCGTGACCTCTTCATCGAACACGGATGATTCAAGCCTACCCGACCGCCCTGCAGTGTTGAGTGATATATCGCTCGCTCTTGAAACCCCCACAGTCTGGCTGGTATGAGTCCGAGTGATGGTGGACTCTGCCGTGCTCGGAGAGAACAGGACCCATTCTTGGGAGTCCTCTACTGTCGTTCGTCGTAATTGGGTTTGGGAGGACGAGTCTTGGGATTGATTTGCGTTGATGACAACTGGCCGCGGTGCTGCAGATTGTTGGAAGGCCATGTTTCCCGACCCGCGGACGTACGGGTGGGCCGTGCTACGGAGAGCACGAGAATGGCCGCGAGGGTTAGGATCGGACTGAGGATGGTAAGGGGAACGGAGGATGGAATCAATTGACAAAGGACTGAGTTTGTCTTATTTGGAGCGTCAGTCGTTCTTTGTCTCTGCCAGGACGTGTCTGTCAGTTGGTCGGGATTCAAAAGTGGAGGTCCAGCTCCGATCAAGGAGATGCGCGAATGAGTTGTATGCTCCTTTCCGGGAACCCCAATGTCACGAGGTCGAGGGCGGTGCTTGGAGCGAAACGAGGAATGGAGAATGACAGTAATCGATATGGGACAGTATCAGATAGAGTATTGAGTCAAATGTATAAAGGGGGTAAAGGGATGTGTTCGGGATAGGAAGCGGCAAGGAGGTTGTACAAGGTTCCCGACAACCTCGCAGGTGTTGGGTGATGAGTGACACGTCGAGTCGAGTAATCGACAGATAGAGCAGCCAGCGATTGCAACAGGATGGTTAGGAGTGACACCCAAGTGGAAGCCCAGCTTGTCGGAGAAGCCAGCCGCAGTTTGACAGCATGACCACAGCTGCGGCTGCTGCGGGCGTATGCATGACGAGATGCAAGATTTCCTTGGAGCCCATCATCGTTATCATAGGACCTTGCAGGGGACCCTTGAACCCAGTCACTCCCTGTCCAACGTTCCGCTCCCGGCCTAGTCTCCCCAAGAGATACACTTCATCCCAGAGATCTCCTATCTGGCCGCCTAAACATGTCACTCTGACCCTCCCTCCTCGTACTTCGGTCCTATTCACCAAGCCCATTTTGTTACGGACCCCAGCGGCATTCCTGACTAACAGATTGCCCAGAAACCACGCGACCTGGTTGGAAATCCTGCCACTTCTGTAATACAAAAATGGGCAGGGCTTCTCTCGGAGAATTGTCCTTCATGATGATGAGGCAATAGGCCGAACGGATGAAAAATTACCATTTTGTTCTTCCTAATTCCTCCGCCCCCTCAGACATCAGGCACGCAATCTGACTGTCGGATTGTGGCAGACTGTCGTGGTAGACGGGAGGGCGCGCGCAGTCGGTCGCCGTCGCCGGTCAGGGAACAACCCAAGTTTAGCCCCGGGATGAGCATCAGGTTCTCGTATCGCCACTCCTTCCTTGTCGTCACTTCTATGTATACGGTAGGGAGGGCCAGGGGTTGTATTACATATTACCTCAGTGGTACCAGGGGCTTCCAGGGCGGGTCGTCTTCACCTTCCCATTACAGGTACATTCGTCACCTTTCAGCAAGTTATTAGGTACGTGTGGAGGCATCTATGAAAACAGGTTTGTCTCATTTGTGTCACTGTCCTTCATTTCGCGTCTATCATGATCAGAAGTATCTCAAAGGTACTCCCTGCCGTCTGACGGAACCCATTTGCCGGGTGAAGGGGCGCATTTTTCATTCCGGACAAAAGAATCGTTCTGAAACATGCGAGGATGTTGTCCAGCTAATTCTTTCGTTCCGTGAAACTAAAACTACTCCGATATTCCACCTGTGACCTCTGCACGTGCCCCTCGCTTCACCTTCGAGGCGAAACATGAAATCTATGCCTCAGCGGCGATCTCGCTGCCACCCTCGTACGCACCCGGGAATCGCTTCATGTTCTGCTCAATGTTGCCCTTGTTCCTTAAGAATTGGACATATGCGCCATCAATCAAAACACGACCTTCCTGCTTCAACTTGACGTACTCGTCGCGTCTCAACGGCGTGAAACCCCAGTTCTTGCTGACGATGATCTTTTGGCGACCGGGGAACTTGTACATGGAGCGACGTAGAGCCTCGATGGCGGTGGCACGGTGGGCGTCTCGGGTTCGGACCGACAGGAGGATCTGGCCAATATTGACACGGGCGACGGTGCCATTGGGCTTGCCCCAGGCTCCTCGCATTCCAGTCTGAAGTCTATCGGCACCAGCGCAGGACAACATCTTGTTGATGCGGACGACGTGGTAGGGGTGGGCGCGGACTCGTAGATGGAAACCTTCTTTGCCTGCAATCTTGACGAGATATCTGAAACCTGCGTTAGCCAACCTTTCCTCCTCTCACACGACTGTAGACGTACTTGTTGGCGCAGATACGGGCCGCTTCGAGGGCTTCAGAGCTCAGTTGTTCGTACTCGTTGGAAACCATGTGCACGCAGAGGGGGAATTCGTCGACATTGGCACGCTTTCGTCCCAGATCGAAGATACGGATCTTGGGGTCAGGGACACCACGGTTGAATCGAGACTTGGGGTAGGGCTGCAAGAAATTAGCACATCAACCGCACATTGTCGCAAAATCATCTACTGACCTTGTTCTTGCAGTATCTGTAGCATCTGGCAGGTCTTCTGGCCATCTTGACAGTTGTTCAGAGAGGCTAGCACTTCTTGCGAACGATATGGTGGAGGGGAAGAAGTTGAAGAGTCGACGATGAACTTTGTAGGTTGCCCACTGAACTTGATTTCAAATCGGATGCCAAGACCATCCGCCACCAGAAACCAAGAAAGATACATTCTTGCCCTAATTCCCGATCCGGAAGCCTGTAAGTCCGGGCCTCGAGTCTGACACAATAACTTACGCACTAGACTTGGGTCTCTACAGTGTCAGACGTGATATTTATAGTTTCAGTTGGCAGGTTACAAAAGAGAGCATTGAAAGACACCGGGAAAGAGGATGAGGTTTTCATTGTCTAGGCTGCTCTTTCTGAATTATGGAGCAAGATGCCTCTCTCTATCTTGTGTTGAAATTTCCGTAATCCCAGACCCATGGATCAGCGCACGTTTGCAGGGACTGCTTCATCGCAATTGTCTTGCCTTCTGCGCCCTCGACGGCTAGGGTATCAAGACATTGAACGCATAGACTTTTTCACAATGCACTTGTGCATGAAGTTGGTGTTTATGAAGCGGCGCCGAGGATATCAGAGTCACCAGCATCAAGAACAGCCATGGTGGAGCAGCGGTACAGCTTTCCGCAAGCAGTGCCCAATTCAATCTACAGGCGGTGGAGAAATATTAGCCAGCATTCCCTCCAAAGCCCGTGGGAGCTTCTTCTCAGGGTTTTTCATGTGAACCTGCACTCACGTTGTTTCCAGCAAAGTGGTGGACGTTGGTCTTTGAGAGCATGGAGTAGTACTCAAGTTCGCTCTTGCGGAGAGGAGGAGTATTGCCGGCAATGATGACCAGCTTAGCTTTTCCAGATCGAAGGCATTTGAGAGTTGACTTGTAGCCTAGAGTAACTACATGCAAGTGTTAGACGTGCACTGAAGGGGTTTTGGGCATTAAATGGCAAACTCACCTTTGCCGGATTTCATCACAAGCGCCAGGCGCGAGTTGATGCTGTCGGTGGTCTTCTTCGCCTTCTTTGGTGCCATCGTTGCGCTCTACTAAATCCGATAGTAGAATTGATTGAACGTTGCGCTCCGGCGACTGTGTGGTGTTGGTGGTGAGAAAAGAAATTCGGCCTAGCACTGTGCCCAAAAATGCGCTTTGCTGTGGGAATTGTTCTTGGCAGTGGGCGAGCACGTGATTTGGTTTGGCCTTTTGAACAGGGCACAAGAGTACTGTAGGGGCGATCATGGCCCCTGGCATTGCTGGGTTTTAACCAAGCGGGCCCCGGAACTGCCCTCTTTTGGGCATGCTACACCAACGCCTCATGCGGCAATGCAAGCAAGGGCCGCATTTGGGGCTGCCTCCAGCAACGCGAGGCTCCGCTGTTGCTCCTGCTGCTACCATTCCGGAGATTTCACTTATGGCATGTGCATGCATGTTTGGATAACTCTTGAGTATCACTCACTCATGCTGTATTCGAAAATATCAGATGGCTGAGTGCATCACCTGCTCATCGCCAACATCATCCTGCATTGATTTCCAAAACATCGCCGTCATATCTATCGCAGCTGAACACCGCCGTCACTGATCACTGAGGCGCAGGCTCGCTTCCCAGCCAATACCTGTGTCCACCCTCCCTCGCCAGCCAATACTATCTTCGCACCCTCGATTATTTATGTTGCAGTCGGAAACTGCCTCCAAGTCATTCATTAACTGGGCCGCCCGGCTTCCGCATTACCTCCAACGTCTCAACGCGTCTCGATTGCTTGGCCATAAATCTGCGCAGGAGTAATCAACATGGCCACGTCCAACTCTCGGACACCGCTTTCCAATACCTCCAACACGCCTCCGTCTCGTCGCCCACCCAACGACAATAGTCCCAACAGAACTGGTGTTGGAAGTTCTGTGCCCGCAAGTACAGGAACAGGCCTTGCGCGCACCCCGTCTCTCCGGCAGACCCGACCCTTGCGGAAAGCGCCCAACCGCATGAGCACTTCTTTTATTGGCTCTGTCGACCACGATCAAGAGGACGAAGAAGCAAAGTCGGCCAACGTACAACTGATCAAGGATCTGCAAGAGCAAGTCCAACGCGCCGAGCAGGCGTCAGAGCGTTACAAAAAACAATTAGAAGTCATGCAACAACGTTTGGACGAGGTCTCGCAGGCGCAGATGGCGTCGGAGGAACGCGACTTGCAAAAGCAAACCGAAGTGGACCGTCTGAAAGCAGAGATCAGAGATCTGAACAGACAGCGCCGAGAGCTGGAAATTGAACAAGAGGAGCACCAGCAGCTCTTTCTCCAAGAACGAGAACGACAGATGAATAAAGAGGCAGAGCTACAAGCCACCATCAACAGGCTAAACGAAGCGCTTCGCCTGCAGGGTACTGAAAGGTTGAATGCAAGCCGAAGCGCAGGCATGGCTGAGTTTCAGGCGGCAGACGCGAAAGCCGACGGAGAAGGCTTTCGACCAGAACACCTTGGCTCGAACGTCGCTCACAACCTGCAACAGAAAGATGAGACGATTAGCGCTCTCCGCTTAGAACTGGCCGAAGCACATCTCAAACTGACACAACAAGAACATGTGGGAGATGGACGCTTCCTGGAGTTAGACCAAGCGATCTCAGAAATGAAGATGCAGAACGCAAAACTTAAAGAGGAAAACGAAAGTTTCCAAATGCTTTTGAGCGAGAAGACGCTCAAAGGCACCTTTATGCACCATGAGCACACGGACGAAGAGTTGAGTACGATGAGCACGCTGGCGGAGGAGCTCGAATCCACCGAGGAAGACGAGAGCAACGAGGGCCAGAATGAGATATCTAAGAAGCTGGAAGGAGAAAACAAGTCACTACGAGATCAAAACAAGGCTCTCACCTTATACATCGACAAGATCATCGGGCGGTTGCTGTCGCACGAAGGGTTCGAGCACATTATCCAAGACAAAGACGATCCGCCTGCGCCCCCCACAAAGTCGCACGCCGAGAAGGCGTTGCCTGCGATACCCGATCAGCAATCTGGCCCCCCATCCACCGTAGCTGGGGTAGCTACCGGCTTGCTGCAGCGAGCCAGATCTGTTGTTTCACGGCCAGGAGGCAAAGCACGGCCCATGTCTTACGCGCAACCATCATCGACAGGACCCACGGCCAATGAGAACCCGGAGACCGCCCCCAGCATACCACTCAACAGGGGACACCGGAGGGCAAGATCTGATCAGGCGCAAGCCGACATGGCAGCTGCCGCAGTGGTTCAGCAAATGAATCGTGGATCTCCCATGAGAACGGTCTCTGGGGGACCAATGAGCCCAGGCATTCGGCCACTGAGCCCACAGCTGTCTCAAGGGCGCGGATCCTATTTTGGGGGTGCTACCAATTCTACCACCACACGTACACCATCTGCTTCTGGCACGCGTGGAGGTAGTTCTGCAAACAGCGTTACCAGCGACTCGCATAGCGAGGAACAAAGGTCGACTACCGATGGGGGTTCGATGACAGCACAGATGAGCGGAGAACGACAGAATCAAGCGAGTATTCCTGGGGCGGTCATGAAACAGAACCAGTTGAGGCCGCTACGATTAGTACAGGAGCAAACGGCGTCCGAAGAAGAGATGCAGAAACGTGGGAATAGAAATTCTGTTTGGGGATGGTTCAGGGGGAGCACCATCGAGACCCAAGACGAGTAGAGCGTCTGTCAGAGAATAGGGGTATGTGAGCAAATAGACTATAGAGACTCTGTAGCCGTTGAAGGCCTTGGGTGCCCATACAAGAATCCGCGAGCGTTGCAAGCAAGCGTGGCATTTGGAATCAAATTATCAAACTAATATTGTTTTCTCTGTGATGCGAAATGGACATATTACAAGTGTTTTCAGGGCTGACAGCAAATGACGGTAAATGCTTCGAGGCCTCTGCGACAATCCCGTCCCGGGAATTTGTTTTCTTGGCCGGCCGGCTTTGGCATATTGGGAAAGCCGGCTGCCATTGATTAATATTATTCCGTTTTTCCGGTATGGCGCCCAATTCTCTATATCGAATCGGGTCTTTTTCACGACTTGAGCGAATTCAGTGCTTTCTCTGCTCACGACTGCGCTTCCAGCCTCCCAATTCGATGAAGATTTCCCTTGTCTCTTGCTGTCCCTGGTATTTGCGTCCTTAGTTGACTTTTCTATGACTCCACTTCCACCCATTCCCATCCTCTGTGGGCCATCTGACGCCGGTCCCAACCCAAGTGACGACCGCGATGAGGGTCCCCCATTGGAGGAGTGGGCGGGGTGGGAAAAGTTGGGTACAAGGACTCGAGTCACAATTTCTGTCCCGCCTTACTGAATGAGCCCTTTTCGCCCTATGGCAACACCGTCTATCTATTTCCCTTTCCTTGTTGTTCTCGAGATTGTTTCTTCTCTCTATTTCTTCGAGTCTCTCTTTCTCTGACCGAGTTTGCTGCGGCTTAAAAGCAATCGTGTGCTGACTGTCGTTGAAAGATTTTCACTGAGACGACCCTCCCCTCCCATTAACCTAGACACAGACCTTCACCGCATCGAATAACTCAACAGAATGCCTGCCCAACCCAAGATTCACTTGGTCCGCCACGCCCAGGGCTTCCACAACTTGGGCTCTGAATTCCACTCTCTACATGACCCGCGTCTCACGCCGCTGGGGGAGTCGCAATGCGCCACCCTCCAAGAAAGGCACTGGCCCGCCGAGCGGCAGCAATCCCTCTCCCTGATCACCGCCTCACCTCTAAAGAGAACGCTTCACACCGCCTTGCTCACCTTCTCGCCGGCCTTGAAATCAAACGCCAAGTGTAAGCCGGCCATCCTCGCCATCCCCGACGCACAAGAAACGTCCGACTTTCCCTGCGACACGGGCTCGGACCTCGACGTCCTGCGAAGTTTCTGCGCCGAGCAGGACTGGCCGGTCGACCTCTCCCTCGTAACGGAGTCGTGGAATGTTAAAACATTGAACAACCGCTATTCGCCCGCGAGCCAGGCCATCAAAGCCCGCGCGAGAGACTGCCGCCGCCTCCTCCGCCAGAAGGCCCGCGAACTGGTCGAGAGTGGCGACGACAACGTCGAGATTGCCCTCGTCACGCACGGCGCATACCTTCACTATCTCACCAACGACTGGGAAGACGCCACCAAGCTCTCCGGTACAGGGTGGGAGAACACTGAGCACCGCACGTATCACTTCGAACACGCCTTCGACTCGGACTCAGACGAGGACGCGTTCCTGACGGAGACAATGGAGAGCCGGCAGCGGCGCGGCGTTAACCACCCGATGCAGCCCCATAGCAAGCAGCATGAGCTGTTCCAGCGAATGATGCAAGGGTGGGAGGACCAGGGACTGCCGAACCCGAGCAAGCTGTCTCATGCTGCCGTCGCTGACGAAGAGATCATCGAGGAGCAGGAGAAGTCGGGCCAAGAGCCGGCCGACGCCGAGAGGCACATCACTATGGCTGCGGACGAGGTGCAGCCCCAGCCTGCCAGCGTGCAGGTGACAGCATAGGGATCTTGCAATCTTGCTATATGACCCAACTCCATGTACCTTGTGGGGATTGTGGCAGAGCGGGTTGACACGAACACACCGAACGAGAAGGAGCACCTCTTTTCCTACATTTACTCCGTCTGCTACCTTGATTGGACACCACCTCTTGGACTAGGATTTTCTGGGTTGGTTGGCCAAACTGACTCCGCCAAACGAAAGAAAGAACGGAGTGAAGAGATGCTCGCCGGTTCCGCCTGGATATGGATATAAATTTGTTTTCTTTATGGAATTCCCCGGCCAACTCTTCGCTCGCTTCAGGCTGGTCCATACGAGTAGTATGTCGACTGGGTCCACACGACCTGCACTGGATAGATAGAGCATGAGGCGGAAAGAAAGGGGGAAGAGGGGGGGTTGATTGCCCAATCACTAATGCTGAAGCTACTTGCTCGAGCTAGCTGGGGTTGGTTGAAAAGCCCATGGCGATTAGGGACTGGGACTGGGACTTACTTACTGGTTCATGGCAACGGACATGGAGACAAGACATAAGACATTAAAATTACAAAACCTAGACAGGGACGAAATAGACATAGAAATAGAACTAGAAACGACAGCACCCAAGCCCGATCGATGAACAATAAGACATGGCTTATGCTATGGCACACCGTGAAGAGAAGAGAAGGAAAGGGAAAGCAAAACTGCATATGAACCCAGAGTCACTTAGTCAGTCAGACAGACTTACTATATCTAGACTGCCTATTTGTCTTAGTTCATACAGATCATAAAGGAGGAGCAGGAGGACAATCGATGAGAGACCTTGAGTAAACCATACACATTCAAAATCAAAAATCATGTATCGCTTGTTCGCTTGTTCGCTTGCTCTGGGAAAAAGAAAAGTCCATATTCCATTCTACTGTCCTCATGCTCCGTTCGTGGATTAGTTCGCCATGTCCAGCGTAATGAATCGTTCCCGGCACACCCCTCCCTCAGATAGATGCAGGAGAGACAAATCACAACGTCCCGAACCCGACACAGTTCTCAATTGCCTTGGTCAATTTCTCTTTCATGACCGTCCGGCTCGAGTACTTCGGCAGCAACAACCGGCCGTAGCACGTACTGCTGCTCGGCAGCCTCTCGTCCTCCTCGCCGTTTTTCTGGATAATGAACGTCACGCTTTGCATCCCATTGACCGGGACTCGGTCACTCGCGGTGACGAACTCCAAGAGCTGCCGGTGCTGTTGGGTGCTCATGCTGCGAACGATGTGCCAGAAATCCTCGATTGTGGCCGAGTCGGGTTTATAATCGTCGTAGGTGGCGGTCTTTTGGAGCTCATCGATGTCGATCTCGTGGTATCCCTCAACCAAGGCTTTCAAGGATTCAGGATTGAAGATAGACAATGCCGTACGGTCGAGGCAGGTGTAGAATCCCCTGGCAAAGGCCTCATATTGTGGTTCGATGGATTTATGCGTGAGCCACAGGATGTAGTCTTTGACATATTGTTCCCGATTGGCGTTGGTGACCAACGAAGCTTCCTGGCCAGAGTTCTCCAGCATGTCACTATCGATGCTGACAGGAGTCGATATGCCTTTGATTTCGATGGAGGATGTACGACTTAAGATCGAGCCGTTCGGGATATTGGGACTCAGGTTTGGTGACGGCTGAGGAGGCGGAGTCAATGCTGGCTCCAGCGGCAACTCAAAAGTGGTGGATTTGGCCTTCTCTTTGCCTTTTTTGCTCGTCCGCGGCTTTGTTGGTGGCCAAGGATCATGGCGGCCAACTTTCTGCATATCCACCGAGACAGTGGTTCCACAGAGCTCGTAGCTGAATTCATAGGTTCTGGCGATCACCTCCCCAACGTCCCCATCAGACCACTCCAAGAGCGCTTTCAACCCCTTCGTCAAATCAGGCCAGCCGTCGGCGATATGGTCGAGCTTCTTCACCTTGAGTCCCAGAAGCTTGCGGTAAAATGCCAAGGGCATGGTGAGCGGTAGAGTGATCCCGTTATAGATAGCCATTGACATCAGAATCCCCAGAGCCTCAAACCTGTAGAGTGGTTCAAAGGAACCTGGCTGGAACCACGTCATCCTTGTCGTACTGTCAACCGTAAACATGGAATAGTCTGGTTTGAGTGCGTCCCCGAAAACAATTCTGAAGAATTCCTGCTGAACTCCACCATGATCGAGACCATCTTCTCCTTCGTCCTTGCCGAGTCGGACGCGCAAAGGGCGCATCAACTCTCGGCGTTGACGTTGCCATATTTGATCGATTGCATCGTTCAAGATGTCATGTCTGCGGATTGTGAGCACGAAGAATCTGGCCATGTGAGGCCGCAGATGAGCCAGGACCTCCTTGGCCGAGTAGATCGGGATAGCAGGTGCCCACATGTACTGCCTGATATCGTTGTATACAATGGTGGCGTCCTCGTGCGACTTCTTCATGATCGCAATATTTATTGCCCTGAAATACTTGACCAGAACGTGTGGTTGAAAGAGAAATGAGAAAGACAGCAGGTGTATTTGTCGTGAGTCAGGGCGAAAGGACAACCATTCTGATGGCATGGACATCTCGTCGAAAGTTGCGGCGATGAATGGCATGTGAAACCACTCTGCATCCATATTCAGTTGATGTCGTGCCCGGTACAATCCAGCCAAAAGTTCCAAGGCGCCGCCCACCGGGCTCGCACGCTGAATGACTGGAGAACGATTCCAATCCCTGAGCATGATCGTCCGCCCAAGCTCGAGAGCAGCAAAGCCGATCCAGCTGGAGTTTTGATCAAATCGGCTCCATCCATAGAGGTAGTCTCGATCGAAGCGATCAATGAGTGATTCAACGATGGTGTTCTTATTCAGCTTCGACATGCCTGAGCTCTTGAGGGTGGCCGCCCACTTGGCCACGGTCAACCGGTGGCTGACGACATTCATCAGAGACGTGAGCAACCGATGAACGGCCCAATCTTCGGTAATGTCGATGACTTCGATAATCTCGCGTATGAGCGATGGATCTTGATCTTTGGAGATTTGCCAGGACGAATGCGCAAATCCGCTGTTTCTCTCCCTCGCAAAACGGACAAATTGATCCTTTCTCTTGAAAACTGATGCGGTGGGGGGATGAAAGATGGTGGTTGTCAGGGATAAGAGCGCCACAAAGCATAGGTCAGTGATCTGAGAATCATCGAGTGGAATCAAGGGCTCGTTGGCCTCTGAGAGTACATCAAGCTCCGCAGGATCCGGGGGTAAATTGATCGAGCTGTTGCGGTCCGAAGATTGGCGTCTCTTCAACAATGATAACTCGCAATTTCCACTGCTCGATCGAATATTTCTTCCTGGCCGTCTGCTCAGGAACCACGGTGGCAGGTAGTATGCGTGCTGTAGTGCTTTCAAAATGCTGTTCATGACCAGATCACGTTGCTCAAATTTCTGCATATAAGCAAAGCTGAACAAGAGCGCTTGCACATCATCTCTTGTGCTTGTATAAATGACCGGCCACAGGCTTACAGACCCATTTCCCGACCTGGCATCAAGTCTGTCTTCCGAACCCGCTTCATTCTGCTCTAGGAGACTTTTCACCCCATGCCAATAGCTAGCTTGAAGATTCATGACCGTGTTCATAAGCCGCACAGGATCACTGAGACAAAAGGCAAGGCTTTGTTTTATGAAGGGAACGAACTTCTGTTGATAGCCCTTCTCGTCTGGGCCCACACAGCTCAACCAGGGCAGGGTGAACCAAGTAAATGTTCGAAGGGTGTAAGCTTGTTGATGAAGTGGCCTCGTTGACGCGCATTCTTGCTCGTCTGTCTCTGCTTCCGATAAGGTCTTAGTGTTTTCCACAGACGTGAGGTGGTCTTCTGGCGTGCCCTCGACAGAACCTTGTTCCTGATCGCTAGACGGTCTGGCTAGTCTTGAAACTTTGGTCGTGTCACCATCGCTTTTCGCTGGCAACCAGTTGAGGAGCCGAAGCGGCACCAAATCAAATAGTGTTTGCGTGAAAGAAGCGAGATCTTTCTGACTTGCCGGGGCCGTGGCGGGCTGCTCTAATATACCGTTTGCCTCCTGTTCACCGACTTGTTCTTTCTCCACGTTGCTTCGGGGAATAGTACGGTTCAAGACATCCGCCGCCTCATCTGCTGATTCGAGTTCTCGGAGGCGTCGCGCAGCCTGAACCACACCTTCTTGGCTTATTCTTCGCGGCGCATGCTCTGTTGTCGGCATGGGTTTGGACGAGTCCTTAGTGCGCTGTACAAGGCCCGACGGCTTTGAAATATGTCCATTTTCCTGTCGCAGGTGCCCGACCTTCTCGTGACTGTTCCTCCTTTTCTTGATGAGGGCCGGTTCCTCATACCAGGGCACCACGGGTTCGTTGTGGCAGAGTCCAGTGAAGGGTTCCTTGCCATTTCGATTGTATTCGTCTACCAACTGGCATGCCAGAGTCCTTGCACTCAGCTCGGTATATTTTCTCAAGGGGGCCGTGCTGTTCCTCCTCCGATAGCTCAGGCAGGTGGGGGTGGCACAGTTGATATTGCGGCATCCGTACTGGATCTGGTTCGTGTAGCGCCGAATCAGAAGGCGAAGTCGCCGGTCACGCTGGGCATGGGTATTCGAGTAGAGTAGTTTGGGATCTGAGACGGAGATTATGTCGTCGAGGACATAGTCAGGCGCATGGAAACCGAGTTCACTAGTCTTCACGCGGGGTTGTTTTTCAGGGCCTTCGTGCGTCGATTCGTCCAAAGAGACCGGTTTGGAACCAGGCTTCGTAAAATGCATGACAGATAACGACTAAAAGAAGGCAATGTTGGACTAAGAGGGGGATAAATTGTGGTGTGAGTAGAATTACATCCAACTTACAAAGAGTGAGTGAGTTGTGTTTCAAGAGAATAAATACTGTGTAAAGATGTGGCTGCGGAGAGATCGTCCCTTGCGTCGCAAGGCAGAAACTCAGCCTCGTGACAAAACTGCAAATATTCACAATCATGAAGCAGGTAGAGATCACAAAGCGGACTTCAATTTTGGCAGTCCTTCACTCATTGTACATTATATTACACCTTTGGAGTGCATAGTTGACATCACTTCAACAGTTTTCTTGCCGCGTTTGCGATGTCCAGAGCGCATTGCCGGCCAGCAACAATCACCATGTCACTAAAAGCACATGCCCACCCAGGAAATCTGCGGGTCGCTTGAATGTCAAGTCATCCCAGAACGCAAGAATTGATTGTTCACCCGTGTCCCTTTATGTCCGTTCGCCCGCTATGCCATGTGCCAAACTCTTTTCAACGTTAAACAGCGAAGTTGGAAATCTTGTCGGAGAGTAGAGAATCTCGCAAGGACCGACATGACTGCGCGAAGTGCGCAATCAATCATAGGAGCAGAGCGATCCAAAGAACTCGTTAAATGAAATGTGGTATTGTGGCCATTTCCAGTCATGCCGCCATGCGTCCGGATTCTGAAGGCGGTGCGGGTGGAGGAAGCTGCCAATGTTAGCACCAGGAGAAATGACGTCCGAGAGCGTCTGGCCAACTTACATCAAGTCTTGTGTTCTCTGCCATTAATCGCTGGATACCAATACCAACACCTTCAATAACAGCGAGGAAAATGGCACACATAATGGCGCCGTTTCGGGCCGCCTTGTAACCTCCTCTTATCGCCAGCGAACCTCCCGTCAGGAATCCGGCGATGATGGAGTTGTATGGATCCTCCTTCTTGCGGATGCCCTTGACTGCGCAGTCGAACGTGCTGAACATACCACCCCATACTCCAAAGTTACCTCCTGTGACCGGTGCTCGAGCCTTGATGGCGGTGATCATGCCGATCCGTCGTTCGCCGTATGGTGAGTTCCGAAAGCCCTTGATCCCGTGCCATAATGTTCCTAAGATGTGTCAACAAGGAATCACAATGCAGTGATTTTCCCTCGTACCTCCTAAAGCACCCATACAGAATGCTCCGCCAAAGTCGGATAGGGCAACCCAGGGGCAGGGATCTCGGGAATGATCCATGGTGAAATAGTCAGGGATTAGGCCGCTGTAATGATTGATTCAACTACACTTTTGAGCAATGCAGAGAGCGACGGAGGATTCGAAATCGGTTAGAGGCTGGAGTTGTCGCTGCGGCCACGAGTGGACGGGACGACCGATTGAAGGTGTGTTCTAATTTGAGATGACAGGAAATTGGGACGAATAGTAGCATACGCCGGAAGAAACCAGGTATTGAACAGTGTAGTCCAGGAAAACCTTTAGAGTGAATGGGCGTGAAGGTTGATTAGGTCGCGATAAACGAGCCAAAAAGGTCTCCGAGCCGCCAAAATTTCGCCGCAGTCGCACGTGACTGAAAGTCATGTGATATTCGTCGCAACATTGTATATGCCCAAGGTACCGAGTAGTATTTCCATCCGTCCAGAATCAACCAGATATAGTACGTATTTCGCTCCTGAAAGCACGGTATCTAGCATTTCCATAATCATCATTCCCTCATAACCTCATTTATGTAGACATGAATCCCCGAGGTAACGCCGTAGTCAAAAAGAACGTCTGTCTCATCGTCTGGAGGAAACATCTGTATCTCTGCTAAGGAACATCCTCCTGAGCGTGCTCGGCTTCTTGGTCTTCACAAGTGCCTTTTCCCTCTTCTCGGACCTGCTGCTACCCTTGCTCCGCCGTGATTTGGATGAGTTCTCACTCCCCACCACCGTGCGATCTGGGTCGTCTTCGATCCTCCGGTGGTGTTTCTTTTTCTTCGGCTCCTTCCTCGGCTCCCTCGAACTTTCTCCCGTATGTTCCCGGGAAAGAGGCAAATGGCCCATGCTCCTTGCTGCCAGTGGAGTGATAAATTCACCTTCGACACTGGTAGCGACACTCGCCGTCTCGACATCTGAGATCCCACGTCTCCAATGCTCGATGCGGTCGAGTTCGTTGACGTCCAGCATCTCATCCATGGCGTCGTCCTCCTTGTCGCCGACCCGGGCTCTGATCTTCTTAATGATCTTGTACCCGCCGAACATGACGACAGTTATTCCCACACCCACACCCACGGCAATCAGAAACTCGGGCGCTGCCAGCATGGCAAAAACCGAGGGCGCACCGGCTTTGAACGCCGCAAGCGCTCCAGGGGCCATCTTGGCCGCCAAGTTGCTGATTTCTGCCAACGTCAAGGCGACAGCCGCCATGGAGTCTGGGTTGGTTTGCAAATGTGAGATTATAGCCCGGACGCTGTGTTGTGCACAATTGGCCTCCTCCATTAACATCTTGCATTTGGTGACCAGGCTGGACATCTCCTGTTTCTGCAACTTATGCTCCACTTTAGGGTCCAGCATCAGAGACTCCGGATGGAAGTCGCCGTAGGCAAGGTCCATGTCGACCTCAGAGACCGAGTGGGAACGCACCGGTGGAGGTCGATGTGATCGATGAGCGTCGAGGGGCAGATCGGTCGTCCTGCGAACAAGTCCACCCCCGCCATACGGTGCAGGTGGATAATCTGGGATTGGATGGCGGTGGCCGTAGAGTTCTTGATTGAACTCTGCAAGCCCGACGTGCCTGGAAAAGGCTTCCTCTGGCACACTAGGAGCCGCGAACTCGGAGGCTGCGTGAGGCGGGCCTTGGTGCCCATATTCGTAGGGAGGAGGATAGTGGTGCTGACTTTCTGCAGGTCGATGTCGACCATTCTCAACCTCGCTCCTGTGGCTATGATGTCTGCGTGTCCGTCGAGAGGCATCCGACCTAGCATCTTCGGCTATTGTCACGTTCTTCATTGCTTTCCTCAGTTCTTTTTCTTCTCTCGCCTTTCTTTCTGCCGCTATCTCCGCCTTCCGCTCCATGTAGGCCATCTTTGCCTCCTTGAAAACATTTTTCAGTTGTTTGGTGGTGCTGACCACCTTGTTTGACCGGTCAATGATTGCAATCGTCTGAGTAATTGCCGCCATGCCTGCGTCTTAGCTGGGACTTTGGCTCGTTCGACAGCTGTGAGAATGAGGAGGAGGAGTACTCGGTAGTCAATGGCGAGAGTGTATTGCCTTTTTAGGGGAAGTGTCTTGCTCGGAATGGATCACGGTGAGAGTTAGTCCAGCCGCTTGTCGGGGACCGGTGATGGAAATAGCATGGCTGGGGAGATCGAGAGTCGGTCAACAAAGCACTGGGGACGAGGTACTTGCAGGAAACAACAAGAGTCACAAAGATGAGGATGCGAAGCCTTGTGTCTGGCTCAAAGAAATATCAAAGGAGTTGGGCGGCAAAACGAGGGCCATTGTCGCCAATTAAACGAGCATTGTCACAAGTTGAGCTGCGTGTTCCTGGCTGATTTGGCCGGCGGTGGTCGATCCATGGCGCCCTGGAATCACTTTCAAACAATAGCCAGTGTGCACAGCCTCAACAGCCACGGAGAAAGCCACATATGTGGCGTTGTTGCAGCTGTGGCGCAGTGCAGCAGGATCATCCTCGTCCCAGCTGAGTGAGTTCAGGACACCCACACGGCTTTTCTTTTGCTGCTTCATTTTTGGGGATCTATCTCGCTGTGCTCTGCCAGTCATGCAGATCTCGTGCCATTTATCGCCCTACAAATACTTCCTGTTGCGGAAATGATTATCTCAGGCTTCATCCGCAGCAAGCAATTTCTCTACCGCTGAGACTTTATCTTCCATGGTCTGCGCTTTGTCCGTGCGAGAGCCTACTCGAATATCGCTTTGAATGCGTACAATGCCCTTTTCATGCAGAAGTGTGTGTGCTTGGCCAATCAATCGCATGACATCGTCCCAGGATCCTTCTGTTGAGAGGCATTAGCAAAGAATATATTACCGCAGACACAGTAGAAGGCTGCAGCACCAAGCTTTCAAGCAATGCTGTGGTTTACTCACCAATGGTCGTTCCGGCCGAGTGCATACTATACTTCAACCCGCTCCTCTTCATCAGACGCTGAACCTCAGCAATTTCCGCCGACACTGAAGCTGTGGGTGTGCCAAGCGGGATGAGGCAAAAGTCCGCAGTGCATTTTGGTGGTGTCTCGAGATTGAGATTTTCTAAAGGCATTTTGTATCTCTGTCCCGGCTCCCAATAGGCAAAGGTAAGAAAAGTGACCTGATTTTGCAGAAAATGTACCTCTGGTGTCTCACAAATCAAGAACTTGCTACCTCGATAACGGATACAAAGCACTGGTCCGATGCTGGTACAGTCAAGTTCAAATTACTACGACACGGCACATATCCTTCAAGCAATTCTAAGCCACACACGGCGAGATCGTCCTCCGGTTGCGGCCCGTGATGTGGCGGTGCAATTCATAAGTGACTTCAACAATATGGAGTACAGGATACGGGTCTCGCACCTATCTGTTGCTTACGTTCTGGTCTGATCACCGCGTCTTAGTGTGAGTGAAAAGCTCCTCTACACGATTTCAAGGCATTGGAGCAAATCATACTTGATGACATTCAAATCCAAGCGCTATACCTGGAATCAGTTATTCCAGGTCAATGCGACCAGGCTGAATCTGCCTTTTACGTAGACAATACCTACCCATGGGATACAGTAATTTTACCCGGTTTCTGCAAGTGCCACCTGTGGTATGTGGACTCTACCTCTGGAGGTGCCAGAGCTGAAGTTTGCGCGCCACCTCGCTAATTCTCCTGGCGACCCTTCTTCGACACTCCGGTCAACATTTCCCCTAAGATGATTTCAACGCCGTCTTGGAAAGCTTGAGAGCAGATCCTTTGCAAAAGCGGGTTGCGACCGAATCCACGGCCTACGGCGTCGAGAATCGGCTGTTTCAGGGCTTCCTGGACAGTCGCCAGTCAGAGACGCCTCAGAGCTTCCGGGGTCGGTGATCATCAAAGATGGAAACCTGCTCGCCGCGGACCATGTACAAGTCTCGTGGGAGATCGGGAAACTGGTCGAAGAATTTCGAATGGAGCTTGAAAGGATTTTCGAGCTGTCTGAATGCCAGGAGCAAATGTGTCAAGATGTTTTCATTGACTCGGCGGTGGTGGCTTTGGCCCATTGTTGTCAAGGAGTCCGCACCGGTCCTGTGGTTGACGTACTCTTGCAAAAGGACATACACCACATCGTTCCTCGGACGATTTCGCCCTTGATGCGCATTGGTGAATATGTTGGTCGGACTCCTCGTTGACCCCCCCGACCCTACAGTCTCGCACACCCTAGTGATAGGCCCGAAACTTGACGGTGCAGTTCCACTGTCGCCTTGTTCGGCATCTGGATACGCATTTGCAAACTCCATCTCCAAGCAGAAGCTCGCATTTAGCTCGAGGCAAACTTTGTTCAAATCATACCTTTCGGGATGGAGGACCAGTATATCCCGGATCTTGGGGAACGGTAACCAGTCGACGATCGGCCAATGATGCCTGGTCATCTGGACACGGCTTGGACGGTAGCAGGGGGTGAGTTGCATGTAATGTTTGGCAGTTGGCTCGAGCCGCCAGCGGGTGATGGGCCCGAGTTTGTCCCAGCCGCTGACTGCATGGCAGAACAGGCTCAGACGCTCCCATTTCTCGGACGACAGCAGGGATTGTAGCATCCTAGCTATCAGGCTGTCGAGACTGATAGCGGCTCATAGTCAGCCAGACTTATTCTGAATCCTGTGCAGGACCGCTGAAGAACGGCAGACAGCACTATACTTGAACATCTTACCTCTGACAATGGGCGGGATCTTCAGCGTACTCCTGTATCATGATCTGGCGGACGAGGCCTTCGTGATGGATGATGTCCAAGCAGGCATCAGACGGTCTGCCTACAGGATAGTTGCTGGATGGGTCGATCAGCGACTTCGTGGTCTCCTCGTTATAGGATAGTGAGATGGCTCCTTGTACGAATGCGTTGGGCGGCGACGGTGTTACCACGTGGACAGAAGGTGTCGACTCGCGATCATGGTCCACGAACAGATCTGATAACGGTCCCGAGTTGTACCCACCATGCTTGGTTGAATGGCGTGGAGACCTAGGAGCTGTTGGTATGGTACTAGGTTAGCTGGACACAGTACCAAATCGTCCGCGCCACAAGTGGTTCTCTTACGAGGAGCAACCGCATTGAGTGGAAATGGCGAAGTATATCCCAATGCCGACGAATACGAATGTGGCCTCGAATACTGGTCTACATAATCGGTAAGTTGATGGAGTTCACTGGTAAGTTCGACCAGTCTTTGTCGAGTAGTGGAAAGGGACTCAGTCAACTGTCGATTGCGTTCTTCCAGGGCTCCGATGTCGACCTCGGTGGCCATTTCACTAACACGTTTGAAGGTGAAGGGCTTTATACTGAGTCAACGGAAGAGGTTGAGAAATGTTGAGCACAGGGCAGTTCGGATTGCAGAGACGACCTCATTGCCGTCCCGTCTCGGTACCATCCAAGTCGGTGTGGCACTGGACGAGGATATCGCAATTCAGAACTGTGCCACCGAACCTAGTTTGCCAGTCGGATAGGTCTAGCCCTCTTTCTATCAACCCTCGGGCCAAGCGAAGCGAGGCCACCCGGAGTTAAATGACTTTCTATCGCCTCCAGTCAGCGCCAGGATGCGGGTCGCCGTAGCCTAGCCTCGCCAATCACAACGTTACCGATATGATGATTTCCACGCAATTGTCCTTCCCGAGCCCGTGGGGATGGAAAATTGAGGGGGCGTTTTGAGGGGAGCCCGAAGTGCCCCAGGCCTCCTCGAGGCTGGCGGCTGTTTGTTGGGCTGGCTCTGTATCCTCTGGGTGTTGATTCTGCTTTTCCATCGATCTTGCCAGACGGACAGAATCCGCCATGATGAGGAATGATTCTGCTGGCAAGGTATCCACCCTGGGACTGCTGGACAAGTCGCCAAACCATGTCTGTCATATCTGCGCCAAGTCCTTTGCTCGAAGGGATGTTCTGAGACGACATGCCCGGCATCAGCATGGAGAGGCTGCTTTCCAGAAGACCAGTCCTCGTTCACGGCGGAAGAGCTGCCTCCGTTGTGCGCTGTAAGGCTTGACTTTACTGCCTTCGACCTATTTGTCCCCCTTAGCAAGGCTGACGGACCCCCCAGTCACAAGGTCAAGTGCACGCGAGAATCGACCTGCCAGGAATGTGGGAAAAGCGGATTACTCTGCCAGTATAACTTCGAGCCGTCGTCGACGAGTACAGACCCGAAGAGCTGCGACAATCGGCAAAGACTTGGAGGAGACCAGATTCCTCCCTCGTCTCCCAAACGCCCCAGATTACAGCTCGAGGAGTTTAGGACGCCTCCCGGACTACAACTGACTCCCGCGGAACTGATGCGGCCCCAGAAATCCCCAAGCCTAGACAATCACCCAAGCCCAGAGGTTTGTCTTCGTCTCCCACAAGAGATTGCCATGCTAAATCTGCTGCAGTGGACCTTCACCTGGAGTCGCGAATTTGGCAGCGACATTGATGCCCCGACGGTGGTGAGTATACATTCCGAAGCGATATCCAGGTGTCTGCCCCGCCACTAAACGTGCTCTGATGGTTCGTAGATATCTCATCCTGACAGCTCGTTTTGCCAGCAAACCATGACAGGTCCTCAGCGCGATGGCAACGACATCACCCGGACAAATGAAAAAAACGACGCAGATAGCCATGCTCTTTTCACGCCTCTAAGACATGACTCGGGACTGATTACACACCCTGGCGTTGGTCTTGAACGATCCGGTTCCGACCATATGGCCCCGGAGCATTGGGGTCTGCTTTTTGATATGGAAGACCATCACGATACGAACCTCGCATCTCGAACAACATCCGATGATCAGTTGCCCGAGTTGTCGGACGGGGCTTTCCCAGACTTCACAATCATGCCAGAAGATCTTGCAACTGTGGGTGCACCACCCCATCAGACCTCTGGGACATGGCTTCCAACTCGCCAACCGCTCCTGGGAGACCGGGAAGGCTTGCAAACCCATAAAGGCCCTGCAGATTCCGGCATTGCAGAAACGCAGAGTCCGCTCCACGAGGCCATTTATGCATCTATCAGTGGCAGTGCAGAACTCCCAGGAACCGAGGACGGCGGAAATTCTGCCATCGAAGCAGAACAGAGCCTGGCTCTGAGAATACATCGGGTACTGCAGCAGAACTCTCTTGGTCAGATTGGATTGCCAACAGATGTTCCTGCTTCATTCCCCAGCTCAGTTCAGCTCTCAGCCTTTTGGGATCTGTACTTTGTTCACTTTGACAAGGTTAGTTTACTATTTCTAAAGTTCTGTCTACTGCCCACACTCATGTAGTAACAGCATTGTCCCATACTGCACCGTCACCTGGTGAATCCCATGTCCTGTTCACCGCTGATTGCTGCGGTTGTCACCGTCGTCGGGGCCAACTATGCGGACACTGCACACAGCAGACTGTTTCATCAACAAGGAGCTTCCAAGCTCTGTGCCCTGCTGCAGACCTCCCTTGGGAACGAAAGAAACGATGGACGTGCCGAAGGATCCGTGCTCGCTGCAGTGTGCATTCTTCTGTGCCAGGCGATACGCAGCCGGAGGAGTGACCAGGCACAGCTCTTGACAACACTCCTCCACGGGAATATAGCCTACCTTGAAAAGATGGGGCTTTTCCAGCAACAAAACGACTATATGGGAAGGTTGAATCGTGGCCGGACGATTCCCGTCAATAATAGTTCCCCACGTGACTGGATGGCACAGCTCAAAAAAGTAAATGACCTTGAAATGCATCACCAGTGGCGTGCATGGGTGAAGGAGGAGACCTCGCGGCGACTTGCGTGGGCTTATCTCGTATGTTTGATCTTGTCGTTGGCTCGCTCACTCACAATGGAGACTGAATTTCTCGCGCAGACGTATAATTATCTCTCGGCCGCCTTTCTGCAGGACAGAATCCCACCAGATCCCGAGCCACCAAATCTACAAATGCCCTGTGAAGACATTATGTGGGAGGCCGGAAATGCGAGAGCCTGGTCGACTGGCTTTCCGTGGCTACACAACCCCCAACCCCAACTTCCATTCCGAGCCACCTTACGCGGACTCTTGCACCAGAATGTCGCTCTGCAAGAGGTCTCCCGCTTCGGGCGCCTGGTTTGCGCAGCCTTGATTCATTACGAGTTGTGTCGAGGATCCTCTGAGGACGAAAGCAGGAGCAAGAAAAGCATCCTGCAGCTGGTCAACGCTGGCGGAACCGAGCAACTGCTGAGGTTGGCAGCCGACCTGGCAGACTCTTTTAAAAGAGATCCCCGGAGCCAACTTTGAATTGATAAGTGTGTGGAAGAATGGCACCCAAAAAATTCTGAGACAGAGATTCGCATTGGTTCTACGTCGCTCCGATACCATCCCGATCTGAAGCGGAAGCCATCGCATCCAGCAACTTCCCCTTCTCCGCGCTGTCCTGCATCATCTCATCCTTATCGACCAAACTGGCATACTTGGCCTCGACCATATACTCCGCTGCAGGATTGCTGTACGGGAGGACCGGGCGATAGTGGATTTCCGTTCCGCTGCACTCGGCCGCTTGCCCTGTGATGCTGGCATCGGCTACGAACTGCAAGATCGCCCGCACCACCGTGTCCGCGGGCGTGATCATATCCTTGGGCATGGCGTCGACCAGTTTCTGGCTCACCAGCGGCGTGGCGACCAGGCCCGGGCAGACGCAGTTGACCGTGATGGGTTCGCCCATCTCCTGCAGGCGCTTCGCCATTGAGCGGATGAGCCCTATTACCTACAGCGTCATTTTTGCCGTGTTAGTAGACAGGAAAGGGGGAAGGACAACAAAAAAGACTAAACAAGATGCCTTACACCATGTTTCGCAGCGCCATAAAGCGGCACTGGAGCTGCAGGATACACGCCAGCAAGACTGCTGGTGAAGACCAACTTGCCGGCTTTGGACGGATTTTTCCGGAAGAAATGCAGCGCGAGATACCCCGTCCAGATCACCCCGTACAGGCAGATGTCAACGACTAAGGTGTCTGGACGGGGTGGTGCACCGTTGGGTCCCTCGGGTACGGGACTGCAGAATTCAATGCGGTCACCAATACCCTGCAAAGATCAGTCAGCGGGAAGGGAAGAGGAAGCGAATCGTGCGTGGACTTACCGCGTTGCCCCAGACTGGATATCAATCGGCTCAGGAACATATTAGTATGAGTATATAAAACCCGGGCGGGCGCCTCTGAATCGAAGTATTTCAAGTGTTACGGGCAGACAGACAGGGGAAAAGGAAGTCATATAACCCTCGTACATACCGAGATCAAGACGTCCCCATTTCTCCCAGGTCTTCACAAAAGCCTGGGCCTGGTCATCGTAACTGATGGCATTTCCCTGGATGAAGAGCACCTGGCCGCTCCCACCTAGCCTCTCCTGGACCTTCTTCCCCGCCGCGGCGTTGAAGTCGAAGATCGCAACGTTCCATCCGTCGGACACGAGTCGCTCGACCAGGGCTAGGCCCATGCCGGAGGCTGGACGCGAGAGAAGTCAGTAAGTCAGTCATTAGCAAGATAGGATACCAGAACGCCGGAATCGCAGGGGGGAGTAGAAGTAGATATAGATATACGTACCACCGCCAGTGATGAATGCTACACTCGACGCCGATGCCATCTTTTTGCTCGCTTTATGCTTTGACGAACCTCTTCCTCACCCCAGAAGGTTGAGAAATATCTCTAACTTGGCATTTCGCTCTCTGAACATTTTGAAAGGCTGAATCCTGATTGACCCGAGGCTATCCCTTTTCTATCTCCAGGCTCTCATAGCTCTTGGGCTGGCCTGTGACACACTGACACGCATCAAAACCTCACCGCATTGAGATCGGAGTTTGTGTGCGGTTTTTCACCTGCTTGGACGCAATCTGGTGTGTATTAAGTCTCCACTCGGACGTTGGGATCTTTCCGACAGGAGGACCCTGTCAGGCTCATGTTAGTTGGGAAGAAGGACTACTCAAAGGGACTTCAAACTCTCTCCAATAATAAAGCCGGTCTGTTGAAAGGAAGAACTACTCTTCAGATAGGGCTTTCCGCCTTTCTCTAATCTAACTGTGGTGCCGTCTAGCACTCCCAAGGGGTATCTGCGTTCCTCAAAAACGGAGCGAGATCCTTTCCTTCGGGCTCCAGCTCCTGTGCCGTCTTCCCACAGCCCAAGAATGCGAAGCAGTTGGATTCCCAGTACCTCATCTCGTAATGCTCGTACCGCGGTACGCGGAGCGCCTTGAGGTGGTGCAGCATGGAGCCCCCCCAAATGTAGACGCGGCCTGCCTTCGTGTTCTTCTTGTACCAGCTGGATCAGAAAATGTCAGCACAGGTGACGAGCAGACGAAAGTGACGGGGACAGCAGTCAAGGGGTTCTGCTCATGGATGGGGGCCGAGGTAGGCCTCTTGTCCTACCTTTTGCAGTCCTCTCGCCAGACCGAGTACTTGTCGTGCCACTTGTCCACGTGTTCGTTGAAATCGGTCGTTGGCCCCTGTCTAACTTCCATCGCCTTGATCCGATCTTCTTGCATCTTCTTCACGCACTGCAAGGCGTACTCGATCTGGACTTCGTGCTGAAATCTCAATTAGAAAAGCCATCTCAACCCAAAGGGGGAAGACGACTTACGGATGGCAAGGCACAGCCCTGACCCCAGTTGCCCCGAGGGCCATTGACGACGAAGTAGTTGGGGTACCCAGGGCCTGAAATACTGCAATAGATATTGGGCTCATCCGCCCAATCCTCCTGCATAACCACGCCGTTAGTCCCGACGATTTTGAAATGCGGCACGTAAGAAACGTAGAAGCCGGTGCCACAGGCGATAATGTCCACCTCGACCTCCTTCCCGCTGCTGGTGACCAGGCCCGTGGGAGTGACCCGTTCGATCTCTTCGTGAATCGTCGATACATTCGGTCGCACAAGGGCCTCGAGATAGCCTTCCCCCGGGGTGAGTCTCCGGCACCCGGGCGACCACGCGGGGATGAGTTTTTCCTTGAGTTCCTCGTGGCCCGGGCCGATTCTTCTCATCATGCTCTCCCGCATCGCGACCCGCGCTTTGACGTTCGTCTCCGTCCCGCGAAGGAACAGATCGAACTTGCGTGCCATTCTGGTCTCGAGGCTCTTACGGTACTGCAGGTGGAAATCCGGGTCGGACCGAAAGTGCTCTTTTTCGCGTGCCGTGTAGTAGTGCTTGCCGGCAGGGGCGGGAGTTTCGCCGTCTTCCGCCGCTTTCTGCACGTCTTCGTCGATCTGGGGCGCGATCCACGTACAGTTGCGCATGAAGACCGTGACATGTTCCGCCCCTGTGCGTGTATGTCATTTGTTAGTGGTTGAGGTGTAATGGGTAAGGCAGTCCACTGCCACATCGACTTGCCTTCTGCTAGTTTGGGGACCATTTGAATAGAGCTGGAGCCCGTGCCGATGACGGCAACGCGCTTCCCCTGCCAGTCTATGCTCTGGTCCCAGTTGGCGCTGTGGGACAAGATGCCTTTGAAATCGTGTAGCCCCGGAATATCCGGCCCTGGACCAACAATCAGCGAAACGTACCAGAATCTCGACTCTCAGGGCCAGGCTAACATTTCCATCGGTTGACCACTCCGCTTCCATTGATGAGTACGTGACATGTATCGTAGAACGTCTCACCATCTCGGCGAAGTTCAACATGCCCTGCGAAAAGTGATGGTTAGCTCTGAAAGCACATATCCCGGCTCATTATACTATTCTTGGGCTGGTAACTTGCATTGACCCTCTTCCTCAGACCATACGGCACCAACAACCTCAGTGTTCAGCTTCACAAACGGAGCCAATTCGTATTTCTCATAGAAGCGCATCATATAATCTTGAATCTCGGGTGAATAGGCATAAAAGCTCGACCATTCCGGATTTGGTTCGAAAGAAAATGTATAGGTGTGAGCAGCTATGTCGCAAGCACAGCCTGTCCAGCCCGTCAGCAGGCTTTGCCATTGGTTAGACGAAGCAAACAGTTCTCGACGTACCAGGATATCTGTTCTCCCACCAAGTACCTCCAGGCACGGGGTTTCTACCGATGCAACAAGTCAGTACATCCAATGATGCTCAATGCTCATCGTTTGTCGACCCTGACGCACTTTTCATAGCACACCAATTCGTAGTTCTCTAGCATTCGTCTCGCCTTGTAGGCTGCCAACATCCCGGCTGCTCCTGCGCCGACATGGATGATTTTGATATGCTTTGGCGCAGATTGTGGCTGTTCGAGCAGCTCGTACGGTGCTTTCTCCCCGTTAAGATGCATGGTGGCCAAGTCAGATACCAAAACACTAAAGTCTCCCCCAGGTCACTGTTTGATCTGCAGGAGTCTGTAAACAAGCCAGCGCGGCGCGTCAGTGATAAGACCGATCTGTAAAATACTCCGCGGTTACTCGAAGCCTGACCAAGCCTCGGCAAAGGCCATCTACTCGAGTCGACTCCGCATCTATACCGGAGTTGCCAGATGGAGAAACCATGGATGGAGTTCTGGCACGGCCGGCAAATGAATGTCCTGCGTGAGTTGCGTTGCCAAGGTCAATCCCTTTCCCAGATCAGCCTCACATTGATTGACCATTGTTTGCACAAGCTAACGGACTGGGGTTAAGGAAAGGTCTCCCTTCAGAGCCAGCCAACATGGGATCAGCGACTCTTCGAAATTGTTAGGCTGCCTTTCGATTGTATTCCCCAACCCATAGCGCCTCAAGGACCTCAGGATGGACCTCTTGGATTTCCTTACTGCAAAATCAACTCAACCAGAGTCTCGTATCCCGTCTTCCCTCATGCATTTTAGCCCATCTTATCGACTTTGATGTCTGATTAGACACCGTCTGTCCTGTCATTTGGTCGTCTATGAGGAATGCCTGCTCCCTCTCAAAGATCAGTGATGGCTTCGCACCATCTGAGGGAAGGAGTTGAAAGGGTAATCTCACCAGATGCGGCATAGCCTAAAGCCACTCGAAAAAAGACAAACAGCCCAATATTTGGCCGAATATTATCGAGCATAGCCTCACCACGTCCGGGGAAAGGTGCCGTGAATAAATATCATGCAGCCAATCTCTCTTGTCTTGGCAGTTACGGTGCTGTAAGGGTTGTAATGTTGTCGAGAGTCTCGAGTGCTGAAGCGGGCATTCGAAAGCAGCTAGACACCGAACGGCGAGCACGGGAGTGACATTGTCGACAGCACTCATTCAGATGTATTGCTCCTCCGCCACTCCCTCCATTGGATCTCAATGATTCATGAGGCAATAAATGAAGTCAAAAACCCTAAGAACTCATGGGAGTAAGTTCAAGCACCGAGGTGATCAATGAGATGGCTTGCATTGAAGTTGAGATCTAGGCTTGTGTCGATCGCATCATGATACATTTTCTGCTTCACTGGTAGTGTTGCTCCTACATGTCCAGTCAGCCACAGTGCGCGGTAGGTGTCCAGCTAGAAGTTACACATCATACTACCCTGGAAGGTTTGTTGATCTGAATGGCTTTTGAAGAATGCCATACGCACGATTCCCACAAATCGTCATTGACCTAATACCTCTCAACCTCCACCCCATCCACTCCTTTCCGGGCTGAGGACAATTAGAACCCAGTTGTCCTCTCAATGCCGCAAAGCTTACTTTTGCCTCTTCCGACCCAGCTTCCTCATTTGAACTGCCCTGGCACTGTATCGAAGGGTTGTGACTGTCTTCATGTGGTGCCGAAGGATGGTCAAACAGAGCGGGAGGATCGAAGGCACTTCAAGATATAGAAGGACTCTACAACATGTCCTGTGGCCACTCGCTCTTATCACAAGTCACAACTCACAGTTCACAGCTATAGCTTCAGCTTCGCACACCAAAGAGACAAAGGATACTTTCCCAAAGGCCTCATTATCTTGAAAAGATGTCGTGAGTTGAGGTGAAACCTTTCACACCGAATCCGAGGCTGGGACCCCACCAAGTTTCAGCTTCCGGCTTAGAACACAACAGCCGTCGTTAAAAAGGTGGTGATGACCGCCTGGAGGAGGTACACGAGATGTCGTTCGCTTAGAAGAAGTCTGATGGAGAAGTGGGACAGACGCCAACCAATGGCGAAATGCGCAATTGGGGCCGGAGTTCGCATGCGTGCTCCAGGCAGTTTCAGGTATGGCAATTGAGATCCTCGTGAGTAGGAGTTAACTTGCGGATGTGAGTTGGAAGCTGGTCGAGTCAGGTCAAAGCGTCTTTGTAGTCGGGATGGGTTTCTTAAGTAACAGGAATTCAGATAATGAGCTCAGTAAGTCTGTGTCTGTTGTAATTGTTGCCCGCACACTGCCACGAACAATATGACAGCTACTTTGGCCGGAGTGGCATGGACCGCTGCCATTACAGGTCTCGTAAGTTTGATTCGAGAGGCTTCAGGATCCTTACTGACGGGAATCGGAAGGTCTTCCATGCAATCTATAGGCGATATGAACCAACATTGGGGTCTGTCCTAGTTACACGGGCAGAAGTAGCGAGGACCAACTAATCGTGACTGTCACAGGTCATTCTTCACAAATACCGCTGCACTTGTCGGCTTTATCTGTCTGCTGGCTTTGCAGCTGAGCGGAGATTACTTCTTTGCATTGAAGGCTTTGCCCATATTTGTCGCTGTCCACTTGATAACCCTAGGGTGCATCACCTTCTTTCTATATCAAGAACAGTTCTAATAGTGGATGAATAGCCTCAGTATCCCAGTCTATAGGCTGTCGCCCCTCCATCCTCTCAGCAAGTTCCCCGGACCGTGGTACGCAAAACTAACGAAGTGGACGGGAGTGTATCAGTCATGGACTGGCTATCTACACGTGTGGCTGCCATCCCTGCATGCGAAGGTAGGAAAGAAGTCTCGACTCTTATTTATCTGCTTCACCTCGTGACTGTTCTCCTGCAGTACGGCGACATCGTGAGGATCGGCCCCAACGAGCTTTCCTTCGCCAACGCAGGGGCCGTAAAGTACCTTCACGGTCCTCAGGGGGCTCGCCTTACCAAGGGCCCATACTATGATACCGAAGTATACAGCACTGGGGGAAAGGCCATGCCGAGCACCCGAGACTGGGAGGATCATCGCTTGAGGAGGCGAATGTGGGATCATGGTTTCAGCCAGAAGCAGTTGAAGTCCTACGAGCCGCGGATCCTCGGCTTGTTGGATACCCTGCTGGCACAGCTCAGAAAGCACGACGGTATGGAAGAAAGGTCCCAAGCTTGTATGTACTTCATTGCTAACACGGGACCGAAGGCCAAATTGTCGACTTTGGTAGCTGGTGCGACTATTTCGCGTTCGATGCCATGGGCGAGCTCGCGTTCGATTACAAATTCGGGCTGATGAACGACGGTGAGACCCCAGCTCGTGAGGACGGCAAAACCGGAGTCCCCTTGAGGTATTGACAAAATTCTGGCAGATGGCCCGAGATTCTACTCTGCGTGCGTGCGGAGTGGCATCAAGATGATGCACATCCTCTCCTCCGTCCCGTGGATTTCTCCCATCGCCTACCTGCTGCCATTCGGGGATGCAGATGTGAAGAAGCACACTGCAGAGTTTCGACGGATCTCGAAGAATCAATACGACGAGAGAAGGCAGCGGGGAACGGAACCGAATGATCTGTTCACGCATCTCATCCCTGGGGACAAGGACGGATAGTGAGTATCGCCGATTTCCTATCAAAAAGGAGCAATGCTAAAGTGAGAGAAGTGTGACAAAGGAGCTCGATCTCGAGGCCGATTCGCCCGTGCTTTTTATAGCGGGCAGCGACACGACATCTCTGGCATCCACGTAAGTTCTGGCTACAGAGGCCAAAGTGCTGAACCTGACACAGCCAGTTTTCTCTTCTACTTCTTGACCAAGTATCCAAAATGCTATGAGCGAGTCAAAGAAGAAGTCGACCGCGCCTGGGATGGGGAAAAGCCTTTGGAAGGCTATATGCTCGGTACAAACTCTCTCGCCAGTATGAGGAAAAGCAGTTGCTAAAAGCTGAAGCAGGACCGGAGACATGCCCGTACATCAACGGGGCAATTTATGAGTCCATGAGACTCCTGCCACCTGGGCCTAACGGGTTCCAACGGCGAACAGGGCAAGGAGGCCACCTCGTCAACGACACATTTATCCCCGAGTATACCCAGGTACGCAGAAACACAACGTCACCCAGCCTATATGTAGTCAGCCTCCTTTGACCACTATATAGGTGTCTTCCAATGTCATGTACCTCCACCACGACGAGCGAAACTGGACACGGGCCAGCGAATTCGTGCCGGAGAGGTGGAACGATGCCACGCGGGACCCGACTTGGACGCACGACATGAGAGCCTTCCAAGCCTTTACCCGGAGGCACTTTCTCCTGTGCAGGACGTGCCCTGGCATTCCTCGAGCTTCGCCTGTTCGTGGCCAAAGTCGTCCGGAATTTTGACGTCACCATGCCAGACGACTTCGACGACGCTGCCTTCCAGAGCAGCATCAAGAGCTATCAGTCTTTGATGCATGGGCCGCTGATGTTGAAGATCAAAGCTAGGGAGAGGGCATGACCGCAAGTTTTCGAGCGTTGAAAGACGAGAAAAGAACAAGATAGTCAAAAGAGAAGAGACTTATCACTGGTTACAGCTGGTAGAACCTTCCCATAAAGTGTCCCCATCAATTGGCCAGGGTGGAGCGAGAAAACATACACATAGTCTGACAAACTGAAAGTGGCTTCCCTTTTAATAATATAGCGAAAACTAACGAGGAAGCCGCAGTCTGTCATAGCCTCACATCACTCCTTTCCTTTTTACTTCTCAACATCGCGAGAACTTCCAGCAAGTTTGTCCTCACCGGGAGAGATCTCAGCTGAAGCTCATTCAAGCCCAGGATGTGGGAACCTCCAAGTCCCAGAACGGCCATTTCAAAGACATAGATGCACAAATCCAAGTGAAAGTCGGATAGCTTCTTCAGAGGAAACTCTCCCAGGATTATATTGCGAACGATGCCGGCGAACGGAAGCGGTGGTGGGGGCGAGGGCGTCCAGGGAAAAAGTGAGCGCCATTGTTTGGCACTTCCGGCGTCCCAAAAAGCGTCGCGGTAGGGGCTGGAGATTTTCAGGTCTGTCTCGAGGATTCGGGAAGGACTGTTGGTGAGCAGTGAAGAGAGGTGGTCTGCTGCCTGTAGGAAGAATGTCACGATCAGTAAAAATCAAATAACAATCTCAGTCGTCACCGGTCAAGACGCAACATACAAAGACTGCCCAGCCGAGTCGCTTCTGCTGTTCGTTGCCCACCCATTTCCTCCATTCAGGTATTTCGTCTTTCAATACCGCTGTAGTGATGAGCTCTGTTGTGTTTCGAATATTCCCAGTGGAAGAGTATTGAACTGGAGTATCTTCTCCCGTGGAGAATTCCTCCTGGGGCATGAGATCCATATCTGGAACAGAGAATACCCCCAATCTCGCAGCTTCGTCCGTCAGACGGCTCATGAGTCCCAGGGCTGCAGTGAAAAAGAGGAGGTTCCGGTGGTCTAAGATACGGTAGCATAGAAGAGATGTTGCTGCAAGTAATAACAAGCAATGTGGACATTCGGCTTGTATGCAATCATTTGGTGCCTTGCAGAGGTCAGTAAGATATCTGAGAAGAAACAGGCAACATCACCGACAGCAAGAAAGCCGAAAAGCCTCTCGTAAGTGGCAGAGGCGTATCTTTGAGGCTTGCCACCGGCTAGGTAGTCGGCTCCTATCGCGGTGATGGTCGCAAGTAGTAAAGAAGGAGCAGGGTCAAACTCCAAGCTACTCATGTGGATCACTGGCAGTAGCTGTCGGGAGGTGTCAGTCTGCCATCCCCTGTTCGTAGAACAACTGACCTTGTGGAAGGTTGCAGAATACGATAACCAGTATTCTCTTAGGTCCTGCTCATCTACGATAAGTAGACTGGTGGCAAACTCGAAAGACCTGTCAAGGGCGAGACATTCCACTGGGGGAGCACAACTAGAAGAAATAAAAAGCTGTACGAAAGCAACGTCCAGGTTGTGTTGGAGCCCATCGGCGGTGGGCTTTTGTTGCTGCTTGTTGCCATGCGAAGCGCTTGAGGACTGGATATTCGGCGTTTGAAGACTTGGATCAATTGATTGACTGATGTATTCAGGCATATTTATTTTCTCAGGCTGCTCAAGACAGAAGATCATTCTGTTATCAGGCAACGCCAGTTGTTGTGGGGAGCTCAGGAGCAAGCACATACCTCGCATAATTCTTGGAGGATGTTTGAAATGAAGAAGTCCGCAGAATCTGACAACTCCCCAATCTCAAGGTGCGAATCATAGTGCAGGTAGTGATCAAAGTCTGCTAATGAGGGCGTGATACGTGCCTCTTCAATTCGCGGAGGCAACATTTTGGGTGAGTTGTCTGGCTGATGATCGTCCGAGGAACATGGTTCGGGGGACGAGAGTGATTCCAGGTTACACAAGGCGTGAGCTCCAAGGTCGACATTTATGCTCTCTCTTAAGTGGGTTGGTGATGTTGGTGATTGAGAGCAAGGTGCATGCGTGTGCCGTGGGTTTGAAGTACCCGATTCTACGACAGATGCAAAGTCAAATTGACAAACAACTTTCTTCTCACCGCACTGCGTGCAGGTTGGTGGACCGGTGCATCGTACCCGGTACCTAATATTTCCAATTAGTTTTGAGTCATGTCAATCTATTAAAGTTGGAAAGCGTGGGGGAAATATCCAAAGAAGGCACTTACAGCGCACAGCGAAGACAGCTTTTCCTCTTGCTCCTTCGCTGGGGACGTGGGCCGCGTTTCTGCTCATGTTGCGAGCTGATATGCCGTTTGAGGACATCACGGCGTGAATAAGATTTCTTGCAGACAGAGCATTCCAAGGTAGAAGATTTGACAGGTTTCTGCCGGGCATGCGGTGATACATGACCCGCGTTCATGTTCGGAGACGGTATGACGTTGGCTTAGTGTTGCATAGAAAATCACGCTTCGGGATCACACGGTATCCAGATCCGATCTGGCAGGTAAGAAACACCTGATAGCGCTTGTTCTGAAGGTGTCCTACTTTGAAATGTATCCGAGGAGACAAGACATGGAATGCAAACAAGGCTGAGGTGGAGAGCCGGATCAGCCAAGGTTCAATTACCCCGCAAAACCGGTTCTAGACTACGGGAGCTGTAGAATCTTGGACTCTATGTTCCGTGGACGTGATTGTTTGTTCATCAAACTCTGTCTCCCTACCGATATTCATGGGGCTTATATGGTCGGGCTCTCGCATGCTGCTCTCTACAGATACCAAATGAACATGAGCAATGATAACGTTCAACAACAAGTCACATCCGTTGGACCGCTTCCAGCTCGGTCGGAGGACGAAATTTTGAGGTTAAAGGATGTGGTTCTTTCGTTGCAAAGACAGCTATCTGCCGTTGCTGGAGCGGCAGCTCGCGGAGTCGAGACGGCAGCCCGAGCACTCCGCGAACATCACGCAAATGGATGGGATCAAGTCCAAGACACTGTGATTCCAATAGGCAATCTTTCACCCGAGAGAAATGACGACCTTAGAGGAAGCTCTATCAAAAGGGCTGAACTGTGTTCCGCCAATGAGTGCACCGATCAAGGATCCTGGAATCCGGATCAAGATCAGTCGATAACAAATACAAATCTGCCTGACCTTTCATCCCCCTCACAGGCGCTGGCGGGACCAGGCAACTATATCCCCAGCCCTTCAGTGTTTTGCCTGGACGTACTTGAACTGGAAGGTAGCGTGCGTCAACTCATAACAACACAACATCTGAGCGAGTCAGATAAAGAGCACAGGTAAGAGACCAGGGCTAGAAGAAAAAAGGGACTTTTTTCCCAGCTAAGACCTGGCTAGTTTTGACGCTTTACTTCGGAGTATCTTTGATCTGATGGTTTCAAAACACTACTGGCACTCGACCAAGGACTGGTGGATACTTACCAATGCTTTCCAGACTATTGGAGTCATCACTCGCTATCGAATTGAGCCCACTTCAGAAAACTATGCGCGGCTACCTGCATGCTTTCGACCTACGCGGTTGCAGTTCACCCGTTTTCACTGGCCTGTGGTGGACTGGATTGCATGGCCAGATATGAGGGATAAGCTTATCTTGCACGCCGCAGATTACGATCTCAGCGAGGTCATACTTGCCACCATGCGCTCCTATTGTCTGGAGGAAGAGGTGAACAGCCTTCCAGAAAACACAAATGGATCGCCCTCGCAAAGTCTCGGATACCAGACTCATATTCCGGCGGGAGGACCTAAGGCAAAGGTCTATTATCGGGTGGAAGAGTACGTCGAATACACGAAGCAGAAAGTGTTGCAGCGTCATATTCCTCGAACAATATCTGCGCGGTTAGAGGCAAAGCTCATCCTTGCTCTTCAAGCCGAAGAGACTCCAATGAAGCTCGAGCCAGCATTCTTTGAACGATTTCCTGGCTTGTCGAGCGAGGCCGCCATCACTCATGGGACATATCGATCAATATACGATGCCGAATGAAGATGGCTCCCGTTTTCAGTGCCCTCTTACAAATAGAATGTACGCCAAAGCGGGTATAGAAACCCCGAGTTTTCCTAGGTTACGCATGAGGCCTTCCACGGGATCATGAACCAGACTCTGTCCGAAATGGACTGAGCTCGGGTCTCCCGGCCCGGTCTTAATCTGACGAAATCTGGCTTGACAAATTCCGTGGAATTGCACAACCGGCGACTTCATTCCTTCTATCTCGGCTAGCCAAAAGTGGAAATGTGCGGATCAGGAGCCACTAACCTCTTCTGGAATACCCACCTGGCCCACTGTGGCTCCGCCGCCATTGATTGTGGTATAATCTCTCTGCCTTTGAATGCTTCTGGATTGCGCAGTCCATCAGGTCAAGAAAACCACGATACATGGATCGGAGTCGGCCTTCAGCGAGGAGATAGGGCAGAAGTGCCATCTAGCTAGACGCTGACGCCCCGGGTTCCGTCAAATAATACGCCAGATCCCCGCCCTTGACTTCGCGCTCCGTCTTGCCTCGTCCAAGAAATTGGAAACGATTCCTTGCCAGGTACGTGAAATCCCAGTCCTCCCAGCGAGGCTGGCTCATGAGTTCAAGGTACGAGAGAGACGATCCGGGCCACGGGCCCCAAACTTTGCCGTCAGCCTTGCCGTTCTTGTACCAGGAGACACAATGGTCAGTCCACACCAGGTCCTCCATGAGCGCGTCCTTGAATTCCTGGAAATCGTCGATTGCTTGAGGTTTCGGCACGATTGCCTTGACGGAGTCGTATTGCATTTTTTTCACTGCCGCGAAGGCGTATTTGATGTTCGTCTCGAGACACGGGAGAAGACATCCATTTGCCAGTGGGAAGTTAGGTCCGCTAATGACTGAAGTTGTTTACAAGAAATGGCGATCAGACATAGTCCAATAAAAGTAGCCGGGTACCATGGAAGACTTACTGAAATAATTGGGCATCTTGGGCGCCGCGATGGAACAGTATGATCTCGGTTCGTCCGCCCACTCATCCCTGAGATCGCAACCTTCTCTCCCTATTAGAGGAAATGGCGGCCGGAAACTTGTGTCGAAGCCGGTAGCACATATCAGGACGTCCAACTTGATTTTATCTCCCTTGGCCATTTGTACGCCGTCTTCCGTAACACGAACGATTCCATCGCTCCGAACAGTGACGTTATCTTCTGTAAGTGCTTCGAGGTATCCGTGGCCAGGCGTTATCCTTCGACAGCCAACAGCAAAGTTGGGGACTATTGATTTGAAACATGTCAACGCTCGTTTCAAGGTTGAAATGGTCTGGCTACTTGTTCGTTTCCTAAGTAGGAGTCACTTACCCAAGATATCAGCTATTTCGGGTTTTCTCGACAGCCGTTCTCGCATGGTCTTGCGGAAGTTGTCATACGCGTCTTTCTGCAGAGTCGAGTCTTTGAACTGCAGGTCGAAGAATTTATTCATTGTCGATTCGACCTTCTTTCGATATTCCAAGAATTTGTCTTTATTCTGAGCCCACTCGTCCTTCTGCCGGTCGGAGAAAAAAGCGGTACGGCCTTCGGGAGCAAATTCAGCAGCAAACTCGGGTGTGATCCATGTCGAGGACCTAATGAAAGATGTCATATGCTTAACCTCTGCAGGTCGTCGTCAAAATGTGTTTCTCAAACCAGATTCGAGTGTCTTTTCTTACTCGGTTGGATCTGGGGAATTATCTGGATCGCAGACGACCCTGATCCGATAATACCCACAATCTTGTCATCGAGGGGATACGTCTCATCCCATTGCGCAGAATGGATCAGTTTTCCTTTGAATTCGCCTAGGCCGGGGATGTCAGGCATCTTCCATTTGCTGCCGGACTCGTAAGCAGAGAAATCTTCCAAGAATTTAACCACTTACTTGAGAAATCCAGCAGCATTGATCAAAACCTCAGCTTCGTCGGAGAAAGTACTTCCTGATGTCAAGTCTTCGATTTGCACTTTCCACTTGCCGGTGCTTTCATTCCAGACAGCCTCTTTGACACGGCTGTTGAGCTTGACGAACTTGTTCACGCCGTAGGCCACGGCACGGCCCTTATAATACTCGTAGAGCTCCGAGCTACCCACATATGCGCGCGACCAGCGTGGATTCCCTTCCCAGCTAAAAGTGTAGGCATGTGCGGGCACATCACATGCGCACCTGCATTTCTACGTCAGAAAAGATTCACGCAATCATTCAATGAGATATCAAAAACTTACCCAGGGTATCGGTTTTCCAGCCAGGTTCCCGTCACGTCGTGGTTCTTCTCGTATATCACCAGCTCTACTGGAGCGTTTATGAACGTCTCTTTGAAGATTTTGACCGCGGCGATTCCGCTGAGCCCTGCTCCAACCACGATGATTCTTATAGGGCGTCCCTGGCCTTGATACTGATCCACACACTTGAACTTCATTGTCCCGTTCACATTCCCATGGCCATTGTGAGAGTCAGAGACAGTAGCAGCCGCAGCGGAGGTGGCATCTCCCATCTTGGATGTCTGCCCCGATTAGATTTCTGAAAGAACCACAAAGTATTGACCGAAAAATAACTGAATCTCTATACCTAGGACTTTGAACAAGTTCGGCATCTTCCAAACTATCAGGTGACACTGGGGGGCTTCCTCCACAAAAGCTGCGGGCATGTGGCGGTGGTCATCTTCCGAGATGCACGCAATTTCGTCCGAAATGCCACTTTACCCGCGGCTTCAGCATACCACATTGGCAACGGAACGGTAATGAGTAGAGAAGAGAGCTCTTTAAAGTGGAGCAACCACATGTTCTGGGTACATGATAGCATTTGCGCTAACTTGGGAGATATGTATCCGCGGTTAGTTGTTACTGCAGCTTCGGCCACTTCACCCGACGCCCAGCAACGGCATCGTTTTGCCAGCTCTGCCCGAGCGAGGTGATCACATCAAGAGCTCGGGAAGCGCTCTTGTACGTCTGACCCATCTCTCCCAGGCTTTGAATACAGGTCAGAAAACCTTGCTGGGCATTTCGATTTTCGGGGGTCCCCGTGCTGGTTCTACACATTTGGAATACATGGATGAGGCCCGCCGTCAGTGTGACATGACCCATTTGGTGATGAGGTCGACGTAGACCGTACCGCTGACGGAAAATCGTGAGGAGTTTGCAAACTTGTTGAGCTGCTTGGACGCATTTTGAAAGAGATTGCGCTGCGTCTCGCTGAGTAGGGGTGATAGACAGCCACGACGACTCGTCGCACGCAATAAGCGGTCGATGCAGGAGTATAACACACTCGTTGAAGATGAGGCTTCCAAGGCGATCAGTAATGGTCCCGCAATATGTGAGTGACCTACTGTAGCTCAAGGACCGCGGGAAGATAGATCGCTGTCCGTGCGGAGGAGTAATCCACCCGGAGGGCTGGTGGCAGCGTATCAAGCCAACTTTGTAACTCAGCATCAAATCCAGCAACGAAAGTATGGATATCGTCCAGGACATCAGGAACACCAGAATATCTATGCAAAGTATCAGTAAGGTGCCATTGTTCTGGTTAATTGAGCGCATACAGCACTTCCGACACTCGTGCAAAGACCGTCATCAGCCTGGCAAGATAAACATGAACTTGCGCTGCGGCATCGAAGTCGAAGCCTCTTGGGAAAGTCATGGTGCTGTACTCGTCGGTATAGTATTCCCACGAATAGTTGGTTGAAGGCATCGGGGACGGTATGTTGTGAGCAAGGCGTTTCATCAGAGACGGCCGTCCGCTATAAGCACTCCATAGCCTGGTCTTGTTAGCTTACGCTTCGTGGTTGTTGTAGGACAAACCTACGTGTCTATTGTGTTGGCCGACCAGAACAGGTTCTGCCGCAGTAAGGTAACTTCGTCGGCACTGCTGTTCGTGTTGTGAAACTTCGAGAAGTCTAGTGCAAGATTCAGGTGCAACCCGAGATCTGACAAAATCTGCACCGCCATTCCTGTGATCGTGTCAGCAAAGACAGTTGCAATCACCAGGTGGCCCCCTGGAGGAATGATCTGACCAGAATATATCCAGCCGCGTGAGTCACGCGCATGAGCAGCTTCATGCGACGAGAGCACCAGCAAAGCCTGGGCTGTTGCAATTGTTGGGCTATCAATCTCGATGTCCAAGAGAGCCTTCGCTCGAAATCCAAAGAATTCATCTGTGGGTCCGTCGATTTCTGGATGCAGACGATCTGTGTACGCGGCGCCAACTGTGTACCTGTAACGACGAATCAGTTAATCCGGGTGCAAAATTGATTTGAGAACTTACACGGCATTCTCCAACGCCGGAGAATACAGGTTGGTGTGATGTCCTGATCGAAAATGTTGCCGTTCTTTGAAGAATATTGGTTTGTCAACAACATACATCAAGGTATTATGCCATGAAAAGAACAAATTAACCAGAGTTTCTTCGTACTCTGGATCACCCTTCCAGTGAAGACCGGCTCGGGCAATGGCTGCTTCTCCGTGGGTAACCACCTGTCGTATGTTGGGTTGACAGAGGGACGACGGGCCCCTATGCAAAAGATGAAGGTTGCTGGTTGCTCCGTAGTAGCGAGGCTGTCCATCTTCAGCAATCTGTAAACGCCCTAAACGGCTTGTAAGGTGCTTCGTGATACTGTCTAGATGTGCTCCGTCTTGGTCGTCGGAATCATGCGGTCTCACTTTGCCTCTGGTACTTGTTGTGGACGAGTCGACTCGTTCAGCGGCCGGTAGAAGCCCCGGACTTCTCGCTACGATATCCTGTCCTGACGGATTTGTATGTGGGATGACATCTCCTTCGAAAGTAGAGGGCAGATCTACTTCATTGTGTGTAAGTCCAAGTGATGGGACAAGTTCGAATAATGGGTGACATTCGGCGAAACACGCTGCGTTCGTAAGGTCTTTTGCATCCTCTAAACCAATCCAAGAATCCCAATCTTGCTCCGACACGGGTGAGTGTAAAGGATCACCACTAATAGAGTTCGTTGCATCACAGTTTGAGGAATAATTCCTAGGCTGCAGATTTTCAATGACGTCCTGATCATGGACGAAAGTAGGGCCCGGTTGTTCCGCAGTTGTCGAAAGCTGTTGCGGAGGTAGATTGTTATCTGGCACTTGCGATGTGTTCTCGTCGCTGAGGTCTTCTGGGGAAGACTTCGATGCCGCTATGATACTTTCCAAGCGTGTAGACATTGACATGCTTGAGCAGATCAGCCTTTAAGGTCCTTACCCAGTCTTTGCCTCGCCAATATCGTTCTCCAGGCGTTGACCCACACTCACCGACGACGATCCTCCACAAAGATACATTCGACATCATAAAGAGTGCAATTCGAGCATCGAGGTTTGTCGTCATTGCACTGTTGGAGGGACTTATAATCAGCCAACATCATGACGCCTAAGAGCAACGGCTGATGCGCGTGATACCTTGACCTTCCGCTTCCTACAAGCTAGACAGGCTCTAGAAATATACCTTCTTTCCGAAGGCTGTTTTCTGCTCTTTTGATGGGACATTGAGTGGTTCGAGATATGGTTGAGCTGATAAAAATTGGAGGAGATGCCTGGCGGAATGGGAAGTCCGGGACTTGGGGGAGCATGTGCCTTAAATGCTGAGGAGGAATGGGTCCGTCCACATCGGCAAGCCAGCAAGCCCGGGGCTGGAACACTCTAGCTAAGGAACCTATCCCGCAAAATACGGGGGGAGGACATTGTCACATGGCGCAATAGATGAATACACAAGATTTCCAAGCATGTGGTATATTGCCTTGTCTCTCTCTCGAACGAAATAATACGATGTCCGTGTTGCACACATCTCTATGATGCAGATATAGATTGTGTTTTGTAGACATGGGATCCGCCCGCTGCGTCTTGCCTGCGATACTCCATGTCCGCCCTCCATCTCCGTATCAACTAGCGGATATCATGAAAACCACCATCATTGACCACCAACGAACCATTCATATAACTACTCTCGTCGCTCAACAAGAAGCTCACCACATTGGCCTGCTCCTCAGCGAAAGCCATACGGCGCAACCCAATCTTCTGGTTGACAGGAGAGTTATCATTCTCCTTCGTTCCGATTTTTCCTTCTTCACCCATACTCTCGGCAATCATGGCTGTCATTGTCCAGCCTGGACAGACTGCATTCACTCGGATACCACTGGGGCCGTAGAACTTGGCCCCGTTCTTGGTGACCGCTGCTGCACCATATTTGCTTGGTGTATATGCCGCCAGTCCAATTGCATGTAACCCGGAAATCGAGACTACATTGGCAATTGAGCCTCGCTGGCCAGGGATCGGGACGGGGCTTGGAGGGTCGAATGTGACGTTCCTTGGCTGCTGTGATCGCATCTGCAGTGCTTCGTATTTTTGACAAAGCCAAAGCCCACGGGTGTTGACTGCATGTGTTCTAGAGAAGAGAAATCCGTCAATATGGTAAAAGACATCTACACAAAACAGATAATCGCACTCATACCTGTCAAACAGCTCTGTAGTGATGCTCTCTTCTTCGTCCCATACAGTCTCGCATATACCCGCGCAATTGGCCGCGTAATCGAGTCTCCCGGTGAATTCGAGTGCGGCTGCCACGAGCTGTTTGACCTCCGATTCTTGAGTAACATCTACCCGCTGGAATTTTGCGCGGACACGGTACTTCTGAGCTATATCGTCGGCGGCGGCGGAACCCTGGTTTTGATTGCGATCGGCAAGCAGAAGAGATATCCCTCGTCTAGCAAGTTTATTTGCCACTGCTCGTCCAATGCCAGAGGCGGCGCCAGTTACGAGCGCTACTAACTCTGACATATCTGTAGGATGCAACGTTCTCTTCCAAGAGCAAACGGCACGTAACGTCTAGTCGTAGCAAATCAGAACATTTGTTTCTTTTATTCACAGAGGAAACTGAAAAATATCGTATACGGGGAACAGGATAGTCCACATTCTCCTCACTTCAGGTCACTGGGACTCCTCGGGATATGGTGGCACTCACAAGAGATCTCCGGTTGCTGGCGGCCTCGGAAAAGGAGTGTAACCGGCAAGGGCCGACCGCAGCGGCTAGTATCTGCGGCGGCCGCAGCGAGTTTACTTGGTGACGAATATGGTTTTAAAAGGAGAATTTAGGAACCCTACGATCTGTAACAAGTTTAAGAGTGGTGCTCGAGATTCTTAGCCGTTTTACAAAACCAAGTCAAGGGCTAACAAATCTAGGTACACCTATTAGTCCTCTTCGTTGTATGGCGAGCAGCTATTGGCTACCATCAGGCTGGCGTACATTAAAAATGCTCTCTGAGGGAAGTCTGAGTCCAACTCCTCCGGGATAATCCATTGCTTGAATGTTCTAGGTGCAGAGCCCTCGGCGTTGATGGATGGTACATTCATTCCCAGCGACCTTCGTGTTAACACCTCTCTCTGCTCATGGTCGTCTTGAAGATAGTTCCTACATCATCACACTGCCCTTGGGTATTTCTTTAGTCTCCTCGAGTACAGTATCATGTGTAAGGATAAGATTTTCCAACGTTTCGGCCGCAACCTGATCTCCAAAAAGCCCGGCTATCTCTTCCAGCGGCTTGCCTTTGGTCTCCTTCGCCAGGAGAAGGAATACAGTGAGGAAAAACACGCCCGCTACTATGAAAACGAGGTAGAATTTCCAGCCGATGGAGACAAAGGCGTAGAGGGAGGCTCTGTCAAGATTGAGTCAGCTCCGAATCTTTAAGGAATACGGGTCCTCCAAGTACTCACTCGACGTAGATAGTGTCGACAAGGTAGATACTAGCTACTCCAAGAGCCGAGCCTTTGGCCCTCAGATGAGCGGGCCACATCTCGGAAACATAAGTGTAGCTTGCACCTTCCACAAACATGCAGTATCCAAGTTCGAAGATGTAGAACATAGCCACAATAGCCCTCTGGGGAGCTTCGTGGGCAGTTCCAGCGTACTTGACGATGAGCGGGGTGACTACCACAATCAGCGCAATTTGAATTGCCGTTCCGATGGCGAGTAGTGGCACACGTCCAAGGCTATCGATGAGCAAGGTTCCGAGCGTAGCGGTTATCGCCCCAAATGTCACATAGCCCGCAGTGATGGACAGCTGGCCCACTGTACCGAATCCCAGGCTGGCGTATATGGTCGGACCGTAACTAGCAATCACGACAATACCTGCAGACTATTAAGAGTCAGATTTGGTTAAGTGTCAATGGTAATTTGGACATCATGGGAGCTTACCTGGCTCATAGACTGGGTAATAATTGTCAGGATAAAGCGCTTGCGGTACCTCTTCGACAGCAATAGCTCCCACCAACCCATTTGATGCTGATTCTCAAATGAGATCTGATCGACCATCTGTTTGACCTCGAGCTCAGCGAATTCATGGCCTTCGTCGTCATGGTGGCCATGCAATTTTGAGATGACGGCACGAGCTTCATCAGTGCGATTCTTCATCACCAACCATCTTGGTGATTCTGGAATTACAGGAAGAAGGAAGATGGTCAAGAAAGACGGAGCAGTACAAATCGCGAACGGAATCCGCCATTGTACGCCACCGGCTTCCACAAAATAGAAGGCCACGCCGAGCCAGTTGGCGAAGACATAGCCAAATGAGATCATCACTCCAACAAGGCCCACCATGAGGCCTCGGTATCGAGGGGGAGCGAGCTCGCTCTGAAGTAAGGATCCCACAGACATATATGCTCCAGAAGCAAAACCGGAACATCCCCTACGGATGGTTAATAATGTTCAGTCTTTTTTTCCACCTTATTTCCGAAGTATTACAGGGAGCTCACCTGAAAATTATCAACATGGCAATATGCACGCTTCCCGCAACAAGGGCCGTGCTGACGATGGAGATGATGGCTGCAATGAGGACCGTCTTCTTGCGACCAATTTTATCGGATGAGTAGCTGGCCCAGGCACAACCAAAGATGGCGGATGCGAAAAACACTCCGAGAATCGTGCCGATCAACGGCGTGTTGGATTTCGTTTGATGAAGGAAGCCGAAGTAGAGCAAGAAGCTCGGCTGGCCCAGAGTCGTGTTGATCATGCCATTCACCATGCCCGTTGCCAGTGAGCTGCAGGAAACACAGAGGACGATACCATAGTTGTAGAGACTGAACTTCTCTCTGGCTTTGCTATGGTGCACACCATGTTCGTCGTGATGCAGTGACAATTCTTCTTTGGGCATTGCCATCTTGGAGACTTGTTCAATCAAGATCCGTGGACACGGCCTCGTCGGATAGGTAGGTGGAGGCAACAAGTTGGGAGGTTGAAATGAAGTCGAGGCCTCATGAGGCGGTATTTCTTGTCATCCAAGTTGCTAATGCAGGTCCCCATACTCCACAACATTGTATACCAGAAAGTCCGGAGGCCCACGCGGGGAAACCACGTGTGTAAACACAAAGTCGCAAGCTATGCATGAAGAATACTGGGGAAAGCGAGTGTCAGGTCGGAGTTTCGATGTGGTGGCCCACAACCTCCAATCGCGACTGACCCACTTGCGGGTGTTCTGACCGGAGTTTGGACACACTATTAACCCGATTTGGCTCGTCCGAATTAGGAAGGCTGCTGCTCCGCGTGTTGCGGAGTGGCAGCTTGGGTGTAAGTTGTCGACCGCACCGAGACGTCGAGCCTTTTGACAGGGGATGGAAAAAACCTCAATCAAAGACGGCGTCTTATCCAGTTGGGTGTCATGTTGATTCGAGCAGCAGCACAGTCATACATTGAAAGCCTGTCTCTCGCAACCATTATTCAAAACCACAATACCATCTAGGTATTTCAAACAGATACTCACCATAGTGTACGTGGTGCATACGACCCACGGAGCTTGCGTTACAACTTGTCGAACTCCAAAGGAGTGTGCTGGACATAAATTAGTGGCCACCACTATGGTCATATCTCACGGCAGCAGTGAGGCGAGGCCGACCTCTGTGGACTCAACGAACAATCTCGCCGCCAAGTATGGCTGGAAGAACACAAACGAGGCAGGTTACACCATCAACGAAGTTCCTTCGGGGACGTTGCGTTCCGTCAAAATAATATGTCTTGGTGCCGGCGCTTCGGGGATCAATCTAGCGAAGCTTGTCCAAGATCAAATGCAAAACGTGGAACTGCAAATTTACGACAAGAACGCCGATGTTGGAGGCACCTGGTTGGAAAATCGCTATCCGTATGTACATCGACAACGACACTGGCGTTGGCGCGGGCTGCACTGACATCATATAGGGGCTGTGCCTGTGACATACCTTCTGCTAGCTACCAATTCACTTGGGAGCCTCATATCTGGTCCCAGTACTACTCAGAGAGTCCAGAGATCTTTGACTACTTCAAAGGTATAGTCGTCAAGTATGGGCTCGAAAAGTATATCAAGCTCCGGCACCGTGTGGACCACGCGGAATGGGACGACGATGAAGGTCAATGGCACATTACACTTACAGACTTGGACTCTGGAAATCAATTCACAGAGTCATGTGACATCTTCATCAATGCCGGCGGTCCCCTGAAGTAAGTGATAAGATAGACTGCTCCATTCACCGTCTGCACTCCTAAAATTTCACACAGCTACTGGGAATGGCCTAAGATCCCTGGCCTCAACGTCTTCAAAGGAGTGCTTGCCCACTCTGCAGCCTATCCAGAGGGACTTGACTTGAATGGCAAGCGAGTCGCCGTCGTAGGCATTGGGTCCAGCGGAGTCCAAATCATCGCCAAAATCCAGTCTCAGGTGGAGAAGCTTTACACGTGGATCAGTACACCCACGTGGATGACTCCGTCATTTGCCTCAAAATACTCTGGTCCGGGGGGGCTTAATTTCAAGTGTAGGTGAATCTTCTATCCCTTTGCAAAAGGATATCTGCTAATAGCTCGCTGAAGACTCCGAGGAGCAGAAGAAGAGGTTCAGGGAAGAGCCGGACTACTATCTCAAGTACTGCAAGATGGTCGAGACACAGCTGCAAGAAGGGTTTCTTGCATTCCACCACAACACTCCTGAAGCAAAAGCATTGGAGAAGGTAAGCTGCTAAGCTGTGCCCGATAGCATACACGGAGCGACTGATCATCCCTTGCTTTTAGATGGCAAGGCAAGAAATGATGGAGAAACTGAAGGGCCGGGACGACCTCATCGAGAAGCTCATTCCCAAAGATTTCCCCGTTGGTTGCAAGCGGCCCACGTAAGTCCGATGCATGGAATCTTTTCGATCCATGACTAATTTCCCTGGTCACAGCCCTGGAAACGGGTTCCTGGAAGCCCTCGTTTCTCCTAACGTGACGACCTTCACGAAAGCGCTGGAAAAAATCACCGAGCAAGGGTTCCTCGATCCCGAGGGGAACGAACACGAGGTCGACGTGATCATTCTGGCCACGGGCTTCAACACTACGTGGGTTCCTCGATTCCCCATCATAGCCAACGGGTACAACCTGCAAGACCAGTACCGCAAGAACCCAATTTCGTACCTCGGGCTCTCGGCGCCCTTCATGCCCAACTACTTCACATTCTACGGGCCTTACGGGCCCCTGGGCCAAGGCAGTGCGCTGTGCATGATCGAGAAAATGGCCGATTACTTCGCCCAAATGATCAAGAAGCTCCAGCTCGAGAACATCAAGAGCTACACCCCGAAAATGCAGGTTGCGCTGGACTATCAGGAGCATACCGACCTATACCACAACCGGACCGTGTGGTCGGGCAACTGTCGCAGCTGGTTCAAAGGCGGCAAGTTGGGTGGCAAGATCATGCTGCATCCCGGGACGAGGACCCAATAGTAAGTGGTGTTATTACATTTATGAATCTTCATAGATAGCTAACCTGTTGCTTCTTTCCACCCTCAGCATGGAGCTCATCGCGACGCCTCGGTATGAGGACTACGAGATCCAGTACCGTAATCGAAATGTCTGGTACTGGCTTGGAAACGGGTTCTCGACACGGGATTTGGACGGCAGAGATCTGACGTGGTATTTGGGATTGGTCGATGGTAAAGACGAGCAGCAATATTTTGATGTTTGACATGTTCCGAACTTGAGGGATCTGGCAGAGAGGCATGACAGAAGTACAAAGAATGAAAGAATGTTTCGTTATATGGAAAACCGCGTTGCACAGTAGTAACTGTGCAGTCAATTATCGGTGAAACATGAGATACTCTTTCATTCCACCTCAATGAAGAAAGATTTTGTTGCTTTGACCTGTATTATTGTCTATGAAGATTTGCCCTTTTTCAAAGAATTCCAGTATATGGGGGCATGGACTCTGGAATTTCAAGCAATCACACCTCAAAAAACCTTATTGTTGCAAGGACTTTGTGTCGAAACGACTGTGGTCCACCCTGGAAAACAATCTATTGTATAAGTTCTGATACTCTAGATAAAGAGTGAGAGCGCTCATTGCTCGAGTTCACATAGAACATCTCCCTAACAAACCACAAGGCTCTCCTATATTGGTCCGATCATCTACGTACTTTCAATTCGCCGTCACCTCACGCTGTCTCTTATGGACCGTGAGCGGAATTGGCTGCTTCATGTAACCCATATAGCTCTGCAGGCCGAGCCAGAACCCGGCGTGGTCAAACCCGGGGGACATCTCGAACGAAAAGTCCTTAAAGACGTGCGCGAGCAGCAGCCGCATCTCCAGGTACGCCAGGGCCTTGCCAGGGCAGATGTACTGTCCCGCGCTGAACGGGATAAAGGACCGCGTGTCGTGGTTCCACATCGGATCACGTTTCTCGTCAATCCAGCGCTCGGGCACGAAAAGCTCGGGCTTCGTGAAACTCCGCGCGTCGTGGGCCATGAACGTAGGCTGGCAGGACACTTGTGTGTTTTCAGGTAGGTACTTGCCGTCGATGAAACAGCCACCCTTGGGGGTGGTGCGTTGGTTGCCATTCGGCGCCGGCGGTACCATGCGTAGAGATTCATTGATCACGGCATTCAGATATGGCATACTGTCAGGTCCTGCGTGTGACAGGGGCGAAATTAGTTTTTATCACAAGAATGCCTTTAACTGCCAAGAAGATGTCGGAGGATGAATACCTAAGTTGCGTCCACCGAGATTGTCTCCATGTTCTGCCCAAGCCTCGTCGATTTCTTCAATGAGTTTCTTCTGGATGGTGGCGTCCTTGGAGACAAAGTAAAAGACGAAGCTTTCCCGGTAGTCAGTTCGTCGCTCGATGTATGATCAAAGCAGGTGAACCAACCTTAAGCAGACCGCAGTGGTATCACTTCCGGCAATGATAATGACGGGTGAATCAGACTCAAGGTCCTTTTTGGCGAGAGTCCTAATACATTATCAGCCTTGCCGGCTCACAATCTTCAGCAAGGAAAAGCTCACTTTCCGTCTTCATCGTGTGCGAGCAGGTAAGTAAAGAGGTCAGTTGGTTTCGTCCCCATGGCCAGCCTCTTTTCAAAATGCTCTGCTGAAGTTTTGGCAAATCGCTCGGTCTGCGCCTTGTCCTCCGGATCCATGGGTAAGTACTTGAATATTGGCGACAGCCACTGCACGTTTCGAATCATCTCCGTCATCTTGAGACCCTTGCGGACAAGAACCGCCAACTCCCCAGAGCTCTCGTTCTCGAGAAAGGAAAATGTCTCGTTGAATGCAAGATCTGCCATGGCATCGAAACCGAAGTAGTCGATGAAAGCTCCCACGTCGATTTCCTTCCCTAATAAATAACCTCAGCGAAACGTTTCCTTAGCTTCTGGGTTGATGTATAGCTTACCGGCGTAGGCGTCGAACTTGGCTTTTAGGACGTCAATAATCCTCACAAGCCTGGGTTCGTAGGATGTTATAGCCTTGATTGCAAGCCCTTTATCCCAGAACTTTCGGCGCACTCTGTGTGCCATAATGTCTCTCTCGTCTCCGAGGCTGATGCCATCGGCCCACAAGCGAGTATCATAGTTCGGGCCTTTGCATAGCTTGTTTGCCGCCGATCCATGGATATATTTCACGGACTCTGGGTTTACAAAGGATAACTCGTTTGGGCCGATGCGAACCACATCGCCGTACTTTTCATGAAGTTGCGCGTAATCGATGTATGTTCGACCAAGGCCAGTAAGGTAAAATCCATACCACTTGGTAATCTTTGCCAGGAAAGGACCTGGAAAATCCTTGAGTGGGTGCAGAAACACTCGGTACACGGCAATGCTTGAACTATTAATTGGTATTCATGGGTCAGCCACGGCTCCTGTTGCCATGAGAAACAGCTGGCACTTACCCCAGAGCAAGGAGATGCAGCGCAGTGAAGATAGAGGTGAGCCCTATACTAGTGACAATCACTCTGGAGTGATAAAAAATGCCGACAAAGGCTAGCACGATCAATGTTGCCAATTCAACAAGATATTGACTATGACGAGCATATTAGTTGACGAATATGTCAAGATGTATAGCACATAGACTTACAAAAAGCCCGGTTCTCGTCGCTTGTACTTCAAGTGAGCGATCTGTCGGCCGAGTTAGTTTGTCGACTTCGTACAGGCCAGAGTGAAAATACTAGACCGCTGAGCACCGCCCACACGCAGGTTGGCAGTAGAAGTTCCATATTTGGGACGTGCGAAAGCCCTCTACTCTGAGACTAGAGAAGCAATGGCTTTTTTCTGCATGAGACACACCTCGAAAAACAAGTTGACTTGGCCTTTTTCATCACGACGACCGTTGCGCGTGGAGGTGAATAGAGCAATTCACATAGTATTCTTCAGAAACTCCGAATAGCGCCAACAAGAGCCCTGGTCGGAGCCTGACCATCTAAAGAGCTGTATTCCGGTGGGTCTGAATACTTGCCTAATCGGGAAATATCTGGGTGTGAAACTCCGCACTTGTATGGCAGACTCCGTTCGGTCTCTTGCGCCTGCAGTGGCTGAAGGACCGGAAACAATCTTTGGGTCATGTCGACAAGCGCATGGAACATTTTTGCCCAGGTACGAACACGATTTTTGGCATTCTTTGGGCGAAGTGCTGCCTTTGTCTCCCTTCGTTGATGCTATAGTATTGTGACTGACAATCGATCGTGCTGTCCATCCCACAAGATGAAGGCTCTCCCTGATTTCGATGCACTGCCACCAGTAGAAGGCAGACCGCAGGGCAATACCTGGGGGTTTTGGGGCGCTGACGACGAGATTGGAAGTGAGTGCACCAAAAAAACATCTCCTTCAAAGAATGGCACTCATCCTGTCCTCTCCCAAGCGCTTTTGATGACTGTAAACAGCCTTGAACCTCCTTACTCCAGAAGTAATTCAGCGTGCAGCCGCTGAGGTCAAGAGTGGCCGATCCGCGTCCTTGGACTTCCCCCTCGATCACTTCAGCGAGCGCTTGGGCACGCGGCGCCAGCTCGAGCAGAATGTGATCAATTATCGTTCTTTGGCGGGCATGTATGTTTACGATGACGAGCTCCATTTCAACACCCAAAGCAGCTCCCAGTGGGACGGCCTGACACACTGTGCAACCCAAAAAGATGGGTTCTTCTACAATGGCCTTAAATTCGAAGACGTGTTGAAGAATAGGAATGGAAGAAATGGTACACACAGTACGTATATGTTCTTTCAATCCTGTTTGTGCAGAAATAGCAACTGACTGAAAGTTCAGGATGGTTACAGAGAGGCGGGATAGTTGGCCGCGGGATTTTGTTGGACTATCCACTTTGGCGACAGGAGACTGGACAAAGCCAGGTCAATGCAGGTTCAAGCCATGCCATCACGGCAATGGAATTAGACCAAATGGCCCAGCACTTTAAGCTGGAAATCCAGCAAGGTGATATTCTACTACTTCGCACGGGCTACAGTGCATGGTACAAGTCGGCGTCGCCAGAGGAGAGAATTCGCGTTATTAAAGGGGAAGCATTCATTGGAGTAGAGGAGTCTATGGCATCCGTGCGGTGGCTATGGAACAGACACGTTGCGGCTGTCGCCACAGACGCTCCAGGCTTCGAAGTCTGCCCAGTTCCTTGGGGTGACGAATCCAAGGTAGTGCTTCATGAGTGGATATTGGTCCATTTTGGTATGCCCCTGGGTGAGCTGTGGAATTTGGAAGACTTGTCGGTCCTCTGCCAACAAGAACGGCGGTGGTCGTTTTTCTTCACAAGTGCGCCCCTGAACGTAACAGGAGGAGTGGCCAGTCCGCCGAACGCTATAGCTGTGCTGTAAAGTTAGCCTTCTGGAGCAAGAGACCTGCGAAATTCTCTCCCCAACGTTCACTTCCTCTGTCACCTGGCATCTCCGCTAGCCGGCAGTAGACACAGGCGTTACGGCATGAAGGGACCCATGCCAACTCGGCGTTTGCGTGGCATGTCACATTTCCGCCGGAAGCACCTCTTTGCACGTGGAACCTGGATATAGACTAGTTGTCTGTTGCTGATAGACACCAAAACCGTGACGAAACTCTCTAAATCATAAGCCAACAGTTTCCGTCCATTCAGATTGAAGCGACACATCTGCGTTCACCGCAACAATGGAGCGGAACTCACTTGAAGGCAAAGTCATCGCCGTCACGGGAGGTGCTTCGGGTATTGGACTTGGTATTGTACACAAGTTGATTCTCCTCAAAGCCAAAATTGCCGTCGCCGACGTCAGCCCCCAACCAGAAGAATTAAAGGGCATCCCGGACCTCATCTACTCCAATGTCGATGTCTCCTCTCGAGAACAGGTACATGCCTGGGTAGCAGAGATTGTGAATAAGTTTGGCAGGCTGGACGGGATGTGTGCGAATGCTGGAATATGCCCTTACGAAGGGGGCATTGTCAGTGACGAGTTGTACCAAAAGATTTTTGCCGTCTGCGTGACCGGCGTCTGGAACTGTGGGACGGAAGCATATTGGCAGTTCAAGAAGCAAGGCAGTGGAGGCGCAATCGTCAACACGTCCAGCGGCGCAGGTCTGCGGGCTGTCAAAGGTCTTGCCGTGTACAGCGCGGCAAAGCACGCCGTCATTGGTCTGACTCGAACATGGGCGTTGGACTGGGCATTGGAAGGCATCCGTGTGAATTCCCTGGCACCTGGTACGTCTGTAGCGAAACGCAAGACTGCAAAGAGGAATCAATACTAACATACAAACTTCTCAGGGCTTACGGAATCTGGCATGCAGCGAGCAACATTTGAGCAGTTCCCAGATGTCGCACAGAGACTGGGTACCGCCACACCAATGGGGAGAATGGGCAAACCTCACGAGCTAGCTGATAGTGTCATTTTCCTTCTTGGAGACAGTGCATCGTACGTGACAGGGCATGTTCTCAGCTGCGATGGAGGAAGCATGAGCGGAGCATAATATCTGCGAATAGTATCGAGTTTGGACTTTGGGCTCTTTCATCTCTGTGTTCTGGGAGGCTGCAGGAACCAGGTCAAGAACTATCCATTTACCTTTGACGAGCGCCTCATGCCGAAGATTTTACAACAATCTATTGTTTATGGGTCCGGGTGTATTCGTAAGCAGGTATAACGGTTACAACCAAAGGCGACCGTACTCATCAACAAACATTAGATATCCATGTGGTGGCTACCTTACCGTTATTGAGTGCTCAGTGATGGTGACTCTGTAACAGCCTGCACTACTTATTTCCTAAGTCGACTCCCTGGATGGGCCTTCGTCCTTGCACGTGCGCCTACTCAATGATAGCGTATGTTCAGAAAAGATGCTGTGCTGGGGGCAGGCGTTTCCATGGAGTACATTGTTCTTGTCTTTTTCAGTACTGCATCTCAATTCGACCAGACACAGTAAGGGGCCCTCAACTGAAGGTCATCCTACATGTATTTGACCCTTCTCTCCTGTAGAAAGCCCAGGAGCCCCTTTAACACAGTATTCGGGTCTGACAATGAAAGGGAGAAGGGCGGGGAAGAGCCAAAATTAGAGAAGTTGTGCTGGATAGGGTTAGTGAATCAACCAAGCGACAATTCATTTCCACATCGCCTCCACCGGAGCCGCCCGATATTTAGCGAACCTATAAAACTATAAAGATAAGACAAGCAAAATTTAGTTTGAAAATTCGTCAGAAATCGTGTTCGAATAGTGTAGTGGTTATCACGTGTTGCTCACAACTGTGAGCCTTTGTCCCGACAAGGTCCCCGGTTCGATCCCGGGTTCGAACATGCTAATTATTTTTGTTGATGGGGTTTTCGATTGCTCCAATATTTTTGTACTTTTGAGGGACTTTTTAGGGGCCTTTCGTCACCAAAGGAGAGGGTAGCTCTGTGATCAGAGCTGCCTGATCTTGTGATCGAACCCTCCCTGCGAAGGATGAGTCCATGGCCGTCGGCATAGTTACACATTGGTTGCCCACCATTCGCCGAGCAGATCTTCCTCCAAGTACGCCTGCATTCTGCATCTATCAGCTTCTACGAGTGAAAGGGGAGAGGCTGACGTGCCCAATTTTATTTTATCGAACGCTTGCAGAAGAGGTTGGTGAATGATGGTTTGACTAGCGTGAACTGCAACGTTCTATGCAATATACATCTTTTTCGCTGGACGTTGAGTAGGAGTCCCGTTGACAAGAGGATCGAAACGCTCTGTATGCACGGCAACGAGCCCCGAAAGTAAAGGTTCACGAAATGTGAGTTTGCCATGACCACTTTGACTGAAGCCACAGCAGCTAGCATGTGTGGAAGGCGGCAGCTGGAAGCATTCCCTGAGGCTCTGGATGGTCGTGAAGCATGGATTGTCAAGGAACGACACAGATGGGAGCGCAGAAGGTTGGGGCGGGGTGTGGTGAGTGTTCTTGATGCTGAAAACTGTATGCAATGCTTAGAAGAAACATCTCTTCTCGCCCATTTCGTCAAACCTACCCAGAAGCAAATGCTTAAGCAGGATCCCAAGATTTGGCACCTCTGAACGACTTCTACTCCACTGGATTTCGGAACAGAGACATGCGGGCTCTCCTCAATCACATATTATTTGTTTCTCCTCTTTTCGATACATCTGTATGATCCTCAGCTTCCACAATAGGACGATGGGTCTGTCGAGATATCCAACCCGATGTTGAAATTGCCACAGGAAGAAAGGGTACCAGGGTAACCATGCCCCGGTTCGATGTTCCAGAGGAGTCATCGAGGCGTAATGCGTTCCGAGCATTGTAACACACTCTCCACAAGAGACGGTCTGGCAAGCATTCTTCCATTGTAACCAGGGCTCCCGGATGCAACTGGGGATCCAAGTAAGAGATCGACCATCTGTCATTGCCGGCACGGTGCGGATCGCCAGAAGTTATGGCTGGTATATCGTAGGGATGATCCTCGCTGTCACTCCACCAGAGTAAGAATGAATGCTCCATGCAGAGGTATTTTTTTCCGAGGAGACGCATATGTCGACGGGAGACGGCCCACTTGAATATACATGGGGAGGAAGACGATGAATCACGACATACCAAGATCCAAGGATCACCACGCACAAGAACAGGATCGAAGATCTCGCTCAAGTCTTGCTCGCCACATGGAACAAAGTATCGGCATAGACGAAACGAGATGCTCATTTCCAGAGCATCTGGAAGAGCATTCCAGCTGTTGTCGATCCATGACTTGAATTTTTGTGGTGGGTTTATTGCCCCCCAGGAATCGCAAATCCGGCAGACACAGGTTGGGATAGAGGGACGATCAAGAGATCAGCATCGTGAGCCGGCAAAGGTAGCTGGGAAGAGATCCTCTCCTCGTCTTTCGCCTTCTGTCTCTCTTTCACTTTCTCCAAACGAAACCCCACACACTTCTTTCAAGTCGATGGAGGTTGCCGAACACAGAACCTTCCCGTTCCGGCGGCCACCGTGGGAATCAGAGAGGATATCTCGTTCTCTCTCTCTATCGCTCTGCAAAATACTGGGCCAATATGATTCTCGTTCGCAATTTACCGTCGAGGATCCTACCAGTGTGAGTTCGATCCCCTTCACCGATCGACGAGAGTCTGGGCCTGACCAGCTCCTCGATGGCCGGAACAACTTCGTAAAAGCATCAGAAAAAGGAAGGAGCCTCATTATGTCAGGTTCCTAGCAGGGTGTTTACTTATACCGAGTCGCGCAGCGGAATGGCGGATCTTTCTTCCTGACTGGGACATAAACTTTGAGTTAGTCCTTGAAGTTTGGACGGCAAGGTTCGATAGGTGTAAATCAATGACAAAGCTTGTAGGGCTCACCACGTTGTGTGTGTATGTCAAAAATTACCTCTCGGCAAGCAGGAAAATGGTGGCTTGACTTGATGGAGCCAGCAAGTTTGAACACGGTAAGTCACGAAATCATTGTATCAAGTTGATAAGAGAGTCAAGCCAAATCGGGACCAATGCATATGCAACATGCAAAGACTTATTGACTCTTTCTGCTCACCTGCCCCGTAAGCCTGCCTGGTCCTAGGTGCGTCTCCATACCAAGTGGCTTTCGTCCCCACCTCCCACCCTGACGTGAGACATTGACATGAAGAGAGCCTGTCCACCATCTTTCCCAAGTTTCCCAAACTTACCCCGTCCAGACACACACCCTCACAAAGAAAACACGACCCATTCGTATTCGTGATCGAGAAAATCCACTAATAATGGCGTCAAATGCAAGTGATTTTCCCTGTCAGTCGGTAACGAGCAAATCCCAAGGGCTTGATTCAAACTCCTTCCAGGGATCCCCCAGTGCCCCCTTCGATGTGGGATCTCGAGACTGAAGAGCAGACCCCACTTGTGCACAGTCCAAGCGTCATGGATTTCGGCAGTCGGATCAGATTTCCGTGGCTTGGGACCCTGAAAGCCCAATATTTTCGTATCTTCATCTGAGAGCTGGCCTTACACCATCGGTAGCGGTGTGCATTTGGGGGCCAATGAGCCCACCGAATGTGCTCCCCCAAAAGAATCAAAACACTCCAAAACAGGAATCCATCCTGATTTGAGAAACGTGGTTTTGCCCGATTGGATTTCGGGAACTCGGGTCTATGGCCAGGCGATTTGCTTTTTTACTCACCGACTTGAAACTGCGATAAAGGCCAGCCACTCCCCCTGAAGACTGGGCAGATAACATCCGATACTGAATGCAGGAGGCCCATCTTTTGACATAATACACCGTGACAGACCGCAACAACTAGGTTGGTGCATCCCGACCTTGTTAGACCAGCAATTCAAACTACAAAAAATCGCCACGCCATTAGGATTGTCAAACAATTTGACAGTCTATTTCGCCGTGAAGGATCTGAAACAGATCCAATCCAGCTGCTGTAGAGATATCATTTCACTCGAAGAGTTTAGCTTGTGAACCAAATCGCCTGTGCTTGTGGTCGGCTTCGCCCTGAAGTAAGTTGTGCCGCACCGCGATAGTATTTTCACTGTCGGGAAGCAAGCGCCTGTAGCAGCCAGACCGGTTTGCAACTGTGCATTCGACGTATGACAATTACAACATTTTGGGCCCCGTGACCACTCCCAGGGTACTGAGAAGGCTTCACAATGATTGCAAACAAGGCAGTTTGTGAGAGGTGTTCGGAAAACGTGCGAACCGCTCCTACCGCCTCAATAGTCCTTGATATGCCGTACAACGTCGGGCAACCACGACAACTAAAGCGGTTGGAAGCAGAGTCTGGGTATCCAATCAGATGAATCACTGTCATTTCTGAGTTGCAAAGGTTTTTCATGCGGTGAACCAAATCTTTCAACTTCGAGAGCTTAGAGAGATTGCAGCATGTGATGTGAAATTAACGAACGCGTTGATGTCAAGAGCAAAAGTGGCTGTATTGGGGTTCGAATCAAGAACGATTTGTTGTTTCCGGCTCCTCTCAGGGTCATCTCTCTGTCCATTTTGGCAAGCCACGTTTCGTTTGACGAGGTGTTGCCTAAAATATGACCGGGGAGGTGCCGGGAGACCTTCTCTCGCAGGATCCAGGAGGCACGGGGCGGCACGATTGCCAGCAACTGATGGTTCCAGCGCAGTCTGGTTGGGGGTTATTTTGCGCAGCGATTCTCGCCAATGGCGGGAGGAGCCACACTGTGTGTAAGAAAAGCAAATTCGGGGCCTTGCTGCATGGGAAGTCGGAGAGATACCACGAGTCGTGAACCCTTTCGGCACGAACTGCTCAGACGCTGTAGTTGTCCTCTGCGCTACTATACCGCTGTGAAACCATTCACGGACATGTTTTCCATGTCCAAGTAGGTACAGACCGCGGTAAAGGTCGCTTACATGGTCTGACACGTACATCGGGATTTTGCAGGCATATCCTAGCGATCGTAAGGAAAATTTGTACTGGCAAGGGTACAAGGCGTGTTGGCCCTTGGGGCCTGATGTTCGCAAGGCGCACTATACCATACTTAGTGCCAGTATGACAAAC